ACCCCAACCCCAACCCCAACCCCAACCCCAACCCCAACCCCAACCCCAACCCCAACCCCAACCCCAACCCCAACCCCAACCCCAACCCCAACCCCAACCCCAACCCCAACCCCAACCCCAACCCCAACCCCAACCCCAACCCCAACCCCAACCCCAACCCCAACCCCAACCCCAACCCCAACCCCAACCCCAACCCCAACCCCAACCCCAACCCCAACCCCAACCCCAACCCCAACCCCAACCCCAACCCCAACCCCAACCCCAACCCCAACCCCAACCCCAACCCCAACCCCTACTTTTACTTATATTAATTGTTATCAAAAAATACCAAATTTAATAAGTTTTTATTAATATTATTTATTTATTTTTTAATCAAATAAAATAATATTTTTAATGTAATTTTTTTATAAAACATCTATAAAATATTAAATAAAAATGGGGAAAAAATTTTATAATTCTAAATTTTACTAGAAATAATTAGAATTATTAAAAAGATCTTAGATTAATTAAATTCTAACTAAGTTTTTTAAGATTTAAAAAGTATTTCTTTTATACACTTAAAAGAAAATTAAAACAATTATTGCGTTTTTTGAATAATTTTTTATTTGATCAAACTTGAAAGTAAGTAAATATACATAGATATAAAATTAAATGATTCTTATAAATATATATAATATATATAAAAGTAGTTTTAATTTAATATTTGAGTGCTGGTTAGTTGTTTGTTTTTATAATTATATTATTGTATTTGTTTTACATTTAAATTATTTAATATATTTAGTAGATTTTCAATTAATGAATGAATGAGGAGGCTGAAAAAAGGAAGAAAATCAATAATAATTTGTGTGATTAACTTTTTTTGTTTTTATAATCTTTTTAGTAGCTTTTAAATTAATCTTATTCTCTTTACTTGAATGCAATTGGCTATAATCTGTGGTTTATTTAGCTTCAAATTAAGAATATGTCGTATTATCTTTTTAATTATCTGTATGACGAATTGTATCTTTAAAAGCAAATATTTCTGTTTTTTTTGGAAGTATTTAATTCTAAAAATTTTTTTATTTTATTAATTAAGGTGATTCCTATTTTTGGTATTAGCTTTTTCCTTGTAATTTATATTATTTATTAGAATCTTTAAGAGTATGCAATAACGACTAGTCATCTTGTTGGATATTCTAATATTCTTGATTTACAATATCAAATAATTTTTTCTATTCCTTTGCTAGAACTGGTTTTAATTTAATTATTGAATTGTTTTTTGACTCTTAGTTCGAGTCTAATAAATCATTGTGCTAAATAGGAGACTAGCTGTAAGAAGATATGGTGTGTGAGTGAGAATTATTATTAGAGCAATTTAAACATTGGCAAAGTGAAGAACATCTTTTCCCTATCATATAGCACTCACAATATTTCTTTTTGCATTTAGATTTTTTGCAATTACAACCTCTTCTTATATCCATAGCCATGTCTTATTATTCAAGTTACATATTTGTAAGGTTTTTATCTTAATTATTAAGATTTGTTGTTGCTTAAATGTTAGAAAACAAAAAAGCTGATGGATTTTTGGCTTCAATAACCTTAATGGCTTCATTTCTTAATTCTAAGTGATTTTTAGAATTTTTACATTCTAAGCAAACGCAAGCATGTCCACAAATTTCACCTCTTGCAAAGCATTCGCAGTAAAGTTTAAGACAAAGAGATTTTCTGCATTTGCAAGGAGTTTTTGAAACTCTCAAAATTTCCCCCTCTTTACTACTATCAATACTTTGCAACTTGTTATTTGGTTATTATTTTTTTTACATATTATTATTTATTACTATTGCTTGATTAGCGTTTATGCTTAGCGAAGACTAATCGAAATTTGGCAGAATTTATTGTGGATTATTATTACTATTACTGTTTTTGTTGAGATCTTCTATTTATTCTTCTTATTATATAAATTCCTTTTAAAATATTTTGCGTGGACTAATGTTAGGCTCTTCTTTGTTATCTTTTACATCTTCATAAAGCTAGTTATAGCTTTGCTACAAAAATATGTCCTTTTCTTTTTTGTTTTGATATTTGTTCATAAGCTTCTTTGTTAGTAGTCTTTTTTTCTTCATTTCTTCAATCCTTTTATTTAAGAATATCTTTTCTACAGCTTTTTAAGCTTCAAAGCAAAATGGATTTGGTGTACAGTTCATTATAAAGTCTTCAACTTGAGTTGTATAACTCAACTTCTACTTATATATAGTCTATTCATTGATATCGAAAAAGTCAAGCTTCTCTGAAGATGAAAGATCATTTGCTATATCATCTTCATGCTAAAATAAGCGAAAATCAGAAGATGGCGATTCCTTACCATACTAATAATTTTAATCCGAAAAACTGTGAAAATTATAATCAGGCTATTTTTTAAGGTCACAGCAGCTTTGGTTTACTGACTCAGTTGCGCTATCAATTAAAGAAAACAAATTTATGAATAAAATATTTCTAAAAAGCATTAATTTTATTTACTGATCTTCTGTCTTGCTAATTTCTTCATCGTTTTCTTCTAAGTAGTGAGCTAGGATATTCTTTACTTTTGTTTCGTTTGTACCTTCACCTTCACTAAATCCCATTTAATTTTTTGATGCACAATATCTAATTAAAGGATAATAAAAACAAAGAAATTAAAATCTATGAAAAAGAGAAAAAATAGCAAGCAATGAATCTAATCATCTTACTCAAAATTGTGAGTATCTAAGTTATTAAAGCTATGATTAGGAGAAATCTCCATTTGGCTGTAGAAGTTTTTTAGCTCTTCTTGAATATTGCTCCTATTTGAGTCTAACATATAGTTTGTGTTGCTATTACCCTTTTACATTTTATATTAATGAAGTTTGCGATATATTCTGTTTTCTTCTTTCCTGTTAATTTTTGTTGAATTTATTATATAGAAAAATTAAGTATCTATTTTTTATTAAATCCAAAAATCAAACAAAATTTGTTTTAATAATTTTTTGTTTTTTGGCACAAAAATTAATAAATAAATTACTTATTAATATCATGTCTATAAATTTCTATTTAACTAAAGCTCTTTTTCTGAAAAATACATTCATAATATTCGCACCACTCACTTTAATTACTTTTTATTTTGATCAAATAAATACTTTATCTTTTATATTGAACATGCTAAGTAAATTATATATTATTTTACCAAAATTTTAATATACATCAAAGGTTTCTTACTGATTTTGAGCATAAATGTTAGAGAAGAAGTGACAGACATAATCAAATAAATTTTTATTTTCTGAATGTATTTGATAATTATTTAAGGTTATATCTTAAACAGTAGGAAAATGAATATCTGTAAGCCTTTTAGATATAACCATAGTTAAACTAAAAAATACGATATTTAAATTTACTCTAAGTCAATTTTTTCTTGTTTTAAAATATAATAATAAATTTTAAACACAAATACTCTCTTTTAATTTCTAGAATATTACATATTTAAAAAGAATTCTGATTTTAAGGGATACTTTCAGTCACTCGATAAACAAATAAACAAATATATATCTCTCTAATAATAAACAAATAAATTTTTTTTAAAGCCAAATTTTTTAAAAAAAAGTTAGACAGCATTTTTAATTTAATTATTAAAATTCGATTTTTTAATACAAATATTCAATTTAAGTTTCTATTTTTTTAGGTCAGCAAAGATTTTTTATTTAATTCAATGATAACAGCATTTATGAAAAGGAGAGTAAACTATTTTGAATAACAAGGAAAAAATGAAAGTAGCTGAAGTATTTTTATTTTAAGGAAAAAAAATTGGTAAGATTTTTTATTGGTTCTAATTAGCTAATTAAATTGTAGAAAATAAAGTTAATTTTTTCAGCAATTTAAATCGATATAAAAGATCCTAGGACTATATTTAAAAAATATTTTTGTAATCTTACGTTTTTGGATATTTATTTTAATAAACAGACAGATTTTTCCTATATTTGAATTTTTCATATTTAATTTATCTAGATAATAAATTAAATAAATAATTAAATAACAAATAAATAGTCCATTAAGTAAATATCTTCCAAAATATTAATATATTCAATATAAAGAGAACCTCATTCTAGTTAGTTCTATAGATAGTTAATAAATTTCTCTTGATTATTTATATTAAGAATTTTTAATTAAATATTTTAAATAAATTAAACATTCATTTTTATTTAGATTTTTCTTTTAAACTAAAATAAATAAATAAACAAAATCAAAAATATTTCATATTACATGAGATACTAATTTAATTTTTAAATATATAATTTCACTATTTTCCATTATTTATTACTGAACTACTACTTTATTATTTTTTCATTTTTTCATTTTTAATATTTGAAATTTTGAAAATTTAATAAAAAATATATTCATATATGCTAATATTTTAAAATTATATTGTCCTTATCACTATTTCTTTTAATGATATTATTATATTAAAATATTCCAGTAAAAAATATATTTTATTTTTTATAATATTTCATAATAAATTTAAGAAAACTATTTTAAAATTTCAAGAATTTAATTGCTTATACTTAATTGATTCTTTATTGATACACATACGAATCATTCCATATTGATTTCGTGTTTTTTAAATACAATTTTACTTATCCTAAAAAAATATTCATTTTGCTTTTATTACATACTCAAAATCTAAAAAGATAAATTTATTAATTGGTTCCATTTTTATTTTTTTATTAAGGAATTTAAAAAAATTTAGTTAATTTTTTACTAAGACATTTATAAATAGCTTTTAGATTTGATTTTATCTTCACTTTCTCCTTAATTTTAATTATTTTATTTTAATTTACATTTATATTTAGTGAAAGTTTTGATTTATTAGCATATTTAATTTATAAATAAATAAATATCTATGGTTTATCAATAATTAACAAATTAACTTAGAATTTATCATATTCTAAAAAGTCTAATATTTTGAAATATTATCAAAAAAAAAAACAAATAGATTCTCAACATAATCTTTAAACAATTGTCTGTTTTTAATATTAGAAAAATACTTTGATAATATAATAATAAAGATGAAGAGAAATCAAAAGCTAGCGTTAATTACAATAGGTGGATCTGCAATAGCTGCAGCAGCCTTTTACTATTTTTGTAAAAAAAAATAAAATATTTAATATAGATATTAATCTATATTGAAGTCATTTAGTCAACAGGTTTTTACATGTGATTAATTTTAGCTTAATAACATGAGTCTTATGTTTGATTAACTTATTCATCTTGCAACATACGATGAAAATGACAGCTAGCTTATTTTAGCAGAAAAATTAGAATTAAAGCAAAAGAAGAATTAAAAAATGAAGGTACATGCAAGAAGGGTTGGGGTAAGGTGCACAGTTTTATGAATGTCTTGATTGCTCTCATATCAGAAAAGAAATTTAAAATACTAAAAAATAAATTGATGATGATTAATTTTACTTAGTTTTATGTGAGGAATGTTTTCTGACACCTTAACACAAAGGCCATAAATATAAAAAGATTGAAGGATGCGATACAAGTTAATTTAAGTGCCACTGTGGTGAATCTAACATTATGGATAAAAATTTTTTTTGCAATTGTCACAGAGGATTCGAAAAATCAAAAGGTATTTTTGAAAAAGAATACTAAAATCACACAAAGATGTGGAAAGGAATCGAAATATTCTTTTTAGATATGTTTCATTTGTTATTTGATAGTATAATTGATTTAAATAAGATAGCTGAAGAGAAAATAGTTATTCTTGATAATGAAAAGTAAGTAAATAATCTAAAGAAGAATAATAAAAACTAATATATTACTTAAGAATAATACAAGCATAGAACAGAAAGGATTAATTTTATTTTGAGATTGATCTTAAATAAGTTTAATGAGTTATTAGAGATAAACCCTATTTTACTTCACTTTATTCCTATTATCTTCTCAAAGACTCTGACTAAACCAATCGCTTTGCGGTTTATCAAATATGATGAGATTATTCCTGATAGATGCAAATGGGCAAGAATTTTCAAAGAATAAAAGGAGGTAAATAATAACTTAACTATATATGAGGTTTTGCTTCTTTCATATAATTTGGTAGATAACCAAAATGATTAAATATTAACAGAACTACTTAGGTCTGCTCTTAAAGTAAATAATACATTTTATTTAACTCTTTGTGAAAAGTTTATGAAAATGTTTGCCTATACAAGTAGACCATAAAATGGAGTTATTTAAAAACGAGTTTATAATATTGGATTCTTTCCATCTCTTTCATACCTAGTAATTGACTATATTTCGTTTTAGAATACTTTCGATCACTTGATTACAACTTTAGGTGATGATATTTTAGGTCCAATGAATTACTTAAGCCTTTATCTATCAGCCAGATAAAATGTTGTTGCTGATTTTGATGAATAGTTGTATATTTTGATGAGTATTTCCTTTGAAATGTTATCGTTTGTAGATTAATTAAAGGTGCTACTATAAAAATATCCTGAATAGCTTATTTCAAATCTGATTAGAATTTGCTTTGCTTTATTTACAAATAATAGCGTCACTATAAAGTAAGAAATTTCACAAAATTTACCAGAGCACGTAAGTACTAAGCTATAAAAAATGTTGTTCTATTCTTAGTACAAACAGATAGAGAAAGTTATGATTATGACATTTGTGAATATATTTGAAGGTTTATTGCTGATAAACAACTAAAAGTTAATACAAAAAGTTATACCTTTATTTGTCCATTAATATTGTCTAGGAGTTTATAATTGTCAGTAATTTTTAAATTAATTAATTAATTAATTAAAACTTAGAATTTTGTAGTTTCTCTGCCACTATTATAAGCTATTTACCTTTACTTATAGCTATTTCTGAAAGAAAAATGTTTTCAGAATCAGTTATTAAAAGTTTTTTTGCAAAAAATTTCAAGTTTCAAAATGAACAAGATAAAAAGAATTTCTTTTAAACCATGCATTAAATTGCTTCAAAATTCATAATTATGAATATTGAGCCTGGAATAAAGAGCTAAGCTGAATAATGGTATTTAATTTTTAATGATAATTAATTTAATTAAAGCTTAAAGAACTAGATGAATCGTTTGGAAGACTTCTTATACTCGCCATATAATAGAATATATGACTTCTTTACTCTTACATATTAAATAATTCTATTGGCTGATGATCAGCCTTCTATTTATTCTCCATATAATATAACTACCTAATTTTTATTAGGATTGGATAAATACTTTATGTAAACGAATGATGAGACGTAAATACTAAAGAATAGTTAGCTTAGTTATATTTTATGCTAGGTTTTAATAGATTCAACCCCTTTCTATAATGTTTTTTCGAACGTTCACCATTTATACTTCCCTGAGATATGTTAGTATAATGGAAAATGAAAATAGTAATCTTTTTTAATAAAATTTAAACGAAATTATTGTAACTTGCATCAATTAATAAGCAGATAAGAAAATTTACATAAAAGATGTAGAATAGCTTTCTAAAGTTATTCTAAATTAGAGCAATTTAATTGTAAGTAATATCTAAAATGTGTGCATGCTAGATGATTAGAGCTAAAACATTTAATCTTAGTATGTTAATATTTAAAATTAATATAAGTAAAAATTCTACTTTAGACATTCATTAAGACTAAATGTAGCTTTGGAAAATTTCTGCTTATTAGCTTCAAATAAAAACAATTAAAATTATACAATTTTAGGAAGTGATTTTAAGCTCTAAAATTTATTCCCATATTAAATAGATATTTATAAGAAACTGATTTTAAATGAAAAATTTATAACTTAAATGGTTGAATAATATTTAAATCCACTTTATCCAGCAAATTTCATAATTAATAATCATATCATACTTCTGACAATTAAGTTAATTTAAGCCAAAAATGAAAAATAACTATTTTCTGAAGAAGAATAAGCAAAAATTGAAAAAATTGATTCAATCTTAAAAAACGAATAACTTAAAGAAAAATATTTGACTTTCAACAATATGTTAAGCATAGAGCTAAAACACGATTTATAATATATGGTCAAAATAAACGAAATTATTTCAGAATATCTCAATCAAAAAGAATGATATTTTTTAATAAATATCTATTTTTTTAATTTAAAATAATTATTTAATTAATTATTGAAAGTATGCAAATATTCATTTTGTTTTATCTTTATAAAATAAAATATTATCAAAAATTAAATCAATTATTTTTTACTGGAATATTTTTTTTTTAGAATCTTTAATCATAACCAATTTTTTTTATTTAAAATATACAAGTTATTTATAAATAGTATAAAATCCTTTGCATCACCATCCTCTCTTAAACTTATGATTTTAAAAGCAGATAAAATAATCCTATTTTTGAAGAATATGAGGGGTGATATATCAAAAGGATTTACTATTAATTTTTATTAAGTAATGCTAAGGCTTTAGTTATATTAATTAATTATATTATTAAAATAATATAAAGTTAATTTAAAAGTAAAACATTATTAATTTTTTATAATATCATTTAAAGGATCGATATAAATAAATAAATTAAAAAATATTTATAATAAAATTAATTTAGCTTTTGAATGATTAAAAGAAAAAAATAGATGAAGATATTAAAAATAATATAAAAATTAAATTAAATAAATTTTTTTTTATTTTGTGTTTTCTAAACTAAATGGATTACTAAACAAAAATAGATATATAGATATATATATATCTTTTTATACAAATAAATTAATCTAATTTATAATAATTAGATTTTATATAATTTTAGCTAAATTTGTTAAGTGAATAAGACATTATTTGAGTTAAATTATCTATATTTTAATAATATAGTTAGGAATGAAAAAAAAGACTTTAAATGAGAAATTTTATTTATTTATTTTATTTATGATTTTTTACACAATTTAATTTATATTTAGTAGTTAATTTAATTTGAATAAATTTTGTGTTTGTTTGTTTGTTTGTTTGTTTATTTGTTTATTTTTTTATTATTTTGTTTATTTTATTATTGAAATATTTTAAAGTAGAACTTTTATTGAAGCTAATAACTAAAATGGAATCAATTGAATAATTGATCTGCAACGAATTTGTTTAACCTATTTTGATATTCGTTTGGAGGAATGGTTGTTATTGAAGATCCGTAAAATGTTGATTTAATGGAATGAACTAATTTTTGAGTTGACCTTTATTAATAATCAAAATTAATTAAATATATATAAAGTAATAAATAAATTATTTTACTTATATTCAGTAAATATATTCAATACTCCAAAGTAATAGACCTATTTTTCATCTTCAGAGAGTATTCCAGATTAATACTTTTCATAAAATCTTAGTTATTATTCTTACTATATACTGTCATTAGAGCATGAAAATTTAAGAGTATCATCCCTATCTCTATATAAAACTGTAGAGTTGCTGTTTGTAAGAATATGGCTTTCTTTAAACATGCTTAACCTTTATTAATCGACTGATATATTATGTATACCAAGCAAGAGGTAGTAGTTAATGATATTCAACTTAGAAAGAAATTATGTATCAGATTTTAGCTAATTTAATAGTTAGATCTTATCTTATTAATTTAATCCAAGCTTTACCTTATCTTGCTTAAGGTCTAGTTCTTTAAGAGATGTATTTTTATCAAAGTTTGATAAATTGTTTCCTCTCCTAGCAGTCCTGTTATGAGTAGAACCTTTGATTTCATATCTAGTGTCTATTTCTAATTCAGTGGAAAATATATTGTGAGTAACAAAAAAATAAACTGAATCACCTATTTTCTTTCCTTTCTTATTAAACTTTATCTTATAAAGTCCATACAATCTATAAATATTTTTATAAATTAAATTAAATAAATATTATTTATTTTTTAATTTATTGCTAAAATAATTTCAACTGCCTCAAAAGGCTTTGTTTAAACTGAATAAATTACCTCATTAGAAGTGTATGAAAATTATTGTTAACATAGGTAAAGTAAGGCTGAAGTATTTTTTTAAAAAAAAACTATGCTTATTCTTTTGATATTGCCTTAATAACAAACTTAGCGTCTTCAGAATAATACTAGAACTTGTTAAAATTTTTTGTAGAAGAGCAAAGTTCTGATAAGTTTGTCATGTTTCCTAGAATTAAGTTACCTAGTAGAGTTTCTGGCCCTAAACTCTTAGAATATGTTTATTTTGTAATGTTAAATAATAATCTGATTCTTTCAAAAATTTGAGGGGCATAATCAGTGAATCTGTATTAAATAAAATCTGAATCATTTTGAAATGTTCTTATCAAATCTTTGTTGTTCTTTTAAGTGAAATATTTAGGATCTATCTATCTTGGCATACCAACATTTCTTAAGTCTTTGATAGATCCCCTAATACCAATCATCATCACAAATATCAAATTCCAGTTTTCGTGTCCTACATAAATCTTATTAAATTTTTCTTATTTTTTATATTCAGTAATACTTTAAATTAAATCTTACTGAAATATTTCTTCTAGTCTTTGTATTCTTTTTATGGCATGGTATATTACTAATAGTGACTTTCCTCTACTATAAAGATTTGCTTTGTTAAAATTCAAATTTCTAAAGTAAATCTTTGTGAGTCTCCATACCATACTATGAAAATTTATTGAATGTCTTTGTAGTGGTCTAGATACTCGATATTCTTTAATTAAATCTTTAATCTGCTATTGTTTCTTCATAATCATCTCTTTATGTTGCATGGAGTGATATCAACCCTCCTCCTTTATTCGCCCTTGTTTAAGAATTACTTGTTTTTCTTGTAAATTTAGTAGTTAGTCCTTCATCTTTATTAACCAAATTATCTAAATATATTTCTAAATCTTCAGTTTAGTTCAACAGCATTCTATTAAGTAATAAATAGAAACAAATTATAATTTATTTAAATGAATTGAACAAGAAAATAGCTTAATATAAATTTATATTATGAATTAATTACTTTATTTTTTCTTCTAGCTTGTCTAAAAAATCTAAAGCTTTGCTTTCCTAAATTACTTAGTGATCTTTATCATTTTATTACTAAATTTATTACATTTCAAATTTTTCTTAAGCTAAACCATTAATATCTTCCTCTTCTTCTTCGGGATCTTAATCTCCTAGATGAATTTAAGTAGGTTGTAATATACTTAGTGGTCCTTAATAAGTAGAACTCAAAAAAGAGTTATTTATGCACGAGTTTTGTTCATGATGGAAAGATGTTAGAAAAAGAGTAGACCCATTATTAGGATTATTATTATTTACATTGTTATTGATAAATAAAAGTTAATTTAATGAGTTTGGTTACAGAACCTTTTCACAATTTTCAACAGATAAAAGATGTTTTTATTGCTTGCTTACATCGAAGCCATTAACTTAATTATTAGCCTATAATTCTACCTCCCAGTTATCTTTTTATTACATATTATTTTCAAAATCCTTTAGAGAGATTAAGCAGTTAGCTACTTCATTATTAAGTCCTTGTAAGTAGCTCGTTGTCTTTAAATTGCATAATTCACTCTTCTTTATTTAATTATTAACTTTGTTTTAGATTTTTTTTTGCTCTACATTAATTTATTGTATTTATTTTTCCATCATTTCATCTATATTTTTACATAAAAAAAATTAAAAATTAAAATCCTCTGATAAAACTCAATCTTATTTAAAAAAGAAAAAATAATAAATTTAAAAAATGGAAAGAAGGTAGGATTTTTAAATCATTATAATGAATCTATCTATCTGTCAAGCTAAATAATCTAATTAATTAATTACCTCCATTGAATAACTCATACCATGAAAAAATATGTTAATGCCTGGAGTATGTATTAAAATAGTCTTCGAAATCAACAAAGCCTTTTTATTTGAAATCCAATTTTCTAAATACACTTTCTATGTACTGTTTTTGGGGATACACTGTTAATATACCAATTATTGATGATCAAAACAAAAGCGAGAAAAATTAATTATAACCACAATTCTTTATTTATTTATTTAAAAATAAAGCTTGCAGAAATAAATTACCAGTGGATCCTGAGAGGTCTTTCCAGACAAGAGAGACTTAATTAACCATTTACTCAATATCATGCAAATAAATTTTGTTACGATCGCTTGAATTCATAGTTATAAAGGAAAAACTTAACTATGCCTTTTAAATATCTGTTCCATTAATGATAGTATCTAGATATGACAAATAATCTTCAAAACTAACCTATTTTGAGATTATATTGAAAATCAGTATTAATTTAACATATGAAATCATTGATTAATAAAAGTAGATATATTAACTAGTATTTTTAAAAGCATCCTATGCATATTTTAAAACTTTTCTAAAATGGCAAAACACTAGGAACTAAATTGCTTCAAATATGTATTAGTCTTTTTAATGATTTTAACAAGAATTATTTGCAAAAATCTTTTATTACCTTACCATCTTAATCTTTGTCTATTAACAAAAATATGCGATCTGATATGTACGAAAGATGATCAATCCCTAAAATTCCCATGCTCTTACGAAATAATTTTTAGTTTAAAATACCTTTTTACGAAATGCTATCAAATCTTTTCTTAAAAAATATTAATTCTTAATCAGTAAATTTATACTTCTACATCAAATACTACATATTTTGACTCTATTTAGACATTTTTTTAGATGAATTATCTCTCCCATATAGTGACTTTGTTTAAAATTATGATTAGTTTTTATCTGTATACGTGTATTATCCTACTAAGGGTGCAGTATATGTTGTATATTTAGGATTTGTTTTAACTGTTTGTGTGAGGTCATAAAAATTAGTTTCATTATTTATATGCTTATATTGTTGACTATGAATTGTTTACTAACTTTACTCATATAAATTACGCATCCTGTATATTTTTATAAGATTACTTTTTTACAATATATATCTTTTTAATTTATTTTCTAATTAAGTATTGTGTTTTAATAAGACCAATACAAAATAACATACAAACATACATCATTCAATTCTTTCAATTAATGAATTTTTGCTAATCTTAATTCTCTTATCCAGCCAATTTTACTCGCTATTTGTAAAATAAGTTCCTTAATCAATTAATAATTTTTTAATCAGCATATTATTACAAGTTCTGCATTAAAGTTAATATAAAATTTTCTTTTATTATGCAATATTTACTTGTTCATGTATTTATTTAAATTTTTTTACTTTGCTAAGTAAATTAACTATTACTGGAAATGAATTGTCTGTCTTCTATTTTAAAAATAAAACATAAATAAATAAATATACGTCTATTTTCATAATTTTGTGAATAATAAATGTGCATCTTAAATCTAAAATTACATTCATTTATATGTTTTTTAATGCTTTGAACTTATTTCATTCTAAAGAAAGTTTACTAAACTGTTGCTCTTTTTTAAATTATTATAAGAAACTATAAAGTTTAAAATACTAATTATAGATTTAAATTTATGTTATTAGAATAGAAAAATAAAAACAAACAAAATGTTCCTATTAAAAATTAAAGTAGATATTTTTATAAGTATTTTGATGAAATTCTTGAAAGAGTTATTATAAAAATGTATTTTTAAATTAAAAAATAGAATTAATTTTATTTGAAAATAATTAAACTATTAATAATATGATATTCTTATACTTAAATATAACCTTTCAAAAAAATAATATCTTTTTTAAAAAATCAAAGCCTTTTTAAAAGTAGGGTTGGGTTGAAAAATCTTTATAAATTTTTTTGTGATTTCTGTTTAGATTATTTTAAATAAAAAAAATTATTAAATCTATTTATTTTATTTCTTACCCTCTATTTTATAATTGAGGTTAACTTTTATGCAGATCTGTAATTCAAAATAAAATTAAATATAATAAGTACTATATTCAATAATTAAATATTGCTTTTAAGAATATTTATTTAACAATAATATTTTTATTTTTCAATTTTTACTTGATATTTATTTTAATTTATTGAATATATTTATTTTGTGATAGAAAAAATGTGTATCTATCTTTCTATTAAGGTTTTTATAGTTTATTTAATCTTTACGAAATCAATTTTTTTCTATTTGTAAATGTAAATAGACTTATATATTTACATATACTTTACGTTAAGGCTTTCTTTTTAGCCATTAATTTTTATCAGATATAAAAGAGATGTTATGCTATAATCTAATTAAGATATATGTATAATTTCCTTAGATTATTTAATTAATAATTTAACATTTGAAATTGTAATTTTTTAGAAAAAATATCTAAGCATATAAATCAAAATTATAAGAATCAATTAGAATTAATAAAATAAGTATAAGAAAGCTTTTAATGGGCTCTAGTGCTGGAAAAAATAACAATTCTGATAAAAAATTAGTGAGTGATAGAGATGCTAACTAAAAGAATATCTTAAAAAGCTAAAACATAAATTAAAATAGTGATAGCTAATGGGATGACGTTCATGGAAATGTAATTTGTTTATGCAAATCGAAAATAAATCTACATAAATCATATTTGTAATCAAAATAGTTTATTCTACCTCAAAAAATGGAACTGAAGAAATAATGCATTGAAACACAACAACAAGTAGGTAAAATTTGTACTTTTAATTGAAGAAATATATTATTAGAAAACTCAAAGGTTTATTGAATAATTTCATTATTTACCTTTCTAAAATAGATGAGGCTCTTAAGAGATTAATAGAACTAAATATAATACCAAATGACAGTAATACTAAAAAAAGCATAAGATAAAGATACCCATAAAAACATTATAGCTATCATTAATAACCAATTAAAGGCATTTAATCAGAACGTATTTTGAAGAAAAAAACAAACTAAGATGATAAAAATTAGGTTAAATTCTTTGGGCCAGACTAAATTGTAAGAAGAAACAATTCTAAACCTTCCTTATAGTGTTTTACATAATTACATAATTCTCCTTAACATTAAAAGGAAAACATATGCTAAAATTATAAAAATAACAACTAATTAAAGCAAGAAAGAATGAATATATATTGTTCTCCTAGTAGAAACTACTAATAAGAAAAGGGATTTTTGCCTCAAATTAATTAAAATAAAAACTAAATTTAAAGATGCGAGTCTATGAGTTATATTATAAAAACATGAAGTAAAAGAAAAGAGGCCATTAATGAATAAATAAGTTAATTAATAATTAAATAATATGTATATAACTCAAACAAGGATATGAATATTCTCATAACAAATTTGAAAAAAAGATGATTAAATAATAAAATTTACTATTTTAACCAATATAAAGTTTATTATATTAATATATGTAAATAATATTTTATTATTGCAAACAATTTAAGTTATTTGTAATATTTCTATTAAAATTATTATTTCAACAAAATAAACTACTTTGCAGAAATCTATTTGTTCAAACAAATATTAAAAATGTTTAGTTTTAACATTAAAGTTAAACCTTAATATTTTAAATTAAAAATTATCTAATTCAATCGTAGTTACTTGCTTATTGAAAATTTATAAATAGTAAATAATAGATTCATTTTATATTTATAGAAATATAATAAATAAATAAATAAATAAATAAATAAATAAATAAATAAATAAATAAATAAATAAATATGCTAAGAAATGATTAGTTTTAAATGAAAGTTATTAGAATAAATTAGGGATATTTAGTTTTAATTTAAATTTTAAACATGGAGTTTAAATATTCAATACAATATCTTGATTTCGTGATTAGATCCTACTGATGATATAAAAAAGGAATAATAGTCTTTATAGATAGAAAGATTTTAAATATTATCAAAAGTGCATTATGTATTTTTTGTTGTATTTAAAAACTATAAAGTTTATTATTGTGGATCATAAATTATTTAAACTATATCTCCTGTGTCAAACTAAATTCCATTTATATCACTCCAACTTTACCTGTAATTATCTACTAAATAACAATTTCCTTTGTTTCCACATTAATAAATATACTTTGAATCAGAGTCCACACCAAGTGCATTTTAAAATTTTTAAAGTTTTTGATTTTAAGTTGATATTATACCTATTGATATTCCTAATTTTCCTTTTTTGAATATTTATAGAGTTATTTCACTAATTTTTTATGAAGCTAAGGGAGGTTCTATAATACTAAAGCAAGGTTCATAAGACTATGAAGTTACTGCAACAGCCTCTTTTCTAGATAGAGATATTTTGAAAGGATTTATTTGGGAATCTAAATTTGTAACATAATTATAGCTTACTTTATCAAAGCTTAGCCTTTTTGATAACTTTTCTAGTAGTTCATTTATGTCGTTGAGCTCAATTTTAAGATTATTTTATAAAACAAAAATTTCTTCACCAAGTTATTCTTAATCATTGAATTTATTTAATATATCAGTAATTGCAATATTCTTTATTGATAAAGGCTAATTAGAAAAGACTGAGTCTTAGATTTATTAAAAATATTCTACTCTTTAGCTTTCGAATTGAAATAAATTTGCATATCTAAGATTTATGAATTTTAAATATCTTCTAATTTATGCAGTAACATCTTCTATGTACTTTTCGAATATTTAAAATATACTTTCATAAGTCATTTCTATCTTACTTTATAAAGAGCTGTTTTTTTGGTTTAGAAAACTTTCATAACTTGAATTATTCTACATTTGGGATAGATCGTCTAAACTAATTACATTACATTTACTGTGAATATTATCTTCTTTGCATTTACTGCATATAAATCTCTGTTTTTATTCACATTTAATATCTAAACATATATTATTTATTATCTAATTTTAATGACATTCACAAAAATCTACTTAACATATTTAATCCATTTTTAGTTTCTTAATAATTGTTAATTGTAAGTTTTTTAAATATATTATTTGTATGATTGATTTAGGATGAATAAAAATACTTAGTTTTGAAATAATTTAAAATATGCCTTTAAGATAAATCGCTAAATAAAATAAGAATGTAAAACAGTAACTAACTTTATGTTTAAAACAAGATATTAAATATTAAAAAAATTATGATTCTCTAAAAAAAATATTTTAGGCTTACAATAATTTAGCAAGTCATCAATTTTAAAATAATTTATATATTGCAAATATTTTTAAATTGTAAAAATTGCTGTTTATCATTTTTAGTGAATTCAAAAAATATTAAAAGAATGTGAATTTTTTTAGATAATATTTGAATCTTTTCAAATTAAAAAATAAAAACCAATAATTTTAATCTTGAATTTCATCAAAAAAGCTGAAACAAAATTTAATAATATATATTAATAGTAGATTAAATGGCTGATTATAACAAAAGTAATGATGATTTAACAGAAAGCATTGATGAATTAGAATATGGAGGATATAATATAAAAGAAAATACCATATCTAATATTATAGATCTTTAAGATAAAATAAAAATCAAATATATTAGAATTATGCATAGCGAGGCCCTCTAAAGTATGATTGTATGATAAATAGCTGTTACTGTTTTAAATTTAATTAATTTTCTAAATACTTATTCAATAGGGCTTATCAAGATTTACTAGATTAGAAGAGATAAATTTGAGTTCTAATAGTATTATCAAAATAGATGGTTTAGATGGATTGAGTAATTTAAAAATTCTCAATTTAAGTTGTAATAAATTGAGTGAATTGTCTGGCTTAGGATCACTTTTTAGACTTGAAAAACTTATCGTGTCTCATAATAAAATAACAAACCTTTCAGGATTATAGCAAATGGCTGGGCCAAACTATAATATAAAGTCTATTGATTTAAAAAATAATAAGATCAGAGATGTAAAACAGCTCTAATATATCCAAGATTTGTCTAAACTGTAAGAATTGTGTTTTGAAATGGGAAAGAATTCAAACCCACTATGCACAGAAAATCGTTCTATATATCTTTAAGGTCTCACTTCTATGAGAAATTTTTAAAGGATATTAAGGATTGATGGATAAACTCCAGAAAATATTATTGAGAATATAAAATATTAAGGTCAAATTCAGAATTAGAATTTCAATAATTTAAACAATTTAGCTACTCTACCAAACTCAGGTAATCAAGGCAGAAATATATAGATAGCAGATTAAACTAACCCTAAATCTGGTAATTTAAATGCCTTTCCTTCACAAGGCTAAAGACCAATTAGCAATCTCATGAGTTTTAACGATTAGAGTGCAAATAAAAAAATTTCAATTGGAGATTAAGGAGATTTAATTGGGGATAACTTTAAATGGAAAGGAGATCATTTATAAATGCAGTAAGATTTGTAGTAAGCTCTTTAAATTTAAAAGGAATTGATAAACAAGTATGAGGTCAATGACAAATTTTGGGAATAAAAATATGAAAAATTGTAAGAAGAATTCAATTAAGTTCAAGAAGATAATAGATAAAAAACTCAAAAAATTAAGACTATGAGTAAAGAAAAGTAATTTTTAGAAGAGTAAATTAGTGAGATAAAAAATGAAAGGATAAGGATGCTAAATAAAACAGAAAAAAGAGAAGAAATTGTTGAAACTCTCCAATTACGTATAACAGATTTAATTAAAGAGAATGGATAATACCATAGAGAATTAGCAATTAGGTAATATTTAAAAAATTTAGTTTATTTCTTATTAATAAATTTTATAGATAAGACTAAATGGATAAACAAGCATCAGAAATTAAGAATTTGTAAGAAGACCTAATTGAAATGAGGGGAAGACTTAGAGAAAACGAGTAAACACTTAGTGAATTCCATAAAAAGGCTCTTGATCAAACAAACTCTTACGTTACGAAGTACGAATAGATCAATAAAAAATATGAATAAGTTTTAGAAGAAAATAAAGTATTTATAACAATTTTTATAAGATGATATGAATAAATTTCAATGATTTTAATAATCAAAAGCTAATGGCTAATGAAAACGGGATGCTTAAAACAAGAGTATAAGAATTACTGGAGATTACAAGGGAATGGGAATACAAATATGAGAAGAAAGTAGATGAATTAAACTATAAACACGAGTAGTATATTAGAGACATATAATAAGAATTTTCATAAAGGGAACAATCTTAAGAAAAATAGCTAAGAGAATGGGAGAAGGTCAAAGAGGATGAATTCAAAGAAAATATAGAGCTTATGGAGCAAGAATTTAAAAAATACTTTTTAGAAAATAATAATAGATTTAGAGAACTCTCAAGAGCCTATGAAGAGAAATGCAAACAAGAGCAAGATTCCCGTCATTTGATGAAAGTGGCTGTTTAGAAAAACTCTGACCAAGCTAATCTTATTGAAGAATTGTAGAATGCTTTGCTAAAGGTAAAAAAAGAAGTTTCTGAAATTGTAAATGAAAGAGATGTAGCTCAAAAAGAGCTGGACACTAAAAAATCTACTTATATGAGAGAGGTTTCAAGCTTAGAAGAGGAAAGAGATAGGTATTTATTTATTTATAATAATGATTTTAGAAGATAATATTTAACACAAATTTATATTAAAAGGTTATTGCATGATAAGCTAAGCTTAGAAAGACAATTGCAAGATATTTAAGACAGAAATATGACTGATAACCTTGAGCTTGAGAGGTTAAGAGCTAAAATGAAATACTTCGAAAATATAGAAGAAGATTTAGAAAAATGCTAAGAAACAGTTTAAGCTAAGAATATTGTAATGAAATAAAATAAAAAATTTTAAGGCTAATTTATATTTTTAAAAAGATGTTAGAAGATAAAAATGATACGATAGAAGACTTGAAAGATCAGCTAGAACAGTCAAGATAGAGAGAATAAGTTTTAAATGATGATTTTAATAAGATTTAAAAGAAGTATGAGAAATAAAACTAAATCATAGAGGCATTAGAAGAATAATTATAGCAAGCTAACGAGGAGGCAGATAGTATTAATGAAGAAAAAATAAATTTATAAAAAGAGTTGGAAAAGAAAAAAGAAATTATTGACATATTCTAGAATGAATTCAATGATATAAAAAGTAAATAAGATAAAGAAATAAATGAAAAAAGTAATAAAATTCAAGATTTATTGTATTTGCTAGAAGAGTGCAAGTAAAATATTCGTAGAAAAGATGAGCAAATAGCTGATCTGCAAAATGAAATTAAAGATAGGAATGAGAAATATGAAGTTTAACTTATAATGTTGCAAAATGAACAAAAACAAAAAGATAAAGCTCTAAAAGAACTTCAAAATAAATACGATGAAAGCTAGGAGGATATGAAATAGCTAATAATAGAGTATGAAAAGCAAAAAAAATAAACATTGGAACAATTCTAAAAGTTATAAAAGAATTTGTTTAATTTTTGACATTAAAACTTGTATAAAAATATTTTTTGTTGATTGTTAAATATTAAAAAACACTATTTATCTTATTGCTAAAATTCTTCATTTTTATTTAAACATATTTATTTTCCATGTAACCAAGCATTTATTTTCTAAATCAATTCTATGAAATCAGTCAAAAAATATCTTATGCTTACAAAAAAAAAATAACAATAAGTTTTAACGATTATTAAATATTTACTGCATCACCTGAGATATGTTTTTTACAAAAATAAATTTACTTATTTATTTAATTTCTTGAATAAATTCAATACCTATTTTTACATTATTGTTAAAGTTATCCAGACAGAATTTGATAATTCTTTCTGTTTGGAATTATTAAAATTTTATGGTTTAATAGTTTTAACACTTTGAACAGGTTTTTCTTATAAAATTTACTATCAATAATTGTTAAACTTAATTAATTAGCATTAAACAATAGAAGTTCTATACCATATAAATTATTTTGTTAGCTTAATAAGTAATAGACTTCTTCAAGGAAAAAATGAACGAAAATTAATGGATGATTAGCCAAGCCCCTTGCTGGTTTAAGCTTAGTGATAAAAAAGAGGAAAAGAAATTGTTTTATAAAGGAAGGATAAAAGAATCAACAGCTAATTCTGATCAAGTATTGGTTTGTTATGAAAAAGATGAATCAAACTAGGGAGAGGTTATGATATCCAAACAAAATATTTTCCAAAGAGATGAAAATCAATAAAATTAGTTATTTGAGGACATGGTTAATATGGCAACATTAAATGAGTCTGAATTAATCATCAACATTTAGAATAGATACTCTCAAGATTTAATATTCACATATATAGGTCCTACTCTAATAGTTATGAACCCTTATAAAAAACTAGATGAGCAGTTTAGCCCCAAAGTTATTTAGTCAATTAAAGATAATTTAAATTAGCAAAAGTAGCTCTTTAGCTTATCTCAACAAAGTCCTCATATTTATGCAATAGCAGCTTTATCTTTCAAGAATTTATTTTAGAACAATAAAAAGCAAGCCATAGTCATTAGTGGAGAGAGTGGTGCAGGTAAATTTACATTTATTTTACTGAAATAACTAAACGCTTCTATTTATTTTACAAGAAGCATATTCTAGCAAATGCTTAGTATTCAATAAGCAACTTAGAATAAATTGTTTTTAGCATAATTTAAAATTGATTTTATGAATGATCATAATTATTTTTTTAATAAAATAGGTAAAACTGAAAATGCAAAATATGCTATGAAGTTTTTAACTTAGCTAAGTAATAATTAAGAATAGAGTTCAAATATATAAAAAAGTGTAATTAGTATCGAAGATCGTATTCTTTCATGCAATCCTTTGTTAGAAGCGTTTGGTAATGCAAAAACAGTTCGTAATGACAACTCAAGTAGATTTGGCAAATATGTTAAGATTTTAGTAAATAAATAGTAAAGAATAATAGGAGCTTTCATAACGAAATATTTGTTAGAAAAAAGTCGTGTCATTCACTTAAGTGAGGGAGAAAGAAATTATCATATATTTTATCATTTGCTAATAGGAGGAGACAAAAATATTATATAATAAGTCAGCTTAAGTGGAAAAAAGGTTGAAGACTTTGTTTATTTAAACTAAAGTAGTTGTAGAAATTTAGAAAATATGAATGACTAGGAAATGTTTTAGGGAATTTTAGATTCGCTAAGAAAAATGAATTTCTCAGATAATCTAGAGCTTTCAATATTTAAATTACTTTCAGCAATTTTGTATTTGGGTAATATAGAATTTGATGACAAAGAATATGATGTGAACACGCCTTGTAAAGTATAAAATGAAGATATGTTATAAATAGTAGCCACTTTATTGTCAACAGATAGCAATCAACTTAAAGAATCGTTTATTAAAAAAGCCAGACAAACTCCTGGTTCAATTATATATTCTCCAGTAACAAAAAATGAATGCATAAATAATAAAAATACTCTCAGCAAAGCTCTTTACGATAAATTATTTTCTTGGCTTGTAGGCAAATTAAATGATGGAATAATACCTGAAGGCTAAGATTTGCAGAATTTAAAAAATAGCGATATCTTAAATATTGGACTGCTGGATATTTTTGGATTTGAAAATTTCGAATTAAACTCATTTGAGTAAATGTGCATAAATTACACAAACGAATATCTATAATAGTTGTATATAGCTTATGTTTTCAAAAACGAAGAAAAGATTTTCATAGAAGACGGGCTTTCTAAATATCTTTCTAATTTGAGGTAAAAACTGTTTGAATTTTAATTAATTAATTTTGCTTACTAAAAAATATATGGTTATTCAAGTTAGTAAATTTTTTCTATCGAAATTGAGAAAAATTTTTTATTTTTTATAATTGCCAAAAAAATTAATTGATTTATATGTAGTTTTTAGAAATAAAAGAAAGCTTCATATGTTAAATAAAATTAATTATTTAGTTTTACTTTAGTTTCATAATATTTTATGATATAGTTACTAGGACAATTAAGCCATATTAGATTTATTTGATACTAACAGCGGAATATTTGCTCTTCTTAATGAAAGTTGCTTATTGAAAAACAGTACTGATACTACTTTTTTAACAAAAATAAAAGAATAAAATTAAAATAATAAAAAATTGATTTTTCCCAAGCTGATAAAATGTACTTTCACTATATGTCATACTTAAAGCAATGTTGAATACAATGTTGAAGGATTTAGAGAAAAAAACATGGATGAATTGAATTAGGAGATTTAGAATTGCATTTTAAACTCAAAAAATTAAGATATTTTGGAAATTTTTAGCTTTGAAGAACAGTCCAGTTAAGACAAAAGTATGAATAGTTAATAAGGAAAATTTGTTTCTAATAACGCTAAAAATAAGTATTTGTGCTCAAAATTTAAACAATAAATGACTGAACTTATGGGTGAGCTTAATTCTTCAGATGTACACTTTGTTAGATGCATAAAAGTAAAAAAATTTATTTAAAAGATTAAAATTATTGATCATTTATTATTTTTTTGTTAGCCAAATGAAGAAAAGAAAAAAGATCATCTTATTCAAGGCTATGTGATGCAGTAAATAAGATACTTAGGAGTTTTGGAGTCTATAGAAGTCAGAAAACATACATATCCAGTCAGAAAAACTTATCAAGCCTTCTTCATTTAATATAGGGTTTGCTCAGATGTTTTAGAATTTTCAAAAAGAACAGATTATTAAAAATTATGTTAAGAAATTTTAATTGAGTGCTTTAAAAGCGTTTCTGACAAATAAGTTTTATATGGATAGTCTAGGATATATCTCAAGCAGGAATTTGAAATTTAACTTGAGAAACTTAAATAAAATTGCATTAAAAAAAAACAAACAGCTGCTACTATATCCATCCAAAAAATATTCAGAAGGCTTCAGTTAGAAAAAAAACAGAGAAAGAGTATTCAAATTATAAGATCAATATTTAAATAAGTTTTGTTAAACCATTTGTATAAAGGTTTTGAGAAGATAAAATCTAAAGCTAAGGAATAAACTTTTATAAAATTCTATAAGAAAATAGATTATTTCTTTAAAGTTAATAAAGCAATCTCTTTTTATGCTATAAAAGAGTTTTATCTCAAAGTTAAAGCTGTAAAAAAATATTATTTTTTTTTAAATTAATTTATTTATGAAAAAAATAATAAAATAGGTAGAGGAAATAGAAAGGAAAAAATCTATTTATAGATAATAAGAAGACATAAAATTAAAGTAATAATCTTAATAAAATCTTACAAACTCAACTGATTAAAGCTCAAAAAGACTTTCCTAGACTTAAAATAATAGCAATAATTTGTAATCGAATTCAATGAACCACAATATTATATTAAGCGATCAATATGATAAAAACTTTTCCACAAACATGAGCAATTCAGCCTATTTTACTTCTTAAGTTGAACCAAATGGAGCAGTTATAGATTCTAACAAATTCTACTACCAAGATAATTAATAAAATCTCTATGTTACTAATTAGAACGTTGACATAAACAATTATAATACTAAAAATATCTAAGACTGGAATTAGTTTGCCTTTTAAGATCCAGACTAATTTGGTGATAACACAATTTTCATTCCAAGACCAACAGAGGAAGAAAATTAGAATGCAGAGAAATTGGCTAAACTGTTATCTTCTAACTCTCCTGAAACAATAGAAGAAATTGATGAAAAAGCAGATGATTGCTACTTTAAGCTGGAAGATATTGAAGTAGATTAATACCATGAGATTAAAAAGTTTGATATGATAGCCTTCTATAAACAACATTTAAATATAAGAAAAAATTATTTTGGGGTTAAAAAGGATGAAAAAGAAATACTTTCTTATTAAAAAAAATGTCTGAGCAAAGGTACTCTAATATAAGTAAACGATGAAGAGAAAAAGGCAGCCATTTCACACTTTTAATTCTTGCTAGAACTAATGAAATTAGAAAAATATGACGATTCTAAATTAGTATCTATCCACATTTAAGATTTGAATTTAGTCAGCCTGAAAAAATCGACTTAATTTTATAACGAAGTAACAACTCAAATCATAAAGTAGTTAAATAAAAATAAGAAAGAATCTGAAAGTTATTTAATTCTTTAATATTTGAAGGTCTTCCTGTATTGTTTTACTCCTGACGATGATTTTTTAAAGGCTTTAATGCATTTCCTCATTTTTTATTTATATGAAAACTAATGGAAAGATAACATGAAAATTAAAAACTACATACTTTATATAATTCCATCAATTATTAGAAAAATAGATTAAGAGAATCCAAGGAAATAACTATTTACATTGCTCATCCCTTAGTACGAAATTAATGCATTAATTCTTTAGAATAAACTTTGTCTTCCTATTGCTTTTTGTACAGGTAATCAAAAATAAATAAAAAAAATTTTATCAAAACTTAAAATTAATAAAAAATAGGTATAAGCATTTAAGTCTGTGCAGATTCTTGGGACACAGTGGAGTAATTAAAGTAAAAGATCATGAAGCAAGTATAGATAAATACTGACAGAATAAAACCGAATTACTTGCAACTTTTTGAGCTGCAATTTATAGAGGAAAATAAAACAATTGAAAAAATGCTCTTGCCTGATCAGTATATTTGGGATATTTTATATTTATAAAATCAAAAACAAATTTAAAAGGTTTAATCCATGAAAGAAAAAGGAAATTATAATTAATAAATGTAGTAGAAAGAATCTGAACAGTATATTATATCAATATTTATGATTAAAGTTTTATTTCCTTTTACTCTCTATCCAGACGACATAGCAGGTATAAGCCTTTAATTCAGCTAGGTATTTTTCGATATCTACGTGGGAAAATAAATCATAGATGAAGTAGAAAAAATTATATAATTAAGTGCTTTACTTAAGATTATAAATAATTGCCACTCAGACCAAGAAACTATGAACTCTCTTCCATTAATTATGCAACAAGAATCTAGACAAGAAGTGATTGGACCTATCAATAAGGAGTACGAAAGAATTAAAGGTCTTTTCAATGTCCTCCAAGCAAAATATATGTACTTGATGATTGCAAAAGATAATAAATACTATTTAGGTCTTTAAATCGAAGTGAAGTATATTCCTCCTGAAATAGAAATTTAGGATTACTAATGTAAATTGAAAACCGAGTCTGAAAACGAATTTAATTGCAGCTATGTAGAAGTGATATTAGTACTAAAACCAACCTACTTTTTTATAGTTACATCTGAAAGCAAAAAGATAATAATAGAATACTCATACTAAGACATAGAAAGGTGGGGAAGAAGCAAATATGATCTTTAAGATCACATCCTTATTTAGACCAAAGGAGGAATCAAACACTTAATACAATCAAAATACTCTGCTTAAATATTATTCTATTTCTAAGAATCCAAAAATTTAATGTAATAGGCTTATAATAATATCATTGATGATGAAAATGAAGAGAATAGACTTGCAAACAATCAATTAATTTAGTAATTTTTGGAATACTATTAAAATAACAATGAGCAAGAAAATTAATAATGAAAAAATTAATAAATAAATTTTTATATTTGTAATGATAAAAAAAGCAAGTACTAGATTTAATATATTTTTATGTTTTTTTGTACCTCTAATTTATCATTGATTTAAGTAAATAAAATATAAAATTCAAATTTTTTAAATTTAAAATATAAAAATAAAATAAAATTTTTTTAATTTATTTTAAAACAAGAAGGTTTTAATTAAGATTTTGTAAAAAAAAAATATTGCAAATATTAAAAGTCAAATTATTTCTACAGATATTTTATAATTAAATCAGAGTCATGAGAAAACAACTATTTTAATATATCTATTAATTATAAAATTATTTATTGAAATTGTTATTCTCAAAATTAATCAGCAAATTTTTTTTATTAGAAAAATTCTCTGATTAATAATAAGGAAACTCTTGGATGTTAATAAAGTATATATTTTAGTATGGTATTTTAATGTTAAATATTATTTATATCAAGTTTACTAATTTTTGCACGCAAAATTTGCTATTTAATTTATAATACTTAATTTTGATTCACAAATATTGATAATAAATAGATAGTTAGTTAGAAAGATAGATAGATTTCAATTAAAAAATCTAAAGGTTTTTACTTTATTTTATGAGCAGCTAAAATAAGCTTCCTAATTCTTCTACAAATTAATAATAGCAGGGAGGAAATAAAAACGCTAACAATAACCCAGTAAAAGCCAAAGAGGCAGATAGCACTTGGGTTATGAGCAACGTTAGATGCTGGTATAAGAAAAATAATAATAGAGAAGAGCAATACATATTTAGAAAAGCAATTATAGTATCAGATTAAGTAAAGAATGTAGGCGGACAATAAATAGTTAACATAAGCATTGAATAGGAAAATGGCTAAAATGCTGAATAGATTGAGACAAATGTTAAAAATTTATTTTAGAGAGAAGAACAAAGCCAAACATCATTTTACGACATGGTAAAAATGAGTGTTCTTAATGAGGCAGAATTGATTGCTAACTTAAAATAGAGATATGCATAAGACAATATCTTTACTTATATCGGCCCTACTTTAATAGTTTTAAATCCTTACAAAAGTTTGAAAGAATTATTTTCTAATCAAACGATTGATATGATAAAAGAAAATTTAAATAAAAACTTTGATTTGTTTGATCTTGAAATGCAATAGCCTCACATATACTCTATTTCTGCAATGGCTTATAAAAATTTAATTAAGTTCAATAAAAAGTAGGCAATAGTTATTAGCGGTGAAAGTGGTGCAGGTAAATTTTGTTTTGATTTATTTAGAAATATATTAATTTCATAAAATGATTTATTAAGGAAATTAAATACCAAAAAATACTTAAATAAATCTAAAAACTATTACTTACTTATTTACTTAATTAAGTATAAATCTTACCAATATTGATGTTCTTTTAATATTTTAAAAGGTAAGACAGAGAATGCAAGATATTCGATGAGATTTTTAACTTAAATTAGTACTCATGATAACTCAAATGAAAGCATCGAAGAAAAAATATTATCCTGCAACCCTGTACTCGAAGCATTTGGAAATGCAAAAACAGTGAGAAATGATAACTCAAGTCGTTTTGGTAAATATGTATAAATTGAAATAGCTAAAAAGAAAATAAATGGAGCTACAATCACTAAATATCTACTTGAAAAAAGTAGAGTGATACATCTAAGCTAAGGAGAGAGAAATTATCATATCTTTTATCACTTATTGGAGTCAAAAGATAATTAATTATTGGAAAAACTTCATCTTTTAAATAAAAAACCATCTGAGTTTTAATACTTAAGTTAGAGTGACTGCTACTCTGTAGAAACTATTGATGACACTTAATTATTTCAAGGAATTATTAATTCCTTCAAAGTTATGAAATTCGAAGAAGACTTGCAAAATACTATTTTTAAAATACTATCTGCTATTTTACATTTAGGAAACATTTAGTTTTCAAATTAATCATTTTCTGAGGGTTCATCACCATGCACAGTGGTAAATGAAAATGTGCTACAGATAGTCAGTAGTTTACTAGGTATTAATTTAGATGATCTTAAGAAAGCACTTCTTTATAAAACAATTGTAGCAGTGAATGAAGTATATCATAAACCAGCTGATGCAGTATAGTGTCATCATGCAAAAAATACTCTGAGTAAAGCACTTTATGATAACTTATTCAACTGGCTAGTTGATAAATTAAACCAAATTATAAAAAATAATCAGGTAAACTATAACACAACAAACACCTCTAATAACAATATGATTGGATTACTTGATATTTTTGGTTTTGAAAACTTTTAAGAAAATTCTTTTGAATAGCTTTGCATTAATTATACAAATGAGAATCTTTAGCAACTATACATTTAATATGTTTTTAAGAATGAAGAATAAATTTTTAAAGAAGACGGTTTAGAGAATTTCCTTTCAAATTTATGGTAAATTCCTTTTTAAGTTTTTTATATTTAATGTATTTTTTTTGGAATAGCTATTAGGATAATTCAATGATCATTCAAACTTTAAATAGAAGTTACAAGCTGCTTAACGATTGTTGCAAAACATAATCCAAAGACGATTCAAAATATTTATAGTCTCTTAAAAATGACTTTAAAAATCAATAAATATAAGTCATTCAATTTCCTAAAATGGATAATGGCACATTTTTGATAAATCACACATAGAATCCTGTTAGCTACAAAATTGAAGGATTTATAGCAAAGAATATCGATGAAGTAAGTTAAACCCTCAAAGATGTAATTAGTAAAAGTAGCAACAAATACATACCTTCTATCTTTGGTAATGAAGAATAAACATAATAAAATAGAGCAAGATTTTTAGGAGAGAAATTTAGTAATTAAATGGTAGAGTTGATGAAAGAATTAAATTCTTCAGATGTTCATTTTGTTAGATGTGTTAAGGTAAATTCACAATTAAAAATAACATTTGATTTATTATAGTTAATTTATAAAAATAGACAAATGAAGTTAAAAAAAGTGACTATTTCTTGGAAGGTTATGTATTGCAATAAATAGAGTATCTGGGTGTTATAAACTCAATAGAAGTAAGGAAAAGCACTTATCCCTAAAGAAGGGATTATTTAACTTTTTTTAAAGAGTATAGAGTTTGTGATGAGTAATTAGAAAAAAAAGCAATAGATTAAATTAAAAATTTTAAAGATGAATGTAAAGCTTTAGTTTCAAAGATGTATCCAAACTACAGTGACTCTCTTATTCTATTTGGTAATAATAAAATCTACATGAAATAGGAATTTGAAAGTGCTATTGATTAGATAAAGTATGCAGAAATAAAGCGTAAAAGGACTGCTTAAGTAGTAAGAATTCAGATTTATGTTAGGTACCTTAGATTCCATAAAAGGTTTTAGAAAAAATTAGAAGGAATTAAAAAATTAAACAATATTTTCTTTGCACAGAAGATTTTTAATATATATAATCATTGCTTTTAACTAATTAAGTAAAAAGCTAAAATTACTTAAGTAAAAAATCTTATTACCTTAACGTTAAAAATAGTAAAAGCATCTTTTACAAAGACTACATTTTAAATTCTTAAAGAATATAGTGATAAAATGAAAGAATTAAAAGAAAAAAATGAAGCCTAAATAGAGAATAATAAATAAATATTAGAGCAAAGTTAAGAAGAATAAAAGGTTAGCGAATCAACATGTGTTTCAAATTAATTTTTACAAAGATAAGATACTAGCATAAATGAAACTAATGCATCTTTGTTATATGATACTATAGCTGTTAATGAAATTTAAACTGAGTAATCATAAAGTAAGGTTAACACTTATAGCTTAAAAAGTGAAAAATAATAAAATTCTTAAAATGTGAATGCTTTTGATTTTTAGACTGGAGACTTAAGTCTATTACACATCCCAGAGAAACATACAAATGAAATTTATGTGAATCCTCCTGACTAAGAAGAAATAGAATCAGAAAGTCTTTTGCTTAAATTGTTGAATTCCTAAGAAATAGACGATAAAATAATTTAGTAAATGAAGCAAGTCTAATATGCACTTGACAAGGATTATCAAATTTAACAAATAGATGAGGAAGATATGATTTAAATAAAGAAATATAATTATATTGAATTTTACTCTAAAAGATTAAATGAGCGAAGCAAATTTTTTGGTAAGAAAACAACAGAAGAAATTTTAACATTTAAAAAGACATGCATAAAAGGAGGTAGCTTGATAAAGCTTCCTTCATCTGATATAGCTCATGCCCTTACACACTTTGAAATATTATTATTATTTATCAAAGAAACAGATACTATTAAATACTCGGTGACATAATAATACTAAACATAAAGTTCGTATAATGATGGATAGGAGTCTAGAATTTAAAAACTTTTGAAGTACTCTTAAAACAGGTCTTAAGAATTTAAAAATGAGGTCTTGACTTAAATTTTAAAATAGTTAAATGGTAATAAAAACGATTTATACACTCTCCGTCTTCTTCACTACTTAGTAGTATTTTGTTATTGCTTCAGAACTGATGAAGAGTATACTATGACTATGATAAATTTCTTAATTTTTAATTTAATGAAATTTTGGCACTAACATAGCACTATATTAAAATACATAGAATATGTGATTCCTACTTTGTTTCGCTCTATAACTTATTTAAAAGAAAGAGAGAATATTTACAATAAGCATGTTCTCACAGAAATGAAAATTAATGCTTTGATATTTTAATATCAAATAAAAGTTCCAATTACTCTTTCAAATGGTAATTTTAATTTTATTTTTTTAAAGCAATTTTCATTAATTTTTTTGTTTCGGTTTAAAAATTTTAAATATCATTTTACAAATTTTAGATGAAATTTGGAAAAATAAAGTTTAAAAAACTCATTTTTATTCGATTGAAAAAATTGAAAAAACAATTATTGAAAAAAATCCAATTGGTAATTTTAATTTTATTTTTTTAAAGCAATTTTCATCAATTTTTTTGTTTCGGTTTAAAAATTTTTAATATCATTTTACAAATTTCATCACTAAAAATTGTAAAAATAAAGTTTAAAAAACTCATTTTTATTCGATTAAAAAAACAATAATTGAAAAAAATAAGAGTTTTTCAGAGAATTGAATATTTCTCTTTTTCAAATTTAATTTAATTTAATTTAAAGAAAAGAAAACTTAAATTATTGCTTTAATATTTATTGCTTTTTAAACTTTATTTAGGGACCAGTTTTCTTGTGAATGTAGATCCATATGATAATTTTAACAATTTGAAATAAAAAGTCATGGAATAATTGAATATCAACCACCGTCGTCTGATCCCTGAATTATTTGAATTCTTCGAAATACAAACAAAAGAAAATTAAGTATTTGAAAGAATGCTTTTTCCATTAGAAGGAGTATGGGATGTTATTCATTTATAAGATACTTATAGAAATCAAAGTGCCTTTGAAACGAAAAAAAATTAAAATTAAAAGAAGACTTTCTAATTTATGTTTAAACCTATTTTTGTTTACACAGTTTATCCAAATGACGAAGTTGGTATTAGCTTACTCTAAAGCTAAATATATTTTGATACTTACATTTCAAATCTCGTTTATGATGATAAAAAAACTAACATACAGATGCTTTCACATTTACTTAATATATTAGATATTTCCAACATTGAAGATCCAACAAGTATTCTACCTTTAAGTTTTAGTGAAGAAGAGTCAAGGAGCATTTTTCAGCTTATTTAGGAGGAATACGAAAAAAATATAAAAAATAAAATGACTAGGCTCTAATCAAAATTTGAATACATATAATTAGCCAAAGATAATGTCAATCTTTTGGGATTAAAAATACCTATAAAATACTGTGATGAGCAAAAACAAACTAACGACCCTCTCAATTATTTGATGGTTTTAAACTCCTATTAGATGTCATTCTACGAAACTGCAAACAATAATCATCTAGTAATGCAATACAAGTACAGCTAGCTAATCAGCTGGGGAGTCCAAGACAAATTTATAAAACTGAATACTAAAGACAATAAATCTCATATAATCAATACTGAGTATGTTTTAACAGTTGTTTATTATTTTAATCAAGTCAAAGGGTTGGTAAAACAATAAGACGAACAATATTATCAATCTATGAAAAGCATATACTCTTCTATTAATACAAACTAAAGATCAATTTAAAGTGCTTCAATACCACAAAATATAAAAACGTCAGAATCTCTTAAACAATATTAAAAATTATATAGCAATCAACTATTCTCTTCTAGTTAATAAAAAAAATTTAATTGATTAATAAATGAATGAATCAATATTTTTCTGGAATAATGTTTGCTATTTATCAATCAATAAATAAATAAATAAATCAACCTAACCTTAATTTTCTATTGAATTTACAATTTATTTATTTATCCTAAATATCTATTTTTGTAGACTTTTTATTAATATTTACTATTTTTAAAAAAACAAATTAGAATGTATTTAATCCATTATCATTAATTAGATTATATTAAAAAAATGGTTTTTCTTAAATAAATATTGAGAAATGTTAAATTACTTTTGTCTACAAACAAAATGAAACTCATTATATTCAAAATTTATTGTCTTCACTTATCTGAAAGAATTAATTTTCTGAAAATAGATTTATAACTATATATTTATTAATTAGTTAAGCTAATATTACCTTAATTTTTAAAAAAAATACTATCTAAGATATTTAAATAAATAATATAAATAGAATTTTTCTAAGATTTTAAAATTTATTTTTGCCAATAGCTAATCAAAAATGCAAATCTTTATTAAAACAAGGTAATTTATTTTTGTATATGCGATTAATTTAAAAAATGATTACAAAATATTATTTACCTCAATAAGATTTAATTATAATTATTATTAATTAATTTTTTTACCTTTTTTTAAAAGATTTACATAAAAATTGTCATATAAAATGCTAAATCTTTTATTGATAACTAAAATTTCTAAATATAATTTATGAAACGATATCAAGATAGATAATCAATCCTTTTTATAGAAAATAATAATGATTTTATAATAGTAGATTTTAATAAAAAAATCTAAAAATTAATATCTATTTATTTAAACTTTATAGTCTTTTTTGAACAACTTTGCTTATGAATTCTTTTAAATATTTAGTAAGATTTTTTTATTTTAGTTAATTTATGATTTAAATAAAAATTGATATGATTTTTATATCAAACTCTATTTAAGCAATAAAAAAGATTAACATAAAAGATTATTTTTATAACACAAATCCAAAACCCAATAAATGAACAATAAAAGAATTGTAATTTTTATGGAAGTGTTTAGCTTCCAATTTTGATGGTTTAAAAAAGAGAAAAAAAAAATCTAAATTTCACGAATAACTTTTGCAAGATAATAACAAATAACATAAATCAATTTATAAATTTTTTGAATATCAATATTTTTCTGATAGAATACATGGTAATAAATCTAAAGATTAAATGATCAAATTAATTAATTAATAATTAGATTTTACAACAAAAATATCATACAATGAGCAAAATTTACACTCCTGTAAAAAATTTGAACTCTTAAGGAGACTTCTCAAGTTTTTCTTCAGTCTGCTTTGAAAGTCAGTCAAATTTTTAACAAAAATAAAATATTTTCGAATTTATAAATGATAATTCATGTGTGATAAATTCACTAAATAGTTAAGAAACTTAACTTTATTGTGAATCTATAAATTCGATTGATAAACCCTTAGAAAAAAATGTTAAATAGATCTTATCTGATATTGAATATGATGTTAATAAATGTCCTCATTTACACAAAAAACAATAAACTAATTAAACCAGGAAGAGTAATTTTACCTAAAACTGTATTTTTGCACCAAATGATGAGTTTTATAACATTTTTGAGAGCCAAAGCGCTGATCAAACCTATGAATATAGACTAGAAGATGTTTAATTATACAAAGAAAATGCAACTTAAATAATAACAATTTTAGATTTAAAGGAAAGACCTAATAATATACCTATTGATTAAGATAGTTTAGATTTAAAATTTGAAACTTCTTAGGGAATTTCATAAGAAATGTTTGCTCTAATCAAGGCACACACTCCAGAATATGTTTACTCAAATATTTTTTAGCTAAATAAGCGCAAAACTCTTTTAGGTTTTAAAAAAAGCTTTAAAGATATAATGACTTTTTAAGATTCCTCAATATCAACAACTAGCTTAATTGATTTAAACAACGAATAAGAAAGCAAGTAGGCAGTCCGTCATTTTTCTGTTTTGTTTCATCAGATGTGCTTAAAAAAAGATGTTGATTGTTATGCTTATGATAAATATTAAGAGAACGATCAAAAATATAAAGAGAAAATTGAAAAAGAAAAAAACATGAAAAAAATAGTTATCTAATATCTTCTTTAACTAGGAGAGAACAAAAAAGAGAGCTTTATTAATGAAATGTACACATAAGTGATAAAGTAGATGAGAAACAATTTACAGTAAGTACAATTATTTGATCTTCTCAATTATCTCAAATGTCTTCTCTTTTGCTACTCTCCAAATGATAAAATCCTATTATGCTTATTAAATGTGCTTCTAATTGAATTTCCGAAATAGAAAACCTGGTAAGACATTACCCCGGTTTTGAAGTAAATAAATACAGTAATTCCCGCGGTATTGAGAAGATTCTAGGATGATAAATACAAATGTAAAAAAACAGTCTCAATAAGTACATTATCTAAACCTTACCTAGATTTGATAATTAACAACAAATAACTCATGTTTCCAATCTTCTTTTCAACTGGTAAACATTTTTTTAAATTTTCTATATAGAAGAGAGATACTAATTTATTTCTAAAATATAATCATTTAAATTGAGTAAGATTCGTATTAATGAAAATTAAAACCAAAAATAATTTATTCATGACCACCTAAAATTGAGAAATTTTCAATTATCTTTTATTTACAATAAGGGATTCTATCTATCTATCACAACTCAAACCTTTTCGAATTTAATTATCGTTTATAGCCAAAAAAAAGGAATATTCAAATTAAATTAAACTGTAAGTAATGTAGTTCTAAATAATTTAATCAAAATTAGTAATACATCACTGTGATTAATAATTTCGAAAACCCCAAGTCTTTCAAAAGATCTAATAAGCTTTCTATTTTATTTCAGGATTTTAGATATCACTTTTACATTTAGAAATTAATTAGAACGAAACACAATTTACATTACTAAATTAGTTTTTTCCACAAGCAAACAAACACTCTTAGATTTTCAATCAAATACTATTTATTATTTATGAAATTTAAAATACTAAAAATAAATAATACAGAATTTATAGATTTTAATTTTTGTTTTATCTTAATTAAATAGGAAGCATTGTTTTAGTTCACATCGAATAATATGAAACCATCTTTGATCTAAAAACTAAAATTTTGTAATAACTAAAAATAAATTCAACAAGATTTAATGAAGACTAATTTATAATATATGATGTTGAAAAATTTGAAAATAACCTAACAAGGAAAATAGCTCTAGACTATGAGTATGTTTGGGACATTATGTTAGAGTGGGAACACATCAGAAACAAGAAAAAAATGTAAGGGAATGATGATTACTTTTAATTTTTAATGATTAAATCTATTGTTCCATTTTAGATGACTGAAAATGATTAAATATCAATAAAGCTTAACTTTAGCTAAATTTTTTACGATATTTACACTATATACCCTCAATACTTTTCAGATATTGAGAAATTAGCTAGAGCTTATGCTTTTCTTTAAAATGTTCTAAGATCTTCAAATATTGATTAAGAACTTCCTATTTTTTTCTCAGAGCATCAAAAAGATTAAATAATACCAATGATTAAAAATATTTATGAACTGATAAATAAAAATTACAACTAGCTCTAATCAAAATATAATTTTACCAATATTGGCAAAACTTCTATTTACTATGATGCAACTGAAATTACTGCAGAATATTGCTTTAACTCAGCTAAACAACATTATTAATAAAGTAGTCTTATATTTAAACCTACTTCATTTATTATATTAAATTCAGATTAATAGACTTACATATAATACTATTACAAAGACATTAAGCAAATTTCTCATAAAGATGAAATAAATACAATAATAACTATGAAAGATGAAACTGTTCACTAAATCAAATCAGAAAAGTCATTTTAAATTGAATATATAATAATGAAATACTAATAACTCTTCTAAAAAGATCAACTGATTCCTATAAACTTAAATTCAGACAATATCTAAAAATTATTATCAATCTGAAAAATAAGCAAAATCCTCTTTCAATTTAAAATACCATAATACTTATCTCATAATTAAATTTACTATTATACTAATTTATTTCTATATTTATATATTGCGTTCAACAAAAATTAATTTTTTAACTAATTTTTATCTAAAATTAAAATCAATCTTTTTAAAACTTAAGCAAAATTTTAAAATTAAAAAAAAAATATGAAATTTTATCGAATTTAAAAAATATTTATTTAGGTTTATTGTAAATTTTTCAAATAAATAATTTAAAACGTTTTAAAAGTTTTTTAAAAAACTAACTTTGTTTGAAGTGAATATGAATGGTAATTATTATATTCGTTAAGTTTTAATGGTAAATTAAGATGATTTATAATTAGAATCATAAGAAAACTTTAATAGCAATTAGTAAATTACTTTATATAAAGCATATCTAATTGATTATTTTTTATATTTTTACAATTTTCATTAATTTTATCAAATAAGTAACCATTCAAAAGTATTTATGAATAAAGGATTAGTCTCATAGTTAGATGAAAAAGTCTTTATCAAAACTGCATCCAATAATTTTGCAAATAAAAGTATGAAAAAGTTCAATTTATATGCAAAGCCTGTAAAAAATAACAAATCATCATTTCATATTGATCTTAGTTCTGATAACTAAAAATCTAAATTGAATAGCTCATATGACAATTAGAGAAATAATGAAAGCCTAAAAAGAAATACTCGATATAGTTCAATAGATAGACATACTCCATAAAATTAAAAAGAGGAGCAAAATGTAAATAAAGAAAACCTTTTGTCATAACTTTCAAAGAGAAAGCCCAGACCAATTAGTATTTTAGATCAATTATAAAATTTACCAGTAAGCGGTGGTTCAACAAGAAGCTACTAAGCAAATGATTAGTTGAAATAAACTCCAAGAACTTAAATGATTGTTTGCAACTAATGCAAAGAAACAATGCCTAGAGAATTATTCTTTAAACACTATGATAAGGACTGCAAAGGTTTTAGAGGGTAAATTTGCATTCCTACTAAATAAATAAGGCAATTAATTATTTTTGTGATAGGTACTCCAATTACACCCCATAAAATGTCAGGGAAAGCCTTAAAGATATCTTTTAGAATAATTCCTTTAATAAATTAGAAAAACCTTTGGATCTTCTTGAGCTCAAAAAATAAAAATTGATTTAAAGTATAGATAAAAGGCGGAGTAGTGCAAGCTATCATTAAGAAAATTAGGTAGATTTATAAGAGGGGAAAATAGTGTACAAGGCAAACACGGATAAGAAGTGCTGTCCTTTTTGTGAAATTTTTATAAAAGTAGAAAAATTTGAGGAACATATTAATGAATGTAGACTTTTTAGTATTGTAGATAATTTAAAATAAGGTTATTTAGATAAAAGTGAAAGCAATACAAGCGTTTAAATTGGATCAAGACCTCCAACTTAATCAAAAGAAAATAGAAGAAATTATTCTAAGCCTTAGTCATCACTTTCAGGAGGTGAAAGTGATTATTTGGAGGCCACAAACCAATTTAAGTAGATAAGGTAAGCAAAAAGTTTAGTAAAGAACAGAGTGAAAAAAAATAGTAAGATAGAATAATAAAAATAATTTAATAAAGTTTATGATAATTATTAAGATATCATATAGAAAAGGATATCGGATATAAGCTAGCTAAAGAGAGAAAGAGATGAATTAAGAGAAAACGTAAATATAATTTAGTTATATGTTATTTTGAATTTATTTTTAAAAGAACCTTAAAGCAATAAAAAGCAATTTAGATATTTTAAGAATAGAAATACAAGTAAGTTTTAGTATAATAAATATTTAGATTTAATCTTTATTGACTTTATAAATAGGATCTCAAAGACTAAGCTGCTTACGAAGCATTTTAGCATGGTCATGTATACACAAAAATAAATTATATTTTATATTGAATTAATAAAATTTTATTTTTAAAATAGAGGGTAAATAAATTTATTCAAAATAATACTCTCAATAATCTTTTATATGAAACTTAAAATAGGGAGTAAGATTTTTTTAAAAAGGAAGTATTTTTTTTTAACAAAAAATATTTTAAAAATAGGGAGTAAGTTTATTTTGATATTCATAAATGATTCAGATTAATATACATTTATTATTATGAACAATCAAATAGTGGGTAGATATTTCTTTTTAGTTTTCTTATTATATTCCTTAATTTAAAAAAAAAAAATCATTGAAAATAAAAATAGTTTATTGGGTTTAAAAAATTAATAATAATTATTTTTGTAATCTATTTTTTTAATTATAAGTGGAGAGTAACTTTGATTAATACTGAAGATTTTATTTTAAATTTTTGGCACTAAAAATAAATAGTTATTTGTAAGTATTTTATGATTATAGAATATCTAATATTTTTTAATTATTATCTAAAGTCTCATGAGTATTTGGTAAATTTTTTTAAATTAAATAAAAATTAAATTTTTATGAATTATTCTAAATAGCAAGTAATTTGATTATTATTTTGAAGAATCTTGATTTTTATATTTTAATTCTCAGTGTGGTGAATGTGAAGCAATTCTTTTGAAATACAATTCATTGATAAAGTAGAAAAACTAACAAATGCAAGTAAATCATTAATTTAAATATAAAAATTTACAAAAATTCTACAATAGGAGTTAAAATAATAGCAGAAGGATCTTATTGAATAAGCTAAGCAATAAGAAATAGAAGATTATATGTAAAAAACATAATTAAAAGGTAATAGTGTAGGAGATTCTTCAAGGTCTCCCTCTTAAAAAAAATAAGAATCTTTTAAATGAGTAAAATCAATTAATAAAGAGAAAATAATTTTAAAAAATTAACAAAAAAATGTATTAAAGAATAAAAAAATTATTTTCACTTAAGAATAATTTATTTATGAGTGAGATACAATTTTTAATATTAGTGTAAAACTTAAATATTTTAACTATTTATATTTAATTTATTTATTTATATATCTATCTATCAATTTATATTTGTAAATTTACTTAAAAGAGTTCAGGTTAAAAAATTTTACATTTTAAACAAAAAGAGATTATAGAAGATTATATGTAAAAACATAATTGAAAGGTAGTAGTGTAGGAGATTCTTCAAGTTTTCCCTCTTAAAAAAAAATAAGAATCTTTTAAATGAGTAAAATCAATTAATAAAGAGAAAATAATTAAAAAAAATAACAAAAAAATGTTTATTAAAGATGAAAAAATGAATAAAATTATTTTCAATTAAAGAATAATTTATTTATGAGTAAGATACAATTTTTAATATTAGTGTAAAACTTAAATATTTTAACTATCTATATTTAATTTATTTATTTATATATCTATCTATCAATTTATATTTGTAAATTTACTTAAAAGAGTTCAGGTTAAATTCTAAAAAATTTTACCTTTTGAACAAAAATGATTGCAAAATGTATATTTTTTTTAATGCTTATTTAATTAATAATTTAATTTTAAATTAATTTTTGGTTTTTATTAAAATTAAATACTTGATCTAAATTTTCATTTTATTTTTTTCAAAAAGATTGCTTGAAATTTATTTTGCTGAGTTTATTAAATTTCATCTATTTCTTATTTTATCTCTTATAAATGTTTATAAGACATATTAAATTTAGTCTTTTTTGACTGGCTTGGCTATAGCATCATCAAGCTGACTGATGTGGAAGGCATGTTCTTCTTTTACTTGTACTCCGTATGCACTGCAAGCAATTATATAAAGCTAATCAGATACTTCATAATTTTAAATTAATTGCTTTATTTGTTTACATGCTTCATACCCATTCATGATAGGCATATCCAGATCCATAAATATCATATCATATAATCTCTCTTTAGGATTATTTAAAATGTCTCTAACTTTAGTAACAGCTTCTTATCCATCATGGCATATATGAATATTTTAGATATGAAATAATTGAATTATCTTTTTTAAAACCATAATGTTAAATCCAGAGTCATCAGCTATTAAAATTTTTGTTTCTTCACCTTTTGAGTTAATCGAGAAATTATTTGTTTTATCAAGCAAAGCTTTTTATATTGATGCTTAGGGCTAAATATTCCCAGAATTTTATTTTAGCATCGTTTAAGAAGGAATTTAGGTGGGGAATAATGCTATTTAACTTTGAGTAGTAATTTGTTAGTTAATATTACCCTTTAATGATTAGATATCCATGTCTTAAGTAGCTGACGATTGGATTGTTGCACTGTTCATATTTCTAAGCTAAGCTATAGAACTTATATTGTTCATGTTGCTAATATTAATACTTTTTGAATCAGTTCTTTTTTCATATAAAGAGTAATTGTTCTTGGGTGAGTTTATTTTGCTAGGAACTTATAGAGGTTATTATTTATTGGAAGAATTAAGATTTATATTTTCATAAGATGACACAAAATTAGTAGATTGAGGAAAATTAAATACCTGCGCTTGTGTTTTAGGTACAGTTTATATAACTGGTTTTGATAAATTGATTTCAAATTCTGTTGTTGTTTTTTTAAAACCATCTGTTATTCTTCTCTATTTATTTAACAATATATTGCTTGGAATCTTTTCTAAAGGGCCACTTGAATTTATATCAATAGTTTTGTTAGAACTCTTTATTAAAGAGCTTTGATAGCTTTTAATCTTTGATTCTGATATATTATCAGATAGATACTAAGCAGGAGTATTTATATTTTGTTGAAAATGAAACATTTTCATTCCACCAGCAATGTCTTGCTTAATATAAAGATGAGGGATGTGATTATTAATCTGAGAAAGTATTCTCATGTTGTTGGAGTCTAGCTGACTTTGTATTTGGTCATTTTCTCCAAATTCTATGATATCACAACTTTCACGAAAATCTTTTTCCTAATGTATTTTTGAGTTTAAATCTTGAATGAGAAATGAAAATGAGCTGCCTTTTCCTTCTACAGAATCCACTTAAATGCCACTTTAAACTTAAATTTAGTTTCCGTTATTTTCTTTAATTATTATTGGTTGAAGAGGTCCTACCAGTTTGGCTAGGGAATTGGAAAGTGGTAAACCGATACCACATCCATTAGGATTTATTGAAGTGTCTTTGTGATCAGTTTTGTTAAAAATTTCAAATATCTTTTTAATATTACTTTTTGAAATTCCTATTCCTGTATCCGAGACTGTGACCTTTACTATTGAAGATTATTTGATTTACTGTGATTATGGGTTTGCTTATTCTAATCCTTGAGCTTCTAGCGAAATAGTCCCAAAATTTTTTGTAAATTTTAATGAATTAGAAAGAAAATTTAAAATAATTTAACGAATTCTATTAGGATCTGAGACAATAGTTTTAGGCACTAAATCATTTTTTTTTAGTTATAAATTAATATTTTTTATATCTGCATGCACTTTTATCAGCAAGAGACATTCTTCCAGTAACTCTATCAAGTTAAAAGAAATCGGATTAAATTTAAATTTATTTTCAGTCATTTGAACAAAATCTAGAATGTCATTCACCATATTTAACATGAGTTGATTCGATCTAAGTGATGGTTCAATAAATTCATTTACATCTGCTTCGTCTTCGCTCCCATCCTTTAGTTATTTATACAAATCCAAAAATGAAATTGAGCAATTTAGTGGAGTTCTGAGCTCATGACACAAACTACCAAACAATTACATTTTTCTTTTACTGAAATCTTCAATTTTTTCTTAAAATAACTCCTCCCAAAATGGCTCAACTTGTATTAACACAAGGCTATATTTATATAAAAAATAAGTTTTAATGATAAAAAATAAAAATTTTCTAGAAAAAAATCTACTTAAAAATAATATTTTTAAATTTTACCTTTGATCAACGGTTGGAGGACTATCATTATCTTCAAAATCATATTGAAATTCACATGGTATTAGTCTCACTATTAGTTGCTTTCCTTTATAAACAACTTGCATGCTTGCTTCATTATTCTTATATTGATAAAAACCTATATTCTTTGAACTATTAATTTAGCCAAGGAGAGAGTGATTTCTAGAATAGTTAGATTCTATTTATTCGCTCAACTAGGTAATCAAAATATTCCTAGAATTTGATTTCTTAACTCCACCGTATGTTCGAGTATCATCTATCTAATTATCGAACATACTTGAAATTAGTTAGCCTACTTTTATATTCCTTTGCTTCAGCTGAGGTGTAAAAATACTGATTTACTTTTTAATTTATTTCTTTTGAATGTGGTTATGGTGATTTTCATCAGGTTAAGATTAGATTATATTTTCAGTTTAGTGAATTTTAATTGAATCTTCATTGTGCTTTTAATTACAATTTGTTTTGTTCACTTCTGAATTCTATATGTAATTGGCAGAAGGAACCTTTTTTGAAAATTTACTCTTTATCTTACTTCCCTTATCCTTCTTAGTCTTATCTTTATCAATTTTTCCACCAGTTTAATGAATTTGATTCATTTCTTGTAAGGTGAAACTTATAAATTAATTTTCTGATTGGGGAATATGATTTTCTTCTAAGTATTTATCTTATGCACTCTTAGAGATATCTAAATTAGCCTAAATATTGCTTGTCTCATCGAGATTTTAATTTGTAACAGAGTTTGATTTCAAGCAAGAAATTGATTCATTGTTTTAAATGTGTTTTTCATCTATCCTAGAAATATCACTAACCATGGCTTCTTATGTTTTGTTGAGATTAATTTACATGTAAGATTTATCAGTAAACTTGTTTTCTTCATCTTGGTTATTTTTTTCTTACAAAAATCCATTTTATTCCTAATAATGAGCTAATTTCAATTCAATATTTGATTCTTAATTTAAATTCCTAATATCTTAGATATGATTCTTTTCAGATTATATGAATGGAGAAGCCTACTCATCTTGAGAGCCTGTATTATTTTCAGAATTGCAGTACTTGTTTACCAAATTACTGTTTACATTTTTATTGGTTCCATTACCATTCTTAAAATAAGTGTTAGCTTTGAATGTTAATGAATTTATCATTTTATTTTTTGATTCTAAAGTTTATTGCTTGTTGAATTCTATTTTATGTAAAAAAATTTTATAAAGTTATTAATTTTTTAAGTTAATTTACTTATTTGTTCTTTGTTTGAAAGCCTCATATTTGAATTCCACTACTCAAGAGGTACATCATTAATACTTCCTCCGAATTTTCCTGTGCTTTACTTATATCTATGATCCTAGCCTTCTTAGCTTTTATGAGATTCTTTTTTTTTAAATAAATTTCTTAGCTTATGATTTGAAATATTTGATATTTAAGCTTTCAAACCTCTTAATATTAATTTAGATAGACAAAAAAATAAAATATCTTGATAAAAATCAAAAATAATAAATAGGTTAATGAATTTGATTTATATTGTTAATACAAAAAACTATTAAAAATTAATAAGTTCTAACTAGAAAAACATTTATTGTTTTTTAAAATGAGTAGTTTAACTTTAAATAAATGATTAATTAAAGAAATTTATATTGATTTTTTTTCTTAAAATTCTTTCTCAAAATATTTTAAAATTTAAAATGAAAGGAATCAATCAACTTCTTAAGTAATTATATGATTGAATTAATAAAATTATAGGGTAGTTTAAAATATTTATAGAGAAAATGTTGATAAATTGAATAGAGGTTATGTGCTAACTCGATATACTTAATAAATTTTACATAATGGAGAGCTTAAAGGTGATTATTTATTTTAACTATCTTACTGAGACTTATTCTGTTATTGATTTTATTCTTTTTTATTTGAGTCATCTTGATGGTTATTCATATTTTTTTTTTCAAAATTATTTTCTATAATTTCATCATACTAATTTTTATCACCTGAATATTAACTTCCTTCTTGTTGAGAATCATTTAAATTAGATTGCTGTTTACTAACATTAGGATTTCCTACTTAACTATTATTCATATTAACGTTAACATTGACATAACTATTATTAAAAGCTTAATTTCCATTTGTTCCTGTCCCTCTCATGCTGCTTGTAGGGTGTTATTACATATTAGCTGAGGTAGCCATGTAATTATCATTACATAGAAATGAATTTTTACTCATAGCCTATGCTTAATCATCATTTCCATAGGCTTGTGTTAATACATTATCTATACTAGATTCATATTTTTTATTTGCAAATTGAGATGTACTGGGCCTTTAAGATTTAGGCATACTATTATAAGGCTAACTTGCTTAAGTGTTAGAAGTAGATAACCCTGTTATAATTTTTATTACGTTTTATTTATCACATTCCAGCAATTCTAAGATTTTACTATTATTATAAATTACACTGTGCTATGAATTAAGAATAGCAATACCATATGGAATTAAATCCATAACATCTGATAAAAACAATGAATTTTAAACTTCGTCAACAGAAGACTCGTACGATTTTGCTTATTACTGATCGCAGTTTTCTAAAATGCCTGATTTAGAGTGAGAAATATTTCTCTTCAAAATTAAAGGCTTTTTTTGTGGGCTTGTTTATTTTAAAATATTGACATTACTATTGTTGTTTATTCCTAAAATTTGTGAATTAGTGCCATTCATGCTTAATTTATTATTATTGTTGTTATTATTATTATTGTTGTTGTTATTGTTGTTATTGATGTTATTGTTATTATTAAAGACACATGGTCCCAAATCACTTTAATTCCAGTGCTTACTATAAAAGCTAACAATAAACGAATCAGCAACTTTCACAATATTCTACTTGTCATCTAACAAATATTGCTTTACTAATTAATTATTTGCTTACATTTTTTAATTTGCGATATAATAAAACTAGTCACCAATAAAATATGTACATATAACAATGCCTATCCATATCATATCGCTTGAGTGGATAGATTGGCTTAAAGTCTAGTTAAATATGGAATTATCTTTCAAATAGGTTCCTAAAATAATACCAAAAGGAAAGAATTTAATTAACAAATTGCTGATGAGCAGGTTTATATTTAAAAATTACCTTGCTCCTATTAGCAAAAATGTTTTTTCATCAAAGTAATAATTCAAAAAAAGAATCAGACTACTGTTCTGTGCTTAAATTACAGCATTTAATAAGTTTATCTTTGCTATAATTTGTGGTACCAGTACAAATAGCTATTTAATAACTTTAAGCCATTCTTTCCTTATCTTTTAAGGCTGCTCATTTATTTTATTTCCTAACTTCCAGTTTTCCAAATTATTTGTTATCTTTTCTATTGAAAAGCTTTTACTGTTCAGCTGTTCATCGTTAGAACCACTATATTTTCTTTAGTTTTTATAGCATTATTCTTTTATGATGAATCCAGTTAAAATAATTCTTAAAAACAAAGAAAGTAAAATAAATAGGCCTGCTAATTTCTGCTATAGTGTAGAACTACTAATAAAAAAATAAGATAAGAGAAGTATTTCTTAAATAGCAATAATGATCTAGTATGTAATCCTGTACTTGAAAAGCTAATCAAATTTCAAACTACTTAAATGATCAATCATACCTTAATTTAATATATATTTTTTATTTTATGTAATAGAGCTGTATTTCTTTCACTTTATTATCTAATCAAAATATTAAATAAATACATGCTTTTGTTAATTAAAAAATCAATAATGCTATTTTCATTTCATCTTCATTTCTTTCTGAATTTATAATAACCAAATATATCAGTAAATGCAAATCATAAAAAATAATACATGTACAATACATATCGTAATAAGAAAAATCATCAATTAAACTTTATAATTTGCTAACCTTTATCCAGCCAAACATTAATTTTTTAAAAAATCTTATTTTTTTTTCGCAATTAATGAATCATAATTTAGAATCAGGTTTTTTTATTAAGTATAATTCATCAATGAATTTCTAAAATCCTAAAATTATTTATAAAAAATATGAATTATAAAAAGAAATTAATAAATGTCTTATCTAGTAAAGTATGAAAAACTACATATAAGATATTGCTCGATATTAAAAAAATTGAATAGCATCCATTCGTTCTTAAAGCAAAATATATTATTTATGAATAAATTGCTTTTAATAAATAATTATAGAATGCATGGCTTTATAGAAATATATTAAAAAGGATGCTAAACAACTAAAGCAATTAATCAATTATAAATGTTTTTTTTAAATTATTTTTTTAATTTCTAAAATTAAAAAATTCAAAACCTAAAATAAAATTAATAAAATCTTAATATTTTATTTTTTTTAAAAGATGCTTAAAATTTATTACTCTAATTATATAATTATATTTAAACAATGTAATTTTGGAATTATAATAATTTTCCTTAAACAAATAAATTAAACCAATATAAAAGAAAACTTAATTGATTTGTCAATTCAATTAAGGATATATATATGTTTTCACTTATATAAATGGCCTATCATTAAAAATGTTGATTTGATTTATAACAAAAAAAACTCACTTATTTTTATTCCTAGAGAAATAAATAATTTTTCATAAAATTAAAATAATATCCTTGATATAAAAAGTTTAGTTTACTTTAACTAAAAGAGATATCTTGGAATTAATTCTTTTAATAAAAATAAAATTTTTTATAATTAGACTAAATTTATTCTTTTTATTAATGTGTATTTACTATTATAATTTGCTATTGAGTATTAAAATAAATATCCAGAATTTATAAGAAGTATAAATATAAATTTTGATAATTAATGGTGATATAGACTCTATCAAAACATCGGATTATGGGAAATCTTAATAGTATTATATTTTTTATCGATGCAAGTAAAAATTTCTTGTCACAAAAAAAATAATCAGAAATATTAATTAATAATTTTGAATTATATAGATAGTCTAAATATTATATATTACATAAAATGAACAAAGTTATTTCATTAATTTTGCTCATTTTAACATGTAGTCATGTTTCTTTTGCGCTAATTAAAGTTAGCATAATAAGAGAATATAAGCCACATTAAAAATATGAAAGATTCCTGAGCTCTGATGCTAATGTATAAGCTAGTCAGAGCAATAAAGTAGTTTCACTTGAAAACTACTTTTAGATGAAATACTTTGGTACTATATATGTTGGTAAGAATTAACAAAAGATGAAAATGCTTTTTGATTCAGGATCAGATACGATGTGGATAGGATCTAAAACTTGCAATACTTGTAGAGATAGTGTAATTTTCAACTAATTTTTATCATAAACTCAAAATGAGTAGATAATTTTATAGTTTATTGAATAGCTATTTGCCTAATAACTGATTTTGTTTATCTATCTTAAAAAATTAGGGCATAAATAATTTATATGACTGTATAGAAACTAATGGCTGTAAGTATACAGGAGACCCTATAGAGACAATTAGATATTTAAAAGGTTAGGTAGATGGATATCTAGCTAGTACCATTGTAAACTTCAGCAATAATAATTCTGCATCTCCTTTCGATTTCAATTTGCTTTTGATTACTAATGTAAAGGATCTAGAATCCTATGATGTAATTATATTTATTTATTTGAGAAAATATTTATTTTAAATTGATAATTAACTTCTAATTTATTATTATTTTGATTAATTTAAACACATATATTTTTATCATTTCAATAAGGCAGATGGAATTATTGGATTGACTTACTAGGTAAGCTATAAAAGATAAGATACAAGAAGTCCTTTTGTTAAAGAACTGTTCTAAAGGAAGATAATTAACGATTAAAGTTTTTCAGTATATCTCGGCTTTAAGAAAGATGATTCAGAAATAACATTTGGAGGCATAAATCAAGACAAAGTTAATCCTGGTTCCAATTTCATTTATTATTTAGTACCTCCTATTTAAGCAATGTTTTGGGAAATAAGCGTTTAGAGCTTAATCTTAGGAAGTTAATCTTATGACATGTCCTCTAGTACTACTATAGTCGACTCAGGCACTTCAGTCTTATGTTTTGAGACTTAGACATTCAATAATGTATATGAATTTTTAAAGTAAAATGTAAATGGGCTTTAAAGAAAAGATTTATACTTCACATATAAATGTGGCTAACCTCTTCCAAATATTTACTTTACTATAATTAGTGCAGATGGAAAAAAATACAAATATTCTATAGAATCAGACTACTATACTATTAAACTTAATGGTGATTGTGCTATCCTTATTGATTTGTGCCCAAACAATAACATTCTTGGAGAAGTATTTATGAGAAAATACGTAACCCATTTCAAGTATAATTACAAAGATAATAAAGATGCAATAGGTAAAGAAATATTTTAACAAATTATCATAATAAAAAAATATTTTAATTAAAAGCGTTTATTAATAAATAATAAAAAATAATATTTTAAATACTACTTTATTCAACTAAAACAAAAAAATAAATTAAATATTTTATAATAATAATTTCAAAAATAAAAAATAAATAGATAGATGGATTTAGAATTTACTTTTGATTAAAACCCTTTATTCTTTGATATATTTTAAAGCATATTAAATTATTTTGAGTTTAAAGTTATTTTCTTAAGCCGTTTTTTAAAGTATTTTTAAGTTTAAATTGAGTTTAAGAATTGAAACTAGAAATTAAAAAATATTTCATAATGATATTACACAGATTTACTCTTTTTATTGATCTTAAGTGTAATTTATTTTATAAAAAGGTTTTGCATTGTCTATTGCAGATCCTAAAGATAACTATCTTAATGATTCTGAAAATTAAGATTACACAAAATATTATATACTTGGTGGAGTTGGTGCAGGTGTAATTATATTAATTGTAATTGTAATTTATTACTTTAGAAGAAGAAAAATAAAGTAAAATATGATGAAACAGAATGAGTAATTATATTAAAAGAATGTTAATAATACAGATATTAGCTCTAAATCTTGATCTTTTATTTATAATCTTTTATAAAGCATAAAATCAATGAATTAATAAATTTTTACTATTAATAAAAAAATAAATATATAAATAATATAAATAGATTAAAATAATTAATAAACCTAAAGTCTATGTATTCTAATTAAAAACTTTTATATGAAATTGAAAGTTTTTTATTTGTCTACATAAAATTCATTCATTAATATTAATTTTACCGATCTGTTTTTTTAAATTGTATAAATATGTTTGAGGACAATCAATATTTTTTTACAAAAGTGGTCAAAATAAACAAATAATTTCAAAGTTTTTACTTTTATTTACACATTTATTCACAATATCTATGAGATCAATTAAGTTTAAAATTTATCGTATAAAACTCCTTGCATGACTTCTTTGATGAATTAATTTGAAGTAATAAAAATTTTAATAGTTAGATATATCAATTTTGATTGAAATTAAAAACTTTTAAAAAAAATATTGAAAAGAAAATTTATATCACATACAAAAAGATTTAAATAAAACAAGCAATAGGTGTGTTTTACAAAATATAGTAAAGGGAAATAACTTAAAAATAGGTTTTACTAGAGGTCATATGAGAAGGAAATTTATATACATTATATAATTTGTAATAACTTACATTTATAATGTAGTAGGAGATGATAACACCTTTACATTTGATCCAACTTCTTATCAAGTCACTGTACCTGATTTAGCTGTTTCTGTTGCTACAACTTTAGATAAAAATTATATGTATGTTGCTTCCGGGGCCTACGGTGTCTATACATATGACATCAGTGACTTGCAAAATATAAAACTAATGTATAATTTTGATCTCTAAGGTGACACTGATAGAGCAAGGAGAGTATGTCTTTTCTAAAACGATTAAGCGCTGATTGTAGCTTATGAATTAGGTGGATTAGTAATTTATAATATATCAAACAAATAAACTATACCAAGCATTTAGGTGTAAATTTAGTCATTATATGCAAACACAATAAATGTATATTAAGATACGATATTATTTGCAACACAAACATAATTATACTTTCTTAAGAAAAATGAGAATTATGCAATTAATTAACCGATTCCTATAGGTACTTTTATTCGCAATATAAGAGTATACACAATCAGAGGAAAGCCAGTAAGTTATTTTATATTATTTTATTTTCTATTGCTTAAAAACTCCCCAAAATTAATATCAGAAATTTCTTATTTTTGTGGGTAAAAACGCTTGAATAAATTAAAATTTTTATATAACAATAATTAATTATATCTTATATTTAAAAGTACGCCTACTTAACTTTAGGACAATAGGGTTTAGTGGCAATAGACATACAATCGTAGGCTATAGTATAATAGTACTCTATAAGCAAGAGTGAAACTTTTGATATGGCTGTAGATAGTTAAGGATTATATGCCTTTGCTGCTTTAACAATTTATGGAGTAGATATGTTTGATATTTCCTAACTAGGTATAGGTACCAATCCAAATATCTAGAAACCTATATCATAGATTATACAAAACAATAATTTCTATTACTCCATTTTTATAATAGGAAACCACATGTACTTATCATCTTATGGCAAAGGGGTTTAAATATATAACATGATATATTAACCAACATTTAATCTTTAATTGATTTAAGAAATTATCTTAGTTGGCGATACTACAACCATTTACACAGATATTAATGAAACTGAGCTTTTTTCAACTAAAAATAATGTTGTACACATTAATTAAAGAACTTCTCCACTCCTTCAAAATATAGATTTAATGCCAAATTTATAGAATACTCATTAGTAAATTAGATACGCAATAGATAACTCATATTTGAATGTGGCATGGGATTCATATTTATATAAAAACCACTTTTTGATTGTTCCATATGCTCATTTATATATAATAGATATCACAGATTTTAATTCTTTTGTAAATAATTCACAATCTTTAAAGTTTACTCCTACTTAAGAATAACCTTAATCATCTACTAAATGCGACATGAGTAAAGAAATAATAGGTTCTGATCCAGGTATTACAAATACAATAGATGGAATTGCAGTAATTTTTTTTCGCCAAATTAGTTATTTATTAGAAACTTATTTACTTATTTAAAATTTAAAGGTTGATGAGGTAAATAATTTGCTCTTTTTAGGTAGAAATAAAGCAGGAATGTTAATTTATGATATTATTTATGTAAGTAACCCAGAATCAGTTACTTTGTAATTAAAAAATTCTATGACTTAAACAAATTTTGAAGTAAATGATATATTTTTATACACGGTTGAAAAATAAATTACAATTTTTTGTGCTTTGGGAAATTTTGGCTCATCAATTTTGACATATAGCATAAATAGTAACTCATTTGGTAGTGATATAAAAAATTTTCCATTAAAAGACGACTTTTAAAGTTCAAGAATAGTTAAAGTCCTCTCAGTGCAGGATAAATACCTATTTGCAGGTGCTAGAAGATATGGAATTTTAGTTTATGATTTAAAAAAAGGTTCTCAAGATCCTATTTATAAAATAAGAACTGCAGGAGGGGAAGATTTTGAGTTTTCTCAGGATATGAAGTAATATTTTATTTTTTTTACTTTTATTAAATAATTATTTTTTAAATAGATATATTTATGTTGCAGACTTTTTAAATGGATTTTCTATCATTTCAATTTAATTTGATTAATAAAATAATCTGATTAATACTCCTACTATTTTATCAAGAGTGCTACTTGATGGGTAAGCTATCATGGTTTAGAGTTTAATAGATTAAAGATATATCTTAGTTGGGTCTACTGGAAACAAATTAATTTCTCTTATTGACGTATTTAATAAAGTAAGTACTTTATTTCTTTAATTAGTTAGTTAGTTACTTATTTACACCTTTGTTATTAAAAATTTGTTTTTAGAAATAAAATTATCAATAAGATATTTATTTAATGACAAAAAAATTAAACAGTTTAATTAAATACCCCTTATAAAAAAAGTATAATCCAACTCTAGTTCAAACAATGAGTCCATAAAATGAAGTAATGTAGTCTTTTGTTTTAAGAAAAACAGATTAAGGATATTTTATTGTCATGCCAACTACTAGAGGACTTAGAATTTATAACATGAAAAGGCCTTTTGATTTATTCTACGAAATTATGGATGTTAATACACAAATTAAGTAATCCTATTAAACCAGTTTGTTGGTAGGAGAAAATTTAAAATTAAAGTTGAGTCCTATTAATCTTTAAATGGACTAAGTATATCAACTTAGTTCAAATCTTTACTTGATACAAAATTTAATTATACAATCTATACCTAATTACATATCTTTCAATCCAATTGTAAATGAAATTAATTTGACCTTAAATAAAGATAACATGGGAGTCATGGTGATGGTAGCTTAAGTAAAGTTTTAAGTTATAAGATAATAATTGTATTTATAAAATTATTTATAATTTAGTTCCTTTTCTAAATAAGTGAGAAGACTTTCTCTGATGCTGGTTTTACTAAAAATGCCTTAGGTATTCTCTCAGATGCTTAACAGAGAGGATTTCTAGATAGCAAAAATTATCCTACAGATATGATTCCTTCACTTCGACTATGGACTTCGGTTTCAGCTGAAAGATATGTGGAAAATGGCAAGTCAATAAGTGATGTTAAATACTAAATAGAGTCTATTTTTAATAGTAAAATAGTTTATATTCCAATTAGGCTGAATGTTATGAACTCTATTACATTTAATAACTAAAATTAAGATAATACTAATTCTTTAATATTATCTACTTTATCGAATACAGTTAGAATAACAATAACAAATTTAGATAAAACAGTTGGCTAATTCGTTAATAAAAAATATGATTAAATATAAACTGATATTAGCTCTGATTAACAAAGAATATCATTGAATGGAGATCCTACGCAAGTAAGCAATGCATTATCATAATTAGTTTTTAGCAGTCCCCTCCTTAATGGGATAAATATAGTGAACGCTTAACTTTAAGCTTCTAAACTAACGATTCTAATAGAAGATAGTATAAATGCACCAATTTAAAATGAATACCAGTTTAGAGATGTTAAATTTTTAGTTTACAATACTTAGCCTTAGATTATAAATCCTATTTAAGTTCAATTTGAATAATCGTAATATTTTAAAAATGATCAGTTAACTAATCAACTAATTTTTAATTTATTTTGCAAATTTAATATAAAAGCTTTAGCAGTGGAGTTATTTACATAGAAACAGATTTCATCTTTACTTTAAATCAATAAACATTTAATGATACAGAATCCCTAGTTTACGAAGCTTATCTACTTTCAGGAAATGATGAAATTCTATTAACAAATAAAGACAGCAGTAGTTGGATTCATTTTGACAATAGCACCTTAAAATTTACTGGTTTTGCTGGTTATTCAAAACTAGGAAGTAAAGCTTATATTAAGGTTAAAGTTAATGACGGGTATTACTCTACAGATGATATATTTATTATCAAAATATATGGTATTCCTTTTGAAATTGTATTTAATCGTTTTATAGCTGCAGTCTCTGGTTTATCTGGTCTTTTTGTTGTTTGGAAAATGAGAGGACTAATACACATGATTCTATGTAAAAGGAGGGTAAAATTATTAATTTAAAAAATACAATATTATATTAAATTAATTATTATTATTATTGATTAAACCATTTATTTATTTACTTCTAGATAAGATACTCAACAGAAATAGTAAAGATAGGTGAAGAATACAGAAAATAAATACCTGTAGTTATTCCTTACATAGACAGATGTGCAGAATTTATCTCGATATTCTTAAAATACATTGAAGCAAGGAAAAAATAAGAGCTACTTAAACCTAAGAAAACCCTGTAATTAATTTTTTTTTTATGATGCCATCAATAAATATATTTTTTAAAAGGTTCTGCATTAAGAGGTACAAACACCCTTTAGAGTACTTTGTTGAAGAAAAGCAGTTGAATCATTTTACAGATGAGTCGGCATAAGGATAATCTTAAAGTTACAATATAATTAATATGGAAAAAGCAATAGAATTAATGCTAGAATTTACAAACACAATAAAATCAGAAGATAGAATAGTACCTAAAAAGTGGTTTAAAAGTAAATCTCACATAAGTTAGAAAATATTATCGGCTTTACTTAATTACAAGTATATGACAGAGTTTGATAAAAAAACCTTTGAAGTTTTCAAAACTTTAAAAAAGAAATCAATTTTAAGAAGAAAATATAAATCAGAAAGATATTAATACTTCTCTTCACTTGACTGGTATTTAGAGTTTGTTAAAATTAACATTAATGAAGAAGATATCTACAACAAAGAAAACGAAGTTAGATTACCTGAAGTTTCAGTTAACTTTTCTAAAATCACTAAAATTTACAATTAGACACAATATAATAACCAATCAGAATTTGATAATAAAATGTACGAAATAGATTAATAGAGTTTTATTGAAGAAGATTTCTCTAGTTAATTAAGCTTAAAAATACCTGGTTGCAACGATCATTTACTAGTTGAAAACTTAAAAAATTACTCATTAGGTAAAGCAAATTACCATTATTTTAAATTTATTAAAAAATAATTTTATCTAGTTATTTATTTTTGAAAATCATATTATTTCTTTAAAAGGTATTGTTAGATAGCTAGGATTTTTTGAGGCATTAATATAGTCTACAAGAGGTTGCAGTGTACATGTAGACCCCTCTACAATAAATATTATTAAAGCTATGAAAAAAACTATTTCTTAAGGTTTTGTTAGAAAGGTAAAAGAGTTTATTAGTATGGATTACGACGACATAGAATTACAGCTAAATAGAAAGCTACCTAATTGGTTGACTTGTGAGTGGTAAAATGGAAGTATATACTTAAAAGGAACTCCTGAAAAGAAAGACATGAGGAATTACTAAATTAGGTTAGAAGATATCAGCTAATTTATCCTTATGAATTATAAACTCTTAATAATTGATGGAGATAAATAATAAACTTAACTACTCTAACCTCATATAAAATAGGAAATGTAAGATCATTTATCGTTTGATGATAACGAAGGAGTAGAGACACTAAACGTAATGATCAAAAAACAAAAGCAAATGGAAATGCTTAAATCTTAAAAGACAAAATAAAAAAAATTAATGGATTTAGAGTAAACTAATCTTTAAAGCAAATAAGAGAATCAAGTTATTTCACAAGATAATAATAACAATACAAATAATGGCAAGCAAAGTAAAGAAAGCAATTCTAATTAAAATCAGAATAATCAGGGAGATAATACCAATTTCTTTTTACCTATAACAAAAGATGAATAGACTAAATCTTTGAGAGGTTAAAATTCAGATGAAAAAGTATTAGATTAGTAAAATGTTTTAATTTAAATCGAGGAATAAGAATAATGAATGAATTAATTTTTTAATTAAGAATTTAGACAATATTATTTATTTTTCAATCTTAAAAAAATTGGTTAAAGCAATAATTTTTTATGTAATTTCGCTGACTTTAATATATGTTTTATTAACTTTTATGACAGTATTAATAAATTTTTATTTCTAGATTTTAGATAGAGTTTTTGTGAAAAAATTAATACATATTTAATTTAATAAAATAATAAGTTAAAAATATCTTTGATAAGTGAAAATAAAAAAAGAAAATAAAATAATTATTTTTGAATTTTTTATTTTTTTTAAGTAAATTTTATTTTATGATTTAATTGTAAAACAGCATATTTTTAATTTATAAAAGCAATAAATAATTTTTAAAATCAGAAATCTTTCATTTTTTAGAAATTATTTTACATAATTAAAAAATAAATTTTTTTATAAATTGAATTTTAATTAAAAAAAAATCTATTATGAAAATTAAATTATAAAACAATGATGCATCTAATAGTGTTATATACATACATACATACCTACCTAAAATAGACTAAAACATAGATTTTATTGTTAATTTAAGAAAGCAAAGAGAAAATTAATTAAAAAGGATACAATTAAAAAACAAAAATCCATAAATAAATAAAAGCAAAAATTAATCAATATATCACAATTTAGGATATTTTAAAGAATTAGAAAGTTAAAAAATATAAAATGAACGGAGAATTATTTTACTAATAGGTTAAGTTTTTAGAACCTCACCTCGTAGTCAAAATTTGCGATTACTATATTAAATAAAATACTTTTGATGAGCAATGGATCTTAAAGGAAAAGATTGCTGCCCTTTTGAAAACCAGATTATACGATTAGTTAAATGCTGAAGTACTCAAACTTAAAAATCACTAATTGCCTGATTTGAAGAAACGTAATTTGACTTTATTTTTTTAGCTTAAAAAAGCTAAAGTTAAATTATTATAAATTAATTTAATTAAAATAATTTTAGAAATTGAAGCTTGCAGATTAGAAACTGCTGAATAAGCATTAGGTGATAAGGCAAAATAATTTTTCGAAGATATTATGAAATTTTACAATGAAATCGAAAAGGATAGATTTAAAGCTTCTACAATTACAAAGTTATGTGGTGATATTGTAATAAAGCATTTTATTATATTATTTAAATTTAGTTTTTCTTTTAAATAAAATTCATTATTTATTATTGCATTTCATCCTTTTTAATAATTAATATTTATTTAATTCATAATAGAAATTTGGTTTGTTAAGAAAATTGGCATAATATAGTTTCATCTTATACGATGTTGGTAATTACGATGTCTCTTTGAAAATCATCAACTGCATTTACAGTCTCCTCTAAAACCATCAAGATGATCAAAGCATCCTAAATATTTTATGGGGAAAAATTGTAATTACTACTTAAGATTCATTTTATTAGTCATTATTTAATAGGTCTAGATTACTTATTGATTGATAGATAAATTAAATTTGTTTAAAAATAAATATCTTTAACCAAGTATAAAGCTAAGTTTATATTATAGCAAATTTAAGATAAAATCAGTAGTAGCCAATAAATTCAATTTATTTAAAAATCAATAATCATTTCTTGCTCGCTCAACCCAAAATTAGTTTTAGTTTCACATATACTTATTTAATTTATTTGTAATTAATAGGGTTGTGAACTTTATGTTTAAAAGTTTGATGAAGCCAAGGAAACAATTAGAGCCATTAGAAAAGAACTCGAAAAGGAAGTAAAAAAAAATAAATTTTAGTATTTAGCGATGTTTATAATTTTATTTGATAAAAGGAATTTTCTGGCCACTTTTAGATTTACAATAGAGCCTACTTAATTTATCATGCTATTTATGCTTATTTCTAACCTAAGTCTACTGAATCAGTAAATTTCTCATTGCTTTTAAAATAAACAGTTAATTTATTATTTTTTTAAATAATTTAGGACTTTGAAGCCTTTATTGAATTAATTACTGGAGAATAGTATGTTGCTACTATTTAGATGGTAAATGCTTAATTTTTTATTATAAACTTATTCATTGTTTATTTACTTTTTTAATAGGTTTGCTCAGAAGTTATTAGATATCATGCTTGTGCTCTTTTATTGACTAGAAGCAATTAATACCACCTCACTTAGTTTTTGAATAGCTTCTAAAAGGGAGTTTTTGATTATAAAGATAACTTAATTGAATTCTTGAAGTTGACTTTAATCGATTTCTAATTCAATGCTGCTGAATAAACTCTTAAGTAGCTCTCAAATGAACTTTCAAAGGATTATTTCCTTTCAAACTAAAAAGAACAAATTATCACTGCTGCTTAACATCTTTTCTTCAAATCATATTGCAAAGTCTTTGATATTGTAGAAATTAAGTAAAAATTTATTTTTTTATTGAACATATGTTTGATATTTTTTATGAATTTATTTATATAGGATGGTTAGTTCTTTCTTAAACTGTTCAGCTAGCGATGCTGAAACATGGATTGTTAACTTTATTAGAGTATCAAATATTGATGCTAAGATTGATTCTGAAAATGGTATAGTTCACATTACTAAAAGATAGAACAACTTTGATGAAACAGTAATATTTTTTATCCCAAAAAAACTGAATTAAAAATAAAATAAAAACTTTATTTAATATTAAATTAGATTAATAATAAGCTCAGAGAAATAGTTCCAAGAACAGTTTTACTTGTTAATAATATGAAGAGAATCATTCCATAAAATTGATTGAAATATTGATTCGCTCAAAAAATAAATAAGAGTAATCAACGAAATGACTTGCTCATTATCTAAATAAACATCAAAAAATAAATAATTTAAACAACTTATATTTTATTGATATATTGAAAGAAAGGTTTGCAATTAATCCAAAAAAAATAATTAGGAGAATTCAATTTTATATCATATTTAAATACTATTGGTTATATTTTAGTAAATTTGCAATTTCCTTCTATATTTTTCTGTAAGTTTTACTGAAATTTTTTTTTTCTTTCGTTTTCTCTAACTTATTTTTAGAAAAAATTATTATATAATTCCTAATTATTTATTTATTTTCTCTGACAAAATTCTACATATCAAAAATTATAATTATCCAAAAATCAATCATTATTTTATAATTTATAAAATATGTAATAAAGAATACTTTATATTAATTACTTAATGGTTTCTTATAAATAATTTAAAAAAGAAAAAGAAAATCCAAAATAAAAGAATCGTCATCGCTATTTAAAGAACTGGCTGGATTAATATCATAAATACAATAATAGCATTTAAGGATAATTAATTTTCAAAATATTAGAATAATACAATTCTATATTTTATATAGAAATAAAAATAATTAATTTGTTTAGATTTATTTTTTAAGATCTTTAGGAAATAAATTCAATTATTTAATTAAAAAATTTAAAAGATTCTGAAAATAAATGAATTTAACTAATTGATAAATTTAAAAAATACTTACAAATTTTATAATAATTTTGAATAATTTAAGTTATTGCAATTATAAACTAAATTTTTTATTTTATAATTAATTTATTTATTTTAAAATGTTGTTAATTTTATGAACTTAAAACTCACTTAAATAGGTCATCAAGATCACTTGCGTTCTTGATGGGTTAATTTCTTAATAAAAGTGTATTTGATAGTTGATTTAAGAAGTTAGGTGAAATGTGATTGATTGCGCCATTTTGTGAAGCTTGATTATTTTGGTTGTTGTGATTAAATCCTTTAAGTTTCATCTCATAATTCATGAACATTTCTTTGGCAGAAAAGATTCCTTTATAGACTTGATAAAAATCACTGAGAAGAGACTTTAATTAATTAAGATTGTTGTTTTCGAGAGAGAATTTGATGATGCAATCAACTAGAATTTTCTTCTAATTATCATTAAATTAAGAATATTTTTCTTTTTACTAGAAGCACTTCATTATATATTCTCTCAGCTATTCGCAATGATCTTTGTTGATATCAACAAACTTTATAAATAAATTTGAAATATTGTGAATCAGATTGCTATTTACATTTGTTAAAATATCAATAGTAGTATCTAATATTTTAAGCACGTATTCTTGTGTTTAAGGGAATTGCGAACAATGTTTTATGAATTCATAATAAAATATTATTATCGAGCGAGTCATTTCATAGTGAGATATACTTTTGATTACATCAAATGATAATTCTATAACTGCTCTAAAACTATTGTGGTTTAGATAATATTGAGTAAATTAAGTAATCACCTTGAACTATATGTCATAAAAGTTTGTAATTAAATCTGGGTCTTTATTTTTATCTGCAGGTGCAACTTAGTGCTATAATTGGATCTGTGGATACAATACTGCAGGCTATTAAGGATCTGCTTGAGTCATAAATTTTATATAAAATTAGTTGTATTCATTGAAATATTGTTCAAGCCATAATAAAAAATTTTGATGATAGCTAGAATTTTTAGTAAGGTCTAAAATCTATTTAAAAATGCTCATTGTTTCAGAGAATAATATAGGGTTTCTCTGTGAAATTTTGATGGAGGTGTTGAGGAAAATAATATATTGGTCGTAGAAAACTAAATTATTATTTTGATCATTAAATATCTTTGTCACGTATCTGAAGATGCTAGTGAATTAGCTGATTAAAGGAGCTGCATTAGTTTTCATAGTGAGTACATCAAATGCTAGAGTTAAAAACTCAAAGTTTTGTTATACGAAAGTAGCTATGCTATTTTTAACATCTAAGCCTATAGCTTCAGTACTAAAGCCGCTTAGGAGACTCTAGAGAATTCCTATTGCCCTTAAAAGAAGACTTTCTTTTTCCTTTTATTCTGTGATATTTTCAATAGAGCTTTTAGTGTTGTCTAACATTTATTAAATGAGTTAAAGAAGGTTCTAAATAGCTTCTAATTAATGCTACTCGGTCTTGAGGCTCAGAGCAAAACCAAATACACCTTAAATAAATTCATCCATTACATCTTATCTTACTATCTTATTTATATTCTAAACAAAAAATTGTGCAACAAATCTGAATGTTTCAATATAATTATTCTAGCCAACTCCTTTAATGATACCACTAAAAGTTTGGGCTGACATAAGCCCTAAATTATCATCTAGTAAATATCTTAAAATAAATTTAATTGTTGAGTCAAAAAGCTAAGGGTTTTTGGTTAGTTCCACCTAAGCGTTATAGAACAACTGCATAGCCATGCTTACAGTGCTTTAATGAGCAGGAAATTCATTATTATTGACAATAAAATCAAAGAAGTAAGTGTAATTCTCATCATTACCCTCCAAAGGACCAGGGAACATATTTTCAGCCATAGTCTACACAACAAATAAGCAAACTTCCTATAATAATTTATTTAAAAATATAACAAATTATATATATGTAAGTATTTTTCTTAATAATTTTAAGCTAAGAAAATTGAAATCTTTAAATCTATTTTATTTAAATTTTTCACAATTATTTGAAAGATGATTTTAATTAATTTAAATTTGATTAGATAATAAATAAAAGAAAAATATTTTTTATTTATTTTTAATATGAATTGTATTAAAAAGTGTGTGATTGACTAATTACCACTGAAATATAGTAATTTTTGTTTGCTTCGTTTGCATCAGTGAAATTATTTTGAGCTAAAAACTACTCTTTGTTAATCAAAGTGTAAAGAATTTAAAGCAACGAATTGATTCCTTATTATCCCCTAAATTAGCTGAGAACATTATAAACAACATTAAAAATATCACGTGCATAAATTCTGTAATTTTAAACTCTTATTTTAGTAAAAGCTGAATCTATCTGGTCAAGATCAAAGCTTAAAGGCTAGTGACCTGAGAAATCATCATCTCCACTGTCATTATGACAACAATCATCCAATTTATATTGGCTAGAAGAAAAATCTGCTCCAAATTCACTGCCATCATCTGCATCTTAGAATAAAGAATATTTTTTGAGAAGTTAAAACTTCTTTTATTTTTTCTTAGCGTCTCCATCTAATGTAGCTGAGAGCTTTTTAAGCTTCGATTTTTCAAGAACAGTTTTAAAAACTTCTAGATAGGGTTAGATCAACCAATCAGATGAAGGATCCTAAATATTTGGTACATATGTTTTAAGTGTGCGATAAAATGATACCCAAAACTCAAAAGTTGTGTATGAAATGCTTCTGTTTGGATGTTAAGTGCAAATAACCATCAATTGCAATAATTTTATAGAGTGCTCAGAGTTTTCAAGTATTAGAATTGAGAATTTTTATGCTATCTCTGTTGTAATTTCAACATAATATTTACAAAATTTACTTTCTGGATTAACTTAATCCATAGTTAAAAAATCATTTAACCTAATTGCTAAGGCATCTATAAGAGTTTTTAAAGATCTCACTTCCTCTATTTTAAGTAAATTCAGTGACTACTTAACGTTGGCTGTTTCTAGTATGTCAGCATTGTTAGAGTGCTTTATTCCTTCTAACATAATTTTAGCTACTCTTTCAAACACTTCTTCATCAATTGAATTAAGTAAAATAATAAGATTTGTAACCAAAGGTTCATCTAAAAAAATTTGATATTTGAATTAGCTTCCTGCCCAACTTTCAATGCAATCTAAAGTTTTTAACCCAACATTTTGATTTTAATGTCCAAGAAGTGTATTGAAAATGCCTGACAATTAGGAAGCCTAACTCTAAAATAGTGATCTAATTCTTTGGAAAGCTTTCATATCTGTAACAACCTTTTCCATATTTTCTTAATTAGCTACATTTTCTAGGATTTCAATTCCGCATATAAAATATTCATCACTTCCTTCTATTAATAATTAGATAAAAAATTTATGAAACTTTGAAAAAAACTAAGATAATCTTTTGCTGTTTAAAATTATTTGACTTTAAGATATTAAAACATTGTTCAAATAATTTATTAGAGTATTTTAATTTCCTATTTCAGCTTAAATAAACCAAAATAAATCATTTTTTATAATTTAAATTTCATATGTTAAAATAATTAAAATCTTACCTAAACGCATAAAGGCGCAGATATCTTCTACGAAAGTTTACCAATCTTAAAAAATTCCAGTAAAGCCTAGGATAGCAATACTGTGAACTATTTAATTTTTAGCTACTTTAGAAATAACTTAATTCCCAAATGAACAGTACTGCTAAAGGACATTGAATAAAAATTTGCGAAGCTCCAACTTCTACTGTGAACTCAATTATGAATAATGATTTTTTAATTTATTGCATAATATTTATGCGCCTAGAGCCTATAACTATTAAGATGGAGGATCAACAATCATTTCACGTGCTACCATCCAAACTTCACTACAAGTTTGAAATTGTAAAATATATTAGTTTGCTGCTTCTTTTTCATATTCATTATTGCTTTATGACAACATTTTGTATTATCTAATAAACTCATCTTTAGTGAAAACCTAAGCTTATGTTTATTACTAATTTTATTATGACATTTTTCTTCTTCCTTTTTCTTGTCAGTTAAACTATATTTTATTAATCCTTTTCTTAAGACTCGCTTGTTCAACACTTCTATTTTTGATCTTTTTTATTGATCTCTATCTTAATTACTTTATTTTTTTATATTATTAACTAAGTATGTATGTATGTATCCTGCTAAATCACTTGATTTTTCTTGATCTTTAGTTCGATTACTTTGGAAAATTATCAAATACAACAACACTCTTTTTTTCTAAATTTTTTGATAGCTTTTCTAATTTTCTTTATTTTACGAATTGAAGGTGATACATACATACATACATAAATACATAAATATTCTTACTTTTAGACAATCTGAAAATTTACAAAAGAAAAAGAATATCTTAACCTTTAGATTTTCTTTTTAGTATCATCTCATTTATTTATTGCAGACTAAGTCAATAGTATCTATCTTATAATCAAATTTTAATAATGCGCGACAAAGTACTTAACCAAAAATAAAAATTGGTTTTTATCCAAAAGTATTTTTGATAAAAAAATCATAATATAAAAATTTAAATTATACATTAGAAGCAAACTAGAGTAGTTTAAATCAAATTCACAACCTTTCTAATATAATCAATCAATAAATTTTCACTTTTATTTCAATAAAGGCTATATAATTAATGTAAATATTTTGATAAATTTCTTAAGATTAAAATTAACGAGGTGATCTAATTTTTATAAGTTTAATTCTTCAAAAAAAAATAGTAAGTACTCATAATTTTTATCATTTCAAATAATTAAGAAAAATTACTTTTAAAAACATGTAAGATTAAATTTATTTTTAGATTTAAGCTCAGTAGTATTTCTGATATGATTAGATACTGAATTAAATTAAAATTTTTGCTTGAATTAAGTAGGGGAATAAATATATTTTTTGTGCATGATTTGTGTAGGTAATAAAAATATTATTATGTTATCATAAGTATTAATTAAATAAGTCAATAGATTTATTTAATTATATTTTTATTTAATAATTTAACCAATTTATTTTTAAACAAAACCTAAAATAGGGTGAAGGATAAAATATTTTCATTTCTATTTTGTTTTGAAATTTTTAATTGAAATAAAACAATTTTATCTAAAATTTTCTAAAAACATTTGATTAAAGTTTTACTTGAAAAAAACAGTGAAATAATAAGATATTTTATGATTGCGCGTGTTTTAATAAAAGTATTACTATTTTATCATAAATATAAAATTAATTTGTTATGACATTTCTTTATTTACTAGTTTACTAATTTAATAAGTTTTTAAACTAAAATTATTCTTAAAATAGATTAATCCATGTAATATTTTATTAATAATATATTAAATAAATAGATATTTGAACATTTATGGAATAAAAGTATTACTATTTATTTTATGATAAATATAAATAAAATATTTACATTTACATTATTGTTTATTTATTAACTTAATAAGTTGTTAAACTAAAATTATTCTTAAAATATATTTAACTATTAAATATCTTATTTAGTAATTTAAATTAAAATTTGTATTGAAATAAACATTTTATCAAGCATTTTCAAAAAACATCAATTTATTTATTTATCTTTCCTCAATTTAGTATCTTCTCTAAAAATCTCTAATTAAAAGGTGAATTATATACTTTTCTAGATTGTCTTTGCACAAACGCGATTTTCATTGATTAATTTATTCCAGATAAAGGATTACTAACATTAGTAGAATTAATTGTAGCTGTTGTATGTTAAGTTTATAATTTATTAGCTTTTTATTGCTTTATAAATTCGATAATTTCTTTGTTTGACTTGAATTTACTAACATGATTTTCAAAGTTGTCTGATATAATATTTATATTTTTAGAATTATTCATCTAGGAGTTGATATCCAATCCATTAGTTAAATTTGAATCGATTTGATTTGCATTTTGAGTGCAAGATATATTTAAGTTTCCTTAAGATTGTAAAACGTTGTAGGAATCAAAGCTTAAGTTATGAGTTTATTAAAGCTTATTCAATTTATTTTTTTAATCTGATTAAGTGATTTTTACTTATGAATCATTTTAGAATGTTTGAGATAACTCCATTAAATCTTTCTGTAATTTATTCTAAGTAGAAGTTCTTCTCTAAGCATCTTTTTTTTGATTTATTTCATACTTATAGTATTCTGCTTAGTTTATTAAAGAATTTTATATAGAGCCTCCACTTATTTGGTTATTGAAAATATTCGTACTTTATAAATATTATTATCCTTAAGAATCTCCATATCCTTTCTATCCAGATAAACTTCTTGCGTTCTTTGTCACACGATTAATTTTGTTATTTAAACTATCTTTATTTTGTAAACTTTAATTCTGTATATATGAAGTAGTAGGTAAACTAGTATTTAAGGAATTTTTATTTTAAATTAGAGAATTCCTTCTTTCTTTTTAAGTTATTTCAACTTCCAAAGGAAGCAATTGTAGTTTTTAATTTACTGTTTAGATATTGGAAGTCAAACTCCCAAACGCCTATAAGTTAATACTCTAATATGGGTTAGATTTTATATTAATTCCTTGTACATTGATTTCATTGCTTGAATTATGAGATTAATTATTTGATGCGAATTAAGTATTGATTATTTAAAGAACTTTTGCTTTGTTTAGTATTATATTGTTGCCCAAAGCCGTAGTTTTATTGTTTAATTAGCTTTCATTGTTTATAAGAGACACCATATTATTTGATGCCACATTTTTATTATTTACACTCCCCGTTAGTACAGATTATCCGCTTTAGTTTAGAGAATTCTATTATGTTTGCTATAAATACACATTAGGCTAGGCAGATGATGTTTAATTTAAATGAGTGGAATTAGATAAATTTTTACTATTTTACCTACTTGTTAAATGACCTAAATTATCACCTGCTTAACAAATTTGAGAATTAGCCTATTGCGGTTCATTATTTTTTTTAGTATTTTTAGTTGATATATTTTTAGTGAGCTGTATATTTAAGGGTTATAAATCTGAGCATAGCATATTTAATCTATCATCTGGAGATACTTACTAAGTTTTAGAACTATGAATAAAGTTTCTATTTGTCAAATTTTAATTTTTGTTTCTCTTTTTTTGAACTCCTCTGGTTTCTGAAGGATTAGAAAGTAATATTTAATTGTTTTTAACTTCTTCAGGAAGTACATTAATATCATCAAAAGAGCTTTTTTACTCAATAAACTTATCTTAATTATTATCGTAATAATGTATAACCAAATCTTAACTTCCTGATCTTTTACTTTTAAGTTTGTTATGCTTTTCATTATTTTCCTATTTACCTATTGCACTTCTTAATTAATTATTGACATTATTGTTAAATTGTTTTATAATCGTAGATTCAGTTAATTCTTTACTTTTTGAAAAAATTTCTTTTTTCAGTTATCTTTCTGGAGATTATTCCTTGTTTCGAGATGGCTAAGTCTTACAAAACCTAGATATAGACTATAAAGTTATTAAAGTTTAAGTGCAAGCATCGTTAAGGATAATATTTTATCCTTTAGCATTTTATTTTGTAATAGTTTCAATATAAGAATTTGATATATTATTTTATCTGCTTTGCATTCGATTATTTCCAATTACTTTTAACTTTTTTTAATCCCTAACTGTTAACTGCAGCTAAGTAGCCTACGGCCCAACATCGTTTTTTTTCATAGCAACTATTTGATTACTATAGTTTATGTATCCTTACCTTGTTAATTTATAAGTATTTCTACTTAATTATACTAAAAAGTTTTAATTTTCCTCCTTTGGTGAACGAAATATTGTTTTATAGAGATGAGAAAATTATTATTATTGTGGATTTGCACTGTTATTAAAGGTTTGATTATAAGACAAGTCATCGGTTTTTTAATTAGTTTCACTTTAGCTAGCAACATTTTGACCTTAGTTCAAACTGTTATATATAAAAGACTAATTTTCTAAATTTTTCATAGGACTTGTACTTATAGATTTAGCATTAGAAGAATTTATTGCACTAGGAAGTTTAAATTCATTATTTGTTACTATTTAAGATTATTATAAAGAATTTTATTCACTGTTAGCCATTGTAATTTTAGAAGCCTTCTAATTATATGTCTACTACCAATAGCTATTTTTTCTATACTGAGGTAATTCTGTTTTAGCACCACTTTATCTAAGCTGGGCAGAATTATAAACACACTCTTAATAAGATTTTAATTCACTTTTAATATTGTTATTTCCTCTTGATTAATTAGAAGGATTCAAACTCAATGAGTTCTAATGATGATGTGAATTCCTTGAAGATAAATCTAATGCCATCTAGTAATTATTTTATTTCTTAGAAATATCATTTATGTCTATAATATCTATCGACTCTTCTTCATCTTATATTTTTATACTAAATAATGATAAACTCTTTTCACGATTCAGCCATTCTTAGTAATCAGTTTGTATAGCTATACTAGTATTTTAGGCTGACTATGAAGAAACCATGTTTTTTCTCTATTTTATTTCATCTTCTTCAAATGTTCTTTACTTCAAAGCAGACTTAAATGTAGTTGGTGAAGCATTCTCATTTTTATACATTGAACTGGTATTTTATTTTCTACTCTAAGATTGTTTCGATGTGCTTGTATTACCTCCGTTGTTTGTAATTACAGAATTTAAAGCAGAATTTTTATTAACTTTAGCTAAATTTTCATTTATCGATTTAATTTCCTTTACATTAAGCTCATCTGCGCTTGGATCCGAATCACTACCTGAAGAATCATTATTTGTTTTAGTCTAGTCTTTATTAATACTCTTTTTCAGAACTGACTGCACATCACACTTGAAGTTTTTAAATAATCTTTCATAAACATTCATGCTTTTATAGATCTAAACATCTATAATTTATTTTCTATCTGAATATGAATTTTCTCCTTGGTTTTGCTGCTACTCAGCCTTTTATTATTCCAGCTATTTTTAAATTTCCATCTCATATTCTTCTTCTTATTTATAAAGTTTATACATAGATTTACAAATAGCAGATCCGATTTCCTTATATTATTCGATAGTAAAATGATTCTTTTCTTAATTTTTATTAGTTGAACCATAAAAAGATGCTTCTAAAGTTAAAATATTTGTTTTATAAACTTTAAAAAGCTAGTTAAATAAAGCTATTCTCGCTGTGTTGGATTTACTTTACTGCAGCTTGAAGGTGCAGCTTGAAAAATCTATAAATTTACATTCTTCAGCACAGACTAAAGGAAATATTCTTGACTCTTCAACATCATCATCATTAGGATTTCCATAAAAAAAAGCATTCATTCTGGTATAAATTAAAACATGAATAAAAATAATTTTAACAAAATTAATCATACTTTTTGCTGTGACCATGCAAGTCAATTATGTAACGAATTTTATATTCCCTAGAAATAGAGCTGATTAATTATTTTATTGCATATACTGTTGTTAAATATTATTTGTCTGGAGTTAACCAATTTCTGTTTAAATCTACACCACTTAAATCTGTTCTATAATTACCATGAATCACTCCATCTGGATTGACCATAGGTACTACTTTAAAGACACATTTTTCTCTCAAATATGAAGCTTCCTCACTTTTTAGATTGCACAAATAGTTAATAACTCCCTCAACCATCCAAGATCCAGGAGTTTCTCCTGGATGCTATCTTGCAATTATGATTATTGCTTATTTAGATTTTTGGTTTGCACTTGATTTTAACTAAAAATTAATTACGATAAAGAATAAAATAATTAAATATTTATTTACTTATTTTGGAGCAGTGATCGTTAAGATATCGCATTTATTTTTTGCTAGAGTTAAGCAAAGTTTTTTTCTTTAGCATATTTTGCTCATTTCTGAAGGATTTGAAGAAAGTAGTCCGCTTAAATAGTTATTTAGATCAGTGTAGGTGTAAGGATAGCAATGAGCAAAATAAACTGTATCATTACTGTTTTCGAATTTATAGCTGAATTAAAGTGTGTAGTATGTTTTTTTTTCTTGCGATTCTCTTAAGATTTAATTTTTAAAGTAAGAAATATTAAAACCTCCTCTAAACCATCCCTATTACTCTTATTCATTTTTCTTCTTTGAAAATACTACAGGTCTCATTCCATAGTTAAACAAACTATCATTTTTCATCTAAAAAAAGAATTACAAAAGTTTAATTAAAATTAATTTACTAAATTGACAATGTTGAATCTAACTATTTGATTTTTTTAAGTCCCTTAAACTGAAAAGAAAAACCATTAAGTATTTCCTTTAGAGTTAGTATCGTTCTAAAGTACAAGATCATACTCTTTTGGTCCTATCTAATTTAATAATATGATCATATTTACTTAAAAAACATAAGATTTCCCTAAATAAAGTAAAAATTACTTAATAGGCAGCAAATAAATTTCCACTCTCAAAAGACGAATCCATTCTAAGAGTATGTTTATATTTTAATTTATTAAGAGATTCAGTATTTTATTGCTGTTCTATTATTTAAGCTTTTTCATTATCTTACTGAATAATTATTTTTGAATTTCTTTGTAAATATGATATTAAATCGTATTAAGTGGTAAGAGCATCTCCTTTTTCATCATTCACTAATTTTTTTAAATCACAAAAAAGGCCAGAGAAATATCTTTTCTTATTTAGAGGAACAAAATTGTAATTTGTATTATCCATCTTTCTATAAATAGGTTCCATACTTCCATATATTTCTTATAAAGTACCTTCTTTATTAGCCTTATCTTTTTTAGAAGCAGCTTCAATTTTTTTACTAGCCTTTTAAATAAAAAATATTGCTTTAAAAAATGTATGCATTAAATTAAATAATACAAATTTCATGTTTTGAGGAGTTGTCTACACTAACTATTTACCATTTTGATTGTATTCATTGAACTATGGAAGCTTACTTGATAAAGAACAATAAATCTATTTAAAAATTAAATAAAAAATTCTAAAAATTTACTTAAATACAAATTTATAAGCTGTTTTAACTAAATCATCATTTTAATTATAATTTAATATAGGATTAGGTGGAGGTAAGTAATCGCTATTATTCGAATCAGAATCCTCATTTTCATTGCTCTCTAATTTTTAATTAACTTCTTTTTTTTACAAATTTTCCTTCAACTATAATTTTATTCTTCCTTCATTTGTAGAGATATTAGTTTAAAATCTATCCAAATTAACACTTTCCCCCTGCTATTATTCTTATGAATTAACATAATTTTCTGAGGTTTATTCTAGTTTTTCATCTTATTAAATTGTTTGTATTTCTTCATTCTACATTGCTAAAGTAAAATTGGAGTAAGTAACTAAGTCTAATTTTTGGCACTTTATAAATTATATACCAACTATTCTTCTTATAATCTATGCGGTATTTCAACAGCTATAAAAAAGTATCTCAAAAGTGATTATTTTAGAGAAAAACTAACTAATCTATTGACTCCTATAGCTATTTTTTACACTTATAATTAGTAAAATAACCAATATTTTTTAATCAAAGATTTATCTTATTACTTTTATTAATTATTATTAATATGTATTTATTTGTGTATTTTTAGTGAGTGGACAAAGATAATTATTTATATTTTTTCTTTAAATTTCATCAAGAATTCTCATAAAATTTATTATCACCAACGAATTTAAAAATGGAATATGACATTTTTTATTTCAGGTAACCAAATATTTACTTCTAATAGTTATTAAAAGTTATATAAAAGGCATATTCTAAGCATGAAGATGTTAATATAAAAGTACTCAAAAAATACTTATAAGATATCTGATTAAAATTGCTTTATACGAATAGGTAGTACCTAAGAAAAAAAAAATCAAAAAATTTAAACTTAAAAAAAATAATTTATTTTTTATAAAATACTTTTTATATTTGTCTGATTTTTGTAATTAAAATTAATTATTTTTTAATAAAATTAAAATAAGTAACAGTAATAAAAATTTTTTTAGAAGATTAAATATTTTAATAAACTAGCTTTTTTAATTAAAGCTTAAACTTTAATTTTAATTTTCTTAGTTTTTATTTTTAATGTAAGAGATTATTTTATTAACAATTATTCCTTTTTAATTTAGATAATAAGAATTATAGGACTTAAATTAAAATTAAAAAAAATTAAATAAATTTTAATCATTTTTTTTATTTGTTGATTGATCTTTCAAGCTTGGTCTATAAATTAGAATTTTTTACATAATGAATTTTATATGCTTTTGAATTAATAGCATACATATTATGAATTTTTTTGACAAATTTTGTTTTTTTATAAATAATTTAAGGATTTTAGAAATGACAATTAATATTACTATTAAATTCTTTAATTAATTTACTTTCAATTAATTATTATATCAGATTTTTTTAGCAGGATATAATATATCACAGAAATATTAAAGTTCTGAAAAAGATAGTTAGAAAATGGTGTAAAACCTATAGAAATTTTATTTAGCTTACAAAGAAAAATAAAAAACAACAAAATTATTATGCAAATAAAAAATAAATTTCAAGAAATAATATGTTATAAAAGGTAAGCTTTTTCATATTAGGTAAAATCTTCACTATATTGAACAATTTTTTCACTTCTTTTCCTTCTGAAGATCGATGATGCGCTATGCGTCACGCAAACCTGTCTCATAAGCACCATGAATTGTCATCGAATCGGTAGTATGAGAAGCTTCTCCAGCAAAGAATAGTATGTTATCAACTGGCTATTAATAAATATAGCGAGAGCTACCAATATTTAAAGTTGGCATTGAGTAGTTACCTTAGATGTATTCAAAATTAGTAAAATCATTCCACATAACATCTAATAATTCTTCCTTTGCATTTGGGTATTTGAAGACACGAGTCATTTTTTCTAAAACTTCATCAATAAGAGCCTACCTTTTTTCAGGATCTTGCATTTCATCCATAATATCACCAGCTAAAAGACCAGCCAAGACATTAGTTTGAATTTCATCAGTATCTTTCTATTCGTGGTATTGATTCCACAAGAAACTGATTTTAGATCTTAAAAAGATTGTCCTTGCATTATCAGGCCAGAATCTATTCTTAAATTTGAAATGGATTTTACCTCCTCTTCCGAGCTTCATACGACGAATAGCATCTTACTTTTAAGGTGGTAATTCTGGATTAAAGCGAATTGTTTTATTTTACAACTAAGAAATAGGAACTGTGACAATGATATAGTCTCCTTCGTATCTATTTCCCTACTTATCGAAAATGATAACTCTATTGAAATCCTTTCCTTTACAGTCATCTTCGTCATTATCTTCATCTTCATCATCTTCGTCTCTTTATAATGGGTGTTCTTTTTCACCAAAGTAGTTGATTTCAGTGATAGGAGTAGAGTAATGAATGAAAGGTAATACAGATTCAAAAGCTTTTTCAATGATCTCATAGTGAGAAGTGTTCATCAATATGAAATTTAAGTCATGATCACTCTTTCTACCACTTTCGTAATCTCCGTATGCTTTTACAGAAATTTCATTCAGAGAACCTCCGTTTTCAATACCCCAGAAAGCTTCGTACCACTGGTAAAATTGAGATTTTAGTCCCTTTTTGGTAAAGAAATTTTAGAGTGACTGAGAGTCGTCTTAGATGTCTCTATTTTAAACAACTTCATTGTAGAAGTATTAGTCATTGTACTTGTTTAAAAATTCTTCTCTATCAATGAGTTCTTCTTTTTCAATGTCTTCAAAGTAATGATTGAGTGTGTCATCAGGTTTAAGATCAGCTCCCATTTTCAGGGCTAGATGGTAATAAGGACTGTTCACTTTGTGGATTTCCTCGCCGCCTACCTCGAGGGTGAACCCAGCAAATGAATCATCCTTACGTATTCTTCCTCCAAACTCCTTTCGAGCTTCAAAAATTTGAACATCAAATCCATTCTCATGCAAAGAATGAGCAGCAGCTAAACCAGATATACCAGCACCAATAATTAAAACAGATTTCCGTTTGGTACTCATCTCACGTAATGGCGGCGTCTTTTCTATATTAGGCAACAACAGCAGTAGTACACAATTTATCCCCCCCTTTTCGGAAAGCTTTATTTTTTTTTTGATTAAATTAATTATAGACGAAAAGAGATTAGGTTTGTTTTTTAAAGGTAATTTCAAAAACTAAAAGCAAAGAATTAATTGATTGATTGAAATTTTGTTTGATCATTATTTGAGTGAAAAAATTTCCACATGATGCAATATTTAGCTAATTTCAATAATTACTCTTTTTTGAGCTAAATCGATAAAATATTTTAGTTTAAATATACTCAAAGATGCTTTTCATTCAAAATTTAAGGTAGGATGATCAAAAGTTGAATGATTTTTCAATAAAAATCCAGTATAATTTATCAAAAAAGCTAAAAAAAATATTTAATCATATATTTTTTTGTTCTAAACCCAAGAGTTTGAAACAAATTAAAATAGAACAAGAAGTTTTAAAAATGTCTACATGTTTTTTCTCTTTACACAGATTATATGAGATTTAAATATTTATAAATTCAGCCAAAATTAGAAAATCTAAAAAACTCAACTAAATTGTAAAACTTTTTAAGGTTTTACTGATGCTTAACTTTGAACTTCTCATGCAAATTATTTTTAAGATCTGTTTTGTTTGAAATTTCTCCACGCAAATAATACGATTTAGATTATTATAAAAGTTGTTTTTACATCACAGTTATTAAATTTACTATAACAAGTTAATCCTCTATAAAATAGATGTATCCTAAGGTAAAACTAAGTTTTTTCTGTTGTTAAGAATATCCTTCATAGATCATTTCATTCTTTGAGATGAGTTTATTTTTATTTCACCGTTTGTTTAATGAGTTTAGCTTTTTTTCTTCAATACCGATGAGATACAGTTTTTAAATTTATACTAACATCTAAACAGATAATAATAATAATAAACAACAATTTTTAAAAAGTAAACAATTACTCAAAAACTCTTAAAAAAGAAATAACGATAAAACGAATTAAAATTTTTTTCAAAATCAGCCTTAAAATTTGATACAAAATGTATTGTATGCACATATATATGGAGATTTTAAATATTTTATTTTGGTATTGCCCAATGGCAATTTATTTGTGATTTAAAAATCTACATTTTTACACTTTAGTTGCTGTCTGATGTTTTTTACCTATTGAATAATTTAATGAATAGAAATATAATTTTGAGTAGAAGATAAAAAATATTGAAATTGCATCGTCACTATTGAAAAAAATAAATTTTTTAAAAAATATTTCTAAAAAAAATACAAAAGCCTTTTTTAATATGGCATTACAGATTACACTTTTATTTTTAAATTATCTTGATACTTTATGTTGTGTAATCTATGTTTTTTTGGTATTTGCGAAATTAAGGATGATTTCATCTAATACGAAAGAAATTACACAACAATAAATTTAGTAACCTCATTCAAGAAATCTTATTTAAAATAATCTAAAATTTTGTACGGTGAAAATAATAAGATTAATAGAAAGATTCTAATTTTTTAATTACAACCAATTATACTCAAAAATAAATAAATGAATTAATATTACTTTACAAATTGATTATTTATCTAAGTTTAAGAAACAATTTCTTTTTATACTCATTTAGACTTATTATTTAAAAAATTTTATTAAATTATTTTAATTAAGACATATTTTTTAATTAATAGAAAATAATTTAAAATCTATTAAAGGGAATAAATTTATAGTATTTTATTCGTTAATAATTCAATCAACATTTTTGATTTTTTTTTTATTTAAATTGTTTAATCAAAGTTTTATTTTATTCTATTAAAAAGAATAAAACAAAACTTATTTGTTAGATTTTAAAAATCTGAAATAAAAATATGTTATTTCTACTTTAAGTAATTATCTTTAGTAAAAATAAATAAATTTATATTTTGAAAATCTTAAAAATTCCATCTTATGAAATAATATAATAATAAAAAATTATTTATTAATCATATTTTGCACCAAAAGCAAAATTCTTTGCTTACAATTAATTTCAAATCTTTTACAAAGTTTAATTTTTTGTAAGTATAAAGAAACCAATTCTAAAAAATTAATCTTTTTTAATATAAAAGTAAAGTTAAGACCAATTTTATTCGGTTTTTAAATATTACTTCTAAGATTAAAAAAATTATTGTTTACAATTATTTACATCAATTCAGACAACTCTTCTTATTTTTTTATCCTCAGATTTTTAAATTTGTATTTTAAGTAATAAGAGTCTACTGAAATATATTTAATTAAATTTATACTTCTTTAAGAAATTATGGAAGGATATTTCATTTTATTCAAGATTTACAATTAATTATATTCTTAAATTAGAAGCAAGTGAATGTAAGTTTTCTTAATTATTTTTAAACTTCTATATTAATTAGCAAGAGCTGAAAATATTATTAAATTATTTTAAAATTAATTTAATTAAAATACATATTTAAATAGAAATAAATATGTTTTCTAGATTTTATTTGCATTTTATTTTTTGAGATATTTATCTAACAATAAAAGATATTAATATTGAAAACTAATATAACTTTAAACGCATTTATAAAATTAAATTAAATTTTTTTAAATATCAGAAATTTGTAGAGGAAAATGGCAATCAAAAAATAATTATTAATCTATGTTCACGGATTTGGGGGTAGTGGTTTTTCAAACAAGGGATAAATCCTACGTTCCCGTTTTTAAAATGTTGCTTCCCTTTCTTTACCTTAAATTCCAAATTTAGCGATTCATAATTTAGAATAGTTTATTTAGTATATGGATAAGAAGGAATATGATCCTGTTTTAGTTGGAAGTTCACTTGGAGGATTTTATTCAATTTATATAGGTGAAAAGTATAACTTAAAAACTATTTTGATAAATCCTTCTATTTAGCCATACTTAACTGCAAAAAACTATATTGGAATGAATAAATCATTTTATGATTAATCTTTGTATGAATGGAATACAAATCATACAGATTCTTTACATCAATATGAAGTTAAAAATATAAAAGACTAAACCAAGTATTTGTTGATGCTAACAACATAAGATGAAATTTTGGATTATCGCGTTGCTTTACAAAAATTGCCATAGGCTCATAAAGATATTTACGAAGGTGGTGATCATGAATATAAAATACTTCCCTAGAAATTGGATGTGATATAAAATTTCTTGTAAAATTGAAATTTATTATTAAAAAGAATTGTCAATAATTTATAAATGAAATTAGTAAGTACTGATAGCTATTAAAATATAAAATCAAATGTCTAATTGATGAAATCTTTTTCTTTCACTTCATTTTATATTAATTTTGTATAAACACTGATTCAGTATCATGCTTATGTAAGAATTAAGCCTACATGATTGATTCTATGTTATAAACTGTTTAATATTTCAAGTTGTCATTTATAAACAAAGTATATTTATCTTTTTGAAGATATAATTAAATTTTAATTTATGGTATTTTTTGAGAAACGATTAAAATTTTTGAACAAAACAAAAAAAGAATATAAATTAAAATCAAAGAACTCATCTGATTGTATCTAAAAATCCTTTTAATTTAATTTATTTGCTTGTTTGTTTATATATAATTAATAAAATATCTTTCTTTTTTAGATATGAAGTGCCATTATACATTTAATAAATAAATCAAGAAGTATTAAGAAACTTTTAGAACAAAATTTAAATCAATCTCCCTAATTAATATAAATTAATTAAACACTAAAAAATAAATTATTCTCTCGTTTTAAAAAGCAGATAGATAGATACCCTTTAAAAAAGTAAAATATTCAAGAAATGATCGCCAGACATATTTTAAAATTATAAAATCTCGCCAAGACTACTCCTTTCTTCAGAGTAAATATCTTTGTTTTAATTTTCACTTGAAAAATCCTATTTTTAAGATTATTTATTCAAATTATAATTTATCTTATTTTATTTAATTATTTAATAGTTCTCTGAATTCAATGAAACTGAATCTTCTTTCAATCACAACGAAAACAGACCTTAAAGAGTCCAAAAGCCCAGATTCAAAAAGGTTGCTATCATCCTTTCCGGTTGTGGTGTTTATGATGGTAGAATACTTTATTTCTTTTAGGTTTAACGATATTTTGACAAGAGAAAAGTATATCAAATAATAAATAAATAAACAAACAGAATGCAGAAATACTATTTTTTATAAAAAATGAATGTAAAAGCTAACATCTAAGTATATTTCAATTTTATATAGGTTCTGAAGTTACTGAAGTTGTTTCTTTGATGGTTCACTTGAATAAGAGTCATGTTTCCTTCTAATGTTTCGCTCCTAACTAAGACCAATTGCACGTTGTTAATCACATTACTGGTGAAACTACCACTGAAACTAGAAACGTTTTAGTTGAATCTGCTAGAATTGCTAGAGGAGAGGTCAAGGATATCACTTAACTTAAGGGTGAAGACTATCAAGCTGTCCTCCTTCCCGGTGGTTTCGGTGCTGCTAAGAATCTTTCTGATTACGCTGTTAATGGTACTAACTTCACAGTTAACTCTGAAGTCGAAAGAGTCCTTAGGGTAATTTTACATATAAATTCTCTTTATATTAGCCTAAAGTTATGGCTATTAAAAATATATAATATAAGCTCATTCATAATATCTAAGGATTTAAATTAGATAATAAAAGCATTGACATAAAATTCTAAATTACATTTGTTAAAAAATAGGAATTCCACAGCCAAAAGAAGCCTATTGGTGCTATGTGCATTAGTCCTTTAATTTTAGCTAAGGTTTTACAAAACGAAAAACCTAAAATCACCATGGGTAGAGTTGATAACCAAGACACCCCTAATAAATACTGGCCTCATAGTGAAGCTATCAATGCTGCTGAAACATTAGGTGCTCAACATTTCCAAAGAAATGCCGATAGATTCTAAGTCGATTTCGAAAATAAAATAGTCACTGCTCCTGCTATGATGTTTAACGGTTTCACCAAATTTTCTACTACTTTCGATGGAGCTGGTCACTTAGTTAACATTATTGATCAAATCGTCTAAGGTAACTCCATTAAGCTTGATACAATTGGTGAAAAGAAGCATGAAAATTTCGATGGTGAAAGAAGACCTAGAGGTTAATATAATAGAAACAACAACAACAGAAGACCTAGAGAAAACAACAACGAAAATCACGAATAACACCATCATCACGAATAATAATGAAAAATGTTTTATATTAATACAAAATAAGTAGAAGTATATTGATAAATAATATTATTAGATATTTATGAAATGCTCTATATCTATTTATCTATCTGCCTTAATGTTTATTTTATTGCTTAATATTATAAGTTCATCATATTTAATTTTACTATCAAAAATTCAGTTATTTCTTTAAAAGTTATGCACTATATTTATTTTAGAAAATAAATAAATAAATATATAATAGGTAGGATTATTTTTTTAGATGATTGGAATCTATTTAATATATTTATTTTTTATAGTTGAAAAATAGAAATATATATATATAATTATTGAAAATGGAGTTTGAAAAAATTTACTTACTTATTTTTCAGATAATGTTTAAACAATTTGTTTTTAGAAAACTAAAATATTAAAAATTAAAAATGTTATAAAATTAAAAAGTTATACTTGAAATAATCTAATTTTTTTATGAATGTAGATTATACGGTTTATATTTTCAATTCAAAACTAAATCAAAATAAAAATTCTGATTTGTCAAAAAAAGCATGAAGAATGAATATCAAACAATTTATTGTAAAGCCTGAAATAAATTTTTTTGAATTTAACATACTCATAATTTATTTTTTCGAATGAAATAAATATTATCTTTTGATTAGTTTTACTAACAAAGGAGGAGAGTTGTAAAAAAAATGTTCCATTTATTTTTTAAATAAAAACATTAAATTCATAAATAAGGAATTAAGAATAGAAATTCGCATTAATTAACCTTAATATAATTAAATAAAAATTTTACTGAAAAAAATGAAAAGAATTAATTTCTTTACAAAGGTTATATCAAAAATTTATACCTAATTAGAAAGAAGTTTATAAATATTATTCATCAAAAGTTATTACATTAAACTAAATATACTTTTTTATTTTCAAATTTACATCTAAAAAAAACTAATTTGTAAAATAAGATAAGAGTTAAGATTTTTATAATATAATAAACTAAAGAAAAGAAAATTTTTTCTTGAATGAACCTACTTAGAACAAATTTCATGAGATAATTAAATAGTCAATAAATATTTATTAGAAAAATTTTTATTTTTAATTAAAAAAATAGCTTTGCTCTAAATCAAATAAGATTAAATAAAGGAACGATTCGTATATTTGCATTTCAAAAAAATAAATTCAAATAATTCTTTTACCACCAAAAATTAAAAATTGAAAATTTATTTATTTATTCTACAGTGCTCATTTCTTTCACAAAAATGCATTTTAATTTTATTTTAATTCAAGCAATCCTTTTTTTTATTAAATGCTTATAAATGTTGTTTATATTTTATTTTTATTTCATTTAATGTTTGTTTATTGTATTTTATTTTTTAATGTATTTTATTTCATAAGTTTTTCATTTTTTCATTTTTTTATAATTTAATATTTTTTATTTTTATTTTTTAATTAATTTATTTATTTCTTTATTTATTTTTCTTAGAGCACGAGATGTTGTGAAGGCATTTCTAGAGATGAACTGTATGCTAATTTTTAAAAAAATACTAATTATATATGGTTAATATAGAATTATTTTTTTGAACTACAGACAATTTTAAATTGCTGATTTATGCTCAATTTCGCCTGCCGAGGGTATGGTTTAGCTATCTCATTTTTTCCCTAAAGATAGATCTGCCACCCCAATAACTATAATAATGAAAGATTTTTTTCCTCAAAAATAATTGATTTCTATTTTTTATGTATTCTCTTGGGTAGTGTAAATATGCTTTCGATTATTTTTGCATACTTAGTAACTACTTGCTTAAAAACTGCGGGAAGGGTAACGGGAATACGGAGAAAAGCATGTGAATCTATTACGTATAAGGGAAGGAAAATAAAAATCAATTATTTGTAAAAATCTTTCATTGTAGGGAAATTATTTTTGATTTTTTGTTTATTTAGATGTTTTTTTTTAGTTTTTTTGGTATTAAATCTTTGTAAAATTAATTAATTATAAGATTTAGAAACTAATTATTTTCATAAATCAAAATATTAATTTAGTATTTTGTATCTTTCCAAATTTTAATAATAAATGATATATTCTTGATACTTAATTATTTATAGGGATTTGTTTCATCTTAAATATTTAAAAAAAAGGAATTCTGAGTTTGTAATTTATACTAAATTTTTTTTGTTTTATAATTTAAAAGTTGAATAACTTTACAAATTCAAATTTAAATAATAAAAATATTGTAGACAGATATTTTTTTAAATTACAGATAGAGATTATGCTTAAATATTATAGAGATTATATAAAAATAAATAAGGAGGTAAAATTTTATATTCATGAGCATTAATTAGATTTCTATAGAGAAATTTATTAATTAAATGTTTTATATTATGAGGGAGTTTAGATTAAATTTCATAATAATATTCAATATTATTTAATCTAAAGTTAAGCTTAAAAACAAGGAAATTAAATCATTAGAGATAATATAAATATAATACAAAAACAAATCAAGTAGTTGAATTTCTATATTTCAAAAAAAAAAAGAGTTAAAGAGGTAGCTAAAAACTAAATTTTTATTCTAAAACAAACACTTGTATATCTCAATATTAAAATAGTGCTAAAAAATGAGTTAAGGCGAAGAAACTTTCAAAAGCTTATCTGCCGCATTGGAAGGCTTGAAAAACAGTCAATCTCTAGCATACTTTTAGTAATAGAATGCTGATCCTTACAATTAAATGCATAAATAAAAAAATACCTACAACAGCAATTATCTTACACAAGATGAGTAGAATCTTCATTATCTTGAGGATTCTCCTGAGCCAGAGCATTTTGAATTCTAGAATGTGAACGACCCTCATGAATAACTTAACTAGATGTATCAAAGTAGATAAATCTATAAGTAGCAATAATAGGGTGCAGGATTTTAGAGTTCTTAAAAGCCTTACTATAAAAATAACTATGAAGGTACCCAAGGTAGTCATAGATAGTATAATAATCCATAATCTTATAACTAAGCTGCTTAAAGTCACACTAATGGTTATCAAGGTTAAAGAGTATCTAATTACAACAGATATCAAGGCTAGCAAACTGGCTATTAAGGATAAAACTATATTCCTAATGAAAGAAACTTTTCACAAGGAGCAAAATATCAAGGTTAAAAACCTCCAGGCGCTTTTAATGCTCATCATTAGAACCAATTTAACAACCAAAATTCGCAATAGCAAGGATAACAATATCATGGTCATTCAAATACATTCCCCTAAGGAGAAAAGTCAGCAGGTGGTATTCATATTGAAGGTACAAAGATATTTATAAATAATATTGAACCCACTGTGAGCTAAGAAGAAATTCACCACTATTTTGATCCTTATGGAAAGATCAATGATTTAAAAGTATTCCACAGAAATGGGTAAAACTATGCTTATGTTATTTTTGAGAAGTACGAAGACGCTTTCAGAGCAACTAATGATGTTTCTCCCTAACCTAATTGGACAGTATCATTAGCTAAGTCAAAGAACACAGTTATGCAGTATCAAAGATCAACACTTTTCGAATAAGATGGTTAAAATCCTAATCCTCCATATACAGGCACAAGCAAATATAATAATCCTGCAGGAAATCCACCTCATTTCAAAAAGCCATTTAATAAATATTAATAAAATCCTAACATACAAAACCAACATCCAAATCCAAGATATGAAAAATCTGCAGGCACCAACTTTAGCCAAAACTAGTATGAATCATCTAATGGGGAAAAAATTCTTTAAAATATCAGTAATTTCAATGATAATAATGCAAATGGTCATAATAACTTAGGAGAAGTTCTTTCCAACCATAAAACTTAAATTAACTAAACTATCTTAGTTAGAGAAATCTGGGTGAGCAACATAGATGAAAAGTGCAAGCCTTATATTAGAGAAATTATTGAAGACTTCTTTGGAGGTATAGAAGAGGTAGAGTTCTTTGATAGAGGCAAAGACTCTTTTGCATTTATAAAATTTTTTATGGTTTAAACTGCTTATTTAGCTTTTACAAATAAGGAAAAAATTGCAGAACTTCTTGAGACAGGTAAATATTTATTCTTCATAACATATTATTTTATTTTTATGAATCTGAAAAATTCAAACAAATTTGATTTTTTCACCATTTCAATATCTATCTATCCTAAATAAAAATCCCTATTAAAAAATCAAAATAAAATTCAAAAAATATAAAGATAAGAAATTAAAAAGAAAAGAAAAAATAAATCAAATCTAAAATTCGCGCGTAATAAAATAAATTAAAAATAATAAGAAAGTAAATCATAAATCTATAAAAAAGAAATAATAATAATAATAATAATTATAATAATAAATAAAACTCTTATCTGAAATTTAAAAGACAATCAAAAGAAAAATATTGGGGAATATCAAACCATAAATAAATAAATAAATAAATAAATAAACAAAAAAATAAAGACAAACGGGGGAATCATTTATGAATAATAAAATCTAATAAATACTAAATTTAAAAAAGATCATTTATATAAAGTTTTACAAAAGATAAAAAATATCATCAACAAAAATAAAAATTTTACATTAGAATTTTACTTTCAAAAATTTTTAAATAAAACTAAATGAAATTTAAATCAAATTTGTTAAAAAGACTTTATAAAAAGATAACAAACAAACATGATTTGTAAAATTAAATAACAGAAATGTGATAATTTTCTTAAGTAAAATATTAATAAAATAATAAAACTTTAAGTGTGATATTTATTAATTAATTAATCAATATGAAAATCCATAGTTACAAAAATAAAAAATAATTTACCTAAAATCAAATAACACACACAACCAATTGTTGGATGAATTTAATTTAAATTATAAAAATATAATTTAACTATTATAAAATATAAATTAAAATATAGATTAAGTAAAATTAACATACTCTGATCCTTCTAGAAGAAAAAATATCATTGGTGATCACGAAGATTATATGAGAGATGAAAATTTATCTCCTGTTTTGTATATCAGTTTCCCTTATGGTTTCAAAGTGAAAAAAAGTGTCATCTAAAAAATTGCCAGTGACTACGGAACAGTATTAAACGTTACTTTGAAGAGAAGTGAAGATCCTAAATAAACTTCCAGTGTTTTAGTAGAATTCTAGGATTTAAAAGATGCTAAATTTGCTTTCAAACATATGAGAGAAGATCATGATAAGATGCATCCTAAATGTGAATTTGCAATTTTGCTCAATTCTGAAAAGTTTGTTAAAGAAAACAATTTAAAACTCAAAGAAAAAATCAAACCTACTGTATTACCTGGGTAAGCACCAACAACTACTTTCATTTAGTAAAAGCCTTTAGCTAGAAAACCTATTAATATAAATGAAAACGCTAATAATGCTTTATCAGATATAGCTGGTATTCGAATTTAAAAGTAACTTTAGTCCAAAGGAAGATAGTTTTCTCCTGAAAAAGATGCTGAAATAAATTAAAAACGTACTTATAATTAATTCAAGCAAAGTTCTTTAAATACAAGCTAGGATTAAGGTTATAATCCGGATGAGTAAGATGCAGAATTACTTGTAGAAGACGACGATGATGAAAATTTCATTTGGTCTGGTTTCATTTCAGTAATTATTTTTTCAAAACTTTAATAAACTAAATTTATTTAAAAATCTTTTAACAGATTAATAAAAAGGGTAGATGTGGTATGGATGCAAAAGTAATCTAAAGCCAAGGCTAATTAGATCTTGATACTTATAATCTCGTGATGACTACTAAATGTTAGCTTTCTGAGCCCTTGAGATATCCCCCTTATTCAGTACTTATATTTAGACCTTCAAACGAAACAGAAAAGAAACCTTTCAAAGATGTTAAAACATTTTTGAATAGCAACCCTAATTAAGCTGGTGTAATTCACACTAAAAATCTTATAATTTATATGTTCCCATCTAATGAGTAAGCCTTAAAATTCTACCCTCAACTCAAAGAAGGAAATATTTTAGCTCTATGTCACAACCAAGACTCTATCAGAGGGAATTTATCAAAGAAAGAAGGAAAGTATGATGAAAAATTGTAAGCAAGATAAAAAGCTGCTTTGAATGATTCACATGAGGATGACGAAGAAGATAATATGATTTATGATCCTACATCTATCTTACAAGATACATCAAAATATAATGGTAAAAAAGGTTAATAACAACACAGATATGAACATGATGAAGACAACTAATACTAAGAAGAAAATATTTATGATCCAAACAAAATAAATATGTAAAAAGATGATCCAAAAACTGATATTTCTGACTTAATAGATAATCCCTCACTTATGGATAGCATGTTGAAGAGTTTGTATTGAGCAAAGAAAATCTTTGAATCTCAATATCTTTATTTATTTAAATATAAAATATTAATAATGAATAAAAATGATAAGTTAAAATTTTAATTAATTACCAAATGATCAATCAATCAATCAATCAATTAATTAATTACCCTTTGAAATTAACAAAAAGAAATTAAATATCTTCCATTTTTCAAAATAAATTATATTATTAAAAAAATGCTTCTTAATTCTTAAGCATTAGTTTTATATTTATTTATATATACATATAAGTTTGTCAGTAATTATATCTTCATTTATAGAGTTGAAACATTTAGTTATATATATATCTATCTATCAATATATTTTTATTTTATCTTTATAATTAAGTTACTACAATTATTTATGTAGGTAAACAAATATTATTTATATTTTTATATATTTATATATATATTTATTAAATATTAGTCTTTAAGAGTTTTGGAAAATTATTTTTACTCTGTACAAAAAATTTTTAAATTATGAGATGATTGATGTTTGTTTTCTTTTGTTTGAAATATATAACTACAATTTTCATTCAAAAAATCAATGCAAAACTCAGTTTTGCTATTCAATAGAGGATTGTTATTTAAGTTTTTAAATTGCCTAAAGAAGAGGTGAATCTTTTACTTTGTAAGATTTCATTTAAGTTAGCAGCTTTCTAGATGGGCTATTTGTGAGTTTTCTTTTGGCTGCTTCAACGACGGATTCAGAATAATTTTACAGTAATTTTTCTTTGAGATTAAGAGGTAGTTCTTAATTGTTTGGTTATGCTAAATTTTAGCAACTACTTTGATTTGTTGTAATAGGTATATTACTTAATGATTACATAGAGGATCTTTGAGAAAAAGATATAGCAGACTGTTAATCATTAAACCCATTTCTTTGTCTTCTGTGAAAAGGATTTCCCATTAATATTTTACTTTATTTATACTCATTTAATTACTGTATGTTTGGATGAAATTCACGAGTTTAAGCTATATCTAATTTTTTTTATATAATATGTAAAATTTTTTGTTTCTCCTCAGAAAATTTAGTTTCAGAACTACTTTAATTAAACGACTTTCTAATGTATTGGTGATATGAACCTTCATAATTTGAAGGGTATTTCTACATGTATTTTAAAGAATTTTTCTGTTCTGAATTTTAGCTATTTTCTAATAATTTTTATGAAGATGAATTTTATTCTTTGATCGAAGAATACTAAATACAGTTATTTTATGTTTCTTGATCTTTTTCTAATTTAATAGGCAGAATTTTATTTGGAGTTTAAGGTGAATCTTATTTAATCTTTTTTTCAAAAGTTGGTGATTGAGATTGTAATGATTTTGCTAACTCAGCAGGCTTATGTAAGTAATTTAGTTCTGTTGGACGAGAATATATGCCATTCTTGAAATATAGATTATTTTTTATTAGTCTCTTTAGAGGGCTAGAGTCTTACTTTTTTTAATACTGAGCTAAGTTTTAGCTATCGTCTTCAAGGAAGGGTACAGAATTATTTTTTTTAAGTTATTAAATAGGAGAAGATGCAGAAGTTGCTGATGAAAATATTTTTTGAATCGTAAGCTTTTGTGTTTCTTTCGGAGTGTTAATTTTTTAAATTTCTGCCTCTCTTTCTTTTTTGAAACCAGCTGCTGCAATCATATCAGCTTATATTTGGTGCTTTAAAAGCTTTATAATGCTATTGTTTTCAGTAAATAAATTTTATAAGGATGTTTACTTTTCAAATTCATGCACATCATAATTAGAATTAGATTTTTCATGGACTGATACAAATCTCTTTAATGGTATTTACTTATTTGAAGGAGAAACGGAATAGCTACACTTTAACTTTGTTGCAGATATTTGGTTTGATTGCAATTACCTCTATGTTGTTTGCTCATTATCTTATTCAGGAGTAATAGATATCACTTTACCTTATTCTTAATTACTTCTGTTGCTTATAGTATTTTGATTTCCTTCTAAGTGAAACTCTTACTCAATTTCATCATTTTTGCAATTAAAAAGATCTATGAAGTTAATAGGTTATTTGTTATCAAAAATATCGAATCTAAGGTGAACTGTTTCTTTAAGTGGACTCTTTAAAGAGTTTTATTCATTAAATTCTTAGTCACTGATGCTTGATAGATGGTCTAAAACGTTGGTATAATGTCTCTTAGCTTCTTCCTAATGCTCACCATTTGTGATAGCCAAATTAGCACAATTCATTTAAACATTAATATTATTTTTGTGATTTTCATTGTTTGAATTAAATTAATCTAAAAATTCGCTTAAATTATTTTTACTATCGTTAAATAGTTTTTCATCGCGAGACAATATTTGTATATTATTTGCAAATCCATCATTAATTGTAGAAATTTGTTAAATATCGTCATCCTAGTTATTTTTCTTTCTTATTTCACTCATGTTTATTTGATCTCCAAGCAAAAAACTAATATTTGGAGAAGGAATCCTGTTCTATTAGTTCATTTTTATAATAGGAACTATTTCTCTTTTAATAAAATTTTCACTTTACTCTAAGTTAAATTATTCTGCATTCAACTCTTAATTTGTACTATTTTGATTGTCATTTTAATCCATCTGAAGTTGCTTGTCAGGAATTTATTACAATGAAACACAATTTAGTGATTTTTCCTATTTAAACGAAGACTAGTTGAGGATATCACTGTTGCTTAAAAACTCTTTAGAAAAATCCTTGAATTTTGAACTCTTAGTTTTTTGTGCAAATAATCTCTTCTGGTTATTTTTTGAATCATTATTATATTCGAATGAGTTATTTGCGCTTGAAAACACTTTACTAATTTTGCTTTCATCGAATTAAGGTAAAATAAAATTGTTATTGTTTTCATTTCCATTTAGATTAAGATTTTATTATTAAATTGCAGCATTTTTGACAGTACGGTCATCATAAATGCTAATGCAAGCAAGGTCTCCATTAATGATACCGTTGATTAAAAGATTAGGGGAAACAGGTGTGCCTTTAGAGCCTCTGTGAATTTTATTAGATGATCCTTCATTTTACTTAGCAGCTTATGAACTGTTGTCAATAATTAAAATTTCATCCTCTTAAGTAGGTACGTAATTACCTCTTTATATAAAATTATTCTATAAATAATTATTGAAATTTCCTAAGTTGCTCAAATTACTGGCATCAATTTTTATATTATTATAGTTAAGATGAGCAGGAGTATTGACAGAGTTTTATTGTGAAAAACTAGGCTTGCTTTAAGATATATTTGCCTTGATTTCGCTAACATCAACAAAAAATTAACTAAATTTAGAGTTATCTATCATCTTTTGTTTTTTTTAAACTTCTTCTAAAGGTTCGATTTCATCTTCTAAAAGAGCAGAAAGATTCAGTTGCTAATTTTTTAAACAGCTATTATTAACCATCTACACTTGATTCAATCCCTCCATTTCTTACCTTCTTTTACTCTTCCTTCTTTTACCAATTTGCTCATTTTAATAATCTTTGTTTTTCGCTTCTAAACAAGATATATCATTCAATATATCTTCCAGTTAATTAGATTCTTGTAGAGTTTTTTACAGATTACAGTCTACGCTATCAATAAGTTTAAATATATCTTCTAAGACTACATGTTTTGGCTCTATAATAACGAAACTATTGGCTATTTACTCTATTTCATATGCTTTTAGCAGAATTTCTTCTTTTGCTGATATGTTTAGAGAGTTTTATTCTTCATCAATGTCATTTTCATTATCTAATTCTTTTAAAATCTCTTAATTGTATGAAGATTATAGTGCTAATATAGTTGAAGGACGCTAAGATTAGTCCAGTAAGAATGGGTTAGATTAGATATTGCTTTTTTCTACATGTAAATTATTTTTACTTAACTTTATTTCTATTTTATTTTCTTTATCAGGCTAATTTTTCTATGCTAACACAATATCATCATAAAACTTGCGTAAGATAGTTTAGTTTTAAGACTTATAATTAGGTCTTGTCTACCTCTTATGTGTTTGAGAAGCCATTGACGAACTATAATTTTAATGGTTGAATGAAGAGGAATTAAATATTAAATCTTCGAGATATCCACCTTAATTGAGATCTTTTTCAAGTTATGAGTCTATTGGAAGTTAATAATCAGTAGTGAGAATCCCTGAATAGTTAGAGAAAGGCGTAGAAGTGCCATCTTCACCTCCTTCGACAAAACGCAATTATAAATTTTTTTTATCCTCCTCTAATAACAAATCTAAACCATGATCTCTCCAAGGTCTTCGTCTTCTCAATTTATCCAATCTTTTAAATATACCTTAGAAGTCTACTTCTTTTTTATTGATATAAGAATTTTGTATATTTTTAATCTGAGACTAAATGCTTTCAATTCTTCTTTTAAAGTAAATTTCCATTTTGCGCTACATACTTTTATACTGATTTTCCATTTTTATTAGTGTCTGTCCAGCCTCAGCATTCAAGCATTATTCTTTCTTTAATTATTCGTTTAATTAAAAAATAATTTCTTTGTCTTTTTCAACTTCATATTTTTGCTTTTTCTAATAAATCGCTTATTGAAAATTGCCTACATTATGATTTATCATCATGTCAATTAAAACATTAGCCTCTATAACTTCTTACTATGCTTTTTATTCAATTGAATTAACTCTATGCAAGATGTCAAGAATAGCTTAAGATAGATCATCTACGATTTCTTGAGTGCTTCTTATACTAACTTTACTTATTTGAGTTAAATCTTAAGTATTTTTAGAAGGCAGAATTTTGCAGCAGCAATCAAAAGGATTTGAAGGAGGCCCAAATTAAATCAATTCTTTTAATAATTAATTGCATTTATCAAAGGAATCCATAACTAGCTAAGAAGCTTGTGATTGATTCATTGAGCGAGCAAACCAATCAAACTTAAAGATACTTGTAAAAAGAATTTACTATAGCTATCTGAATGTGTAATTATACGCTTTATTACAATTAATTCTATGCTAATGAAATAAATACTATTTTATTATCAATTTAAAAGTAATTATTATTAATTTTTTAGAATGCTATTACGGATGGTTAAGATAGCTATTTATATAAATATATATTAAAACCAGGAGTTCAGTCAGCAAACTATAAAATTTATTATCAAAATACTGATAATTTAATCATAAAAATAGATTATTACTTCAAATTATTAGCACTAAGTATCTAACTAAAATGAGAAAAGAACTTCTATTTTTTCTTAGCCTTACTTACTTACTAAATAAATAAAATTAGATGTATTAGACCTTTCCTTTTATCCTTATTGTTTTTATTTGATAAAGAAAATTCCTATTGATAAGTTGCTTTTAAAAATTTTAGAATCATACTTTTCATCATTTCATGTTTAAAATAAAAATGATTGATAAAAATAATTTATTTTAATAAACATTTTCAAAATAAATTTCAAACTAAACGATGGCATTTTATAAAAGTGAAGAATTAAATAATTATTGTGTAAATAAGTTGACAAAAACTAATTGAATTTTAAATACTTTAATAAAATTTTATACAAAAATGTTTTTTTGATTGGGATTTTGTTATTAATAATTAATGAGCACTTTATGAATGAATATTTTTTTCTATCTATCTGATACTATCTTTGTTATTAATTTTGTGGGTATTATTTTTTTTAAATTTAAAATATATAAATATCATAATGATAAATTATTGATCTATCTACAAATTTTCATTCATTATCTTTTAATTTTTTAAAGTAAATTTTGAATCTACTAATTGCTTTATTATTATTATCATCAATCAATTCATAAAAAGGCAATTAATCAAAACTTTAGAATTGTTAAAAAATATCAATTTTTTAATTGCAAATGTTTAGTTAAAAAGGAAAGAATTCTGAAAGACTGAATACAAACGAGAGTTAGCAGTTTAAAGAAACAGCTGGCTTTAAACCTTTTATGAAGGGAACGCTAAATTAATAAGAATTCTAAAATAACGCAAGTCAAAAAAATTAAATTAATAACCGTAACTCTTTGTATCCATATTCAGAATCGGGCAATGACTTACTTTAATATTCGTAATCAAATATACTTGCAAGTAAATTAAATTAATAGCCCATGACAACACCTAGAAGATTAGAGATATTAACAAATAATAATAGCATTTTAAGAGAAAGTTCTGTATTATTTATGTCTAAGCTTCACTACAAGCCGTTTGCATACCGCAGATGCCTAGAAAAGCTAAATTTAAATATGTTAGAGAATATTAATATTGATTAAATAGAATATACTTAAGATTTAACCAGCGCACAAAAAATGCTTAAAAATATAGCATTTGCTGAATTTGATGTAAAGACTGTTGAAAATATGGGTTATGAAAACTTTAACAAAATATTTCGCTTATGGTAATAGGCCATATTAAATTATGGAGTTTAATAGTAGGAAGAATAAACAAAAGGAGAAAAACTCTATACTAAGTATAGAGAACATTTAGATGCAAGTCAAAAGATAGACGATATTAAAAAAGCACATGCAGAAAAAAAAACTAAATTATATGAATAAATTAAAACACTTTAATGGTAGATCAACGAACTAAAGCAGCAGAGTTAAAAGTAAGGAAAATTTAAGTGCACATACTGTACCAAGCTGTTTGAAAATAAAGAGGATATAAAGACTCATATTCGCTCAGCTCATAAAGATAAAATTGAAAAGATAAAAGAAGATTAAAAGGTAATTGAAGATTTCGGCAATCCTATGAGGCTTATGACACGCAGAGAAGAGAGACATTTGTAAGAATAAAATGAATTATTAGCATAAAAGGTAATTAATTATATATTATTTGATTGTTATAAGTTATGATAATATATATCATTTAGGTTGCTAAGGAAGTTGAAGAAAAAATGTAATAGCAACTAAAGATTCTTTTTGAAAAAAATTAAGAGTTATAGAAAAGAAAGAGAGAAGAAGAGTTAAGAAATGAGTTCAATACAAGCACTAACGATGAACTTTAAGAAAATTAGAAGCATTTATTAAGTAGCATTTCCAAGATGAACAATGTCTTTGGTGGATTCGAAGAAATGTTTGCCTAAATGCAAACTAAATAGTAAAATTTAATAGAAGAGCAGTAGCAATAAAATAAAAGATTAAAGGAAATAGAAATGGATTAGAAGAAATTGGAGAGCGAAAGATTAGCTAAAGAAAAAGAATATTAGGAATATTTGAAGAGTATACATAATACACAAACAAAATAATTAGAACTAAGTAGAAATGAAGAAGAATATTTTGGATCTTAGATGAGGCCTGAAGAGTTATAATTGAGTAAAGAGCCTTCATTTGGCAATCCTTACATGAATTAATTTAGAGGTTAGTAAAGACAATCAAGTTAAAATAACTATAAAAAGAAAGATGATTTTTTTTTGGAATTAGTAGAGGAAGATGAGAATAAAGAGAATTTCTTTTTGAATAGAAACTCTCGAAATCCTTTGGAATAATATTATAACACACAACAATCATAATAGACGAATACATAAGTTTAAATGTCTCAGCTTATGACATAAAATGAAAGTTCAGCATCAAAAAGAGATTTGAAAAAATAATTTAAAGAAAAATATAAATCAGAAGATGAAGTTATTACTACGTAAAGTATTATTAAAAAGAAAAATAAAATGATGCATATAGGAGATCTAGAGAGTGACTATGATTCTGATTTATTAGAAGAGTCTTATGAAGAAGGAGTGCTGTAACCAACTAATAAGCATGAGATATTTAAATAAGCTGAAATACAATTTAAAGAAAAATTAATGACCGCCTAAGAAAAATATCAAATTGAAAAAGATAAACAATACAAATAAGCTGTAGCTCGTAGAGATTTAATTGATGATAATAGAAAAAAGAAATACAATTATCCATTTGAAACAAATAAGATTATTAACAATTTCTCTTCACTTGAATAAGATAAAATTAGAAATGAGCGTTTAATTGATGAAGTTATACAGATGAATAAATTGAAAGATGAAAGAAATTAAAGTCCATAACAAAGCGATGATGAACTAGAACTGATAAATGATTAAGTAGATATTGAAGAAATGAAGAAGCATTTTATAAAAAATAATTTAAATTTTGAATTGGATAATTCTGGATCAGAGAAAAAAGACATTTAAGACCTTGATTAAATGCAATTTGATTAGTTAAGATCAGCCTATTAACAAAGATACAATCCTAAATAAATTAATAGATTTTGATGTAAAATTAAGTAAAATGGAGCACTACCTCAAAATCACATTTAAAAGCTTAAATTAAGCATTATTATTAATCAATAAATAGACAAATATCAATAAAATATATATAATTTCATAGCTATCACAGTTAAACGCATAGCTTTTATTAAATTTTGCTTTTTATTGATATTTTATATTAAAATTTAGTAATATTATTGATATTAATAAAATTTTCCTTTTTTATTGATTCACTTATTACGTAATACTTTATTGAATTATAAGCATATATGATTAGTATTCAAACATTTTTAATTCATGGTTTGGCAAATTAAACAAATAAAATTCTAAAACCATTAAAAATTACTTTTACAAAAAATTTTTTTGATTAAAGTAAATTAAGATAAAAGTTATCTATCATTCTATTTGTTACATGTCTCAAGACTTTTCAAAACATATCTTTAGAACTAAATTTCTAAAAAAATAATCTACTTTGGTAGAGGAAAATTCTGATTTATTTTTTATCAATCAAGTAAAATTTTTAATGTATTTCACTAAAATTAGAAAAATTATTTTGCAAAGAAGTAACAAAATATTCTCTATATAATTAATTGAAGACTAATAAAAAATTTATTCTTTAATTAAATCATCAATTCTAATTAAATTCAATATGCATTAAATTATATATGGGATGGATTTGCTTTATTTTTATAATAGGGATTATTATTTAAAAATAATTTTAAAAACAATCTGGTTTATTTATTTATTTAATTATTTACAGTGCAATTTAATAAATTTTGATTAAGATATGATATGCATTTTTTACAGTCTAGTAGGTTCTAATTGATTTATTCATTATAACTAATTTTAAAAGCTAAAACTAAAGTATTTTAACAAATTGAATAGAAAACTTAATTATTTCTTAGCCAAGCAAATATTACTTCAAATTAATCTTTTGAAATTAAAAATTGATAAATTTTTATAGACCCAATTAAATTGAATAATTATCAAGTACATAGTAATAGGAATAGTAACATTAAAAAAATAGAAATGCCAAATTACGGAACTAAAAATTACTGGGAAAAGCGTTATAAAAAGCAAAAGAATACAGTATTTGAATGGCTAGAGAACTACTAGGATTTAAAAGAAATCATCAATGAGAGCTGTTAAAAAGACGGAATAATTCTAAATTTAGGATGTGGCAATAGTGTTATTTAAGAAGAGATGTATGATGATGGATACAAAAATATTTATAATATAGATATATCAGAAGAATGCATAAAATAGATGGATAGTAGAAAAGGCAATAGACCAGAACTGATTTACGAAGTATAATCATAATTTTAATTAAATTGGATTTCCGTTTTAAAATTTTCAAGATAGACTTTTAGATTGAATACATATGCTATAAAAAGCTGATATGCTTTAAATAGTGAGTTATCATATAACTCTTTTATTTAACTTTAAAATAGGTTATGGACTGTACAGAGCTTAAATATGAAGATGAGAAATTTGATTTTGTTATAGATAAGTCTACTATTGATGCTCTTTTGTGTGGAGATTACAGTTATTTAAATGTTGCAAAGATGATGTCAGAAGTATAAAGAGTGCTTAAGCCTAATGGCGTTTACTTAATTGTGAGCTATGGCGAACCTTATAATAGGACCTTCCATTTTGAAAGGAACCATATCGACTTTACATATACCGTTAAGGCATTACCACCTAAAGGTACCTCTAAACAAGATTTCTAAAATTAATATAAAGCCATAAAAAATTTTGAGTTTTAATATATCAAATATTATCTAAATACAATTCTAAAATTTATAATTCTGATTTGTTTCTATTTTCTAAATGCCTTAGATGCCCAAGATGGAAGCGGATAAAAATAGAACCCTCATTATGCCTACATACTTAAGAAAGGTCCAAATGCATAGTAAAAATATGAAAATAATTACGAAGAAGTTATTCTCGAGTTAATTGAAGAAGAAAAAGAAGCATTGAAGTTGTATGGCGCTTCTAAGGTACTTTAAATGTCTTGTTATAATTTAAAAAAGTTTTTAATTTTATTTAGGATTAGGATTCTGGTGATGAGGATTCATAAAGTGATGAAGAGAAATAATTAGAAGAAGGGGAAGATAGTTAAGAGGAATGCGAAGATAAATAGTTAAGCAGTCAATAAAATACAGATGATTAAAGCAAAGAAGAAGAAATAAATGAACTTAAATTAGAAAGTTTTGAAACAAAAGATAAACAATAAGATGAAAGAGAATGTAAAAATTTAGAAATTGGTAATGAACAAAAGTTTGAAGAATTGAAGTTAAACTGAAATTCTATATCAAAGATATAAAAAATAGTTATTTATTTTAGTTAGTAATTATATTTAGTTATAAAGAATAGTTAAAAAATAAGTTATAGTTAAATTTTTATTCTTTGTTTTGAATTAATAACCATATTTATTGATTATTAACAAAAAAATAGTTGTTTGTTTGTTATTTTTGTTAAATAAAAAGATAGATATTATTTATAATAAAAAAATAATTAATATTTATTATTGACAATCAGTAACAACAATTAACACTTCAAATAATTATTATTATTGTTGTAAAAATTTAAGCTCATATCAAATTATATTGATAAATTAAAATATTAAGAGATTTGCTTTACTCTACTAAATAAAATAAATAATTTACTTATTATTTAGCTTGTGAAATTAGTGTGTTAGTTATCTCACAGAATAAGTAATAATTGAAATTTAGAACTGTAAAAGGAAGGATCTCAGATATTTAAATCTATGAGTATTATTTCTATTTTAAAATAAATATTAAAATTATCTTATAACTTAATACTAAAAAAGATGAATTGGATAATTAAATAAATCTAGTTAATAATCTAAGCTATATTAGAAATTTTTAAGAGTATGATAGTGATGGTGGGTTATAAAAGGGTAGAATCAAAAGAAAAACTTTGATGGACAATATTTAAAATAGATTTTATCATAATATAGAGAAAATTAGATTAGCTGTAGATGAAATAAATAATCAAAGAATGTTAATGTAGAATAAAGATTAAACTCCTATACTGACTCCAGTTTTTCAATCTGTGCAGACTTTAATAGGGAAGTAGCGTGTAAAAGAAGCAAAAATGTATACAGGAAAAGAAGCGGTTTCATTAGATTCCTAGCTTTTTGATATTCCGTTAATGGATGAAGAAGTAATTTATTGTTTATTTATTTTAACATAGATTTAATTAACTCATATTGAAGGTTATTTAATAAAAACGATAACTATTTTTGCAATTAATTGACTAAAAAGGTAAAGTAATACCAGAAAGTTTTTGACATGAAAAAAAACAACCATGATTTGCTCAAATTCAATAAGATAGAGAATTAAATAAAAGCAATAAACAAAAAGCTTAAAGATAGAGAAAATCCAGTTTCATTAAAGTTAAATGAAAATAATGAAGATTAACCTGAGATATTTAAATAAAAAAATGGTTCTCATAAAAAGAAATAATCAAAATAAGAAAGTATAGAAAATCGAATTTAATTTTAATAAAAATAATTAACAAGTGAGCTATTAAAGAAATAGTTTTTTTAACAAAGAATTAAATTATAAAATAAGAAGAAATAACATTTTATAGAATGCGATTAAAGAATCAAAGCTCTCTATTTTTAGAACTTAGATGAAGATGAAACTTCTGAATGCAATTCTCCAGTACTTTAAAATTCTAAATCTTTAACTAAAAGTATTTTTCTAAAAAATAATTAATCGAACAAAAGCTTAAGTATCGATGTAAGCTAGAAAAGGAGAAGTATTGATTAAAACGAAGGTCTTAATCCTAGCAACGTTGGTTATCCTTCTCCAATAAAAAAAAAATTAAGTTCTATTTACTTTCCAAATGAAAGTATTTCTAAAAATTCTATGGAAAAATCATAAAGTAACTATTCATAGAATTTACTCTCTCCACAAAGACTAAAATCTCACACTCAATCAAATTAAAATTCTATTTAAACCTCTAATTAAAAAATAGAATAAATATCTAGAGCATAAAGTTTTATTTATCCTTACAAGCTTTCAGATATAAAAGAAAAAGTTTAAAGAACAGAGAAGATGAATTTAAAAGATGAAAAATAATTGATAAGCGATTCTATACAAGTTATGCTTGATTCTATAATGGAAGAAAAGTAAAAAAAGAAATAAAGGCAAAGTATAGTTTTCTAAAATAAATTATAATCTTAGAATGACGAATAATAGCTACTTTCTTCCTCAAGCAGTGAGAATATTTACTTCAAAGAAAATTTAAGCCATTCTAAAACATAAAACTTAAGTAACGATAATAAAAAATTTAGAAAAATTGAGCTGAGTTAGACAAATAACATTTTTTTAAGTAGAAGTAATGCATCTAACCAAAATTATTAAGATTTAGATGAAGAATTGATTATAAAAATGGAAAAAAATAAAATTAGAGGAGAAAGGCTGATTTAACTTAAAAAAAAGCTTGGTTTACTCGATTAAAATACACTGAAGAACGAGTAAATAGATTAAATTGTTAAAGAAATAGACAACATACATAAAGAGCAAGAAGAACAAAATCTAAATAAATTAAAATCTTAGAATTTAAAATAAATTTAAAACAATAATCAATAAAGGAAAAATTTATTAACTTTTTCTAAGAACGAAAATTATTAATTACTTAAGAAATATGCCAATCAAAAGCGAAGAGGCTTCTAAAATCAGAATCTTTCAGAGGGCAGGTTTAGTTAACTTTAAAATTCAAGTATCAACTAAAGAGTTAACAAGAGTATGCTAATAAATGAGAACTTTAGCATATAAGATGGAGAATAAAATTCAATTGATGGTACTTTATTGCTAACAAATAGATCTAACTTTGATAAAATATTATTGCAAAATAAATAAGCATAAAGTTTAAAATAAAATGAGATTTAGAGATATAATAGAAATGAAAACTCCATAAATTCTTCCTCCTTTCATGAAACATCAGTTGGCTCCAGATAAAATAAAAATAGCATTTAAGATGTTAATTATGATAATTATAAAATATAATATATATCCTTTTAGAATTAAAATCAAAGAAAATATCACACAGATTAAGTAAATCAAACATCTCAAGAGTCTTTTCGAAACAAATTGAATTAAAACAAATTTAGTGAACATAATTCTCTGAACCATACTTAGAATAACAGGGTTTTCAATATTAAAATCAGTAAGAATTAATCTTAGACCATAAATAAGTATAACAATGAATCAAGTTAAGAAAGGCTATTAGATGATGAAAATCGTGGTGGTTTGAATTTACTTAAAAATTTAAGTAAAATTGAACCAAAAAAATTATCAGAAAAAACATAAAGCAATATAAGTTTAAAGACATATGAAGGTATAAGTCAAAGTGATAATTATGGTTTTTTAAAGGATATTCAATAAAAATAAAAAATAGAGCAAAACAGAGATAATAATAAATAGTTTCCTCAGTTGAGAACAAGATTGTAAAATAATTCATTAAATAAAAGAGTAGATTAACAATAGTAATAAGAATCTAACCCCATATTAGTTTAATCGTTTCTTATAAATCAAACAAACTCTTTGTTAGATTAAAGCAATACTTAACATAAACTATACCAACAAAATAATTTCATGAAGCATTTTTTCAGATAAAAAGTAAATCTCAAAAAAGAATTTGGAGAAAAGGTTACAGAAGCTGATAGAGAAACTTTTACTTGTAAAGCAAAAGTGAGTAATTTCTTCGATAATTTATTGGATTATTAAGAATAAAGTATATTAAATAGCAAAAATATTAATCATTAAATAAATAAGAGTATAAAAACTTTCAGCTCTCATCTGATTGGTTGGAAAAATGAATTATAAGAATGCAATCAAGACAATAATAATCATAATAATAATAATAATAATCATATACAATTTAATACATAAAAATACAATAAAAACATATCAGTAACAGCAACAGAAAAGTTGTAAGAGAAGTAAACAAAGAATTTATTAAAATTATGAAAGATACTTAAAAAAGCAGTTTACAAAAAATCAAACAAATGGATGGTATAAATTAAATAAAAAACAAATAATTTTTGCTAAAAATAAGCATTTTCTTAATGGCTCAGTTATATCTAAAAAGTGTAAGCTCTGTACCCAAAACATAAATAAATTTAATGAATATTTTTTAATAATATTGACAAAGTTTTCATCAGAAACATTAGAGAAAAAATTTTTCTTAATATATTTATAAAAATACCTAATTTTATAAAAACATTACTGTTTTTAGAGTAAATACCTCAAAAACCAGAATAAATTATCATTCAAGTAATAATTCTTCAAGATATCATATTCAGAAAAAAAGTAATAAACTATATGCTTGTCTTTTATTTTTTATATTTCAGCCAATGTAAAAATATTACAAATACCATTAAAAAATTTAAAAGTTAGGTTCATTCATTCATTAATCTTTGCAAAAAAATTTTAAATCTTTAACTCACAAGTTTTAGTGTAAGCTTGATAAATCCTATAAAAAAAGGAGTTAAAACAATGAAATCGACTTTATTTGATTGTATATAAAAATAGCAAATAAATAAATTTATAGTAGAAATGAATGAATTAATTTATTTATTTACATTGAAGAATTTCTTACTTTCTTCGATTATTAAATTTCATAAAAATATAAATTTATCTTACGCAAACCAATCTAATACAAATAGATAGATAGATTGATAGTTAGATCTGAATTCAATTTTTACCTTTTGGTTTTATTTTTGTTAAATAATGGACCAGCTTACTTATTGTCAAAAGTAAACTAAACTTGCAAATTAATTCTTAACCGAATTTTAAGAACAGCAAAACGATTACTAGAATAGCGTTACTTATTTATGATTGAATGCAACAACTAGGATAACAAATATAAATTTTCATTTATTTTTAATTATTTCTTTACTTGAATTATCATTTCACAAACTATTTTTTCTAACGCATTTTAAATTAAAATAGCTCCATTAAAAAAAAATTATTTTGAGTTTATTTTTCTTTTGAGCTACAAGGGTAGAATGCTTAAATGAGAGTAGCAATAATATTTTATAAAGTATTTCACATTTTTTAGTTAAAAATTTTTTATGTTGAAAATATTTATGGTTAGCCTACAACATCAAACAAATTTTGTTAAATTTTTACTAAAAAAAAAATCAAAATTATGAATGATGATGGATAAATATTAATCTATGGGTTATATTAATCATAATGGAAGCGTTATTACTACTCAAAATTATTATTTTTGCTCAAAAAAGATCAAAACATAAATAAAATGAATTCTAAATGAAGAAAAAGTAAAGGTAAATGTCGTAAATATTGCTTTTTTTCAAATAATATTATTCTTTTTGTAAATACTTGTGATAATTTGAAAATAGTAAAGTAAAATAATGAAAAAAGAGAATCGTGATGAATTAATTTTTTATCTATGATTATAAGCTATGAAATTTTTCAAAAATAATTCAGCAAATTATTCTATTTTAAGAAAAGTATTGTTTTCCTATTTATTTTATTGTTTTTTATTATAATTTATAAAGTAAAAAAATAAAATAATTTTTAAAAGAAGAGTAAGGAAATTGAAGAAGTAGTTTGTAGTAAATTAAAAAAATTGAAAAGAAAACAAATTAAAATTTACAATTCATCATGATTAAATTTATTAATTTTTCAGCTTTTTTTTATTTCCTTGTTTGATTTAAATCGATTCTTGATTGAAAAAAGAAGATATATTACAAGAAAGATAGGAAGGGAAGGTATAAAGAATTTAAATGTTATATATAATATTAGAACAGATAATAACTTAGATTAAATAGATTAATAGAAATTAAACACAAAATAAATAATTGATTAATCTCTTTCTGTGCAAATTTTATACTTACACAAAATACTTTCAAAAATATTTGCCTTACACATTTATTTTTCAGTCTTGTATTTTCTTTTACAAGGTATTTTGCTAAAAAATCAAAACAATTTAAGGCTGGCTATTTACTATCATAAAATAAGGGAATAGCTTATTGAATAAAATTTTTAAAGGAGCCAAATGAAAAATCTTATTTGGAATATTTTTACTTCTCATTTTTAGTATGCATTTATTTATCTTTCATCTATCTATTTATCAACCTATCAATATATTTATTTATTTATTTATTTGCTAATCAATCAATCAATAAATCTAATTGATCTTTTGTTAATTGAAATTAATAATTTTATGTTATTGACATATATTTAATTATTTAGTATAGACTTATTGATAGAAAAAAAAGTAAATTTTATAAAAAATAGAGCTAAAAAGCATAATTATTAATATCAAGCTATCCCATTAAAATAATAATTTTTTTATTATCCTTGGTATGATTACATTTAATTATCGAAATATTTTTTTGCAAAATATGTAAATTTTAAATATTGTTTGTTTGTAAGAAGATGAATTCACAAATAAAACATAAAAAAATGATCTTTAACATCAAGGTTGCTGCTGCTAAATCTTAGCCAGCTTATCCCTGCGCTCCTATTTACAACAACAATTTTTATGCTGAATTAAAATTAAAATTTTGAATTGATGAAATAAATAGAGAAATAGTTGAAAAAAAATATTAAAAAAATAAATACTTTATAAATTTTATAATATCTATTTTTTTTCATAAATTCATTCAATAAACCTATAAATTTTGTTTATTTTATGATTTTTAAATGATTTTAAAAATTAAAAAAATTCTATTTGTTTGATTAGTATCTATTTTTAATCCTTTAAAACTTCCACTTAAGTATAAGAAGTAAAAACACAATAAAAGTAAAATAGAGTCTTTTAGAGATGAAATAGAAAGACAATTTAGATGATATATTTTTATTCTGTGATTTTGCAAATTTTACTTTAGCCATTATAATAAGTAATGATTGCATATCAAGAAAAGCAAAAAATAATAATAATTGAAGCCAATCACACCTAAAATACTCAAGAACACTTCTTCAAATATGTTAATAATCTCTGAATAAGGAGAGGAAAAGACAAAAAAAAAAAATATAAATTAATGTAGGAGATAAAATATGAGATTATATATAACAATCTTTTTATAGGTTCTCGTAAGGAATTTATGGTTATATACAAAGAGATTTTAACAATTTCAAATATCCAAGAATATTAATTAATTAACTAATTAGTTCTATCTATTCTATATATTTTTGGTTGAAATAAATTGTGACAAAATAATTATTTGAAATGTACTTTCTTTTTAACGAAATAACATATTTGTATTTTCATATATAGTCTGTAATTTAAGCGTTAACACAACTTTCATTTAGAGTAGAATTAGAATTTGTATAATTTAAATTTACTTTCATGTCAGCATGCAAATTATTTTAAAAAAGCAAATGATATTTTGGCAAAAATATTTGAAACGACTTTCGAAGAATATTAATGTGAGTAATTCAAACTTAGATTTAATGTAAAATACTTAAAATTTGGCCTTTAAATGAAGTCTTTATGAAATAAAGAGAGAGCATTGGGTATTAAAATATGCTTCATGAAAACGATTAAAATAATCGATTATGCGGTAATCTTGTTTATATTATTAGCAGGTCTTCAAATATCAATAAATTCAGAATTAAAAGACTGAGTAAATAATCTAAGATTTTATTAGTCGCCCAATATTAGTATTTTTGATAGTCAGAAAAATGTGTGAGAAAATCAATCAAGAGTGGTGGCAATCTACTTGTTTGACTATTAGCAAATAACCAGTTTAAAATTTTTTTTAGTTAATTTCATCAGAAGAAACTGTTACCCACAATTTGTTATTTTAAATTATTTGATTTACAATAATCAGATTTATATATATCCTTAAAACAGTAAAACATATTACTCCATTCCTTTTTAGAAATCTTTATATTTCCAAAATGAGTAGTGTTCTTTATTGCTGATTAAGTATTTTAGTTAATTTCATCAAAATGTAAATTCTCTGCTCATTTCATTTTTAAATTTATTACCTAATTTTTTCTGATTTCAATTGTAATTAAAGTCGCAATTTAAGCAAATTAAGTTGTAAGGATATATATAGTTTGTCAATAATATTTTAGAGTCTGTATGATCTATTGATTGATTGATCAATCGATTTATAGGATGGGATGGGGTTTTGTTTGAATTGCTAGATTGGTATTCTATTCTCATGTTGTAACTTTAATTAAGTTTTCTTGATAAAAATTAAGGATTAATATTCCCAGTGATGAATTATCAAAATTAAATACCAAGAAAAAGAAGTAAATTTTTATTCAATATTTGAATAATTTATTTGATGTCTAGAAAATAGTGTATTCTTGCTTACCTACCTATTTTTTTGACGTCTCCTTACCCACTAAATGTTTTACCTATTTATTACCTTAATTTCCCTATCTTCTAAGAGCTTACATCTTATTTTTATGTTAAATAAATGTTAAATCATTCTATCTGCTTTACTACTTTAATTAATAAGTACGATGTAATATTTTTTATGTAAATCGGGAAGGGTTTAAAAAGTAAAATTTAGGCTATTTTCAATCATTTTTCATTTACTTAAAAATTGTATGATTTTTTCTCATACCATTATAAAGCATAAAATTCAAAGATAGATACATACATACATGCTCACTCTTTATTTTATCAATATAAATTTAATTTCAGTAAGATTAAGAAAATATAATTTTTAAAATCTCATGCAGTGTAGAATTTTTCGGCATCTAATTAACTTACAATTCTATTTGACTGAAGCTCTTAAAAATGATTTGGATAGGTAAAATTGAAGTTAAGAAATATAAATTATTAATACTGAACAAAGCTCAAAGTTATTTTAATAATCATCTATAAGAATTCTTAGTTTTAACGCATTTTTAATTTATAAATCTGATACAAGTGCTTGAACACTAATTTACAAAAATGAAAGCTTTTTAATGGTAATGAATAAAAATTATAAAACAAAGTTATTTATATGCGATAATATAGTGTTTGAGTGAATGATAGTAAATACTCTTTTCAAAAAAGATTTAGATATTTTCCTTTTTAATAGATATAAATAGTTAGATAGATAGATCTATTAATTATTTATTTATTTATTCATCTATTAGGTAGCTATGTATGAGAAAGAACGAGTGGTTGAATTAATAAGTAAAAAAAGTAAACATAAGAATAATTAACATATTTATTAGGTATAATCTTAAATAAAATTATAGGTATTTGATAAAAGTATTACACTGTTTGTCCAAATGACTATTAAGAGTGTAAAAAGAAACTATATAAATCTCAAAAACCTGTCATAATCTTAAATAGTTAAAATAACAAATAGCTCCAGTTAAATTTTCAAATAGAAGTATTGATGGGCTTTAATTTTACAATTTTGAAAGAAATAAAATTTGGTTTTTTATATCACTTTTAATTGTCATACAAAAATCTAAATAAATCAAACTAGTCATCGATATTATAAAAACACAATCAACATATTTGCATGCATAATATTGTAAAAATTGAAGTAATTATTAGGAGTATTTTATAAAAAATTTATAAAATGACGACTTCATAAGTAATTTTACTCACTTTTATTAAAAAGTACTTGCAAATCGTCTTAAAAATAAAATAATATTAACAAATTTAAATGAAATTTCTTTTGATTTTATCATATAGATAAATATAAATATAATTTTAGCGTATAGAATTTATAATTTTGATAAGCATAAGTCAAAAATAAATAAGAATTTATAAGCGAATATTAAAGTATCAATCAAGCAGAATTATCTCATTAATATTTGAGGTTTAATTTCAATACAGAACTATCTATCTATTATACTTTTATGCATTCAGCAAAAAATATTAATCACTTAAATACAATTTTAATTTTTTATTGAGCAAATACTTTTATCGCGCCTTTCGCTGGATATAATTATTTGTTTACTAAAAGTCTTAACGCTGGCTTTATTCTAGTTCAACATATCTGCTTTTAATTTTGTAAAGCATAAAACTGGTTATGCTCTATTTCTAATTTTTTTCTATTTTTGATACAAAAGTAAAGTTAAGTAGCGGAATTTGCTGGATCCTTTATCGAGGTTGGACCAGTAAAAATAATATTGAAAAACATGTAATTAAAAATTAACTTACGATTACGTTGTCTAAACATCGATAAACAAGCAAACAACCCTCGCGAGTAACTAAATTTATTATAAATTTTTAAGAATAAAAATGAAGTAATTCTAATGATAGCATCTTTATAAGGAGTTAAAAAATTCTCAAATTATAGGGTAATTTTGGAAAAGTTGATTCTGTCTCAAGTGTCATTGCCAAGATAGAAGAAGTGAGGAAAAAGAGAAACAAATTTTATAAATATCAATGAAAAAAAAAGTCAAGTGATGTTAACACTTTCAACAACTGCCTCATAGAGTGAAATTAAACTTTTGGCTACAATGGCTTGAAAATAAATATGATCTTGTAAAAATTTCGATAAATTTCTTATTTTAAAATGGCTTTTTCTAAATAATCAATTAAAAATTATCACGGACAGATAAACGAACAAACTAAAAAGTCGAAAATGGAAAAGTCTTTCTTAAAAAAAACAGTATTGGATAGTAAGAATACTAGATAGAGCAGTCTTTTTTGAAAAGGATAGATTTTGCAAAACGTTATAAATAAATAAATGTGTTTTGTACTTCATTTATATATTGAAAAAATGTAAAATATGAATGCAAATTAAAGTTTACTTAGTTTGCTTTTTAAAAAGCGAATAAGTGAATGGGTGAGTTAGCCATCCTACTATTTATTCAAAACATACTCAAATAATAATAAGAACGAAAATAAGGGTAAACAAAAATTAATTTTGCAGAGTATTAATATAAAGCAAAGAAATTTTATTAAGCTTTGCAACGGCACTTTTATTTTACTAAGAAATTGTCTCAAATTTAATAAAAAATTTAAGGGGTGGGATATAAGTAATATTAGAAATAATTAAAACCAAGCCATCATTTATTATTAGGAATGTTTGAAATTTAATAAGCCCTAGACTAAATTACAAAGAATTACATTCACATTTAACTATGTTATCCATAGCATAGAAGTTTATTGGTAAGAATTAGCTAAAGTTGTTCTTATAATGATGATTATATTGTGGGAATAAAATTTTCAGGAACTTTTAAGAAGATTTTAGAATATATATTTTTTGTTTATGAGATTACTGATTGTGATAAAATTAATAAAATAAAATATCGTAAACATATAGATAATAAATAATTTATAGTAGTCAGTTTTTAATTATTTTATTTTCATTAAGAATCAATCTATCGATCTATCTATATTCTTTTTCTTTAAGTAAGATAGAACACATTATCATAATTTCAATATTTTTTTTTATTTGCATTGGAAAATAATAAAATAAACAATTAATCAATCTTACATAAAATCATTCATTCTTACTTTCTTTATTTCTTTTAATTAATTAATTAAATTAATTAATCAAAAAAGATATGATACCAATTCAAATTGATTTTGCTCTAAAAATTTTTTTTTTTTAAGAAAAAGAAAAGAAAAGCCGTAAAAATTATAATAAAAAAATTAACAAACAAATACAAAAAAAAATACTTTGACTTCAACCCAAAAAAAGTAAAAAAAAGATAAAGAAACATCTGTATAGAAAGCAATTAAAAGATTACTTTGAAAGTGATTTCGCCTTATTGAATAAGAGTCTTAAAATATTTTACCATGATGTCGCATGACTTTTAAGTTCAAAATAACGCTCTCGCTTTGGGAGGAGCATTCGTTGGCAGTCATTTTGCTTTGAATCCAGCCCAATTAGGTAAATAAAGATTAATTGATTTGGTCGATATCTATCTCTAATTTTAATTCTTAATCTTTGTGAATTTTAAGTATATCAAATCTAAGATATATATCAGTTTTGCTAACTCAATAAGCTTATTATTAATTAAATTAGGTTTAATTTTTGCAAAAATTTGTTTGAATAAATTTTTACTATAGGGATCTTAATTAAATTTGAAATTCTCTCGCTTATTTGATCATTTACTTTTTTTTTCTTTCTTTTTTATCAGTCTTTTGCTAAATATCAATTTTTTTCTTCTTTCTCTTGCAGAGCATTTTATTTAAACTCTTATCTCCTAATGCAATCAGACACCAATGTCCTCCCTTATTTAGAGTTTATCATTTATACAAAAGGACACAAATTTTATATCACATATTTATTTTTTAATTTATCGAGTTATTATTTTTCTCTTTTTCACTTTAAGCTTTAAAAGCAGTACATGAAAGCTTTTATCTTCTCCTTGCTTTGTGAAAGATTTTGCTATTTTAATTACTGATTATTTTTTGATGCCCTATTTGAATTAAAATACCACATTTTTATGATAAATTTGATGGAATTATAGATATTGATTACCCCCACTTCTCATAATTAATCAAAAATATTTGAGAATTGATTCAAGCTTTATTATAATCTTACGAGATAAACAACAATTCTTATATTTAGCTGATCTCTGCCAACTTAGATAATTTATATAATAAAAGATACTTCCGCACTTTAGTTTCTTTTTATCAAAATTTTTATGGCTTTGTTCAGTATTCACCAAAAATTTATTGATAGTAAATAAAAATAACTAACAAATAATATCATCTAAACCTAATTCTCCCACCTTCACACATCATACTAAACAAAGAAACTTAGTACACTGATTAATCTATTCAAGAATAGTATTTCGTATGAATAATATGCTTCTCATAATTTTTTGAAAAATCATGTTTAAAAAGATAAATAAAATGATAGGAATTTAACAGGTTCTCTATTAATGTGAGAGTATTTTTAATAAAAAGATGATATAATTCTCAATACTTCCCTTTAATTTGTTAAATTTACACAGATAGTTTGCAAATTCAAAATTCTTTCTTTAAAAAAAACAAAGAACAATACATAAATAACTAAAACAAAAGAAATTTCAATTTACAGGCAATTTACTGTAAACAGAACATAATTTATTAAATTATTTCAGATCGCAATTATTAATTTCTTCCTCTTTTTCTCTAAAACCCCCTAAAATTTGTAATCTGTTTTGGAATCTCAATCAAGAATTATTTTGCAAACAAAAAAAATCAATCAATCAATTAAGTGAGTGAGTGAGTGAAAAATTGTGTTATTTCCCTCACTATAAATTATTGAGTAAATTAGTTAGCAAGCAGATAAGTAAAAGTTTATCAAAACTGATTATATAAATATATTTATGGGAAAATTCAAATACTTTATTTACTAATTCAATTTATTAATTTTAAATAGCCTTTCCTCACCAAATCAAACCCACAATGAGCATGAATTGTAACCAGTAAATGATTGATTCATCCTTTTCCAAACAACACTGCTAAAGCTCTATTCAATAACAGTAATAAATGCATCAGTAGCAGTAATAGTAGCTATAATAGCAGCATCTCATCTAATAATTTTAGTAGCATTAACATATGTAATAGCAATAATAGTAATAATAATAGAAACAAAAATAGGTATAACTCTCTCTTCAATAACCTTCAGCTTCTCAAACTTAATAATTATCTTCCCAACAATCCTAAACTCTCACAGCTCCCGCTTCATCTCCTTACGCTAAATCAAATATCAACAATTGCTGTAATAATGAGTTTTGTAATCTAGGTTTTTAAACCTAAATGCGTCCTTAAGACAAGAACCGTTTTATTGAATAAGCTCGCAACTAAGGTGTTGGTATCGTGTGCGTTAACTGTGCTCAGCACGATTTAAAATAAATCATCGAAAGAGTAAAATAAGATGGAGATATATTTATTTTGTTTAATTCTAGTAAAATGAATTCATTATCTAATGACAATTCTTATACAACAATTCCCAACGATCAAAACGATAACTTGACCATGCTTAATTCAGCAAACAACAGTTACAATATACAATAGGCTCAAATCCCTAGTTTGCCAAACATTCCTCAAACAGGACAAACAGGAATGAGCTCAGTTCCAAGCTTAAATTCTATATACCCTGCAGTGACTTAGAATATTCTTTAATTCTAAAAAGGACCTACTTTCAACTTCCCTTAACCAAATGCTCCTATTTTCGCTTCAAATGAGTCCTTAATAAAAGAGTATAACAATCAACAAGGTAGCGCCCTCCTTCCTCAGGTCGGTTTGCCTTTCTAGTAAACTATTCAGAATCAACACGCCTTAGGCTTCCCTATGCTCCTAAATCCTTAAGATTCTGGCATGAAATTACTTCCTGCTGGATAAGGCTAGTATATTCCCTAGTTTAATTTTGCAGCTGGATACCCTTTACACAATTAAAATTTATTGGCAGAAGGAAAATCAACTTTGGTAGAAGAAAAGTATGAGTAATTTTAAATTTTTTTATTACATTTTTGCTTCATTTTTAAAGAAGAGAACAAATTTTTTTGAAAGGAGAATACTTAAATAATATATATACTTCAAGAGCTTTATAATTTACAAAGATTGCTTGAAAACTTGATTAAAGAAGGAAAGAAAGAATTAAAGAAAGAATTTGTTTGCATCTTAATTTTTTAAATGTTTGCCAATATTACGAATCTAAAATCAAATTTTTAATAATGCAAAATTAAGTAAAGTATTGATTTCCCCTTACTGTAACAATAGCTAATATTTAATACAGTTTCTAGTACTTTGCTTTTTATGCTAAATATTATTATTCTTAAAGTTTTCAAAATTTCGTTAAAGATTTTTAATTTCAAAGTTTGTAAATTACAACTAATATTACAAGGGTTTGTCAGTCTCATAAAATACCAGCAAGTTCGTACACAAAAAATTACTCAATTAATTACTTTTTTAAATTTTTATTCTGATTTTACCACAAAAATCTAAACGAATAGAGGTATAGGTCTATCAAAAATGAACGATAAATTCTACTTAAAAGTTTGATATCAAAATTTTTGAAAATAATAGAGTAGACTTTAGGCTTTATTAGAATTTAAAAACATTGAAAGAAATGTATTTTTTAACTTCTGTTTAATATCCACAGAATATAAACAAAAAGAAATTGCTTAGTTAAATTTAAATTAATTCACGCTATTCTGTAAATTTATTACAATCAATAAAATCCCCACCCAAAAAATATATGATAAATTTTCATAAATTTCTCTTAAATTTTATATCATATATAAACATAATATTAGTGTGACTGACTTTACACCTACAAATAAAAAAGCATATTTCATTTTTGTAAGGATTAAATAAGAACTATTTACTTTAAATCCAGACAAATAAATGAATACTATTTTTGCAAATGTTAGAGAAGTGTATCTTCATTTCTCATTACATTATCTCATAGCAAGATTAAGCATTAGTAATTGCTTATTGAGAATTACGCATCCATTTAATTTAATTGATTGCTTACAATATTTGTAATTATCGAGATATCATTCCAATTTATTACAACATCTATTATAATACTTCATTTGAAAAGTTAGTTATTTTAGATAAATGGTTGAATTATCTTTCAATCAATTTCAATTTTTTTTATGATTTTTTGTACTTTCCACAAAATTTTCGAAAATAAAAGAATTTAGCTACCCCTGTAAAAATTGATTATTACTATAAATAGTAAGCGAGTTTATTTTTATTGGAATGTAAAAAGATCAGATATTATGAATTTCAAGTAAAGTGCGGAAATTTAATTGATCTAACTTATCTCGCTATCTATTCATGCTACAAAACAACAAAATAAAGGCGGCCTACTAACTGGCGAAAAATATACTTAATCTAATTCCTTTTCCTATAAAATTTTGAATTTTATGAATTCGCTTTTCTTTTAAAATAAATAAATCAAGACAAAACTTTAATAAAGCTTTAATTAAAAAGAAATATTCTTTATTTAAGGAAGATTTATTATTCATAAAAATGGTTTCTTCTCCATTTATAAATATCTTGCTAAATTTAATTCATAAAAAAATTACTTAACACTTTTCAAAATTAAGTAAATAAATAAGTTCTCTCTACTCTTCATTTAAAAAGGAAATGAACAAATTTAATAAGATTTTACATCATCTAATCAAGAATAAAAATATTAAAATAAAAAAAAAACAAACTTTTCTCCCCTGCATGAAAATTTAAATTTCTCTTCTTTTTTATCTTTTTTTTTATGCCTTTAAAATATCTGGGCATCCAAATTGCGAGGTACTAACTAAAATAAAAAACTATCGAAGAATATTTTAATAGAACTATTTTTACTCATATATTTTCTATCATTACTCAAATATCTTTTATTTACCTAAATGATGCAAATTTATTTATTAACTCTTTTCTTCATTTGAATGAAGCAAGCAACTAAAATAAACTTTGATTTACTAATTATAAAATACTTAAATTAATATTTTACTTTGCTAATAAAAGATCATAAAGAGCACCTCTCCCTAAAATAAAAAATGCACTCTTCAAAAAGACTAACTCCTCTAGTAGTAAGAATCAGTCATCTAAGGACTTCAAGGTAAAAGTTGAAGGAGGATAAGAGAATTCATCTTCTAAATTAAGCAGCAATGAAATGAGTGAAGAAAATGAAAGTGCTGACTCATTCTCTGAAAATTTAGCTAACAACAATAATAATAACTAGCTAAGTGGCTAATAAGGATCTGAAATACGCAATAGCAAAACTTTAAGCCAAAGAGGAAGCAGCTCTGTCATTCCTACAAAGACAAGCCGTAAAAGCACTGAAAACAATGCAAACATGACTCCAGAAGAAATAGAAAAGCAAAATAAAATAAAAGAAAGAAGAAAAACCAACAATTTCGGTCACATCTATACTTGGTTAAAGAATTAGATTAGACTATACTATGGTGACAGGGAATTGTATGAAAAAATACAAACCTACTTCTAAAGAGTAAACAAATATAATGAAGTAGTAACTGATGAATCTAGCAGCAAGTGGTAGTTCTTCCTTTACTAAATTAAAGACAATACTCACTTAAAGAATTTCTTAAAGGAAAAAATAAAATCTGAGCATTTCCGCGAATACATCAAAACTAGAAAGGGAAAAGACTAAAAAGTTTTCTATGAATTCAGAATTGGTGTCATTTATGGTAAATATTTTATATTTATTTTACTAATTCGATTTTCTATTATTATTCCTTGGAAAGATGTCTTATTTTTTTTTTAAATAAACATAGGTATTGATCATCCTGAATTAAGCAATCAACCAAAAAACTGCTTGTTAATGGCTAAAAAAGATCCTGAGTATTGCAACATAAATTTTGGATGGTGATAATTAATTTCTAGCAAAACAAACAGCATAAAAGCATGAAAGAATATTTGTTTTAAATTCATAATTTATGATCGCTTCTTTACATAAAATAAAATAAATAAAATAGAAGATAATGAATACTAAAAAGATAGGAAATCAATCACCATTTATTAACCCACACCAAACAAATAAAAATAAATTTAACAAATAAATAAATATAATATCTTAACAATTAATAAAGATTCAATCACTTTCATAAAAAATATTAAAAATTCCCCAATTCTCTAATTCAACTTACTAACTCAACTATAAGCATGCCTACCCCTTATTAACTTTCAAATATCTGAAAAGAAATTCTAAGGATAAATTAATTAATTGATCAATCAATCAGTCAATCTATTTATCTATCTATCTATCAATCAATCTATGTATTGATCAATGAATTGAATAAGCATGAAATTAATTTCATAATCAATAGTAATAATTAATAATTAAGGAACTCTCTATCTAACTATCCTCAAAAAATTTACAACCTACTAAAAAAATTTTCTGGCGACCTCTTTTCAACTTACTCTAGATTGTTCTCATCAAAAACATAACGCATTCATTTACTAACCAAAATATAATTTTATTTTCAAGGTCTAAATTACTAAATTTTATCTACAACTATCACTAAGTCTATATGAGCTGAAAATCTAAATTTATTATCAAAATACTAACTACTAATCGAATAAAATATTATTTCTATTTTTGGCCTCAATAGATGAGAATATGTAGAATCATAAATAAATTATCAACAATAATAATATTTTCACATTTGCTGACTGAAAATTGATTAAATGAAAATAATATCAGCCTAAAAAGAGATGTTTGATTTCTTCTTTCTTAATATATCCCATATAAAAGAAAAGTTAAAAGGTATATTATGGACTGATACATACTTAAAAAATACTCATAATCATGTATGTATGCACAAAAATGAGTAATCTGACATACATTCATTCCATGATTTACAATACTGATTGTATTAGGATTAATTTAAAAGAGTGAAACATATAAATCCCTGAAAGATTTGTAGTTTTGTATGCCTTCATTCTCATTTAATTAAGAATCGAACTACTGAATTAATTTTCTAAATGTGATACCTCAAGCTCTCATACATTCATTCGCCTTACTATTTTATTAACTTTCTTTGCAAATTTAAAAACTAAACAACTAAGTTGAATAAAGATAAGCTAAAGTATATAAACCAAATACAAACAAACAAACAATCAATCAATCAACCAAATAAACAAAAAAAACAAATAAAAAATTTCTCTCTACTAACTCATCCTCATTCCTTATACTTTTAATATTTGTATAAACAAATCCTAAATTATATTATACTAATTAAAATATTAATAGCCCTATTATTTGCAAATTCGTCTCTATCTATCTATTTTAGTATTTTTCATTTTATTTGAATGTCTTATCCCACTTTTACCTTCTCTTATTAATTCTAATCTTAGTTCTTTGTTTTAAAGGTTTGTTCATATACTTTAAGGGAGAATCAAATCCCAAAAATTATTTTTTTATTGGCTAAATACAAGGTATAAATTAGCATGCTAATGATACTTACAAATAAATTGTATCTATTCTTAACTTAAAAGCTGTTTTTGATCTAGAATATGCATAATGCTTTGATGTGAGAAAAATTTGTTTAATTAATTGGCTGAAAGACAAACTGATAAATTTGTAATTAGAGTTTCTCAAGTTGTTTTTCGCTCTCTCTTCTGTTAATTTCAGTAATGTTTCTATTTTATCTTAAAGTTAAATAAATTTGATTAATATAAAAATTAAATTTCAACTTCTTTTTAATCCAGTAATTAGATAATTTAAATTATTGGCCAGTATTTTTATACTTTTCTATAATATTTTATTTTAAGGGCACAACAGATTTTAAATCTAACTTACGCTGGACCAATTCTTTAACTTGCTTTTATAAATTAACATTTCATTAATTCTTCGCTGTCATATATATATATGTAGCCTAAGCATCTCCAAAAAATTTTAATCTTTCTTATGAGATTTTCTTCTTATTTATAAGGTGAAAATTAGGCTGACTTTAAATTACAAAAACAATTATTATGTCAAGAATGCAAAAAGAATTGGAAGAGAAGAAAAGAAGAAAATCAAACAAAATTTTTTAATTTTTACCATCTAATAAAATTATAAATAGACAGATATTTGTATTTGCTCAATAAAATCACACAGTTAAGAGTTTTAACATTTTTCTAAATTATTTCAGCGCGTAAACGAAATTTTTCTTTTTTCCAGTTAATGTTCAGTAAAATCACTGATACATAATGTCAAATTTTATTTACTCTGACATAAATTATATAAATTGTCTTAAATTTTGTTTTTAAGTACATTTTTGCTTATTTCAAAGCCTTTTTGTGTAAAAGAAGTAAAATCCATATTTTTGCTAATGATCTGAAAATTTTTTAGGTTTAACAAAAAAATTGTGCACAATCAAGTTATGAGATGATTATTTAAAACTTTGGGTCATAACAATGCAAATTGCACAAAAATTTAACTTATTCAGCTCAAAATAACTTTGATAAGTATTTAACTGTAGTGGGCTAACATATTTAAATATTTAATGTAAGATTTTCTCAACTTTTTTAGCAAATTAATAAATTTACTCAAAAATACTTTAGACATAAAATATCATCAAGCAAGAGAATCAAATTTAAATGGGATAGATTTTGTTATGAAATATAAAATAAAATACTTAAAAAGTTATAGATAAGTGAGATAAATTGATGACTAACTTGGTTCTCTATAATTCTTTAGAATCTATTATAAAGACCATAAAAAGCATAAAAACTAAGAGACTTACTAACTAATTAGCATTAAATTTTACAAACGATTTCAATAGAATTTTATCTAATCGCCAAAATGAGATTAGTTAAAATTTTTATTAGTATTTGCTAAATTCTTTGCAAGAGATTTTGCATTTATTTAATTATTGTAAACTATTAATTAAAGTGTAAATTTGACTATATACCTCTCATTTTTCGTAATCTCATTTCATTATTTGTTTACTTCTCAAATTATTTAAAGTAATTAGCTAAAATCCATTCATATACTTTTTTCATACGTAAACGTCAAACAAAGAAAATTTATTTTTAATATTTTTCCTAAACGAAAAAGAAAAATGGGTGTAAGATTTATTTATCCATTTTGAATTTAGGCATTATTAAAAGCTTTCGTTTGTATAAATTATTAAAAAGAAGAAAGCATAAATAAACTTACATAACACTACCCTAATAGATAAATTTATCTATAAATTTAAACAGTTTATCTATTTTTCAACACCATATCGAACGATTAAAACCGATGTAATATATAAAGAAAATAAGGAAAAATTATTCCTACCCCCTTTTCGAATTCATTTATTTTGATTCTTTATCAAAAAATAATTGCTTTTTGATTGCTAGAAAGTGCTCCTCTACACTTTTCAAGTCTTAAAAAGGTATAAAATTTTGTAAAAGTGTAATCTCAATTATTTATCTCTAAAATAATTCTATATATAAAAATACAATTATGTTGCTCATGAAATGCACAATACCAAATTAAGGTATAGAATATATAAATTTTTAGTAAAATAAGCAAAAGATTGAAAATATTACTCTCAGATCCTTAAATACTTTTAAAATTAGTAAGAGTGATTTTCATCACATTATTTTACTAAATATAATTTATGTATTTTTTAAAAATTTAATATTTTTTGATAAATTAAATATAACATATAATCTAAATAGTGGCTTACTATTAACTTTATAGTCAAATACTAAGATTAACATTCATTAAGCAATTGTGTGCTGAAAAATCAATTCTATGTTCCATTTAAATGAACTCAAAAATTAATTAGATTTATTTTCTTTTTATGTTAAAATTGTAATCTTAAGAATTCAAACAAATTTTTGAATATTTAATTAAAAAGTGTATTTTTATAATATGTGATACAAATTGTAAGGTTCAAAATCATTCACTAAAATAATCCTGAGGCAAAATAATTAAATATAAGATAAAATGCTATATCTATGTAGAACGGATGCTAAATGTGAATTTCTTCCCTTTAGACCACATTTTTGAAAACAATATTTAATCCAAAACACATAGATAAGATTTTCATTTATGAATGGTAAAATTTGTCAAATATTTATTTTATTTTCTTTGATAAGAAAAAACAAGAAAGAAATAAGCTCTTCTCTTAACAAACACAATTTGTAAGGTAATATTCAAACAGTCTATATGCATGCTTTGATATATAAATATTTGTTTTTTTGTGCATATAGAAGCTAAAGATAACAGAATTTTTAATTCTAAAAAATAATGTAATCACATAAATATTAGGTAAATGAAAAAATAATTTACATATTTTTAAAAATAAAAAAAAAAATAGATAAAAAAAATAATGGCATAATTTTTTACTGAATAATCAGAAGCTAATTTTTGCTTTGACAAAAGTTGGAGGTTTTTCTGAATGTGTAAAAAATATTAGGAATTAGTGGATTTTTTTTGATTTGTGCAAGCAATTCAAGCGAATAATAATCCAAAGAAATCAAAATACATCTATAAAAGAGAATCTTTGTCTGATAAGGTCAACTTATTAGTTAATTAAAATTAATTGATTTTAAAATTGATAAATCAATGTTACATAAAAAAAGTGCTTGAAACTTAGAACATAAAACAAATATTAATTTGCTATATTAAATTTGCAAATAATAAAATAGATAATAAATAAATCAATAAATATGTCTTCTATCTTTATTAATTTTAGTTTTCATATTTCATACAAAATTATTTAATATAAAATAGTTCATTTGCTAATTAATTATTTATTTATTTAGAAAGGCTTTCTTCATTTTTAAAATTTATTCTTATTAATTTTGGAATCTGAAATAGTAGCATCGAATATTTCTGACATCTAGAACTCTTCCAAACTATTTATCTGTTACTTAGATTGTTATAATTTGTTACGCTTGCTGTAAAACTCCTACCAGTCAATATGGAAGTTAGTGTATTTAGTAATTATTAATCCTATTGATATTAGCACTGAATAAAGCATAAATATCATAAACCAACCCATCTTAATTCTATAGTTTTAAACTATAAAAAATTGCAGCCAGCATGAGACCACAAATCCCTACACTGTGATTCCATAAAACATAGTTCCAATCTTTTTTCCATAGATTTCTGCTAATAAAGCGGGAACTTTAGCACTCCATCCACCAAAGCATGCAAATATGCCCAACACCCAAATAATGAAAGTAGTTTAAAATTAGCATGCAAAGTAAAAGGTAAGCATTAAAAAGAGTTCGATGCTCAAATTCAAAAATGCTAAATTCTTAAAACCATATTTGTCAAGAGCTCTTCCCCATAATAATCTGATTAAATAATTTTAAAAAAATCAATTAACAAATTAATTCATTATATTAAATTATATTAATAAGGCTGCTAAGAAATAATCAGAACAAATAAATTAAACTAAAAATGATTTTAAATTATATTAAATAAATAAATTTGAGTATTACCTAATAAAGCCATTAAAGAGACTTCCTATACTTCCAACTAAAGTAAGATAAGCATCAGAAAACTTACCAATTTAAGAACCTATTGGTTTGAAATTGTCCATAATTAAGTTTCCTTATGAGCCGTATAAAGTCATCAAAAGTATAGATATGTAAATGAAAGGTGTTTATAGTCCAGATCTTATATCTTGGCACTCGTTATAGATTTTAGGCTAGTCAGCTTACTATTCTTAATCAATTAATTAGTTTTAAAGTTAATTTTGATTTTCTTCTGATATATGCAGCTCGTCTTCAGGTGGAGGAATACATAAATAGCTTCCGACTCCTCCTATTACCACAAATATAAATGAAAGAGTTCTAAATAAACCGGGAATTCTTACAGAAACTTCATCAGGGAAATACATCTCTTAAGTAGTTTCATTAAATATAGGATGAACATTGTCTGGATTTGCTATAAAATAAACAATCCAACTAAAAACAAAGGTAGAAAAACCAAATCCAGCACTTATAACTCCACTGGCCAATCCTTTATGGTGAGGGAAATGACTTTTAAAATTATTAAAAATATGATGTAAATTTCATCTCTTTAAAAAAAAAATAATTAAGATAAAGATAGATATTATCAAATTAAATTATCAAAAACCTGTAAGAGTTAATTATTGGTAATTTACTTGAACTTTTTAATTTATATCAACCAATTAATTATAATTTTTTAATGCTAAAAAATGACTTCAGTCAGAAAATCAAAAAATTTGATATTACTAACAAAAATTAAAACTTCAATCTAAATATTTCAATCTATAATTACCAATATGAAACATAGTAGGGAATCATGTAAACAATTCCAGATGCGATGCCTGATAAAAGACCATATATAAGAGTGAATGCTAAATAATCAGTTTAAAAGGATGCTACAAATGCGCATAAACTAAAGAACAATGAGCAACAAAAAGTGGTTTTCTAAATACCATACTGTTATTTTTGAAAGATTAAAAAAAATATGTGTTATTTTCGACTAAACTGCTAATGAATTATACCTTTTTTGCAATATCTAAACCAAAAGGAGTCATAAATCCCATAGTCATACCCATAAATGGAAATGTTGAATTCAGAATGTCTGTCGTAACATCATTTTTCTTATACCTTAAGTAACTTGTAACATAGATATTGATATTTCCCCATAAGTAAAATGTTCCAATCATAATATGAATAAGGAATCCTCCAAAAAGAGCAAGATATCCCTTTTTGTGCTCTTGAAATGTCGGCAAAGCAGGGGGCATTTTTTAAAAAAGTCTTTTTTTTATATTATTTTTTAAATGGTTTAAGATTTAGATAGTTCTTTTTAATAACTTACTTATATTTTAGATAGTTAATTTATTCAATTAATAAATAATACCTATTTTCACTACAAATTTACTAGTAGCGATCAATGTTAAGCAATCTTAACTTTAAAACGTCGCAAAATCTACATTTTTAAAGTGCATTTGCTATTTATGAGAACATAACATAAAATAATTTAAATTTAAACCTTGAACTCTAATTTGATAGATAAAGAATTTCAGTAAGCATCGAAAACTTATTAACTTACTTTATAAATACTTTTTTCGTTTTAAAAAATTGATAAAATACCTCAATTTAACATATTTTTAAATATTGTAAAATAACTCATAATTTATATGAAACTAACAAGAAAAAAATAAATTTATTCTTAATTTAACTTTAAATAAAATTATTTAGTATTTTTATACAATATTTTGTGATAAATAATTTTAAGAATGCAACTAATTAGGTATAATATCAAATAAATTATTTTGTTAACATATGATTAATTTACTTTTAAAATTTCAAAAGTATCCCTTTTTAATTCTAGCCTATTTAATATATTAATTAATTTATTTATTCATTAATTTATGTAGCTATCTATTACTTTGTTTTTGTTATTATTATTATTATTATTATTATTATTATTATTATTATTATTATTATTATTATTTTGATTAAGAATAAAAATGCTTATTTTATATATATTATAAAACATTTTCATTCTTTTATACATTAATACTTATTTATGTTTGTTTACTTGTTCGTTATTTAATTAATTAATTAATTCATTCATTCAAATAAATTATTATTTGACTTTAAGTGCTTTTTTAAAATTTAACAGAAAATGGGCCTTTCAATAGGTTTAGAAATATGGTCATCAGCTCCGACATTAATGCATTTGTTGACATCATCTTAGCTAGTAAACGCACTAACTATTAATATTAATGAACGGGGAAGATTATTTTGCGATTCATACTAGCGAATTAATTTTGTTGATTAATATCCGTCCATGATTGGCATCTAAATATCCATTAATATTAAATCATATTATGTTTTTTAATATTTTTAAAAAGCCTCTCTGCCATCATTAGCTGTATCTATCTAAATTTAAAAGTTTTTTAGCCATATTTTTAGTGCAATTATATTAAATATAGTATCATCTACTATTAATAACTTCTAAAAGTGACTCAGAAGATCCTTAAGTTCCTAAGTCTGTAAATCATTTTTTTGTTGAAGAGAAGGAACTAAGCTTTACTTTTAAAACGTACTTTTTAAATTACCGTTTGGTTAATTTTAAGAGTTTTTTCGTATTGAGACTTGTAAAATATCTTGCCCTCTTTCAGCAAATTTTTAACTTGAAACACTTGTGTAGCATCTCACTCTGCTATCAGGGGTTGAATTTAAATTTTACCTATTATCTGGTATTTCCTCAAATTGTATCTAATTTTTTAAAGCACTGCTATTTATCTTTTCAGAGCTTTTTAAACTTGATTGTTAATCATCGTCTTAAACTTCATGGATTTTATCTAAATCGTTATTAGCTTCTTTTTCATCATCAAAGGAGTTGTTTTCTGCAGATTCATTAAAAATCTTATTTATGTCCAAAGACAATTTAATTTAATTTTTTTACTGACCCTCAAGATTCGCCCATATTTTAAAAGAAAATTTAGATCCTTTGCCTTGCTTAGAAGCCAAATCTATTTTATTATAAGGACCTAGCTACGAAACCAATCCTCTGCATAAAGAAAGACCTAATCCTACGCCTTTTAATTTGAATAAAATTAAAAAAATTAATTTATTTTATTTATCTCTATATTTTTTATTTATCAAGATTTAAAACCTGTTTTTTAATTTAATTAAAATAATTTTTTTTTATTTTTATATTTAAAATTTTTATTTGTTTGAATAATTAAATAAAATGTGTTATTTGAAGAAATAATTATTAAAATTATACCATGCTTATTTGTACCACCTGAGTACCTGAGTGATCAAATGTGGAGTACACCTAAAAAAGCTTTTCCTGCAGATTTTATGGAATACCACATCCAGAATCCTTTACACTTAATTATAATATATTTGAATCATTTGCAAGATGAGCAGATATTTTTATTTATCCCTTTTATGTAAATTTAACTGCATTAGACATGAGATTTATCAAAATTTATTTTAATCTGTTTTTGTCTGAATTAATTACAATATTTGGAGCAATATTTCTTATAATTTTAATGCTTTTTTCTTCTGACTGTATTTTAAATAGCTATTGAACTTCGTCAAACAAAGTATTTACAGAAAAATCACTTGTAACCAATCTAAATTTTCCTTCTTGCATCTGCTAGTGATCAAGGATATCGTTAATTAAACTCATGAGCAGTTCGCAATTCGATTTTATCATAGGCAGGATAGTTTTAATCATTTTTAAACTTTCTTCTTCTTCACACTTCTCAATCATAAGCTTAATAAAGTTAAGTGGAGTTCTTAAATCATGGCTAATAGATGCTAACATGAGATCTTTATATTTTTAAGCTGATTATAATCTTTGATTCATTACTTAAAAACTAATATCATTAAAGTAAATCATCAAAGAAGCGTTTTGATCTTCAAAAAAAACTGGGATAATTTTAATATCATAATACTTTTTACTAATCTAATCATAACATCCAAGCAAATCAAAATGTGATTCTTTTTAAATACCATCATGTGTTTTGTTATTTTAAGGCTCTGAGTTTCCTTTATTATCCTCAGAATTTCTATTTTAATTTTCTTTTTGTTTGGAGAAGTTACTGAGGGTTCCTCCTTAAAGTTAAAAAAAAGTATTCTTTTTATTAGTGGAATCTGTTGATTAAAAATATTCTTATATTTTATCAAAAACAGATATATTACCCTTTATAATATTTTAAAGTCTATTTTTAATTTGTTCCTCTTCAATTCCGAAAGAAGCAGCAAATTTCTAATTAAGTTGAGGAAAATTAATGCTATAATTTGAAATTTTGTTGTCACAATAGCTATCATCATCTTTAACTTAAATTGATATTTTCTTATTTCTCACTTGTTGTTATTATTATTATTATTATTATTGTTATTAAATAGATTTTCCATTTTATTCATATTTTTCAAGATAGAGTTCTTATGCTTTTTATGTTTTAACATTCTTATTTGTAAATTTTTCTTCTTGGCTATTTTATTTTTATAGTCTTAAGCTTCCTTACATGGTTTAACTTTTTTGCCTCAAGGGAGCTGTTTAAGTGATTTAACTGCTTTAATTTTAAGGTGTTTATTCTATTTGCTTAGCAATCAATGGTTCTTAGTGATCATTTAACGTTTATTATATATCAAAATTAATTGCAACTCGTTCTTTTGGTGTCTATTCAAATATAATTTCTTAACCAGTATTTTGATTGGTCATTAGCTCTTCAATAAAATGCTGCTTCTTGTTTAAAGGAGTATCTGGAATCTGGTAACTTTTATTTTAAAATTATCTTTCACTCTCCATTAAGCTTGATATATTGTGATCAGTTATTTAAGAAGTCATTACATGAATAGTTTTGTTTAAGTTTTCTTGATTAAATTTATTTACTTCATGAATGCTTTTATAATTAGAATATTGAATTTTTTAAATAATTTTATCATTTTTTGTTTAATTTGAGTTTTAATTTTTGTCTTCATAAATAATTTATTCGCTAATAACTTGGCAAGGAAAAATGTTCATACCATTTTAATTTTGTTGATGATTACTTACTTTTTGGGCCTCAATTGCGTTTTAATTATTATAGTCTATATTGTTTGAAGGAGATCTTGTATGATAAGATTCTAAATTGTTTTAAGAATTTTACTAAGGATTTTAATAAATATTAAAAGAAATACTTCCTTATTAGGAAAGCTAATTAAAAGAGTTGAAACTCATTTTTTTGTTCTAAATTAATGTAGACCACTAATTTGGTTTTTATGCATTTATTATATTGAAAGATTAGTGCTTTAAATTGTTATTAAAATTAATTTAATGCTACTAATTAGTAAGTTTAATCATTTCTTTATAATTATTTATAATTTCCATATCATTATTTTCTAGAGACGTAGATTCATGCCTCTATGATGGGTTTTCTTTTGAATTTATAGGCTAATTTGTCCTTCTAGTACTCTAAGGGATAGAGCAAGCAAGAGGATCATGATAACTATTATTATTCCTATTAGAATGGTTGCTTTGTTATTAATAAATTGCATTAATCTTTTTTTTTAAGAGTTAACTGTATAATTAGTTTTATTCGTTGTTGTTTTAACTCATACTTTGTAAATTTTTTTAATTGAAATAATGATTGCTCATAGTATGTTTACTAAATTCGCTATTGTTAAAGCTAGTATTATCAAAATGAATTATATTACTATTTGATTAATTGCTTTTAGCTGTTTATTAATTTAATTCATCAGCAACTTTTAGGTTATCAAATTTATTAAAAATCCTCTAGTTAAAATTAGCATCAATGAGCATCTTATTAGTAACATTGTTGTGATTATAATTATTGTTATTAACATCTTCTTCCTCATCATTTTCAAACTATTTTAATTTTTAGCATATCTTTTTCATCTAAATAAAATTATTTTAAGGCTAATCGAATGACTTTGAAAAAATACTTGGATTTTAATTCTAATTTTATAAATATTGATTCTATTATACACACAAAAGTTGCTATTGCTTAAGTTATTCATTATAATTCTTTTCTAATTCCTAAATGTTTGCTAAAGATGATTCTTATTAAATATCTGGAAAAAGAGACTAAGTGAAGTTCTTTTGACTTGAAGGTATCATCTTTTATTAAAACTATAAATAATTATCCAGTTAATTTGTTTTATCATTTTTCTATTGATTTAAATTTTTTATTATTTTCTCCCTAAAATTTTGTTCATTAAATTTTTAAGCTTCATTAAAAATTTTTAGATCGGTGTTATTTTAATCTAACTTATTTGGGACTCCACTATTTTAGATTACTAATTTGGATAGAGTATTTTTAAATTCTTTATTGGACTTATTTTGCTTTCTATTCTACATATTTTCATTCTTTACAGGCATTTAAGGAATTTTACTCACAATGAGAATTTCGTTGGGAATATAACCTTCTATCAAATTTTTCCATTCTTCTAATTGTTACCTCAGTTTAAACTCTTGATCATAGGCCATCATATTTTATAACTCTTTTGTATACTCTAGTATAAAAGTAAGCACTATATTGATAAATGAAATAGTTATAATCGATATAAAATGATCTTAGATACGCTCAAAAGCTAATGGGATTATTGATATAGGTATTAAAAAAGCAATGCTTAGAATAATCCAACTTTTTATACTATAACTAATATTGTGAATGACCAAACTCATATTTAAACAAATATGCATTAACTCTATTCTACTAAATTAATTTTGATTATCTTTTTACAAAAAGCCTAATCCAACAGATAACAACACCACATAAAAAATTAAACATGCTGTAGAAATATTCTTCTAACAGACAGCTCTATTATTCATAAGGAGCGAATTAGCGATTTATAAAAAACAATTTACAGAGATAACTATTCCAATTACAATATGATCTAAATCTGCAAATGCCTCTATAGCTGTTAATATTTACCAGAATATAGAATATATTTAAATGACATAATGATATTGTTTCTGCTTAGATTAAATGTAATTTTAATAGCTAATATTTTACTGCTAATCCTTAAATTCTAAGGTCAACAAACTCATTCTTTTTATAACTATTTTTAAACTTATTACCTACCTACCTATCTATCTATTTATTTATTTACTTATTTATTTTATATGTTACTCTAAACCAAAACTTTAAATTTGTATACTTATTTGACTAAGTAAAATTTCACAAAATTAATAATTAATAATAACTAGAAAATAAATTATTAAATAATATTTTTTTACGCTTAACAAAACTCACAAAAATTTACTTTTTCAATTTTTACTACAACTATTTTCTTTATATTTAATAAATAACTTAATATATTTACAATCAATCAATATTAATTCTCTCATCTCATCTTAGTTTAAGCTTGTTGTTAACTAATCACACCAAAGAATCTTTCTTAGCTTTTAAATCATCAAATTTATATTTCCTAATGAAAATAAGATATTCTTTCAAAATTTATTTATCGTAAATCAAAATAAAAAAAATAACTTGTTTGTTTTCTGATGTAAATATATCAAAAGTTCGAACATGTTTTTATTAAATGCTATTTTTGATATTTTGTAAACAAACTCTATTAAAAACATATAATAATACAAAACCGATTACAGCAAAATAATTTTATTAACATTTAGTTTAAAGAGTAATTAATATTGTATAAAAAAATATAAATAAATTGTCTAGAAATAACTAAAATTAATTGATAAATCACACTGAAATTGGTTAAACCAAAATTAGGTTTGATTTGGCTGAAAAAATTATTTTTTAGAACTTTTAGTTAAAATAAAAACTACTTCTTTTTTTTGCAATTAAATTACCATTTAACATATAATTTACAATAAAATTAAATTATTAATTATTATTAACAACAACAATTTTTTAATGTTGTTTTTAAAAATAAAATGAACTCATTTTTCTACTTTTCTTTCTTTAAAATTAAACACTATCATGAATTGAATGATTTTGATAGTATTTTAAGAATAAGAAGTTAATTCATAAAGAAATTTTGTATATAATTTGAATAAAATATAGTTAATAATTTTTATCTAATAAGGTCTTAATTAATTATCTAATTGTCAACATAAAGCGATTTTCAAAGAAATTAAGTAGAATTAGATAACTCTAAACAAACAAACAAAAAAGATAATCAGATAAAGCAATTACTAAAAGCAAAAACAAAAAATCTAAAGTTAAAAACAGCAAAAATAAAATGAAAGGAACTATTATTAATATAGAGCAAGAGCTTGAATAATTGCAAAACGATGAGCGCTTAGTTAATAGGTATCTCCTGGAGAAATACCCATTAATATCTAATTATAGATTGAGAAGTATAGAGAGGTTTTTTAAAATAGGAGCTATTTTAATCTAAAGTTTAATTGTGCTCTCTTAAATGGACAATAATTTTTGCCAAAATTAAGACTTAGAAGAAAGTAGATCTAAATAAAATTCATCAACATAGAGTAGCTCAATTTATGATTGCTATTTATAAAAAACTAAAAATTTAAGCATTATTTCAAGTATTCTCTTAATGATTATTGGATTTTGGCTCTTTCTAACAAAGTACATGAAAAGAAAATTTTTTCATAAAATTGGAGTGCAAGCAGCTTTCTTGGCTCTAGTTATATTAACACAAGTAGTAACTTTGGAAATCTACATTTTTAATATTGTTTCATACTTCTGGTGCTTTCTTCTATCTATTCACTTAGTCCTACTTATAGATTAATATATAAAGTAATTAAAATTAGGACTCTTTGGATAAATTATTGCTGTGGTATACATGTAAGTGAGGTTTTATATATAATATAATGTTCATTATTCGTAGTTTATAGTAGGAGGACTTCTGTTTACACTATTAATACTCTAAACATTCTCAAACAAGGTTCTTTACAGAAACAAAATTTAAATACTCTAAATGACACGCAATTAGTTAAATTCAGTAAGATAATTTTATAATGATTTGCTAGCCTTAATTCCTTAGGGATTAACACTTTTAGACAGTAATTAAAACATTATTTATGCTAATAGCAGAGTGACTGAGATACTACAATGCTAAGAAGAAGAAATATTTTCTATTTTAATGAATCTATCAAACAATAATGCTCAAAAGTAATCCACCTTTTTAGATCAAGATATGTAAACTCGCCAAACTCGTCAAATAAGTGCTTCACTTAATGCTGGTTTAGCAGAGGCAAATTAGTAGAATGGTTAGTAGATCGATAATTCTTAAAATTCTAATTCAATTAAAATACATTCTCAAGCATCAAAATAATTTAATAGTTATCAAATTGATGAAAACTAATAATTAAATTCTTAAGGAGCAAGTGCAACTATAAATGCATTAACCTTATAACAAAAGAGGAATAAGCTGTTTAATAACTTGGAAGAATAGAATTCAATTTAACTTTCTAAAAAATACTTTACTTAGAGTAGTCAATAAAATTATAAATTGAAGGATTAAATATCAATAAAAGAAGATTAATCAAATACAGGATCATATAACTGTATTATTTAGCAAGCAAATAGTATTATTTAACAAGAATCCTAATTATCCGAGAGAGATTTAAAAGTAGAAGTGGTTGACGAAGCCAAATACCAAGTAAATAACAAATACCCAAATTAAAAGCAGACATAATATGCTCAAAGTAAATTTGGAACTCATTTCTAAAGAAATTAACAGTAAAACTAGCATTCAGAAATACTTGATGATCCTTAGTATACTTTGGGTTAAGAAGAAACGAGTTATGCAAATAAAGAGATGACTTTTGGGAAAGACTCTTCTAAATACAATTATTTAGAATAATCAAAAGAATAAATGTATGCTAAAAATATAAGTTTAGATCAATAACATTCAATTAATTCCTCAAAATCTGGATAAAAATTAAAGGAGATCAAATCATAGCATAGCTAATACGATGACTTAAAAGCAGATGAGAGATCTATTTTAGATTAATTACAGTTAAAAGAAAATACCAGCAAGTAAACAACATCTAGCTAAGTATAAGTCTCAGTGTTTAATCCAAATTATTAACCTGATAATTCTATGAGAAATGAATTCAATTAAAGCTCTTAAATCTTTGATAAGGTAAAATTTAATATAAATATTCATTTATCTTTAAATTGAATTTATTTAAAAAAAAAGACTGATTAAAATGATTTGTCATATTATTCACCAATTTACGGTGGTTAAGGAGAAAAATCTATGTAATGTGATATCTCAACTCTACCTTTTCAAACAACGGATAGAAAGAGTCTGTTCTTTAATTTAGAAGAAAACAATGAGTTTGAATAGTAGTTCTTTAAAGAACAGGTTGCTAGCGAGAACAAAAGTAACTCTTATAAACTCCCCTCTGATTCTGAAAATAAATCAAAAACAGAAACTTCATTCTAATAAAACAATTATAAATCTTAAAATACTTATGAAGCTTTAAGAAAAGAAACAAGTCTTAAATTATAGCAACATAATTAGCATAAAGAAATTGTTAAAGAATTTTCTTTTCTATCTACTTAGTAAGTGAATATTCCTACTAGTTAATAAATTAATTCACCAAGTAAGGTTTGTTATAATTCAAATAATGCTTTAGGTCCATATCATAGTGCTGCATTTCCTTCAATATTTAATGTTGAAGAGGTAAAAAACTAAGAAACTGATCATTCTATTTACAAAGACCAAAAATTAGCACATTAGTCAAATGAAAATTGCTTTAATTTTAATTAAGACACCCTTTCATTTCGAAGTTTGGATTTAAGGCAAGACATTGAATATTTAAAAAAATCAAAGCAGAATTTCTTTTTATAAGAAAATGATGCCATTTAATAATTTAATAATAGTAATAACGAATAACTGACAGAATAGGAAGTTGCTGTTTTACAACAATAAAATATGCTTTTGCAAAAAGAAATTTCAAAAAGAAATAAACTTGAAAACAATATTGTTGAAGAGGATTGCTTTACAGAATGCAGAAAGTAAATTTAAGAAAGATCAATAAATAAACGTTAATCTAGATTAGAAAAAACTGTAAAGACTTTAGAAGTACAAGATTTACCTAAATATAATGAAGATAAATAACAGCAACCTAGCTATTTCAAATAAACTGAAAAGAATTTAACAATCAGTTAATCGTAAAAGTAAGAAAATGGTAGTCAAAGCACAAAAACATAAAAAGAAAACAGCAAGAGAGAAAAAAAATCAAACAAAGGTAAAGCTCTTTCTCCTTAACTTAAATCAAGTAAAGATAAGAATTTTAACAATTAATCTTTATCGAAAGCATACACTTCTCATAATATTATTTCCAATCAGAAACCTCTAGATTCTTTGGTCAGCTAGATTAATAGACCAAAGGGTGAGAATAATATTATGAGTTAATTTAACCCAATAGAAGGAGAGAGTATGACTCTAAAGAAATATGTTATTAGCCAAAAGGAAAGTAATGATTCTGCTTATAAGAGTATATTTTAACCCAAAATTATTAAGAAAGAAACTAAAGTAAAAAATATTTTGTCAAAGCTTCTCACTTTAAATAAGCCAGATTAAAGAGAGCCTGACACTCAATCTGAAGTTTCATAGATAACTAAGTTGGAATAACATAATTAAGAAGATATCACTAAAAACCAAATTTCTAATAACTATTTGAAAATATAAGAACCAGATGAATAAGATATAGTGTCTTGTATGACAAGCTTAAAGTAAAATTAAAATTAAATTTTATCTCTAGATACACCTTAACTTCCCAGATCTAAAACAGAGTATAATTTTAAGTACAAAGGTGATGTTTAAAGCAATGCTTCTAATATTGATCAAACTACTCCAACCAAAAATTACTCTAATAACTATATTGCAGTCGATTCTGATTAAAGTAAACTGGACTAAAAAGTTAACTTTTTGGAAATAGCTAAAGCTACTAAAAATAATACCTACAAAAAAGCAAAGTCTCCAACCATTGGTGGTAATATGAGTTTTAGTAAAAGTTTCTTACCGAGCTTAAAACCGAAAAATCAGAATTAACATGATTTAAGACAGTCTTTTAACAGGAACAAAGGAAGAAAGGAATCTTTTTTCAACTAGTTTAACAAAGAAGCCAACATAGGCAATTTATTAATTAATTTATTATTTTTAAAATGAAATTCTTTTAAAATCTAATTTTTCTTTTAGTATTTTTAATTTTTAAATAAATCATTTAAAATCTAACAGGATATTATTAATTCAAGGATGATATTGCACATTTATAGGTCGAATGAAAGGGCCAAACGTTGATCTTAAAATTTATACTATGCGAAATCAATATTTAAGATCAAACAATTTAAAAAGAACCAATGGTGTTAGTTTTGATAGATCCTGTTTGGTAAGAATTCTTGACTAAGCAAATCGAAGACATGAATCGCTATAAGATGAGGATGTTTGCATCCCTATCTCACGAGTTAAGAACACCATTAAATTGCTCAATTTCGATGTTAGAATTTTTGGAATCTGATATTATTAACATCAGTAAGTAAGCTACATAGATATTAACAAATAATATGTAGCGATAATAGAGGCTAGAGAATTCATAAATAGTGTTAGGAACTTCATATTAGTAATTTTAAGGCTCTTAACAAAATTGTATACAATAAAACAATTCAGGATTTGGTAATTCTTTGTACTTTAATTAAAATACATTGAATGCCAGCCAAGCTGAAGAAAGCCACGAAGAGAGTTCTTATAGTCTATATAATATCAGACATAGTTCATAGCTAAAAAATATTCAAAGTAACATAAACAACAATAACAACAACAATAACAGCAACAACAATAATAATAATAATCCTCAGACTACCATGAATATTTTTTATAATGGAAGTAGTAATAATAGCTTTTAAAACTTCTTTCAAGATATAAAAAGCATATAAGAAGAATGTGAAAGAGTTATACAATCTTATCTTAAGCCTGCTTTATATAGCTCTAAATTACTTCTAAACTTAATCAATGACATTTTAGACTTTGTGTAAATTGACAGTGGTAAATTTAAATTCACATTCATTTAATTTTCTTTGGATAAACTGCTTCATGAATGCATAGTATTGATTAATCTGCAGGCTAAATCAAAAAACATAGAGCTCTGTGTAGATTTTGATCAGAATATTCCACAAAAAATTGAATCAGACCCTAACAGAATAAGATAAGTTTTACTAAATTTTTTGAGTAATGCTTTAAAATTTACTGTACAAGGAAAAATAACCATTTAAGCAAAAGCTGTTGCAAATAGTTAAAACCTAATTATGCTTTCTGTAATTGATACAGGAATAGGTAAACAAATCATTTAATTTAAAGAGGAGCTGTAAAAAATTTTTTTTTATTTATAGGTATTTCAGAAAATGATATCAGAAATATATTTACTATATTCAACAAAGTAGATTTAGGAAAAAACTAAGAACTAAATAGCTAAGGATGTGGTCTTGGACTTACTCTTTCAAACTCAATAAGCAAAGGTTTAGCTCCTGAGCAATTTGGAGGAGTTTAAGTTGAGAGTAAAGTAGGACAAGGAAGCAAATTTTCTTTTGTAATAGAAGATCATTCTGCTACTAAACTTTCGAAAAAGTAAAGCTGTGATGTACTAGAATCTGAAGAGGATGAATCCTATAGACCAAAAACTATTTCAGAAAATTTTAGAAAACAATTTAAGTCTCCTTCTTTTTCATAAATTTTTGAAGGAGGACAATACATTACTGAGTAAAGCTCTCCCTTGCAAAAACAATAAAGCTCAAACTAATTCAATATGCTTTTCAGTGATCAATAAAGCTAAAATAATAATTTTAACTTAATTCAATAAAATTTATATTAATAACCTTAAAATAAGATTTAAAATTTAAATTTTTAGTAATAAATAAATAAGTTATCCAACGCTTATGATAATATAACTTCGAAAGGAGAAAAGGATATGCATATGATTTAATAAATTCTTAGTGAAAATGGTAAATGTAATTGCATTTAAATTTTAGCTGCGGACGACAATGAGTTTAATTTGATTGTGATTGAAAACATTCTAAGAAAGTATCATTTAAATTCAGAAAATTCATGCAATGGTCAAATTGCATATTAAAAGGTATTTTAATTATTTTCCTTTATATTTATAAATAATCTCCAAATTTAATTATTTAATTAATTAATTAATAGATATTGACCAGAAAGCAGGAAAATACATGTTGCCCCCATTACAAATTAATATTTATGGATATAGAAATGCCAATCATGAATGGATATTAAACTTCACAACAAATCTATGAATTATATTAAAAAGATGGAGCACTCGAAAAAAAACCCTATATAGTTGCATGCACTGCATATGTAGGAGAAGATGATAAAAAACTTGCTAAATAAAATTTTATGGATGACTTTGTAACTAAACCAATCTAATCAAATATTTTAGAGCAAGTATTAATTAGATATGTTTCCTACTATTTAAAGAATAATTTGAAAAATAGAGATTGATATTTTTAATATACTTCAAGGAAATACAAAAATAGCAACATATTATGTGACAGTAAGGCTGAAATAGCTTTATCATCCATTATACAATAGTCATATTATTGCAGATTATAAAAATATCATTTTTAATCCAATTTTATGACTCAAAAAATACTGAAATCATTATTCAAAATATTCTTCACCCACTATCCAAAATGGGTAAGATTATTACTTTATTTAAAACTAAGTTATGTCAAATGATATCATTTGAATTTTTTAAAGATTTTAAAATAAAAAATTAAAATTTAGTAACGAATTTAAAATCTTAAAAAGAAACAAAATTTTTAATTTTAAAATTTTATATTATGTATATGCTAAGATAATTAAATGAAAAATTAATAGGAGTATTTATTTTGTATTCAATTAAAATAGCTACATAATTAGGTCATTTAATATTAACGATTAATTTAGTACTATCCTACTGAAAACTTATGATACATATTTTACCATATGATTGTTTTATATAAAAATATATGTCGTCTGTGAAATAATTAAGAAGAAACACAGCTAAGATGATCAATCATTGAATATTAAAATGTAAAATTGTATGATTAGCTATTAAAAATGAAAAAAATTATAAATAACTTAAGAATATTAATGCTTTCCTATTTTAAAAATTAAATGAAATAAAAAATTTAAGCATTATGTAAAAAAAAGAGCAAAGATGCATTTAAATTATTTAAAAATATAGCTAAAACAATATTTATTTAATTACTTATTAGTATGTTTTTTGGTTCTCATAGTATTACTATCTTAAAAATATTTAAAAAAATTAAAATTACTTTTATTTCCAACTTAATTAATAAAAATTAAAATTTGACTAGGATATAATTAATATAATTTAAAATTGGAATTACAATAATCTGATATTGATTCTGAACATAACATATTTGATATCATAAAATTTAAAAAACTTTTCTAGATGAGAGTAATGAAATTAATTGATTATGTTGGAATTCTAAATTTATATAATTATTTAGCCCTTTTCTATGCAGAAATAATTTTAAAAATTATATCAAAAATCAATTATGAAAAGATTTTTAGTTAATTCAAGCTGGGATGTTTTAATCTTAATATGATAAATTGAATTTTTATTAGGTAATTGGTAGGAGGAGGTGTTCAACAACTAAAGTTTTTTCTCATTAAATTAATTCCTAAATATTTAAAAATAATTCATTTATTAAAAATATTTTTCAAAAATGTTCTTACTTTATTTGAATAAAAATTATTGTAAGCTACAAATAAATAAGAAACTTTAAAAGTAAAATTTTTAAAAATTTTGTTTTAAAACTTTATTATCACTAATTAAACGATATTATTTAACATAATTACTTAACATAAAAATAAATGAAAATATGTAAATCATATTTATTACCAATAATATTTAAAATTTTTCTTAAATTTATTAATTATTTTATGATTTTATTTATTTATTATTTTAAAATAAAGTTTCTAATTACTCGCTGCATTTTACAAATATTCTAGAGAATTTCTGCAAACTATGTAAACTAGCATGTATTCTTTTTTAAAATTAACCAGTTTTCTAATGGTTAAAAATTAAGAATTAGTTTAAAAATACATAGAAAGGAAAAGGCATTTAAACTAATGTTTAAAATAAATTATTTTACTAAATATTTTATACTATTAATGCAAATACCAGACAGACAGATAGATTAAATTATTTAAAAATTTTATTATTTTATTCTGAAAACTTTGAAAGATAAAACTGCATGCAGCAAAGAACACAACTCGTAAGAATAAATATTTATATTTGTAATTGGTTAGTTATTTTAGTTTGAAGTAGAACACCAAATTAATTAAGAAATTATTAGAAATAGATGAAAAAATGGACAGCGATGCTTTTTTTGTGTTAATAAATAATAGCAATAATAATTAATGAAATGAAAGAGCGAGCATCTAATCAATAAAAAGAAAATATACATTCAATTATTAAAAAAGTGAAGATAAATGGATTTCCAAAGGAGAAAAAAACTTATTTGAGAGAGTATGAAGGGTTTATAAATAAAAAATATAAAGAACTCAACAGGAAAGCAAACTAGATTGATTAAATGATTGATTGAATGAATGAATAAATAAATAAACAAACTATTATTTTTAATACTCTACATAAAATAAGTAATAAGCTCTAATATAAATCAATTAAATAAACAAGTAAATAAAAATAATATAAAAACAAATAAGCGAACTACCTCTATATAATATAAGAAGGATAAAGAAAAATAATAGTTATTCAACAACAATAAAAAAGTCTGAAAATTTTTAAAAAATAAACAACATAGCTAACAAAGGAAGAAGAAGAAAATGAAAGGTAGTGCTCCTAAATTAGATTGGAAATTTTTGTAAGTATTTGGTGATAAGGCTTCTGTTGAGAAGGTGTCAGAAGAAGATATCATTTCAGCTATTTCATTCGATAAAACTGGACGCTTTTTATCATTGGGTGATAGAGCTGGTAGATTAATTATTTTTGAATAATGCGCTACCTCCAAATCTAAGAGGGTTGAGTTCCAGTATCTTACTGAATTATAGAGCCATACTAGAGAATTCGATTACTTAAAGTCAACTGATATCGAAGAGAAGATTAATTAGATCGTATGGATGAGAAATTCAGGTAAGAATATGTATGTTTTGACTACAAATGACAAAACTGTCAAACTTTGGAAGATTTCTGAAAAGAATATCAAAAAAGTTATGAAGGGAGCAGGAAAAGATTTAAATATGCCAAAATTGCAAACTCTAGAAAGTGGCTTAATGCCAACAATTCGTAAGGTCTACCCCAACCTTCATACTTATCACATTAATGCCATTTCTGCTTCTTAAAATGAAGAATTTTTGCTCTCATCTGATGATTTAAGAGTTAATCTATGGAGTATTGAAAATCCAAATAAGGTAATTTGCAAAAACGTTTTATTAGTTTAACCTTAACGCCAATCAAGCCAATCTCATCCCTTTTAAATTTTACAAGCAAATTAAGTTAAAATAAATCCATTTAAAGAGTTTCATTTTTAAAAAGCCATGTATTGATCTAGGCAAAATTTATTATAATTATTAATATTTTTGCTGTTTCTTTTACATGGGATTGAATTAAATAAAATATATGCTATCAATTAGTCTTAATTATATTTAAAAATAATCAAATTTATTTATAGCAACCTTAGAGAGTTCGTTTTTTGTTTTGCCTAGTCAATATCAAACGAAATGCAATAAATAAAATTTATTAGCATATGCTAACAAAATTAAAAAAATATTTTACTGAATGCAAATTAAATTAATTTTGATAAATTATAATTCATTAAACTTATTCATTAATCTTAATGTGCTTTTATGATTAAAATAAGCATCGCTTTAAGCTAAAAATTAATTTTAATCAGTAAAATAAATCATCATTTATTTAATAATTTTAAATAGGCATTTGTTGCTGTTGATCTTAAACCAGATAATCTCGAAGAACTTTCTGAAGTTATTACATCATCATAGTTCCATCCTCAACATGACAATATGTTCTTGTACACTACTTCTAAGGGTGTAACTAAAGTAGGTGATATGAGAAAGAGTGGTATATGTGATAACACTGCTATGACATTCTCTGAAAAGGAAGATCCTTCAAAAAAGAACTTCTTCACTGAAATTGTAGCCTCTATTTCTGATGCTACATTTGCTCGTAACGGAAAATATATTTTTGCAAGAGATTTCTTGAGCGTAAAAGTTTGGGATGTTGCTATGCAAAATAAGCCCGTTGTAACAATTCCTATTTTTGAACCTCTTAAGAGTAAGCTTTGTGAGTTATATGAAAATGAATGTATATTTGATAAATTCTCAATCTCAAGCAGTCCAGACAGCAACTTCTTTGTCACTGGTAATTTCAACAGCACTTTCCACGTGATTGATAGAAATGGCGACTTAAATAACTAATTCGAACTTAACTTTAATAAAAAGACTCTTATTAAACCTATTCCTCCTAAATATTTTGAAAACTTAGGCTCTAATTATGATTTTTCAAGAAAAGTTTTAAAAACTGCTTACAGCCCTGTTAATCATACTCTAGCTATTTCTTGTCTTAACTGTTTGTATTTTTACAATGCAACTGCTCCCTCTGCTTGATAGTCTACTTCCTCAAAAGAAAAATTTCTTTAATGATTCCCAAAACTTTTATGGTCACTAAAAAATTGTTAACCAAATTTACAATCACAACAACAACAATAACCAGCAATCTAAAAATATAAAATCAACCAAATATTTTTGCTTTATAATTATATTTTTTAAATACTTTTGCGTCTTCTTTTTTATTTCATCAGTCTAGTTTTCTAAATTCAAAGTTTTTATATTAATTCATTTGCATTTATATAAAGTTAATTAATAACTAACTTTTTTACATTTTTATTCGATGTGTGTTTTTTACGAATTTACAATTCTTATGCCAATCAATAAATGAAAAGCTATACATTTTAAAATATTCTATAAACTTAAATATTTTAAAAGTATTTTGTTGCTATATATATAGCATAAATAAATAAATAAAATTATTAATTAGTAAAGAAAAATATTTTTATTTAAAATTAGATAAACAAATAATAATCAGATAATCCATTTTTTCATTTAAATTTAAAAATTAAAAAGAAATAAATTAATGGTTTAAGATTTATTTTAATTCAAATAAATATTTTTAAATTTAAATTATTTTTTTATTCAATCAATTAATTATTTTATATTTTAACCAAATCTAACATTCAGCTAGAAGTACTTATTGTATTTAAAAGATTCCATAAATATAATCTGGCTAATATATATATATATTATTTATATTTACAATTAATCTACCTTATTTTCAAGAAATAAAATAAAGCAAAAGAAAATATATAAATTTTAAAAAATAAATTATTATTCTAATTTAATTTAAAACTTTAAAATCATTTAGCAGACAATTAATAAATAGCAGTTTATTAAGTATTTTAAGCTAAAAGCTTTTGCAAAAAATAAGCTAAGCATTACAAACTTTTATTATTAAGTAAAAACGAACATTTCTATTATATTTTAAATTTCTAAATCGTTTATCGCGTTAAAATTCTTAATTTTTAAAAATCTCTTTTTATATTTAATAAATAACTCAATACCTCATTTTTATCATAAAATCAGATGATTTAAATAATTAAACTTATCCTATGACTAATATCATTATACCTCTTGCTGTCCTTTTTTTATTTTTTAGAATATTGTTTAACTAGCAACTTTATTCACAATTATATTAACTAGAAATAATTGTTTTTATGATCTTTGAAAATAGTAGAAATTTTTGTAAAAAACAACAAATCAAAAAAAGAACGATTTAACTTTATAAACAAATATTTTAAGACTATTCTTAACTGTATTTTTTAGTCCATTTTTAGTAAAGTTAATATAAATTCTTTTATTGTTGATGATTAGAGAACAGAAAAAGAAAATAAGAAAATCAACACAAATTCATTCACAAAAAATAAATTATTAATTGATTAATTGTTTGACTGATTGATTGATTTTGTTTGTTTTAATTTTTCTAATGTGATTTTATTTATTTATTTTTAACGATTAGCTGAAATTTGGTAGTATTATAATGATTTAAGGAACTAATTTTCCTTAATATATATGTATGACCATAAAATATTAAATTTTTCTGTTCAAACGTTTAGTTTTACTAGTGTGCTAAAAAACTAAAGGAAATTAAATTAATTTTACAAAAATAACCCTCTTTTTAGGAAGATTCCATCAAAAATGAATTTTAAATGGATGAAAGTGAAGAATTAGGTTACTTTTTATTTCATTTACTAATAAAAGTAATAAATATTAAAACAAAGAATCTTAGAATGTTAGAAAGAAGTAATATTATTAATTTTTTGGTTTAATATTTCATACTATTTTGAATTTTCTATTTTTCAAATTATATTAAAAAAGTGTCTATTATTGCTATTATTATAATTATTATTATTAATACTACTACTACTACTTTAACTATTTTAATGATTTGTTTGTGTAGCCTCTATTTGAACATTAGAATTTTATCTTACATGAAAAGCAAGCTTATTTTGTTAGAAAGGCCTATTCTTTTTCATAAATTTATTTTTATATTATGATCATAAAATTAAAAAAAAACTAGCCATAACTTTTCAAATTCTATCAATAAGTTTTGAATTTTATTAATAAAACTTTTGGAACTGAATTTTTATTTTATTTCAAAAATAAAGTATAATCAGATCGTTCTTTACCTATTTAAATACTAAATTTTAATATAATAGAATAGGTAGAGTTTTTTGTAACCAATTTTATGTTTTTGATTGATTAAAGCACTTATTGTGGATTGACTTTATTAAAAAAAATTTGCTTAATGTTCTTATAAAATAATATTTATTGTATCCAGTACAACTTTAGAGAATTTTAAGGCTAAGATTGTAGTAATAGCCTATTTATTTATTTATTTCTTTCTTTCTTTTTGATTTTATAATGAATTTTATTTCTTATTATATTAAATTTGGAGATAAAATCGATTTGATTTTATTCATACAAAGAAATACAAAAAAGAACCACCATTTATTTATAAACAAATAGCTCTCTCTTGCTTTGTTTAATCGATGGATTAAAAATTTTATAAGATGTTAAATTTAAATGATTTGACTTAAATTAAAATGGTATTACTTAAAGTTATACCTTCAGTAAAGTTGATGCATAGAAACCTTAACTATAACAATTAGAAAATCAAGATGAAAGTTTCATTAATATGTAAATGCAAATTTAGTAGTTTTTAAATCATAAGACTGACTGACTGACGCTATCTATTATTCAAATGAGAAAGAAAATTGGAAAGGGAAAAAATTATCAGAAAGTGAAGAGAAAATAATTGGTTTTTAGAAATTAAAAAAAATTCAGTGGGGGAAATTTTAATTTAATATTCAAATCAGGAGTACAGAGTCTCATAGGATTTCTGACATTGAAAAAGCAAAAACTGGTGGGGTAATTAAATAAGAGAGCCCTACCTACAACTCGTTTTAGTTCATTGGCTTAAATTACTGGAATTAAGTACTTTAGTAAAAAAGCCATATAAATTTCAAAAATGAATTAAGTTGATAATAATAATAATTAATTTTAAATAAAAAATAATATAATTTAGTGCATCTAAAGGATTGCATTTATTCAAAAGCCGGAGTTATTTATATATAATAAGATCATCCATCTACTTAATTTTCTACTTAAAGCTAAGTCGAGAACATTATTAATATTTAGTAGATTTTAGAATTTCGAATTTATTAATAAGTTAAGCAAGAAAGACACTTTACTTGTTGAGGTTAACTGTAAATACTTTTCAACGTTTAATTAAAATAAAGAAGACTTATTTACTTATTTTCATTTACTTTAGATATAAATAGACAAAGCATAAAGTAGCTACTTGATAATTAAACAAACAAGTCAGAAAAATATGCTGCAAAATAAAGGTAAAAGAATCTAGCAAAAAATACGTAATAGACAACTACTAAAGTAAATTAATTTATTCAATCAATCGATTAATATTTATCTTAATTTTTAGAATCACTTCCTTCCTACTCTTTTTCCATGGAAGTTTTAATGTGGTTAATCAAACAGATAAAAAGCATTAATAAATCAAATTTTTCAAAAACTTAAAAAGTTCTATAAAAATGAGTCAATTTATAAAAGAAAAAAAAAAAATACATTGAAAGCTACAAATCAGCATTCAAAAATAGCATCACCCCAAAACAACAAAACATCAACATTATAATCCCCTTGATACCATTATCAACCAAACAAAACCAGCAAATTCGTCTACTAAGAGCTACATTTACTCATCTACTTTCATATTAAAACAGCTATACCAATATAAACAAAATCCTCTCTCTCCCTTCCTTAATAAGTATTTAACACCACAAAAGGAATTCAATAAATTAAACAAAAAATTTTTTTCTTTCGTACTCTATTTCACAGAACAATTTGAGAGAAGGAAAACATAATTAAAATCTCTTCTAAAAATTGTCACAGCACAAAAACTTAAAGAAACAAGCCAATCCAATCCAATCCACTTCAATCAATATTATAACACAATTATAATTAAAAATAAAAAAATACAACTCTAAAAATTTAAATGGAACTTTAATAAAATGTAGATGAGGGTCAGATCCCGAATCGGCATTTGCTTGAAAATTTTACAAGCAAAAATTTAATATCTAATAATTCTTGCTCTTCATTGAGCACCAGTGCAACTGCTAGCACTGTAACCACCAAATCAATGAATCACGAAAAAATAATAAGTCAATTTCACTTAAGTGATCCTACTTTATGCCAACTCATTCCTTTCAACTAAAAAATGATTCATGATCAAAACTAATCTAATCATTTAATTAATATTAGATAGTAATTAGAGAAGGGAAGTGGTAGTGAAATTTGGGAAGGCAGAAACTCTTCTCGTGACTGCATATTTAAAATGGTTAAAAAAAATTCAAACACCTCCACTTATACTCAATTAGTAAACGAGTATGAAATACTAAAGAAAAAAATACCCAATTCTCATCCAAACATTGTTAAAATATATGATTTATACCATAATATTGAGCATCCAAATGAGCCTGAGCAGCCTGTTGCTGCCTTATCTATGAAAAAGTACACTTATGACGGTATCAGGTGCTTAAGGGAATATTAGAATGCAGTCCCAATGGTGAAAATATGAATCGCCATCAAGTAGCTCTCTAGTGCTCTCTCTCATATCCATTCATTCAACATTGTCCATAATGATATAAAACTTGATAATATATTCGTTTAAAAAAGAACAAATAATTGCTCTGTAATATCATCATCAAACACCTAAGACATTGCATGTGGTGTATAAGAACTCAAAAACAATAACTCTAATGATTTTTGCGATGGAGAGCAAATCCAATCAGAGAGCTACTAAAACCAAAAAACTGTCAATTTACAAAGCAACTAGAAAAATCTCGATGAACAGTTGCATTTTGTATTAGGAGATTTTGGACTTTCATGCTATTATTAGGATTAGGACTCTCTCTCTTTTGAAGGATACAAAAAAATTTTTGACAACAGAAATTTGTTATTTTAAGCTCCAGAAGTGCATTATTTCACATAAGAGGAGACACAATAATAATTTGATTTGAAAAAAGCTGATATTTATGCACTTGGAATGACCTTTTTCGTATTGATTTTTGGTTAGTATCCTAAAAAGTACCCACAACCATAAATGAGAGACCCTATCTACAGATACATCATTAAGCATGATGTTGAAAATTTCTATTTAAAAATTAAGGGATTTCGTAAGGATTTTGAAAAAGAGGTAGGAGGTTATGAAAACGCTATAAAGTTGGTTACTCTTCTCATGAAAATGATGCATCAAGACCCCTAAAAGCGTATTCCTTTAAACGAAGTTATAAGCACTGTCAATGAAATTGCATTCCCTCACGCTTCCGCAGATGATTAATTGTGAAATTGAAAACAAAATGGAAAGTGAAGCTTACCAATGTAGTGAAATGATAAAAACTACTCAATAAAACACATAACTAAGATGAGAGATGAAATTTATTTTGAAATAAACATAAAGACTCACTCTCACTTTAAAAATCTTACTTTATAATAATTAAACACTTTTTTATGACTCTACTAATTACTCTACTTGTCAATATAAATAATAAACCAAACTAATATATTACTTTATATTAGATATTTTTTTAAATAGAAGACCAGCTATAAAATAATAGCTTACAAATAAACAATACAAGTTAAATAAAGAAATACAAGCAAGCATTTAGAGAAAGCAAGCGCTTATTCGATTGAGAGAAATCGATAAAAAAATTTTAAATAAAATTAGGTAAAATGTTAAATAATCAAAAAAAGGATGTAATAATTTGACCTTTCACCTCAATGCTAAGCCTTTTTTGATAGAGAAAAAAAATCATTGTTCATAAGAAATCATTAAATCTCATTATAATAAATTCTTCTTCCTTAGAAATTGTTCATAATCTGCCAGAAAAAATTAAATTAATTAATTAATTAGTTTAAAACCCTCTAGGTCTTTAACTATCCAAGGATAAATCAATCAATCCTTAGAGAGTCTACTTCTTTCTTAGACTTGTAAATTAATAACTTATTGCTCAAATCTATCTCTTTAGTCTCGCATGCTTCTCTCAATCTTAATTCTTTTAATTCATCTAATCAAGCTATTCAATATTTTCTTTATTTCTCAACATAGACACGCTCGAGGACCCCTCCACTTATATATATTTTATAAGGGGTCATAAAATTCATTTAAATTAAGCATTAAATTGAATAAAAATTTTTTTTTTCGTATTTTATAACACTACAACTTATTCGTATTATAATAATTGCTTATTTATAACAGTATTTTAACAAACATTTTCATAAAAAATATTAATTCGAAATTTAATGAAAATTTTTTATAAAAAACTACAAAAATAAATGAATTAATTTGAATTGAACAAACAATTAAAAATGAATTGATACATTCATTCATTTTAACTTATTTTTAAAACGATAAAGATTTATTTTTTATTGAATAAGTAAAAAATTTATTTTTAAACCAATAAATTAAATTAATCACTAAAAACTCATAAAAAATTAGCAAGAGTAGAAATTCAATAATAAATAAACAACCTTTTGTGTTAATTTGAGAATTAAAAAAGAAAAATTTTAATTTATTTACCTAATAGGTTTGTTAGAAATTAACTAAATAAATAAATAAACTAATAAAATAAATAACACTAACATAAAAAAGTATAAAATAATATAAATTTTAAAAAGAAATATGTTAACATTAATAATTTTAATTCATTCATATTATTCTTTATGGCATAAACTATCAATTTTAAAAGAAAATAAATATAAAAAGCATGAATTAATGAGAAAAATTTTTAGTTTCAAATATAATATAGGCTATTTATTAACTCGTTATTTGCAACGCCTTCAAGAGTTTCACTAGTAAATTTAGCTAATTTTTCTGCATACTTCATGACAGCAGGTACCCTAATAGGTCCTTACCAATTATAGTAATTAAAAGTTTGGAAATAAGTTAATTACCAAAATTAATCTTCTTTCAAGTTAGTATTGTTAAATAGGCATGTATATTTAGTTGGTGTACAGACTCCTGAGTTACAATTTTAAGCAGCCATGAAAAATTCAAAATTATTCTGAGTTAATTCAGAAGCTACAATAGTACCTGAGGGTGGATTTGAAATTTGTACTCTTTCATTATATAACTGTTGATAGAATTTCTCACTTATTTTCCTATTAACTTAGAAAAATGCAAAGCGGGGACTGTAACCTTGTTTAAAGTTGATGAATCCATTTTGAATTGCTTAAATTTCTAGTTAGTGACTATACTAAATTTAGCCTTCGCCTAAACCTTATCTGTAAATTATAATTTCTTCAGGAACAGTTTTTGTATTCTTGCTATAAGCTTCTATAGCACTTGATATAATTTTAGAGAGGGTTGGTAGTTTGATATCATTGCCATTCCTAAAATCAACTTGAGAGTAGAATTTATTGAAGTCTTTATTAATAGAAGCTACCACTCCAATGACTTATTAATTCCTGATTTTTTTCATACTAGTTTCAATGCCAACAATCATAGTATTCTGATTAATTCCAACTGGAGTTTCTACTGACCAAATGCGCTTTCCGAGTTTGGATGCAATTTGCAAAGCAATTTTAGAGGCTACACTTTTACCATTTTTTTGCAAGGCTCTCGGTGTTACATGCTGTGATTCTATTCCTACACCACCTTCAGAAGAAAAGAATTTCTTCATTTCGCGGTAAAGGGAGGGATTTTTTTCAGCGTTGCTGAAAGTCACAATGAATTAAGGAACTCCATTCTTTCTAAAATCTTTGTCTAACAACCTAATCCAGTTTTTAGGATTAAAATCCTCTGGTGCGAAAAATTGCGGTTTATCATTGACATTAATTTGATATGCTTGTGACGCATTCTTAAGAAGGTCTATAAACTTATAAACTTCTTTTTCATCATTTTTATGATGGATAATAGCCCAATCTTTAAATTAAACTTAATCTTAAGTAGGTGCTCTTGTTTCGAAGTTTCCTCCATGCTCAGGAATGAAAGACTTTCCACCAAAAGTTATTTTAGGTGCTTTAAGTTAAATAGCATCAATTTTATTATCAGTGTGACTAATTCTGATTCCACTTTTAATTGTTTTGCGACCAAACAATTAGCAATATTAGACGCTTTTTGAGTATTTTTATTCAGGAGTAAGCTTAGTATGAGTAGCTATTTCCTTCATAGCATTTTTATTTTTTCTTTGTTCATCAGTGAGTCCTGTCATATAGCATAATTCAGGTATCAAAAATATCTCCTAAATTTTTAGAATATTTGTGTCAGCTTCCCTGTACTTTATTTTACTTACAAGTAATGGTTGTTACATATCTCTAATTTCAATTTGATAGTTTTGAAAGTAGTACTCTGCGTAACTAATTTATAAGTTTGTTTTTCTATACAAGAAAGTTGATCTAGGATTCTTACTATAATCTACCCTGTCAATTATATATGTCCGATAATTATTATATTTAGTAAGTACTGACTATCCTTCTATATCATGTCTTGCAGTTAAGTATTATTGGGCTGTTTCTTTTCTTAAAATTCTACAAAGATAATCACTATTGAGATATAAACCTTATTAAGTAGGACTTACCTTGAAAGTGATACCTTTATATACTTCAAGGGTTGAGGTATTATTTTAATTTTTGATGACCACATCTGCTCTAGATTATAAGTCAAAGAATTAAGAGTTCCTTCCTATTTATTTGAATCCTTCTTAGTCTATGATATTTTTTAGGATAACGTTTAATACTTAAGTTACTTTATTACCCTTCTTATAATTTGGAGTAGTCTTATCCTTGTTTTATGCAGATTCTTCATTTACTTCAAAGAGTTTTGTAAATGTTAGTGAAAGTGAATAAGTTTAATCATCGACCCTTACTGATTCTAAACTAACTGAATCTAAGGCATTTTAATCAAGACGCTTCAAAGAGTATAAAGATTTTCCAGAAAAGCTAAACCTGCCTATGATCTTTTATATGCTTAGACGAGCTTATTTAAAAATTTTTTATCTTAGATTGCTGTTATCTTCTGCGATGCTAGGATCAAATTTAACATCATATTAATAGCACATAAGGTTTCTATCATTAACTTAATTGTCTTCTGAGTCTGAATTTTCAGGATCATGGATTGACATGCTAAACATATTAGTAAGTAGTCTGATATTATTACTAATTTTAGCAATTGTAGAAGAAGAGGATTTGTTAGGTCTTTTTGGTAACTAAGTTATCATTTTTTGATTTTTTATTTTTTGATTTTTTTTTTTTTATTTTTGATTCATAAAAAATCAGATTTTGGTAAAATTTTTAAAAATGAGTCTCATTATTTTGTAAAAAAAATAAATAATAAAATAATTGGTTGTTTTAAATATTTATTTCTGAAATAAATTATTATAATCAAATAATGCTCATTTATTTTTTTTAAAAATGATAAGAAAGCGCTCAACATTTTTTCTATTTTTAAGTCAACAATTTTAGTTTTTTATAAAATAAACTACAAAAATTTAATTCTATTAAATACTGATGTATCAATAAATAAAATTGTTTATAAGCTGTCATAATTTTTAAAAAATTTTTTTAGAGCTTTTTTTCAAACATTTTTATTTAATTTTTCAAAGTAATTTATCAGAAACACACTTTTTGTATTTTTCATATTTAGAAAAATTAATTATATTAAAATTAACTAAAATAATATTTTTTGTATTTATGTTTTTATGAATAAATACAAGAAAAAGTTTTTTAAACATTGGTAATCGCCATATTATTTTAATTCTAAATTTTAATTTATCAATAAAAGGTTCAGTATTTTTTTATATATTAAAATAATTTTAGTGATAATAATATATTTTATTCGATAGCTAATGATGCAAACTGAATTTTAGTAAATCATAGCTTGGTATTCACAATACTTTTTGCTTATTTTGGTTTTGAGTATTACTTCTTTTATAAAAAAGCTTGCATATGCCATCTTAATAATTGTATTTCTACTAAGTAAATAAGAATATTTTCATAATTTAGACAATTTATCTGTAATACGTAAATATAATAAAGGTTAAAATAAAATTAAGATATTATATTTAAGATAAGAATATTTATTATTCCTGTTTTATACAAAACTAACTCAATCTTTCTTATTTTTTTTAGAGCTGACAGTTCTTTGAGTTTTATCAAAGTTATCATAATAATTTTCACCACTTCTATTTTCAATTGCACAAATATTAAATGACCATCTTTCTTGAGCTACTATATTCTTATAAGCAACAACTAAGTGATAGAGAGGAAGGATAATCCAAACAGGGTTGAAGAAAACAAAGCATATCCAGAAGAGTAAAATATTTGAAGTAGAGAATGTGAAACAACTAAAAATTATATTTTTTAAATAAAATAAATTTAATATTTTAAGAATAAATAAAATATTTATTAATTTTTAATGAAATTCAGAAATAAATGAAGGTTTTTAATAATTAAAAAAGCCTTTTAATAGACTCAGTTTATTATTAATTTATTTTTTTATTTTAACTTAAAGAATTCAAAATATTGTATTTTAAAAGTTAAAACCCTTAACACTCTTTAATCAAAATACTGTATATGAAAATTTTATTACCTTTCTTCAGGGCAAACATTAACAAAATTGTTCATATATTCATCATAGACGAAAACGTAGGTAAATACAAGCTAAAGGAATGAAGATAAAATGGAGAAAATATCTCTCTTTAAACCTCTACTGCTTAAGAAAAGTCTAGCAGTGTAGAGACAAAGAGGTCCATGCAAGAATAATTCGCAGAAAGAAATAGCTCTGACAGCGTTTTCCTTAACCTTGTATCTAAACAAAAGAAATATTTATAATTAACTATGAATGAAAATTTAAAAGCAATATTATTACCTATTATCCATCAAAGAGTAAACTCTAAGTAAAGGATCACATTAATGAAGGGCTCCAACAAAACCATCCCAAGTGATGTGGATAATAGCTCCATTGAATAAGAACCAATAAAAAGCGAATTTTTCATATGCAGTCATTTTAACCTATTGCTTTACTACAATGGTAACGAATATGAGCATTAATGGCAATAAGTGAAGCTTGATAACTTCAAATATTTCTTCAAAATGATCTTCAATATTAATTCCCATGATTCTATTTACTTTTACTTGACCTATATATTAAATTGATTTATTTTCTTTACCTTTAATTTCTTTAAAAGCTTAAACAAAACCAAATTCAAATATAAATTATTTTTATTTAGAACAAATCTTGAGACCACGTATCTTTTTCATCACAAATACTGAAACATATAAATATTATTCAATGCATCTTTTCTAACCAATATTATTCAAAGTTAACTTATCTAGATTATCATTTTAAAAACTAAACCCAAACTCAGAAAATTCTGAATGAAAGCTGAAATTAAAAAATAATTTATTTTGAAATTAAATTATTTTTTTTAAGAATTAATTTTTTGAATAAAACTGAAATTTGTTTTTTTTCAAGATATTTTTGATAGAATAGAAATTTTTAAAATATAAGTTTGATTTTTGATTATTATTAATGTGTATTTAATTTTCATACTAGTAGCATTCCTAAATTGTATTTATTATTGTTAAAAAATAATCGAGAATACATCAAAGCTATTATATATTTCCTTCTATTTTATTTAATATTCTTTTGATTGAAAAAAATTTATGATAACTTTTTACATTCAACTGAAAGATTGGTTAAAATATTAAATCATCATTAAAACAAAAAAAATTAATTAATTAGTAAAGTTAGGAGTTATTAATTAAAAAAAAATCTTAAGAAAAAAGTGCAAAATGAATAGACCTAATAATATTTAAAAAGCTAAATCATTAGCCTTAAAATATAATTAAAAAGTTTAAGTTTAGGATGAAGATTATGATGAAGAAGATTACGATATTGGTCCTCCTAAAGCTGTTACTGAAAAATCAAAAAGACAACCCATCAATGTCTTTGATAAAATCAATAAACTCTTTGATGACCCTACAATCAAAAATTTAAAAGATTTTGACCATGACGATTTTTTGAATAAAGAAAATGATGAGGATGATAGTCTACCACAAATTTAAGGGAAGACTAAATCCAAGTCTATGCAGTCAGGAAAATAAGTTTTAGAAAAAGCTAAGCAGTTAGTAATCAATAATATAATTTTACTTATTGAGTTTATATCTATTTGGAAGATATTTATTTAAAGTATAAGCAATTAATAATTTAAATGTTTTAGGAAACTAAAAATAAAGAATTAATGTGAAATTAGATGGATTTTTATTGAAATTTTAATTATTTATTTTAACATAGCTTGAGAAGAATAAAGATGAAATTCCTGTGATGAAAGAAAAAGCAAAAAAGAAAAAAGTTACAATTTAATAAAAGCAATCTAAAGAAAACACATTTGTAACAGGATTAGGGTTATACTAAGAAAAAAATGAGGAAGAAGAAGAGGAAAAACCAGAAATAAAAGAATAAGAAAAAAAAGAAGAAGATGATGATGACGAAAACGATGATGAATAATATGAAGATTTTGATGAAAATGAATATTTAAAAAAGCTTTAAGCAGAAGAATTAGATGACTTAGAAGAATTAAGAAGGATGATAGCTAAAACAAAAAAGGAAATATAAGGCTATGCAGGAGAGGTTTATCAGCTTAAAAACTCTATTAGCGATTTAAATTTAGGGTATAGGGGAGTTGGATATGGAGTTGACGAGGATCTTTTCAGTGAAATGGACAGAGAATTTAATCGTTTTATGCCTGGTGGTGATACTAATAAATTATTTGATAATTTTGATAACAAACTACGTAGTTCATAACCTATTTTAAGCACTGCAAAAAAAGGAGTTAAAAAGAATACTTTTATGAGTGGTACAACTTCGACCAATAGTAATTCAATTTCAGGGTCTACAAGTTAATCTGGAATTAGAAAACCACCAATTGTTCGTTAACCCGTCCTTGAAAAAGCATATGGTACCTCTAAAATGCCAGAGTTACTACCTATATCAAATACTAAAAAATCAATGAGAGAGACCTTTTATTGAAAACTATTAGTTAAATATAATTAATTCATTTCTATATACAATAATTAAAAATATTAAAAATAAATGACATAATACACTCAGCTTAATTAAAATAGATCAAATAAATTTGCAACTTATGCAAAAAAACCTATAAAAATAAATACACTAACAGTCTTTTCATTAACTTAAAATATTTAATATAAAAAATAGATATTAACTATTTAAGTATTTAAAGAATAAATAAGAAATTAATCTTAAATCAATTTATTACTAAGTAATATTTTATGAAAGTGGATGTATATTTTCATTTAAAAGTCTTAAAATATAAAAATATATTAATTTATAATTATTATCATTAATAAGATAGTTCTCTTTATTTAGTTTTTTTTGATTTAAAAAAGTAATTTATTGAATATTTTGTGAAATTTAAAGATTATTTTGTTATATTTTAATCTATTAAATAAATACCTTAAAATATTTAATTAAAAAATAAATATTAAATAATAAATATGAAATTAATCTAATCATGGTGGATGTATATTTTGATTTAAAAGTTTTAAAATATAAAAAAATATTAATATAATAATTATTTATCATTAATAAGATAATTCACTTTATATAGTTTTTGTTTGATTTAAAAGATGTAATTTATTGAATTTTTGTGAAATTTAAAGATTATTTTGTTATATTTTAAACTTTTTAAAATAAAAATGTATATTAATTATTTAAGTTATTAAAGAATAAATATGAAATTGATTTAATCCCAATTTATTACTAAGTAATGTTTTATGATGGTTTATGTGTAATTTCATTTAAAAGTCTTAAAATATAAAAATATATTAATTTATAATTATTATCATTAATAAGATAGTTCACTTTATTTAGTTTTTTTTTATTAAAAAAGTAATTTTTTGAATCATTTGTGAAATTTAAAGATTATTTTGTTATATTCTAAGCTATTTAACAAAGATAGGTAATAATTACAATTGCAGTAGCTTTTTATGATAATATACATTTTCGTTTAAATAAAATTAAAAAAAAATTTATTATTATATTTTGAAATTATTTTTATAATATTTATAATTTTATTTTACAATTACTTATTTACTTGATAAATAACTAAGACAAAAATGTTTTGTTAAATACTTATATGATTAAGTTTATTTTAATAATAAAAATTTATGATTTTTAATCAATTAAACAAATTAATAATTTAGTTTTTATTTATTTAAAAGATGAGATTTAATTATATCGAATGAACCTTAAATATTATTTACATATTGACCAAGTTATAAATATTAGAAAATTTAGCAAAAATTAATCTTTTCAATTTAAACCAAAAAAAATACTCATAATTTTATTCACTGCAGAGTTTTCACTCTTATATTTTATTGTCTCTTTCTACCTTCACTTTATGTTCTTACTTTAAACAGGTTTGGGCGAAGTTAAAAATTTTAATTAATGTACTGTTTTTCAAGATTTCTTTATATTTTAAAGGATTAAGCAATGTCTCCATTATTTACATTTATTGGAGTGTTTATACCAATCATTTTTACTTAATCTGATATTTTGTTACTCTTTTCATTGAAACCAGATAGCATATTTTCAGGAGAGTTTTAGTTATAATATATTTTTAGGAGATTATCATTTCTATTGCACTTTTATTTTATAGGAGTTTTAGCATTTCTTTTTTACAATTAAATCTTGTTTTTTTCAAAGAATTCATTTGGATCTGACTGTTTATTTACATATACATTAGTCGCATCTTTTATTTTATAGTTGGTCTTTGCAGAAGGTGTTTTGCTACTTTAGTTTGACACTATGTTAGATAAATCTATTTGTTTAGGAGTCTGAAATTTCTTAGTGTTTTGCTAGAAATTAAACCTATTTCTATCTTTACATGTAGAATTTATATTTTCTATAAAATTATTATCTTATAAACTGTAAACTAAATGGCTCTTTTCATTCTAAATGGGGATTAGAGCTTTTACAGGACTTTGAAATGTTTATTTTGTTGCTGTAGTATTGGTTGAGGTCCCATTGGTAAATTGCATAGTTGTTACTTGTGAAGAATTTTTAGAAACATTTCTATCATTTCCATTAGAAATTTAAAATCCGCTTGCATATGAACTTTAAAAATCCCTGCTAGTAGACTAATTATTTGAGTGAAAATTACCAACTGTCATATTTGGTTAATTTAGGTTGCTTGAGATTTTGTTCTGAATATTTTTGATTTTATTGTTTGATGAAGGAAGTCTTTAATTGACATAATTACTTAAACTGTTAGTCATGTTGAAATCAAGATTTATTTTTATATTGTTTAAATCCATTTCATATAATTTACTCTTTCCTTTTTTTGTTTTCTAAGCAAAAGTGAAATCATTCATTTCCTCTGCTTTTGAGGGAGAGTTGAGCCTATTATTAATAATTGAATTTATTAATTAACTTATGCATATAATTTTTTAAAAAAATTTACTCATATTTAGTGTCTTCCTAGTGAATGGTGCTTAATTTTTGTAGTTCTTTTATATTTTCTTATATCCTAGCATTTGATGATTGATTTTTGAGGTTTTAAGTATTGTTAAGACTGCTAGAAGTTTCTGATTCAGAGTATTCTGTTAAGCATTTCTATTGTTTATTTTATGGTTTGGTATGTTTGCCATTCCGTATTGAAATCAATTAATTATTAATATCTCTAATCAAATGGGATGTGTCGTTTGATGAAGAACTTATTGAGGTTGGTGGAATTTTATTTTATATTGATCTTATAATGGTTGAAGCATCTCTTTATACTTCAGCATCTAGCTTAGGTTCTATTTCTATCAACTGAGGTGTTCTTTATTACTATTACTAAAGTTACTAATTTATAAATAATTAAAAGTTAGACCCATCTTCTGTCTGCTATTCTGGCATAATATAACCGCCTGCAGTAGATTTTAGAAGTTTGATTTATTTATTTGTTGTACTTTGAGGAGTATGAGCTGTATTCTCTCTTAATATAAAAGTAGAGTCTTCTTTTGAATAGTAAGAAGAAAATCCTTTAGAATTCTATTAAGGGATATCGTAGCTTTTTCTGTTTATTGAGCTCTTCAGTCTTCTCTTAATATTTTTATCATACTGTGATTTAAAGTTGCTAAGATACTAATCGAAAGAGGGTAGTGACTAATCTACCTATGCATTTGTCATTTTAAAATAATCAGTAATAGTTTCTTTAGTATTCTACGAATTGATATACTAGTGGACATTATTTTAACTCTTATCCTAATTACTACTTTGATTTAAGCTTCTTTTTTATCTCTTTTATCTAGAATTCTAACCTAATGATTTTTTTAGGTTCTTCAAAGTCTTAGAATTCAAAAATTCTTAAATTTACTACTTTTCAATCAATCTACCTCCATTATCAAGCATCTGCTAACTATCTTAATTAGTCAAATTCTCACTACTTTCTTGAATTTTATAATTTTGATTGTTTAAAATCAGAGATGGGTTACTTTAGTGTATATCTTATTGCTAATTATTATTTCGTTATTTATAATCTATGTTATTTTAAAAACCTTTGTGAAAAGAGGCAGAAACAGATGTAATTCCTGCGAAAGTATCTTTTTAATTCTTAGTAAATTTTTAACTTGCTGAAAATTAATCTGGATAATTTGCTAAAGCATGATGCTATTATTATTATTTATGTAAGCTTTTTGGTGTGAAAGAATAATTAGAAATCTAATAAACGCATTCGTCTTCATTACCTATCAAATTATTATAATAAAGATATTGTATTTATTTTTATTGCTTGCTTAAAAAAATGTAATTTTACCTTATTCCTTGTAAAATGAAATATTTGAGAGAGGTTTTGTATTATTTTAATCTGTTAATTCAACACAACTTTACTTTGGCGTTCCTTTTAATATACTTACCTCCTAAAGCTAAACAGAAGATTCTTAATTAGATTTCATTAGAGCCTAAAGTTAGGTTTACCTTTTTTGATCGTTAGACAAATAAATTTTGCTGTTATTATCATTAATCTGAAGGGAAGGTCCCAGAATGATTTGTTTAGCTGCAATTTTCCTATCTTGGACAGGATTTAAGTTCTGTATAAAAGTGTTATCTTAGAATTCATGTAATATTTTAGGTTTACTTGGGACATTTTCTTTATAATTGTATCCAAGTATAGCGCTATTCTACTTACTTGTAAGCTAATTTTACGATGAATAACTATCATCTATATTTTATTTTGATATAACAACTTAGCTAAAGGCACATGATTTTTACTACTCTTCTAAAATTACTGACATTTAAGTATTTCCTATTTTTTTATCAAACCCATTATTGCTAAAAGATTGCATTATTTGCTACTGTTTGTTAGGAGATCCATTTAGAGAAAACTCTTTAATTGTATAATGAGAAAACTGAGTTTAATTATTTACAGCAGCCTCTGAATCGCTAATAATTTAATGGCTCATCTAAGAATTAGGTGAGATGTCTAAATTACTAAAATTGATTAATATTCAAATCTAATTATTTTAAAAAATTATTTTTATGATAAAAATTACTTTCTTTAGTTGCTGAATTGAGGTGATTCATATAATTCATCACCAATCATATTTCAATAAGCTAATAAGTTTAATTAATTTATGCAAATATATTCTTTGGTAAAGAATTATGCAAATAGTTAATCAATGCTAAATAGTAATCAATCACTAATTAAAATACCAAAAAAAACAAAAATTTCATATAAACCAGCTTACTTTTTCCTTAAAACTAATAAATATCATTTATACAATTAAAAATGTTTATGTAAAATTAAATATAATTCTAAGAATTAAACATCTGCAATTATCATAAATAAAAGTAATTACCATCAAAATATTTGTATTTAATTTTTTAATGAATAAAATAAAAATATAAATAAAATTGTTGGTTTATTTTAAAAAATTATATTGTCAAATTTTTTTAGTTTTTTTATGCAACATGAATATTTTTAAATATATATTTATTTATATATAAAGTTATATAATGTTTTAAGAAGTTTAATAGAGTATAATATAAAGTAGACTAATTAATTATCAGAAGGGATTTTAAAAATTTATTTTTTCTTGGCTTTTAACCTCAATTCAATCTTAGCAAAAACAAGATTGGAGTAACAAAGGGGAAGAAGAGCCTTAATATTGAGAAAAATACCCCTAAGCCAATATTATCTCCGAAAACAGATTTACCAGCAAATTAAAGAATTTTTTTAGAGAAAAGCGAACTCACCATGCCAAATCTACTTCCTGATTAAATTGATTCTACAAGACATGTTAAACCTAAGAAATCTGTTATGTCCTTCATAAAATTTTTGCGAAATTTTTTTATTTTATAGACCGCCTGTTTTCCTAATGCCTCAAAAAAGGAGTTCTTTTCATATATTATTTCAAAAACAGGAGTTGTATGAAGGCATTAAGACATATAAAGTTTTTATTTTCGATCAGTAATTATTCTGTTGTTTAAAAGTATGCAAATAATTTTTTTGACTTTTGTTTTAACAAATTCATTTAATTCAGGGTATTCAAAATCATCTTTTGTTTTTTAAAATTAATCTCCATATAAATGCTTTATAACGAAGTCTACTTCTATTTCGCTCAAATTCTTAGGTACAAATATCGAATCTCTGAAATCAACATCATACTAGTCTTCTTTATTCAAATAAATCTCAAAATCATCAACGAGCTTGACTTCTTCAAAATTTGCCAAAATTTCATCTTTCTTTTGCTTTTGTTTTTTGGTCATAAATTCAACTTTGATCTCATAGCAATTCTCTTTATCAATATATTATTTATTTCCCATTTTTTTATCAATACAAACTACTTTCTAAAAATTCTTCTCTATTATATTAATTAATTATTAATTATTTTTTTTTTAGATTTTGGAGTTAGCTCTATTAATTCTATGCATTATCTTATTCTTCAAAAACTCATAGTTTTCTATTTTAGAATTGAAATTTCTTAATTTTGCAATTTTTAGAGTATTTAATTCTAAAACAATCAAACATGAATACATACATACATGCATTCGTACACAAAAACACATTTTAGAAATAGCACAAATATTATTTAATAAGATTGTTTCTACTAATGTTGATGTAAATATATTTTAGAATATTAAAAATGTGATAAAAATACATTTTAGAATATTATAAATATTGATAAAAATATAGTTTTTGAATTTAATAAAATAAAACGACATACTTTTTATAAATATTATCTTAAATTAATTGCTTGAAAATATAGATTATTAAATAAATAAATACATATAAATTGCTTCATTAGTAAGTTTATACATATCTTTTGATGTTAGAATCAGGAAACCCTTCACTTTTAGCTTCATCTATTTTTTAAGTAACTGTAGAGATTCTATGTCTAGAAGGTATATTATTAGAATCTGTCATGGAGACTTCTACGATTCTTTCATTTTCTATTTCCTTTGAAAGAAGTTTGCCATATTTTTACATGTGAATTTTATGATAATTTTAAGTAATATGAGAGGATTTAGGACATGCTGATCTTAAGTGTTCGTCAGATTTTATAACACCGTAGTTTGGGTTATTTTTACCTTTTTCTGAAGATAAATTGATTTAGTATTTACCATTCTAGCTTTATTGAGAAGGAGCTTTCTGATTAGTTCCTGCATCTATATTATCGGTGTCTATTGAAAGCTTTGCTCTTTACGTTGTTTAAGTCCTCACAGTACACAATAAGTTTTCGCGGAATGTAGATGGTATGATAGTCAAAGAATTAAAATCTTTTTCTTAGGGATTAACGATCAGCTATTAGCTATTCCCTGTTTTTCTATTTTACTTTTAGCAGGAATTGGTTTAGTCTCCATCAAATGTGGCAGTACCTGATTTTTAATATTTAGAATTCTTAAATATTGTAGTAGCTTAAATGGCTGATTTCAAATTAACTAATGTTATTTATTAATTCGATTAATCTTGTGAATTGATGCATAATTAGGTTTCTGGTTTTTTATTGTTTTATAAGATAGTTAAATTAGTGAATATTTCTATTTATAAAGAATTTTATTTTTAATCTATTTAACATGGTCCTATATATTTTATAATTTTATTGATTTATTGGTAAATCCATTTATTGATTATTTAGTTATCTGTATAATTAAGGTTATAATTATTTTCTTTTGTATAGTTTTCAAAACAAAATACAATTGATTCATACAATTTTTACTTTTTTTTGACAATATGACATTTAATTATTTTTTATATGTCATCGTTAGAATCTTTCATATCTTTAAGATCTTATTGAATTTCGATTGCAGATATTTCGCATTTATTATTAATTGTCAAACAGTTATCTTCATTTGATTGCATTTAGTTACTAAATGCACTTTTTTAATTTTAGTTAACTATAATGTTTATTTTATCTTGATTTTCTTATTTTTTATAATTACTTTAATTGTTATTTTTAGATATATATATGTTGCTGTTTGGAGAATTATCATAGTTAATTACACTATTACTATTAGGGTTTATATTTTTATTTGTGTTTAAGTTTATGTATTTTTCACTATTTGGGTAGTATGAATTGTTTGCATTTCCTTAAAACTAGTTATTTGTATTTAAAGGAATGTTTATATTTGTAGAAAATTAATTATTAGGATTATTACTCTGAGTATTCATAATAATCGCGTTATTTATTTGGGCCTGACTATTAAAATTTAAGTTATTAGCACTATTTGCAAGATTTAAAGCTGTATTACTGCTCACAATATTAGGTAAAGTAACAATATTTTCATAAAAGCTGTTTAGCCTAGGCCTAGGAGAATTATTAGCTTCTGATTATGGATTTATTGATGCTATCATATTTTAATTGAATTATTGCATTGAGAAAATATTAGTAAAATCCATTTATTCTTGTTGGCTGTTATTGTTTTAGGTGCTATTCAAATTCTTTTTGAGGCTATTATTGTATATCTCAGCTGAAGTAAAGAAACAAGTTAGAACGTATGAAACGAGATGAAAATCTTAAACAATTTCCTCTTCTTTTAATTATTCATTTTCAAATGTTACCTCAACATTCGGAAAATACTCTTGAATGTACTTCTATATTTAAGATAATTTAAAATTTTCAGCTTTAGCGAGTAGCTTAAAAGATTAATTTATTGATTGGTAGTATGAAAGTAATTAATTTCTTATTATGATACACATCTTTTTTGACCACTATAAATTATTTTTAATGATGTATGACATTTGTTTCTAAATTTTTTATTGAATATCGCTGAAAAAAAAATTATGAATTTATGATTGCTTTGTTTACTGCTTTTCAAAATATTTATTTTATTTCCTCATTTTAAGGTCTTCAATTAATAATAAGATAGAAGGTTATTCTATGAAGGTTGGAATTATCTTTACAGAGTAATATCTAGTCTCGTTACTTTAATCTTAGATCACATAGCAATTCAATTATTCTGATTTAGTTAAATCATCTCTGAAAATATTTTACTAATCTAATTGTGTCATCTTTTGGGTATCTTATTTAACAAAATCTTTTTCGAATTACTTTTATTCCTCTTAATTGCAATCGTTTAAAATATCTTCTTAATCCTCTTTAAAGATGTAAGTTTTTTTTTAGAAGAAGTTGTTATACTTGTGGATGTAAACAAACTTCTACAAAAGAAACTAAAATAAGTCACATGATACAGTTCTTGGTCTTCCTTTAAAGCTATTGTCTTTTCTCGAATAATTTGAGTTAGCAAAAGAGGATATTTACTACTTTATTTTAAATTGCTGAAAAATTTCTTTTAACTCATTTATTTTTGGGCCAAACGTCTTTAGCATATTTCTTCCAGCTACATTCATATCTTTTTAAACAATTAAATAAATAAATAAGTAAGTAATCATTTTTTAATAATTAACAAGCTAATTGACATTCTAAGTTATTCTTAAAATTGTTTTGTAATAAATATGGAATTTGTGGAATTAATTTAATAAATGCAAAATTAAATTTTTGTTGGAATAATTTTTGAAATGCTTTGTCCAAGCTATTATAGATAATAATTAAGGAAATCAAAAAGAAAAAGAAAGAGAGAAGAAAAAAATAGAATATATTAAATAGATCAAACTTAAAAATTACCTTAGACTGAAATTTGATGAGTAATAAAATCAAATGAAGTAACGAATAAAGCAATGGGCATTACTTTATGAATAACAGTCCCAATTTATTTTTATTTTTGCTTAAATATAAAAAGAGATCTTAAACCTCGAGAGTGGATGTATCTATAGATGATATAAACACATCCTAGAGACAAGAAATTGAGAACATACCTATCATAGGATTATAAGAAATATATAGAAATAATCTATCCTATTATTATACCTAGAGTTTCTGTAACAAAAGACTCATAGCTAAGGATATAGAATAATCCCATTTACTTTTTTATTTGTTAAATTATAAATTATTAGGTTATAGTTAAGTTGCTTAAAAAAGAATAAATTAATTAATTAATTAATTAGTTAGTTAATTATTTAATTAATTAATGGGTCTATAATTTTTATTTTTAAAATAGCGATTTTTACCTATCCATTTAGGAATATACGGTGCTTATTATCTGTACTTTCACTAAGCATCGATAGAGAAATACTTGCATAGACAACAATAATAATACATAAAATTTTGACATATTGGTTTGGTAGATAATACAATAGTGCCATTACGATCAAAGAAAGAAAGATGTTTATAAGAGGTAAATACGAGAAATCAACGCAAAGTAAAACTATGCTTGATATCACAACATGCAGCTATAGCCATAGATACTATGATTACCTCTAATAAATAATTCAATAAATTTTAAATACTTTAAAGCTCAATTATGCAACGAATGAAAAGTTTTTTTCTAAAGTACTGATAAATATTTCTACTATTTATTTGACATTTTATAAAATAAAATGTTGCATATTTGAGATGAAATAATATTTTACGAGCTTGGTATTTTTTTAAACAAATTAGTTTTCTAACTTTTAATTATAAAATTTAAGTGTGAACTAGTTGAATCCCTTTTTCTTATCTCTTGGGATTTAATCGCTTTCCTATTCATCTTTTTTCTGAGAATCTTTGGTTTCTTTTTAATTGCTCATTATTAACTTATAAATGAATATTTTGCACAATCAATTTGTTTATTAAAAGTAATTATCTTATTATTTTTAAAAGGTGGTTATTAAATTAAATGTAAATTTAATCAGCTGCAACAAAAATAATGTTTTGCAGATTATTTGTTATTAGTTAATATATTTTTTTTCAAGGCAATTAATTAAATTAAACTTATTTTTTTAAGCAGAAAAACTTTTATTACAATTTAATCTTCACACTTAATGTTCAACTTTATAAAATAAAAAAATTGTAAGCAATATCAATATTTATTTTCAAGAGCTAAATATCTCTTTTTTATACCATTTGTTACTTTTAAATGTGTTATTTCCCCCTTAATTTTGTAGATGATTCATTTTAGCTAAATTTGATTGCTAAAATTTTTCATATATTTAAAATAAATAAGCTCTCTATTCTATTTTTATCCATTTTAGAAGAGAAAAACCAATAGAAATCCAGAATTCTTAAGAAAGATAGCATTTATCAGAATAGTTTCGTATCAATTCTTAAATATTCGCAAAAATTATTTATCTATTTTTGTATTTGCATCCCAAAATTGTATTAGACGCCACGAATGCCTTTATTTTGGCGTATTATATCAGATCAGTGTAATTGGCTATTTGTTAAATTAAGACCTTTATTAGTATTTTACTAGTAAAGCTTTTTTTTATTTTAATTAATCATTTCTTTACAAACACAAGTTCCAGAAATTAGTGTTTTTAGAAAATCACTGAACCTTAAATTTAATAAAATGAAATTATTTTTTTATTATTTTTATTGATTTTCTATAAATTTATACCTGATAAAATGTTAAAATTAAAACAAAAAATAAATTTATTTCACTAATTTATTAATTAAAAAAATAAAATTATCTCCTAAAAAGTGTCTTAATTTTTTCTATTAATTTTTTTAAAGAGGCTTTTCTTATTTTTTAATAAAAATATCTTTTGCACATAAATAAATTCACAATAATTTTTTTTCACTAAAATTTTATACAAAAATGGTCAAAGATATTTTAAAAAGCTAAAAGTTCAGTAAACTTTTTTAAGTATTTTCAATAAATAAAAAGAATTTAAAAATAAATCAGCTTTAATAAATCATAATATTTCCAGTATCTAAGATGTAGAATCACTTGTTAATTTAACAAAGTAACCTTTGGTGAGAATAGCTTTAACCATATCTACATCTGAAAAGTAAGTATACAACAAGCTTGAATAAGCAATCAAAAGTATAGAAAAGGAGTTAATAGCTAAATTAAGCATAGTCATAAGGTAAAAATTAAACACTTATCTGCTTTTTTATTTAATACGCATATAAAAGAAATAAAGGTATAGTTGATGCTGATCTAGCAGTCATAGGAGAAGTATTAAAATCATTTAAGGATACTAAAGATATCTTTATCTAACTTGAGTAAATATAAGTAAAAATGAATAATTAAAAATATAAATTATATACAAAAGTCATAATAACTTCGGTTTAGACGGATTTAAAGCTCTATCAACTGGAATTTAGAGTTTAGAGGAAGTAGAAAAGTTAGAATTAGATTTATTGTAATTTCCTTAAATTATTTTTATCAAGCCGTTCTTACTTATTTTTATTTAATAGTCAAACAAACTTGAGTAATGAAGGAGTAGAATAAATTTCTAAAGCAATTAATCACTGCTAAAAAATAATAAATTTAAATTTAAATTTAGGGTAATATATATTATTATTAATTCATTAAATTTATTAATATAATAATTTATAGCAAGAACGACATAACAAAACAAGGAGTTAAATATATATAAGAATAATTCAAAGATATCAAAAGTATTACCAATTTTACCATTGATTTATTGTAAAGCTATTTTTTTATATCATCATGTTATTTTATTAAAAGATTTTTTAAAGCAATAACAAGATAGGTAATGAAGGAGCATAACATCTTAGTAAATTAATAGAAAGGTTTTGTGACTTAGAATATCTTTCCTTTTAACTAAAGTAATTTAATTGATATTATAAACAGGATGAATAAAGTTAAAATAAAAATATAAATAGCCGTACTGAAATTGAATGCAAAGGAGTAAATTATTTTACAGTAGGAATTAAACACATAGCAAATCTACAAACCTTAATCTTAAATTTAAAGTAAATTATAAAAATTAATTTGTAGTATTTGTTGTTAAATTAAACAAAAATTACTTTAGTGATAACAAAGTGCAAGGGGAAGGAGTGAAATGCTTAGTTGAGTTCTTAAAATCATACAGCAGTTTGAAAAACTTATCCTTACTATTGAAGTATGATTTAATATAAATCAAACAAAAATATTTTATTCATTTTTTTAAAAAGCAACAACTAACTAGGCTAAGAAAATATTATTAATTTATGCAAAGGGTTTTCTTATGCTGTCTAGCTTGAACATTTGCATCTTTATTTAAAGTAGAGTTAAATTTATTATAAAATTTTTAATAAAAATTTAAAAAATAAATACTAAGCAATAATGGAATTATGCAAGATGGAGCAACTTCAATATCTGATGCTATTAAAAAGCTCGAATTATTAAAAACTGTTTCAATATCATTACAGTACTTCATTATTAAATTTAAATCTTTAGCTCAATTTAATAAAAAAAGGAAAAATAACATAGGAAATGTAGGAGTGAACGAAATTATTGGAGGAATTTAGTGTTTAAATCATGTCTCTTACCTAAATCTCAATTTTAGGTAAATAAATATAATTATATTTTTATTAAAATTTTATTTAGTTAAAATAGGCTTAGTGATATGAAGGCAAAGAAAATGTTAGAGAAATCAATCACCAAAATTCCCTCTATTTTTTACAAAAAATTAAGGATATGAATATAATAATTTGTTTGAATATGTTTGCTTTCAAGCAATTTAGAAATCTATTTTAAATTATTTCAAGTATAAGTAAGTAAATAAAAAAATAATTATGTGCTTAATTGTATGTTTAAAAGTGTAAAAAAAAAATAAAAATAATAATTAAGAAAAGCAAGTTAAAAACGAACTCTTTAATTAATTCAAAAGAACTACTTTCATGTGCTCATTTAATAAAAAGTAAAGTTTTTTTGAAAAATTATGATTTTTTAAAGCAATTAATTTAACTATTTTTATTGGTTGAGTCAAAATGTAAATGTTTTTATTTTATCTTAGAAGAGTGCTCAATAAAATATTTACTATAATTAAAAAAGATATTAAAGTTACTAATAAAACTCTACACTTCATCCATTTTAATCCTTTAATAGATTTTATTTATTAAATAATATTATAAAATATGTTTATCAATAAATAAGTTTAGTATTATCATAAATCATTCAATACCTATTTATTTTTAATAAAATGATAAGTTTGATATTGATTTATTGTAATTTATGTTTGTTAAGAGTTATATTAAACATTATATTGAAGTATTATTTTTTTTAAAGTTTTTGTTAAATAATTGAAAAATTATAGATAGAAATCAAATATTATTTCTAAATGAGAGGAAATTATATTTTATTTATTTTGTTTTTCGTAGGCTTTGCTCTTGTTTCTTCGAAGCAAAATAAAAGCCAGATTGAACTATAATCTTTGGATTCTTCAGAAACTCTTAAAAAGTAGATCTAACACAGCAGCTCTCATGAGAAATCCCTTAAGCATTCTTCTTCTTATTCAAAAGAAAGGTATATTAATGAATTAGAATTATCACATAAAATTTAATCGGAATCTAAAAAAAATATAGATTTTCTTCAAGAAAGAAGTTTCATTAAACAGAGACTAACCCTTCTCTAGCTTAGACTACAATTGCTGCATCACACAAAACAAAAAGAATAGAACAAAGAGGTGATTCTGTTTTAGGTGATATGGTTATCGGAGCTCTATTATTTTTTGCTGGTTTCCCATGCTTATGGTTCAACGAAAAAGGATATGCCTATACAAAAACATTCTTGAGAAAGTATCTTAAATAATGCATTAAAGTAGAGCCAACAATGGTCGATTCTTAAAATGAGGGAAAACTAGTTTGCGTCAATGGTGATACTACTACTTTTGACGTAATTTAAGATCCTGCCTTTAATATCTAAGTTTAAAATTGTATTAAACTGTACAGAAAATGCGAAATGTACTAATGGGTATAAGATCGCCATACACGTAGAATTAACAATAGTGAGGATGAAGTTTATTACACATATACTTTAAGTTGGAAAGATAGCTTTATTGAAAGCAGAACCTTTGTTGAAGAGTTTGGTAAACTATTCTTTATTAATAAATATGTTGATATTTTATATTAAAGTCAACAATAAAACAATATAAAATATTTAGAATATTGAATAAAAAACTGACAATTATAAAAAAAATAAAATAAATGAATTATTTTATCATTTATTTGAAAGCATTTTAAATAGCCTAGAGAAAATTTATTTAGAATAAATAATTTATCTGTCAGTCTGTGCTAATTAAATAAAAACGGATATATTATTTAAACTAGAAATAATTGCGTTTTTACAAAATTATTATTATGCTTTTTAAATTTAAATAAATTAATTGATTTATTGTAATTAATAAATAGGGCATGAAAATAATAACAATGACTGGCTTTATAACGAATAAGAAATGTATGCTCCTACAGTTAACTATGGTGCTTTTTATTTAACTGAAATTCAAAAGAAAAAGTGCTCAAAATATGAACCAGTTAATGTAGATCTTCCTATCCTTCAAGAATTAGCTGCTAAAGGTAATTATTAACTTTCTTCTAATCCTATAGTTTAGCAAAGTGCTAGCCAAAATTAATCAAATGTATCTCCTGTCAATCCCATGACTGATGGTTATCCTAATCAATAAGGATACTATCCTGCTCCTTCTTAAAACAACAATTCTTGGGGTTAAAAAACTATCCTTTTCTAAGATGGTTACATTTACTTTAAGAAAAATGTAAACACTACTGCTACAGCTGGTGATTTCCGTGTCAAATTTACTAAAATTCCATGTGGTGAGATAACTGTAATTGGCTAATAAGCTTAAGGATGTATTGAAACATTCTCTCCTGAAGAAAGTAAATAAAAAAAAGATTTAAATGACGATGAAGCTTTACAAGATGGTAATGGATGCTGTTTTTGTTGCTCTGCAATATGTAAAGTTTGTGAAATTATTAATGCTCCTATTAGTGAAATTAATTGGGTTAAGGAATAAAAAGTTAAAAAGAAAGTTATTTTCTAAGAGTAACTTTCAAGCTATGAATTGAAGACCTGGTTAATGAGATTCTTAGGTTTCTTATGTTTCATGCTCGGTGTTTATTTCATGCTTTCACCAGTATATACCTTATTATATTGGTTCCCATTAGTAGGTAGATTCTTAGGAGCTCTAGGTAGCTTCATTTGTGGTTTAGTCGGATTTTTAATTGCTGTCCCTTTAACAATACTGGTCATTAGTATTGCTTGGTTATTCTATAGAAAAGAAATCGGTATCCCACTTTTATGTGTAGCATTAATCATAATTGGTTATTTTACTTACGCATATGCTAAAGACTACAAAGGAGAATAATCAAAATTCTGATATTTTATGTAAAATTAATAAAAATCAAATATTAAAATGTGAATTAAAATTTGAAAATTTTTTGTTTTCTATTTATAATTTTGAAGTTCTAAAGTCTTAAAAAACAATTTAATTGTTAGTAAACATCATTGAAATATTACTTTGACTGAATTAAATTATTTTCAAAATGTTAATGTTTCTAAAATATTTTATATTTTAATCTCTTTTTTTATTCAATAAGTTTAAAATAAAAATTATAAGTGATTTGAAACCTTTTTTCTAGCTAATAAATTTATTTTAAAAATAAATCTGTTGTTTAAATATCAAAATTTATTTGATTACAAAATAAAATAGAATAATAATTATGAGCCTGGATTTAAAAAAATATTATTATTTATTACAAAAAAATTGAAAATCCTACTTAATTAAATGGATTAAAAATTTATTTAGAAAGATTTTATAAGTAATTCATTCATTAAATTTAGATGTTTATTATTTGAAAGATATATATAGTTAGTTGGTTGGTTTCACAAAATATAAATTAAATTAACTGTTAAATAACTAGCTGGTATTTATTTTTATTTCATAAATAGCAAATTAGATACAACCAGTATATATTAAATATATATTAGTAGATTTTATCATTTAAAACAAGAATGAGGATATTTTAATTTTTATAATTTTATTTATATTAAAAAAATTAAATTATATTAAACTACATACAGCTAAAGAAGAAATTATTTTGTAGGAACCACAGTTAAAATATTTTATATTCTAAGGATACTTAATTATTTAAATTAGCTTCTTCATTCACTCACTCACTCACTCGTTCATGTAATTTTCAGGGTTTTGGTAGATTTGTAATTACTTTTAATTGCTTTAACTTTACAATTTTTTAACAAATTCACTTTCTTATTAGGTTAAAGGTTTGCATTTTCTCACTCTAGTTTTTATATCAACGTTCTCAATGGTTTTAAATGGTTCTTTTTTGCAAATCACCTTTTTAGCCTCTACTTTAGATAAATAAACCCTTAATTTATTAGTGGGCATCACGTTTGAGGAAAAAAACTTTTCTGGTATAAATATTCTAAGATAGTTTTCAAGCTAGTTGATTGATGTAAAAAAGGAAGGGTATTCGAGTTAAGTTTTAATAACAATAAAACACCCTCTTCCGTTCATCTTTTTTCCTTAGTAAAATCCTAACCACTTTACATTAATAATTTAAACTGAGTTGTAAAACTTATAGTAAAATCTGTCCCATTAGTGTACTTATCCAAATTATATTTTTGGAAACATAATTCTCACATAAATGACTATCCTTTAAATAAATTATCATTAAGTCAATAAATGATAAAAATGTTTTTTTAATAAGTTACTTTTCATTTGGAGTTCTGAGAATGTAATCATCTTAATTTTTGATGTCTATCTTATCATAATCAACTTCCATTGAGACTTTTTTCTTTATTTAAATTATTAGAATTTTAATTTTTAATATAATAAACTTACTTTTGAATTATACTAGGTTACACCAAGTCCAAAATCACCTAAGTACCTAGAAAGAGTATGTCTACTGACTTTAGCTTTCATGGCTGCTTCTTTAAGAGATACATCACCGTGATAAATCTCCTGAATAAGGTCCTTTACATCATTTTCTTTTAAAATCCTATCTCGACCACACATGCCACACTCAAGAAAAATGTTGTTAGTGCTTTCATATTTCTTTATTACCCTAGTAGCATGTGTTCTAGTTATGATATAGCCTAGTTCTTCAATTAATTTAACTATCTAGGTAACATTGAATTCACTTTTTTTCAAGGCTATAATCATTCCCTTAATCATTCTTCTTTACATTTTAGAATGAATTTCTCTTTTCTTTCTAGGAGTATGCTCATTCTCAGTTTGTTCAGTTTACATACTTCTGTCTTCTATACTTATTAAATCTTCTTTAGACTCTTATAAACTAGTATAGTTTTGAAGCTTGTGTGTACCATAAAAATTGCTGAGGCAACATTGAGGATCTTCTAAAGATATATATTCATCTTTGCATAAATTTGCATTAGAACCCAAATTTGTGTATGAAGGATATGAAATTGGTTAAAAATATTAATCTAAAGAATTGGTTTTCATTTTAGAGTTAAGTTGAAATAAAACAATACTTGCTATTTATTTATTTTACAGCAGTAATATATAAGAATTTTATTTATTGATCACCTAAATTGGTTAGCTATTTATTAATTTTTTAAATTTAATTGTATTATAATTTTTTCAAACCTATTTATAATATTTCAACTATTATTAAAAATAATCCCAATAATTTTCATATTCTGGCAAATATTTAGAAATCTCCTAAAAAATTTCAACTTTTACCCTCCCAAATTTTAATTACTTTAACAAAAATAATAAGAAAACGATCCAATTCAAATTATTATTGCTTCTATATTTTAATATTTTTTGAATTGAAATCATATAAAAAAAATGAATTCAAAACTTTTATATTCATTCATTCAATTAGTGTTTGTTCATGATAATAATTGCATTTGAATGAGCAGCAATTCTTAAAAATATATTGTGTTTAATGTTGCTTAGTACTTTCATCAAACAAAATGATAATGAAATAATATAATTTAAAATTCAAAATATTCATTTATTGATATTTTTTTTCACATTTATTCTTTTTTTAAGAAAAAACCTTAAATTTTTGAGGTTTATTTTAAATCTAATTTAAAAATTGATATTTATTTAAACGAATCAATAGGATTATTATAAATTGATGCTAAACATGTATGATATTTTTGCTTTATTAAAAACCAAAAATAAATATCATCATTTTTAACATTTCATTTTTTATTAGAATTTCAAGTTTTAATAATATTTTATAAAAAGCTTTCCTTATAAATAGGTAGTGCAATTTTAAAGAAGGTTATAAAAATTACATTAATTTAGAAATAGGAAATGGATAGAATTTATATGAAATATTAATATTATTATAATTATATTATAGAGAATAAGAGATGATGATGGTGATTGTGATTGTGGTTATTTATGATAATGATGAAAAATCTCTTAATTAAGAACTTAAAAATTTTTATTAAATTTGATTGCTTTTGAGAATATCTGTATGTATTTATTTATTTATTTATAATTAGGGGGAGGCTGGGGCGAATAGTTAAAGATCGTTTTCTTTTCAAAACAAAGGTCTATCGCTAAATAAAGCTCTTCTTGTTGGATAGTATTTGGGATTATAACCTGCTGCTTTTTAAGCTACTCCATAAGAAGAGGAATAAACTGATTAAGGAGTCAATTAATTGTTATAGATTTGATATGGTCTATTGTCAGGTTTGTTATAACTTATATAGTTAGAGCCATAAATTGTCTTTGGAGTTTATTGGGTCACAGCATAAGAAGGGGCTTTTTGATAACTATTTCTTAGAGAACTTGCGAAATTTTGCTAGTTTTAATAATGACTATTACTTTAAAGATTTTAGTATATGTTTGATGATCTGACAGATGAACCTCTTTCATAACCTCTTTGTTCTCCTCCTAACTCATAGCCAGAGGGATGTACTTGCTAAGAGTATATGGGTTATGATGATGTACTTCTATCTTTATAGGAACTTCTGTCATTTTATCTTAAGTTGATATTATTTCCAAAAACTGATGATTTTGATTCATTGTAAGAAGTTTTTTGAGCACTCTAATATGGATTTAGATGACTGTTTAAATCTGCTTAATTTGCTTTATTGCTACCTCCAAAGTGAGAAGAGTTGTCTGTAATACGGTTTGCTTGCTAACTTTGACTTCTTATCTAATCTGCATAAGATCCCTACTTAACTGAAGATCTTTATAAAGTCTGATCATGGAAATTACTTTTAGTGGTGCTTAACTAATCTGTCTGTACTAAGGATGTTGTACCATAACCTCTGTTGTTCGGAGTACTATGCTCATTATTACTGGGCTTGAAAGAGTTCAAAGTCATACTCAACATTTTTTTACCGTTTTAAGAGGGTGAAGTATTATCATAAAGAAGAACATTTTCATTTCTATTAGAATGAGAAGATTATGGCAAAACTCTTACTGGATTACGGTCATGATAAAATGTGCTTTGGGTAAGACCTAGACCTTATTCTTGCTATCTAATTTAGGCATTTTGCTTTTCTTATAATCTTCTTTCGAAGGACATTAGTTAACGTATAAAACCAGGATTAGGATTTGTTACTTTTCTTCTTGATTTACAATAAAATAAGCTCTTCTCATAACTCCAATTATTAGTTTTCATGAGATATGCAATGACAGTAGTTGAGCTTCTGGAAACTCCAGCGAAGCAGTGGACAAGAACGTTTGTATGCTAAATATGCTATTCGATAAAATCTAGTAAAGTAGGAAAGTGTCTGCTTAAATCATAGGACTCAACATCATCAGCATTTACTATGTGATGGTTAATATTGTGGCTTTTGTCATATTTTAGGCCAGTACGAGCAGCGACAGTAAGCACAGCTCCGATGTTATGACGGCGAAGCATGTCTACATTTTAGGCTGCATCCACATTACCTAAATAAAGTCCACCTTTTGAACCTTAAGGATCAATAATACAATTCATTGGATCCATTCTGAGGTAAGCTTACCAAGCAGCTTATTGATATGCGTATTGCTATTATCTAGATTTATAAGAAAAATAACTCATTGCTATACTATTTACTAAATTTGCTATGCTTTAATTTTTTTTTAATTTCTATTTTGCTAGATGGTGCTTTGTAGAGGTACTAAAGTCGTAGTAAATGTAGATAGGAAGGTGCGTAGTGTTTGCTGTAAGATGCTGCTTGTTTTTTAATCCTTTTTTAGCAAAAATATATTTTTTACAAATTTTAATTATCAATTATAAATATTTAATTTTGTAAATAGTATTATTTAATGTGATTATAATTAACCTTAATTAATACCTTTCATCTTAATTTGATTTTGTTTATCATTTGTAATGCAAATTTTGTTGTTAGATTTAATTATACACGCGAAAAAACTAACAAACGAGCTATAACAAATTTTTTTAATAGCAATGTTATCGCGGAATTAATCTTATTTTTTATTAATTAGATGGGCATTCAGTAGGAAAAGTAATAAAAATTTAATCATCCAATTTTCCTTCTTCTTGAATTATAATTTATTAATAACAAATAATTATCAATCGTTTAGATACCTATCAAATTTTTTTTTTGCAGAAATAAATTTATAAACAAAGCACTTTTATTTATTTATTCATCAATTTAATATTTTATCTATTTTTCATTAATATTTAATCAAGATTAACTGGAAAAATAAATATTTAGATTTTCAAACATTCTTTTTTTTTTTGTAATTAATTCTAAAAATATTAAATTTATAAAAAGAAGAGACCCAATTAATTTTAAAATAACACAATAAAATATTTTTCTTTTGATTTCATTTACCAGAAATTAAAATAATTTCACAACTTTTGCAATAAATAAAATATTTTTTATTACAAAAGAGAATAAATAAATTTATTTGAAAACCAAATTCAACAAATAATATTATGAGATGATATGATTTAAGATAATTCCAAAAATATTAATCAAATATGTAATTAATTTATAAAAAATTTTAATGCTTTTATAAAAAAATATTTTTTATTTTTGAAATATTATTATCACTTAATAAATCTTTAAATTAGAATTAAGGTTCAATTAATTACAAGAGAGATCATAAAAATTATTTTCTTTTGACTTCATTTATCTTAAAATAAAATGATTAAATTATTTCATTATTTTGCAAAAAATAAACATAATTAGATAAAATATTTTTTTTATTGCAAAGAAAAAAAGTAAATAAAATTATTGGATAACAAAATTCAACAAAAAATAATATTAGATATGATTTTGGTTTATTTCAAAAATTATCACGCAGATATGTAATTAGATTTTTATATGCCTTGTTTTAAAATTTGTAGTTTTGAACAAAATTTTTTATAATAAAAGACAATCTTGATTAAATCATAAAATAAAGTTAAAAGTAGTAAGTAAAGATGGAAATGTAGATATAGTAAGAAGAATAAAAGAGTAATGCATAGGATACTATCCTCTACACTTTTAGGTTACAAGATCAAAAAGGTGTTAAAGTAGATGTTTGCTTAATTAGCTCTTAAGGGTTTAATTCATTTGTTAGATTCGAATATTAGGATGGAAGAAGCGAAGGAATTTAATGGAGAGATCTTCTTGGAGCAGTTGTATAAAATAAGAAAATTGACATAATTTCGTTCCCTAAAAGAGTTCAAAAAAGAATGTTTAAGAAAATAGAAAATAGATTCAAAGAAGTTTTTCCTTTCAATACAGTCAATTAAGCAGAAAACGTAGAACAAGTATTACCAACTGGAGAAGTTAAATCAATAGATTTGTAAGAAGTAAAATACATCATTTAGGAATTCTCTTAGTAAAAAGAAACAAGCTTGTTCATAAACATTGTAAGTAACAATAGAGTTCAAAAGGAATTGCTAATTTTTGTTAACCCTCATAGCGGGAAAGGATAAGCTTAATAAGTATTTAATAGAGTAAAAGATCTCTTTGAAATTTCAGGACATAGCTATCATGTAGTAGAAACCCTCTATCGCCTCCATTGCTTCGATTATTTATATGAAATATCTTCAGAAAAACTCTTCTCTTACTATGGAATAGTAAGCGTTAGTGGCGACGGAACTCCTCATGAAATTGTAAATGCTCTTTTACTAAGGTCAGATCGCGAGTAGTGCCTATAAATGCCTATCGGAGGTATCCATGGAGGAAGTGGAAATGCCCTACCAACAACAATGTGCAATATTTCTGGAGAATATAACACTCCCGAATGTGCTGCATTCATTATAATTAAGAATCAAACAAAAAAGATTGATTTAATTGAATTTGAAAGAGAAAATATTTTTAATAAGAGCACTCACCCTTTCCAACTTTCTAAAAGATTATACTCATTCTTAAGTTTAAGCTGGACCTTTGTTTCTGATTTAGACTTGGGAAGTGAGAGTCTCCGATTCTTAGGAGAAACACGTTTTGAAGTTTATGGATTTTGGCGTTTGATGTTCCTAAATAAATATGCTGCAAACATACTCTTCTCTAACTCTTCTGATTTAAATTTACCAGAAATCAACTAACAAATCTCTGAATAAGATTTGTCTAAGTATAAAATAGAAAAGAATTAGCTATTTACTTTCTTCTATTTAAGCAATCTTCCTTGGGTTTCAGAACAATACCAGAGTTTCCCACTTGCAGTTGTTGACGATGGCCTATTTGATTTAATTTATTTAACTAATGAATAAAGCAGATTTTAAATGATTAAAACTGCCCTTGCTCTAGATAATGGCTCATTTTTTGATAAAGAAAAATAAACTGTTGCCAAAGGATATGACCTCAAATATTAAAAAGTAAGATCAATTAGAATTGAACCTATAAATCCAAGTAAAAGTGGTTTATATTCTATAGACGGAGAAAGATACTAAGCTGAGCCTTTACAGGGAACTGTACTTCCAAAAATATTAAGTGTATTTTGTCTTTGAAGAAATTTAATTAAAAATATTAGGAGTAAAAATAGAAAATATAAATACTTATTTTTAAAAAAGATAAATTAGAAATATTATTTATGTTAAAAGTAATCAATTAATTATTTACTTATGTATTTATTTGTATATTTATTAAGAAGTAAACATAAATTTATCAAATTTTTATTTAAAAAAAGTCTATCTCAAAAAATAATTTATTTTATAAAGTATTTAATTTAGTGTTTAAGGATTAAATTTTAAATTTAATTAAAAAGTAAACTTTTTATTTTTTCATCTGTAAACTAATATGGTTATATATAAATAAGGGTTTTGGCTTAACTTCTTTTGACACATAATTTATTTATAGATTTATAGATAGATAGAAGTAATTAGATTGTGAAGTTATTCCCCAATAACTTAATTGGTTCAAGGATAGTAATAATACTCAATTAATTAATGCCAATGAAACTATGAATAAATATTCAGAATTTCCTATTCCAGTTTATATACTTATTAGGCTCATCAGGAGGAATACCTTTGATTGCTAGCTCTTTATTCATTTTAGAGTTATAAATAAATCTTATTCCATAATCTGATATGTCTTCACATGAGAAATTCTCCCAAGCTTTGTGTAATCCCCTTGAATTACATGAGGGCTCTGTAAAATAGATGCTAACAGTAAATCCAATCATTAAACAGTAAACAAATGTATAGTCTAAATCAAACTTAGGGATTCTTTTTCTTATTAACTGATATCTATATAAAGAATCAAGAGCTCTTGTTATCAAAAACAAAGCCCATATGCTTCTATTTTATTTTTCTCTTACCCAGAGACTAAGTAAACCTCCAATAAATCCGCTTATAAAAGAAATTTTATTATTGTCTTGTTTAAAAATCCTTCTAAGTAGGCATGTTAATCCTCTCATAATCAAAGTATAAAGTGCTGGAAAAAGAGCGAAACGAATATTCTTCTTTGAGATAAGTGTGATTAGTAGAAAAAAAGGGTTACTCTTTAGTTTTTTAAACTATTTAACAAGGATAACTATAATGTCAATAGCTGCTGTTACTGAGTATCCCATTAAAAAAGATTTTAAAGAGTATTTTAGAATGTCGACAAAACAGCTGTTTGGATGTTTACAGTGTTCAGTCTTTCCAAAGCAATTTTCATCTAATCCTAGTCTTAGAAACAAGTTCTTAAAATGCTTGTCAAAGTCAATAGGATATTTGCTAAAAATCTATTTCTGTTTTTTATTGTAAAAGTCTTATTTGGTATCGCAATTTTGATCCATTTTTAATTCTTAATTAATTTAAAATTTTTAGTTTTTGATAAAAATTGAATTATTTTATTTTTTATCTATTTTGTTGTTACGCTTATAATTTAAAGGTATATTAATTGCTTTATTAGGATTAGAAGCAATCACTTTTATAATTTATTTGTTGCCCTAAAAATAAGCCAATACATCATTTGGTGTCATTTAAACCTAATATCATTCTACTTCTTAAATCATCAAAATATTGTGTAATAACTTACAAATATCTCTTTTATTATCAGATCTAATTTAATTTGTGGTCAATAAACTCTGTAATAACATCAAAATGAATTACCAAATTATTGAAGTTACTGTAAGTACTTGCAAATTCTAACTTTTTAAATCAAGAAAATAATATAAATTGTTATTGTAAAAAAAAATTCATGCTTCTATGTAAAAAAATTTTTTTACCTCTCAATAGATCCACAAAATTTTTGACATTTATTAGTTAGTTAGTTAAAAATTGAAAAAAAATATTTGATCTCTTTGTCAAATCTAATGGAACAAAAAGTTTAAATAAATAAAAAATAACTTCATTAATTATGAATATGCTTTTATCTGATCTAAATCTAAATTTAAATTTAAGAAAAATTTTAAAAATTAATTATTAAGTGGTTGGTTTTTGATTAAATATATATAAAATAAATGATAAACATAATATTTTAAATTTTTTACTTTTAGTAATATAATTAATAAACATTTAAATAATTACAAAGAATATATTTGGTAATTAATATAAAATTTAAAAATTTTTTTATTAAATATTTTTTATTTAAATCCTTTAATTCTTTTAAATTAATTTTTTATTTAATTTTCATAATGTATCCACTCTTTATATCTTAATGGATGGGATATTCGAATATCTGATTGATGATTAAGCATATGAATTTTAATTTTATAATAAATTTTAAAAACCAATATCGTTTTCATATGGCTCTTCATAAGCCTTATTTATACTAGCACTAGATTAATTACTTATTCTTAAATCTTTTAATTGTTGTTGTTATTTTGAAATAAGCTTTTCATGCAAGCCACTACTATAGCGATTTTCTGGATAGTTTTTTATCATATCTTCAATATCTATTTCCTAGCATACCACTTTTTCTTCTTAACTAAATCTAATACTTTACTTGCTTTTTAATGGCTCCTAAATTTAAGCTTTTTCTGGGATATTAAGTTATTTAAAAACTTAATATGCAGAATCAGCCCCATATGCAGTCATTATTGATAAAGCTATAGCAAGGTAAGTATTTGGTTAGCAGAATAAGCGTGAATAAACTTCGTATATTTCTATTTTAATTATCTTACTAGCAATAAATAGGTTTAATAGATAAAAAGCAATACTCGCATATATAAAAAATATGTTCAAAAAACAGTGAGTTTAGTGCAATTATTACACCTTTAAATTTGTAACTATAACACAACAAGTAAATGCAAGCATTCCTTAATAAAATATATCCGTTTATCTTCCATGTTAATCAGAATTATCCCCAACACTGAAAAATCTAAATATTTTTTTAAATTAAATTATAATTATGAATTTAAAAACTAAAAAATTTTGTAGAAAAATTTAATTTACTATATTTTTTTTCTAATACTAAATTAATTTTTTGTAACTAAATAAATAAAATCAATAGAATTGATTGTTTTACGAGATAAAAGTTATTATCAGTGCATGGAAAGAACCATAGAAAAACCATTTCCAAAAATTTTTTTGTTAAAATATGAGATTGTTGGTAAATTTTTTGTAATCTTGAGGTCTTGATTCTAAAATATTTTTATCAGTTTGTATAGCTTTAAAGAATTAATTTGAAGGGTGGATTTCATCAAACAAAGCATAAATTATGATAGGAAGAGATGAGTAGAATAAATTGAAAAATTGAGAAATCCATTAATCGTAAACATACTAACCACTTTAACCAGAATAAAAATTGATCCAAAAATAAACAAGTATCCAAGCTTGATTTTTATAAAAATTGAATAAAATTAGATGACTGTTTTTTCTATAAGCCTCTTATCCTACATAAAGTATTAGCCTGTTTAAATGTTTAAATTCTGCAATTGAAAAATCTGAAGCTTTTGCTGCCTCTCTACCCTAATTTATTTTTATAAAATACTAATTAAATAGTTGCTTTTTACTATTAAAATTACTTCTTTTCCACGTATTCCTATGCCGACATCAGCAACCTATAACATATTAATATCATTAGCTCCATCTCCTATTGCTAATACACATTGACCTGGACTTATGTTATGAACTAAATCTACAAGTTATTTTTTTTAATTGGGAGTGAAATGATATGCTATGACTGAATCAGCATGCTTCATTATGTAGCTAAATGTTTGTTTTATTTCAGTATTTGTTGATATATTAATTCCATAAAAAGTTAATCCAGAGATACCTATGCTTAACTTTTATTATTACTTTAATTAATCTTCGAACATCTTAAGCTCATTAATTACTAATTATTCATTAATGATGCTTTCAGTAGCATCTTAAATAACTTTTAATTCAACACCTTACTCTACTATATTTGATTTGATACCAATACTCAAAGCTGTTTCTCTTTTATCTCCAGTAATCATCCAAATTTTAATTCCAGCTTACTTTAAATTAGAAAGAGTTTGAACAACTTAGTCTGCAAATTCATCATTAACTCCGGTACCGCCTATCAAAATTTGTTCATTTTCGATTTCTGCAAACAGACCATCATTCATTTCTTGAATATTTAAATTTCCACCTTCTAGATCTTTGCTCCTCCTTAAATATTTTTAAAAATAAATGATTTGCTTTATAGCTATTAATAGATAAATACTTATCAAAGAATTTTGTGATTTCATTTTCACTCAAGTTTCTATATGAGAGACAAAGAGTCCTAAGCATGTTGCTAGCGAAATTATTTAAATGCTCTTCAACAGCTATCATTTTATTTTTTTAATCTTATCTACAGCATTGAAATATTGTGTTCATAGCTCCTTTCTAGTAAATTTTATATTATTTTGTCTATAAATTTTAAACCAAAATCGACATTTTTCTAATATCCGAACGATATTCATGCAAGGCTATTATCTTAAATTAAAGCCTCTTATCGTTGATAGAATCATAAATAGTCATCACTTTATGCTCGTCTACGCTCTCTAAATAAATACCTGTTTAAACACAAAAGTCCATGATGCATTCTTCATCAGGACTTGTTCCAAGATACAATCTTTTTCCCTCTTATTATTCTATTAACAGCTCATGGCATAAATTCATACACATAAGTGCTTCGTACTCTATCTAAAATTTAATAATAAATAAATAAAATATGCATTTCAGTGATAAATCATAATTAATAAAATACTTAATTCTCTTAAGCATTTTTTAAAAGATCAATAAGTTTCTAGCTCATTAAAATTCCATGATCATCTTGTTAATAATTATATTCATAACAAACACTGTTTAATGATAGAGCCTTAAATTTCATAATATTAGCTGTTAGAGTCCCTGTTTTGTCAGTTAGAATGTACTTTACTTGTCCAAGCTAATCTATTAAATTACTACCATTTACTTCTACTAATTCATCACTAATGCTGTTCACAAAATTTTTGTCTTTACTCAGCAACTAGCCTTAAAGGTATTTTACAATTTCAAGTGTTACCATTAAAGATATAGGAACAAAGGGATTAAGTAATAAAATCCACATTGGAATTCTAATAAAAAAGCTAACGACTAGGTGAGATTCTATATCACTTTTTCCGATAACTAAATATGGAAGCTCATCTTTTTTCTATTTGTACCAAATAGTGTAGTATGATGCACAGAAAATACTTATTAAAACCAATATAATAAATACATAAAGCACCATCTTATTCATTAATTTTTCAACTGTGCCAAACTTGTACCTATGAAAATAAATATTTTTTATTTTTATTTTAATAAATAAATAAATAAATTTTAATTTTACTGTCCTCTATTTGCATATTTTAGAGATTTGCAATCATGTCCAGAATAAATAACAATCCCAATTAGAGATTTAGTACGCTTGAGAGTACAACCTCTTAAGCAAATGTTTTATAAAGATAGAAGATACTGATTTTATTAACTGTCTGTATCCTGCTTGTCAATCATTATTCCATTAAAACTGTGAATACGAATATTAGGGTCTTCATATATGAATTAAAATCTTCCAATATTATTTATATTTTATGTAAACTATTCATCTTGAAATAAATTAGGAGCACAACTCTATCTTTGCTTTAAATTGACTTCACCGTCTAAGTTTTTTGTTTCTATGTAACAAATTCCCTTTATAAATAATAAAAGAAAATAAATGGATTATAAGATTTTATAAGATTTTTATCCAGTTTACAAAATAATTAAATAAAAAAATCAATGCTTTTACACATGATAATCACTAATAATTTGATTAACTTTTTAATTAATAAGTCTATAAAGAAATTACATATTGATTAGTACTAGATAACACCAAAATATCTGCTGGAAATCTCTCATTTAAATTTACTTATATTATATCGCCTATCCTTAGATCTTACCATTTTACTTTCTCAAATTAGCCTGTTTTTACATTGAGCTTCTTAGTATCAGACTGATTTTCAAACTAATCTTATTTTCTCCTTTTTCTATCCTCAATAAAATCCTTTATCATACTAATAACAACTATAATTGTTAAAGGTGTATAAACAATAGGCTTTCCCTCAGTCGTTGTAATTGAAGGAAGTATTTAAAATATTCCAATAATTAAAAAGTAGATATTTGCAAGTTTGCTAAACTATACAAGTAAATTTTTAGGTATAAATGTAATATAATTGTATTTTGATGTTTAAATTCTATTATCACAAACTTAATTATCTGGAACTCCTAAGTAGATAGCTCTTTTATCTTGATCTCTAACTTTCTATCTCCTTAAGCAAAAAAAATAAGATTCTTCTATTTAATTTTGGTAGGATTTTTAAATTTCATCAACAATATTGTCCGTGTTTTGCATGTCTTATTGCATATTTGTTTAAATCACTTTCCTCTAGATTAGCAAATTATTTATTCAAAATACTAATTTTAATTAATTAACTTTTGCAAAAATTATTATCCAAATTAATACAAGAATAAGTTTTACTGTAAATCCAATTTTTGATAATTGATTGATTGCTGCTTTATCTTATAGAATTTTTATAAGTATTAAGCTAAAATTAAAGATATTTCTTTACAAGTAAGATTTAATCTTAAATAACTATTTATAAATTATTTTTTCTTACCTATTAGAAATGTTTCTCTTATTAATTGTTTATACTGACATATAACAAAGCAATCAAAATATTTAAATAATAATAAATATCCTTTTTACATAAATATATTTTTTACACATATCTATTAAGAAAAATGTAATCCTTTTTTAAATATTTGCTATTTTTAATAAAAATAAGAAAATATTTAAATTCAATTCATCCCAAATTTATTTATTTAATTATTTTCTTACTTTGTTTCTGATTTTTTTTATTTTTTTCAAAATTTGCTGATCAGTCATGCTAATATAACAAAACATTTATTACTTACATTTTCATATCAAAATGTGTAGATAAAATTTTATCTTTTCATATGACATATGTTTTCGAAGTTTTTTTTAATTATATTCTTTTTTAAAAAAGCCATTTTTATTATTAAAATAAATTAAACTAACATTTTTTTTGAAATAATTTAAACAAAAATTATAAAATTTATTTAAGAATCTAACCTTCCTTTATAAAAAAAATTTTTTTTAAATAAATAATTATTTTATTTTATTAGAATAAATAACTGTGTAAATTTTAATCAAACCATAGAATAGAAATTAAAAAATATTTTTATAATATTTTGATTTAATTTAATAAGATAAGAATGATTTTTTAAAAGTATTTTTCTAAAGGTATATTGAATTTTAAAAAATTTACTTGTGAAACATTTAATAATAAAAGAATATGAATGAATTCATTTTACAATTAATAATATAATTAATTTTATAAAGCATTTATTTAAATTCATCAAATAAATTTTATTCATTTTTTAACTAAATATTAGCAAAAATATTAATTTAATTTTACTAATAAATTTTTCTATTTAGACTTAATTCTAAAATTAGCTTTGATGAATTAGAATATTTTAGTTATTATCAAATATTCAAATTTGCTCTTTTAATTATAATTGAAATTCATACAAAATACTTTTTTTAATATAAAATAGATAAAAGAAAGTAAAATAAAACTCTTTTATTTTATTTTAAAATACTTTTGATAAATTAATATATAAATACTTTTATTTTTAATAGTGTTTTAATTATTTTATAATTCAAAATTTTCTATTCCAGTTTATAAATTTATCTGGCTCATCAGTAGGTAAACCATCAATTTGCAATTTTTTATTCATTATACCCATATAAATTTTACGAATTCCATAGTCTCCACTGTGCTCGCATGAAAAGTTTTCCCATGCCTTATGAAGACCTCTTGAATTGCAAGAGGGTTCAGTAAAGTAAACACTTACTGTGAAGCCAATCATCAAGCAATACACTAGTACATAATCTAGCTAAAATTTAGGAATAGTCTTTTAAATTATGTGATATCTATAAAATGTTTCAAACGCTCTAGTTAAAAGGAAAAGACTCCACATTGAACGATTATTTTTTTCTTTTGTCAGTAAACTCAAGAATCCTCCTACAAAGCCACTGATAAACCATATTTTGCCATTATCTTCCTTAAAAATTCTTCTCAATACACACATAAGTGATTTCATCACAAGAGTATATAAAGCTGGGAAGGAGGCAAAGCGAATATTTTTACTAGAGACCAAGGTTACAAACAAAATAAATGGGTTCTTTTTTAACATTTTAGATTTTAAAACTAATGCGATTATATCAACTGCTCCTATAACGCTATAACCAAGCAAAAAAGACTTGAGGGTTTACTTTATAATTTCTTCACTACACCCACAGTCATGCTTACAAAACTATGTTTTTTAGTTTAGCTGTTAAGGAATTAAACGCTTTATGAGCTTGCTAAGCAAACTGTCAATGTCGAAAAACTTCTTAGGTTTCTTTTTACATTCTTATTCTTATAAATCTTGACTTTAAACTTGTTTTTCGAAAATTTCTTAATTGTTACTCATATTTTTTTTTGTATTTCTACTTATTAACTACTTTTTCGATTATTTTAATTAATAGAAGATTGATTATTTTTAGAATTTAACATTTATGAATATCTTTTTTAGCAACTAGTTAAATTTGAATAAATATTTTTATAAATTATCTCAAAAAATATAAGAAACTTCATAAATTATTTATTTAAAACAAATGTATTAAAAAAATTTTTATTTATTGATTTTGTTAAGCAATCTATAATTATTACAAATATCTCATAACATCTAAACATAATTAATTAATTTTAGAAAATAAAAATATTTATCATAGAGAAATCGTCTATTACGTATTTTGTTGATTAAGTCAAGAGAATTCTGAATTGAAATATTAATTCGATCTTTTTTGAATAGAAACATTCTCTTTTTCCCAAAAATTGTGTGATTCAACCAAAAGATAAGTTATCAGAGCTCATTAATTACATCAAAATACATTACAAACTTTATAAATAGCAATATGTAATCAAATATAAAATTAGAATCAGTTTTAATTATTTTTTAGGTAATATAAATGTTATAACTGCAGAATAAAACTAAATCAATTTTTATATTACCAAAACTGCTTAAGATTATTTTGATGCGTATTTTTATCTCAATAATTTAATACTTTACCAATTGAACTGAGTAATCTCAAAAATTTTGCCTTAAATTAAAAAGTCAGAGGCATTTTTTATCTTATATTACAGATAAATACACATCACAATTTAACTAAAAAATGTGTAACCATACTTTCAATATGCTTTAAATCAATAAATAGGGAAACTGTATTTAATGCGTTCTAAATAAAGTTACCTTTTCATAACAAAACTAGACCTTGTAATTTGCTAACACAATAAATAAATTGTGAAATTTTAGAAAACCAAACAAACCATAATAATTAAAATAGTTAACATGCTTTGGTGAATTTTTTAAGTTGAAATTTATTTACTTTTTTAATAAGAAGACTTGAATATTTTTTATTATTTAAGTAATAAATAAATAAATAAATTAATTGATAATTTGTTTTAGCAAACAAATTAAGGTATTTATGATATCAAAAATGTTTCATGCCTTTTTAATTTATGATTAAATAATAATCTAGCATTATTTTAAAAAATAAATAATATTAATTTAATTTGAGTCTAAGTCTCACTTATTTTTCAAGAATTAATTTTGAATACAAACATAAAATATGAAATAAACAAAAAAAAATTAATTAATTAATATCTAAATTTATATTTTTAAACATTTTATTTTCAAAATTTTTATCAAAAATGCAATGAGTTATAATGATTAGCAAAGGGAAGTGATCAACCTAATCTAAAAGATTTTGGTTGAAATTAAGAATCACCTTTATTAACAAAAGGATTCTTATGAAATCAAAGAAGAAATTTGTGAAATAGTGACAGAATATTTCTCAAAAAAAAAATGCATTTTTGATATATTAATTTTTTTAAATTTAATTAATATTCACTTTTTAACTGGACCATAAGAATATGGTATTATTTAGGTAGCTCTTAAAATGATAACTATAAAGTAGAATATGATAAATATGATAAAGAATTAAAATATTGACTACTTTCCAAAAAGTGTTGATATAAAAGATTTAGCTTTATCCATCTTTGTCTTAGGCTACTTTTCTTACTTTTTAAGAGTTTTATCTAATTATTTCTTTTTCTTTTCTATGTATTCATCCAAAGCCCATTTATAAATTTAGAAGTTATATTCTACTGAGTTAAAAGTTTCTTTCATGTTTTCAAGCTTAAGCTTGGAAAATCTTTATTAATTCTTTTGTCTTAACATATCTACTTTGTATTCCTCTGCCAATTCTTTCATTATAGGATGATTTTCATAATTCTAAAAATCTAAATTTTTATAGTACTGCATTACTTAGTAAGTTTCGTAGTAATTCTACAATTCTGTAAGTGTATTTTCCATTTTTTTAGTATTTTAAGAGAACATTTAAGACTCTATTATTGTATAGTATTTTGCTTCTATGCTTTGCGAGAGTTCTTCCTCCATCTCTTTTTCTCTTACCTCAATACCATTTAGTTCATCCTCTGATGGAACAATACCTCTTTAAATCATATCTTGTTCTATTTCGTTAAGTTCAACTACTCTTTCGAACATTTCTCTTAGTCTCTCTTCCTCTATTTCTCTTGATGAATTTATTTTAGATTCCAGTCTTTAGCGAATTTCCTCATAAAATGCTTCATGATTCAAAATGTTCATGACTACTAAAGATGCAGGTCCACTGTTAAACACCTTTTCTTCCTTTTTACATTCAAGAGACTCATTGAACCACTCTTTTGCTTCAAGCAGTTCTTGATAAGTACTTGCTTTATTATAAATCCTGCACTAAACCATTCTGATTAATGGTATGCTTCCTTTTTTATGAAGGGCTCTTGCATCTTTAAAAGCTTGCATAGCTTCTTTGAAGTTTCCGAGCATCATAAAGCAAACACTTTTATAATAAGAAATATTTAAAACAAAAAGTTAAACACAAAAAACAAGATTACCCAATAGAGAGACAGGAGTTTACTATCATTGAAAACCTTAAATCTATGTCATTTGAATCTGTTAATTCATCACCATCACGAAGAACAACATTTTCATCATTAAAATTTGTTAACTTTTATTAAAATTTACAAAATTAAAATTTTAATAAAAAAACTTATTATTTTTAATTACATAAAGACGATATTTTTTTCTAAATTCTTTGTCTTCTTTTTCATTTTGTCTTAAAAACATTTCTTCAGCTACCAATTTTTATTTCTCCTTTTCATCCATAAAGATGACAGTCTCATCAGGATCTTTTTTTTGTTCTTTTATTTTCTCAAAATTTATCTCCTCTTCTTCTGATGAAAAGTTTCTATCACTTCCATCATCAAACCCCTCAACAGATAAACTTTTAGCATCATCAGCTTAATCTTCTTAAGCGTTTTAAATTCTCTCAAGCTCTTTTTTATCTTCATCAGTTTCATCATCTTGATCGTCCTCCTAATTACTCATTTGAGCATGTTCAACATCATCGTCACTTAACTTTCTACTATCATCGCTATCGCTGTTATTTACTCCATTAGCTTCTTTGCTTTTTCTTAATTTAGAAAGCATCATTTATCTTTACCTTTCTTATTCAAGGATATCTTGTTATCTTGAAAGAATAAGTTCATTTATTTTATTTTAAGACATACCATCATTGTTTTTGTATTCTTTAATTTATTATTCATCATCACGTTCGCACTCATCTTCGCTATCATCAGATTTATTCTTTTATTCTTTTTATTCTTCGTCGTCGTTATCTTCTTTGAATTTTTTCTTAAGCCTTAATGTCTTTTTTTGAACTTCATTACTTTTTTCCTTATGTTAATTTAAATCTGTTTCTACTTCTTCCTTTTTAGGTGCTACTCTTTATGTGACTATATTTTCTTTTTTTTCTTCGAATATATCCTAACATTTAGAAGCATTTGTTTCATTTTGTTCTTATTTTACATCATTTTTTTTTTATTTCTTTTCTTTTTCTTTTTATTTTTCATCTTCATCTGAATCTACTAGTTCAAGCCATCTATAGCAACTTAATGCTCTTTCATAAAGGCGTAAAGCTTCCTCGTATTTTTATTTATTAAAAAGCCTATTTCCTCTCTCTCTGTATTTATCAAATACCAAGAATCTCTCAACTACTTCTTTTTATCTAACTTTTTTCATAAATTCTTCTTCATGGAAGAGTGTATGCTTTAAATAAATAGGATAGCTGTCAAAAATTTTTCTATTTTTTGAGGCTTTACCATTTAAAATACGTTTAAAGTCTCTTCTTAAAGATATCATGCTGTCATCTTCTAAATAGCAAGAATATCTGCTCAAATAAAAAGTACTGAATCTTTCTGAAGCATGGGCTAATCCAGGATTCTTTTTCCTCTCTGAAGGTAAAAAGGGACATCCTCCTTTTGGACGCTTAGGAATTCCGTTTTCATCATCACTTGAGCTGCTCAAGATTTCTTAATTTTTTTTCTCTTCTATTTATTCCTAATCATTCTAATTGCTGGTGTCTTCTGTTTTACCATCTTATTTTTTTTACATTTTGAAAAATGGGCACTTTTCTTTATCTTAATCATTAAATCTATTTTTTATAACAGGATGGCTCTTTGGGATTAGTGTATTCGAAGATGCTGAGGTATCTAAGTTTGAATTATCTTCGATTTCTTGCAAGGGTAAGTTTTAGCTTTTAGTAACATCTTTTGCTTTTTTATTATTTTATAAATAAGGACAATCATCTTCACTTCCTTTCATATTTTTATGAGTTAATTCTGACTTAGTAGAATTAGAATCATAATTTTTCCCTCTAGCTCTATCAACTAAGTTTTGAATAAAGTTTTCTTTTTCTGATTAGAAAGACATCTTAACGAAAAATATTTTGATCCAATCAATATATTGAAAATAGTATTTTTTTATTTATTCTACTGCTACTTTTATAATTTATAAATATGTTTAAAAACCTGTTTTTTATTTAAAATTTTTTGAATAAAGTTGATTGTATTTCAAATTGTATTAATTTTTTAAGATTATTCAATCAATATAGACCAAAGCAAATTAAATAGTTAATTATTCAATTCTCGCTATTTTCTTGACAAATAGCTTGATGAGATCAATTTTTTTGGTGTTTTCAAAGTTCCATTTAAATTTTTAGGTCCATTTGAATGATATTTAAATTATATGTTTTTTAATTTAGTTAACTCTTTTATTCTAATTTTAATACATAATAATAGCTAATTTATAATATTTATAATAATTAAATTATATGTTATATGTCTAAATTTTTTTGCTTATTTCAAATATAAAGATTAAATTTTCTAAAATAATAGCTAAAACTAGTCTAACAAATCTTATTTGTTATAATTTTCATCTTTATATAATTTGTTTTATGACATTCAGATTTAAAATATAATAAATATTTTAGTTAAATCTTAAGATTGAAATAAAGATAAATTATTAAGCTACTTAAGTTTTTGAAAGATTAACATCTTGAATTTTTTAAATAAATACTGAAATAAAACTATAATCAGTACTGAAATCTCTTATTACAGATTTGCATAGAAATAGCTCAATTGAAGGAGTTTTAGTTTTTTACTTAAAATAGAATATTTATTAGAATATATAGATAAAAAAAAGGTATCAGATTTTATTTAATCATTTTAAATATTTCTAAGTTCTAATATCAGGAAATACCTAGATTGTTTATCTGACTATATATCTATCACTTTCTAGTTTAAGGTTTTTATTTATATCTTGATTTAGAAAGTTTTAGAACAAATTAATTTTCAAATTAAAAGACTACTATCAAAAAATTATTTAGAAAAATGGAGAAATCAAAATTAGGATTAATAGCTGGAGGAGCAGCCTTAGCATTAGGAGGCTTGTTTGCATATTTTTATATTAAATAAGAACAACCAGTAACTTATAAAGTTCCAAGATAGGTTATTATCAATGTATGTAAAGAGCTAAAGAAGTAGATGTTCAACATTTCTTTACAGATCATAGAAACAAGAGTTAGATTGCTTAAATAGCTTGATTTAGGTGCCTCTTTACCACCAAATTTATCATTCGATGATTATATAGCTGAAATTGCAAGAGCTTATGTAGAAAACATCAAGAAACTTTTGTGTGCAAAATTTGAAATTAGCTTAGAAGACTTTAATCATGCTGTAGAAATTGACTTTGTTAACGATTCTTAATTGTATTAAATTAGTACTGAGATAGAAGAGATATTTTCAAATTCATGTCAAGGAATTCCTCCAAATATGGATGTTGATCAAAGTGTATTGAATAAATTTTCTAAAGAAAAGATTTATAATATCCATACTAAGTTCTTTAAGATAGTAGCTAAAAAATATATAAAGGCATTTTAGGAATTGAAAGAAGAAGGAGAAGTAGAGATGAAATTAGAAAACCCAAAATTCTTTAAAAAGAATAGGGAATTATAGATACCTGAAACTAAAAGAGAGCTTCTGATAAATGAAGGATTGGATTAATGTCCAGGCTCTCCTAGAGAAACATTTGATAAAATTACTATATAATACAGGAGAGAAGATCCTGAATTTGCTTAGAAGGTTTAAGAAGTAGAAAAAACATTTTAATAACTTATTGACGATTTATCAGTATAACCTTTTAAATACAATGATCAATCTCCTGATATACTTTTTAAAGAATATTGAATAAGTTAGCAAACGAATAACCTGATATCTTTTTAAATTAGTTCTTTTATATTTTATTATAATTAAATATTTTTATAGCCTTTTAAATTATTTTATAGTTACTTATTCATTATCAATTAATTAATTAAAATTCACATGTGAAAAAATATAAATTTGTTTAACTGTAGATAGATAGATAGCTTTAATTCAAAAAAAAATTTCTTTTTAATATTTATTACATTTTAAATTTAATTTTATCAAATTAATCTCTACTTCTTTAGTAGTTTTATGATGAACAGTTTTTGTATCTATCGATTTCATTTAGAAATTTAACATAAATTTTAATAATATTTTGATAATTATTTTCCATACTGATATTTTTATGTAAAATATTGAGTGTACCACGAAATATATTTCATTCTAGCGATATAAAGATTAAGTCTAGTAACTTAGATTTTACACTTTGTTTTTGTATTATTATTATTGCTATTTTTCAAAATATTTAATACTTAAATTTAACATATTAAGTAGAAAATACTAAAAAAATTTTTGTTTCAATTGAGAAAAGTTAATTTTGCATTGATAAGTAAAAAGCAACAATAAATTTACTTTAGAAAGTCAAATTTAAGTACCGCTTAGCTTTCCAGGATATTATTTTTTCACCATGCTTGAAACAGAAAGCTCAAAGCCTTTGCAAGTCAAGAGATAAACTTCTGAGGAGATTTTATAGCAAATGGCTTCGAAGAATAAAATTAAAAAATCGGTATCATTGAAAAACAAAAACAGTATAGCTAGGCTTAGGATATTTAATGAGCAAGGGATTTAATAAAATGAGGAAGTATTTACAGAGCCAAATAAAAAAACGAGCTTATAAGAAATATATGGCAGTCAGTTATAGTTTAAAAAGACTAGCTAATCATAATATTTAAACACTTAGTAGAATTCTTAAAATTTTCAACAATCAAATTAAAATATTGGATAAGATTTATCTTAACAAGATGAAAAAGAAAAGTCAAATAAATTTTTAAACCTTATTGCCCAACTTAAAATGAAAAAGATTGCAAAAAACTTTATTAATAATCTACCTCTTCGTAGATTCTAATTCTTGAAAAGTAAACAATATTCTTTGATAAATGATAAATCTACAGATAAAAATCTAGAGAAAAGTCAATAACTTATAGAGGAAACTTAGAAAAAAACCACCAATAAAACATTAGATAGACTAAGAAAGTTTATTCCTGTTTTTTAACCATAAAATAAATACAAACTTTCATGGGATATGCTTCAAATAATAGGGATAATAACTTTTATGTTTACTATTCCAATACATTTATCTAATAATATTTTACTAGAAGAAATAATCAGTATTTATTTTCTTAAAACGCTAGTTATTATACTAAGTTTTGATATTGCTGTTAACTTTAATACAGGATTTTTTGAAAAAGGTGAATTGATTACCTCGAGGACTAGAATCGCTCAAAATTACATTAAAAATATGCTGTTCGTTGATTTGATGAGTATCATACCTCTTATAGCTTATTTTTTAAAGCATTAGAATTCAGTTAGCATAACTAGCTTTTTTCTCCTTTCCTTCTTTTGTAAAATAAGGTGTTTTACGAGAATATTTCGCAAATTAGAAGAAATTATAAGGATGTAACATGTTGCACTCAATCTGCTCTAGCTTTTCAAATTATTATCTACAACACTCATTTTTACACATATATTTTCCTGTATTTGGATATACACAGGAGAAAATACAGGTCAATAGAACAATTGGATTTCTTACAGTCGAGTAAATTAAGCATTCACTTATTATTTTAGCTAAGGATAAATACTTATTTTTTTTTATTATAATTTAAAAACAAAATTAATTAAAAAAATAAAATTTCTATTTTAAAAACTGATTTTAATATTTTTTGTTTAAAATAATTATGAAATTAAAGTTACAAGATGAAGAATGGTACATAATATATCTTAAGGCTTACTATTTTGTCACTGTTACAATGGTAACAGTTGGTTATGGAGATATAGTTCCAGTTAATTATATAGAAATTTTAATAACAATTATAATAATGCTTATATCATGTGGTATATTTGCTTACGCTTTAAATTAGATTGGTATCATATTTGAAGAGCTCTAAAGCTAAAGTAGACAATCATAAAAATATTTTATGATTCTAAATAATTATATGGAGTAAAGAAATATTAGTTTTTCTTTACAGTACTAGATTAGAGAATACTTAGATTATTATTGGAAGGAAAGCAAATAGAATAAAAGTTAATTAGAATAGTAAATTCTTTCTTAGCTCTCAGAAACTCTAAAATAGAGACTGTTGATTGAAGCGAATAAGATTATTCTAAAAGACTCTCCTATCTTCAACTATAATTTTACTGATAAACTGCTTTAAAAAACTCTTCCGTTGATATAAGAGATGCATTGCACACCTGAATAAATTATTTTTTCTTAGAATTAGGTAGACCATCATGATATATATTTTATTGAAAAGGGAAAAATAGAATTGTTTACTATAATTAATCAGAAAAAAAGGTAAAATTATTTTAATTGTTGAATTATTTATTTTAAATGCTATCTATAGAAATAATAGTGGACTACACAAATCACTCAAAGTCTTAGAAAAGGGATCAAGTTTTGGAGAATAAAGCTTTTTTACAGGTACAGAAAGAAAAATATCTGCAAGAAGTCTCGATTTTACAAAGTTGCTTTATATTCGTAGACAAGATTTTATAGATTTACTCAAAGAATTCCCTTAAGATAATGAATCGTTTTGTATGATTAAAGATCTAGTTAGCTCTGGATAGTACGAAAAAATTGGATTAAAGTGTTATTGTTGTGATAATTCTACTAAACATAGTTATGTTGAATGTCCATATATTCATTATATACCAGACAAATATAAGATTATTAAAATGGAATATTCTACTCATCAGTAAAGGCAAAAAAAAGATAGAAGAAAATAATTCAAGTAATATTTCCACTCTTTTTAAACAAACCATCATTAATTTTTATTTCAAATTAGAGAAAGAGCCCTTAATGAGCTTGGTAGAAATACTTATAAAATTCAAGATTTTATCGAAAAAAACTAAGAATATCTTGCTAAATAAAGCACAGAAGATTCTTAGGATGACTACTGTATATAAGAGTATACTGATGAAAATAGTAGCAGCTAAGAATATGAAAATTCAATCAAAAGTGACGAAGTAAAGTTATTTGTCTATTATTTTTATTCTAAATGGCAATAAAAAATATGTTTATATAGAGTTCAGAGCTGATGAGCGAAAGTGAAATGAGTGTAGGAAGGGAGAAAGAAAATTTAGAAAACCTTTAAAAAAAAGAGAGTCCTAAATCATTTACTTCAAAAAAAGAAAACTAGTAGCAATCTGATGGACAAGATTTTCATATTTAATTTTCAAATTTCGATCATATCAATTAGGATGATTAAATAACATTTATGTAAGTACCTACCTAAAATAAAATATAATCTATAGAAAAATCTCCTAGCTCAGTTAATAAGTTATAAATTTACAAAGATTCTTAAAATAAGTCAGTATCAAAAAAAGGAGGAGTTTTGAGTAATTTTTAAAAATTGAAATACAATAAACCAAATCAATAAATAATAAATGGCACTGTTGATCCTTCCCAAGAAAGTAAAAAATAAAACTTTATTAAACAAAAATTAGCAATAATTAAATTTATTCTAAGACATTAATTAATTAAATTTTTATTAACAGTAGATTCACCAATGGCTCAGTACAGATAATCTAAGAACTTTTAGTTCTCTCAGTTCAAAAATAAGAAGAAAATTAACCATTTTGAGTAGAATTAAATTCCATATTCGCTACATGATAATTCCATTACTTCCAGCAATAATGAAATGAAGTCAACCCCAACTTTAAGAAAAAATATTTCAAAGAATAAAAATAATAATTAGATTCCTTCTACATCTCCTTAACTTTAAAATAGAATTTCTTCTAAACGGAAATCCGATAAAGCTGCACATATGCAAAAAGAAAGTGCTAAACATTAGCCTGAAAGCTAAAAGACCTTTACATTAGAGAAAGTTATAGCTCATTCATTTCACAACTAATCAAAAAATTATGAGAGTGATTAATAGTATGCAGAATCTTCACCATAATGGTCGCATAAAGCTCTGAATAAATTATACAATCTATCAATTTCGAGGAAAGAATCTTTCAAGCATCCTTAGAGCACACCTTCCTACAGACATAGTAGCTCAAACACTCAGCTATTCCCAAAAACTGAACAAAACAACATGTCTTTGCTAAATAACTTCAAAATAAAAGAATCGCTTGAAGACTTAGATCGCTTAAAAATATTCAGTGTTTATTTTGTTAAATTTAATTTTGACAAGGTCATTAAATATTCTAATTAAATTGTGATGAAAAACATTAAAAACATTGTTAAATCTAAAACTATAACCAGGAGATTAACATAATAATCATCAAATTTATTGCATAATTAGCTAATTCACTCTCCTCTAAGATAGAATTCGTAGTCATTTATATTTGACTCTAGCAATAAACCAAAATAAAGTTAGTAGTCTTCTAATGCAAATATATTAAAGTCATGTGAGTATTTAGATGATGATCTATGCATCTTTGAAAAATAAAAATAAGAATTTTCAGGTCCTAACTCTGTTTATCATTAAACAATAAACTAAAAAAAATATAACAGCAAACCTTATTCGAAGCAACAAAAATAGAGAATAATTTAACTTAATCAATAGTTTAGGAGAAAATCTTTAATGGTAAAATCCAGATCATTCCTTGATTATGCATTAAAAAAATATTCTGCATCTTAAGATTTTAACTAAGACATTAATCAAGAAAATGCAAGTCCTCAACCTAAGCTTTAAAAATTAAAAAGTTTTTAAATAGATACAAATAAATTTAATGGAATCAAGTTCTAAAACTTAAATAAAAGAAGATCTTCTATTGAATCTGATTTAAAATCCATTAAAAGTGTTTAAGAAAACTGTTCCTAAGCAGATTTAGAAGATTAAGTAGATTCGACAAATATCATAAATATTCGTTCAAATAATTCTCGTTCAATTGATTTAAAATAAAGCTTAAGAAGAACTTCTTTGCCAAATAATAAAATAATTTCTCTAAATCTTATAAAGTAGACTTATAAATCTTCTTCTTCCTCTTCATCGTCATCCTCTTCATAATCTTCTCATGAATCGTCTCCTTCATTAAAAAAAAAATTATCTTAGCTTTCAGTTTCTCCAATATCAAAAGTTAAAACTAATAATAAATTGAAAAAACAAGATAATGATGATGATATTGACAACTATGATGATGATAATTATAATAAAAATGCATAAGACGATTTTAACAATCAAATTTATGATTAAAATAATGAATAATATATGTAAATTCAAATAAAAAATACATTAAATAGTGAAAAAAATAGTTAATGAAAGGCATTTGTAATAAAAATATTGTATAACTACTACCCTCGGCCTTATGAAGTCTGAAAATTCCTCAGGGAGGATTTTTTATGAGTATTACTGTAGATATAAAAGTGTAGAAAATTTAAATTATTCATATTGTTTAAATTTATTTTTTATTTAAAATAGTTGTTTTTAAATTAAAATTTTGATGCTATAGTTACCTTTCATAGAGACATAGAATAAATAAAATTTTAGTAGCTTAATAAATTTTTATATTTTTGTTGTTGTGCTTTTAAAATTCTACTTTAGTTATAATGTAGAGAAATAAGCTTTATGAGTGAACAAAAAGATTTATTTATGCTTCTTTTTCAAAGATTATTTTTTAATTAAAATCTAAATTGGATTGAAGTATTTTATTTAAGGCATACAAGTTCGTAGGAAAAAATTGTATTTTTCATTAGCATATAGAATAAACATTTAAGAAATGAATTTATTAGGAATGTTAAAATAATGTATCTATTTTATTTAAATTTTTATTATAAACTAAATAAATATATTTTAAATCTAGTCTACATTAATGACAAAACTAAAATCAGAAATATTTCTAGATATTTTGTTTATAAATATGAGAATTTCGAATACTACAGACTCATCTCAATTAGAGCGCAAATGTTGTAGCATAAGTATGTCAATAAGGAAAAAATGGCCTAGGAATAAGAATAAAATTAAGAAGAAGAATGGCGCTGGGTTTTCCATTTAAAACCTTAAAAAGTTAAAAAATATGGTCGTTTCTGGAAACCTTTATAAAATAGCTAGAATTAAAAATGATTAACATTCTAATGCATTTTATGTATTTTTATCACTTGCAAATTATTATAACATTAACTACCTATCATTTGGATTTTTAAATATAATTTTTTGATGTAATTTTTATGATCATTTTTCTTTTGAAAGGAACTTTAGCTTCTATTGAAAATATTAAAGTTAGATTTATTTCATATTTATATTTTTAAGGAGAATTTATTATGTTTAATTTAATATGAGATATACTGAAATGAATAATTTAATTATAAACCTATATCTTTGACTAGCAAATAGCATATTTATAATGGTATTTTAAATGTTATTTAACAAAATAGTGCACAAAAATGTTAATTTCACTTTCAAAAATTAAAAGTTGAATGAAAATATTCTTTTTGAATTTCATTTTAAAATTAAAAAAAAAGTTAATCTACTAAACATTTTATTTTAAATCACATATATTACAGAGAATAAAAAATAGCATATAATCAAATTAGTTATACGTCATCGTCATCATTATTTTAAATATTTTTACTTTTAGAAGAACCTAGTTTGCGTTTTTTATTTAAGGAAGGTTCTTCTTTGAGGTCTGTAGATTTTCCGTTTGCTTTATTTTTACTACCATTTTCATTGCTTTCATTTTGTTATTATTAGTTTTCTTCTTCTTCATTTTCGAATTTACCGAATAAACATTTTATGATTTCATTACGTCCTTCAAGTAATTCTTTATTATCTATGGGATTCATAAAGTTAACTAATTTTTAGTGAACATCAAAGCGGATCTTTCTAGATTTTGAAGCTCTTCTATCAACTATTTTTTACTTCTTTTCTTATTGCTTGAGTTTTCTTTCTAAAAGATAAAGTCTTGTAGAATCAAATAATAACCCGTCTTCGCCTACTTCTTTATTTTCTTCTATTTCTGTCATGTATTCCTTTAATAGCTCATGATATAAATCACTATCATCAAATATTTCTTGGTCAGTTTCTTTTTGTACATTAGAAATGTCCCTACCTAAAATTCTAAATGATGTACGCTTAAGCTAGCTTTTATAAATAAGATTATCAATTTGCTACATGGCTTTCTATGTTTATCCAATAGGAGTATGAATAAGAGCACTCATTCCATTACGTTTTAAATTAATTGAGTTTAAAAGTTAAGTTTTTTGACTCCACTTAAGGATATTTTCTTCCATCCAATTGTGCATGTTGTCAAAAGATTCCTCAAATTACTACCACATACTTTTAATGTTTAATTCATTTTCATTTTCATACTGATCTCTTACAATATTATTGTGATTGATAAACTTTTACAATAACTTTATATTGTTTTTTCTTAAGATACGATCTTTAGGGCCATTAGCTTTTTCTGTAAGGTTTCCTCTTATTTTTTATATTAAATCAATATTTCTTAAAATATTTAATTCTAAGTATTTTTTATTTTGATTATTTTCCTTAGAGTCAAATCCACCGATATCTTAAGGGCTAGGAAGCTTCTTAACCAATTCTAAGTTTTTATGCATGTTAAATCTTACAAACACAAGTTCTTTCCAAAGTTATATTTATTATCTGACAGCCTTAGCCTTTTGCATCTATTATTTTAAAAAAAAGTATTTATCACATACTAATAACCTTGATTTTTATATATTTTACCTCATCATCTTGCTATTTTTGAGTTTCTTATTTAAGGTCTTAATCTTCTTAATCTATCTCATCAATAATATCATCAACATTCATTTAATCTTGCAAATAAGTCCTTTATTTATATAAAATTAGGTTGGGTATAAAGAATATATTAGCAATTCAATTCCTAAATCGCTAAAAATTACTTATTTTTCTTTTATTCAACAAGTTTTTTAGCTATTTTTTTCAAGTGTTTTGATTCTTCATCATCGTCATCTCCTTCTTCTTCATGTCCTGATTCTTCTTCGCTATCATTTAATTCTTTACTTAATTTTCTTTTTCCATTTGATTTATTTTTAATAACTTTAGGCTTTTCATCTTCAGATTCTTCTTCATTATCATCTTCACTTTATTCTGAATCTTAATCTTACTAGCTTTACTAGCTGGAGTTATCAACATCATTATCTTCTTCTTCATCATCATCTTCTAATTCTGAATCACTAATCATTAAATCTTATTGATCAATTTCTTCCATTTCTTTACGTGTTACTTTTTTTCCCTTATATTTGGGGAGATCTTCTAAATTTCTACTTGATTTTTTACCAATAATAGGTTGATCACTTTTAAGACCTCCAATGAGTTCTTTATACTAAGCATCATTTTTAAACTAATCGTCTAATTCTACAGCATCAAGATCGTCTTAATCCTCGTTATATTCTTATTAAAACTAATCTCTTTGATTACCAAGTACTTACTCTACTTCTTATCTATGGGACTTGCTCATTTAAATACCTTATCTTATTTAGCTTGAAATCTATATAATTTTTATATTGTAATTTTCTAATTAAATATATGATAAAATTATCTTTTACTAAATTTAATCAGCTAATTCTTTGAATTGAGGACTATGTAATTTATTGGTTCAGCCCTTCAGTTTTTAATTATTCCTTATCATCTCATATAAAAATTAAATATAAATAGATATGTTTGCTCTATCTTCTACTTTAATTATCCTTTTGCAATTTAATTTTTTTTAAAATATTTTTTTTTTGCATGCTAAATTTAAAAACACATTAAAAAAAAAAGATGAAATAGAATTTTAATTTTGGAGAAGTAATTTAATGTTTAAATTATTTTTAGCATTATTAATTAAAAAAATGGATTTATTTTCAACTTATTTAATTTTAAATTAAAATAAAAAAAATACTTGTTATTTTTTGTAAAACAATTTTTTTATTGATTAATTTTAACAAATAAATATTAAAATTTTATAACATAATTTAGAAATACAAAATAAATTACATAAAATAAAATATCCATAATTTTATTTTTTATTGTAAGTATTTGTGTGAGTTTCTCTAAATAATTATTAAATTCTTGTGAGTTTATTTTACTATTCTTAGCATTTAATTTGTTCTACACAAAATTTATTTGATAATAAAGTTATAGATAGATACATACATAGATAGATAGGTATATAGATAGTAAGAACTACAATGAGTGGGAATACAAAGAGGATATTATAATTTGATAGGATTTTGTTAAATATATTTTATTAAAACGAAATTGTGGTAAAAGAAATAAAGAAAATAGTTGTTATTTTTGATAAAACAATTTTTTTTTTCATAAATTTTAAGAATAAATAAAGAAATTTATTTAGATAATTTAGAAATTCAAAATAAATTACATAAAATAAAATATCCATAATTTTATTTTTTATTGTAAGTATTTGTGTGAGTTTCTCTTAATGATTATTAAATTCTTATGAGTTTATTATTCTGTTCTTATCATTTAAATTGTTCTAAAAGAAATTTATTTGATAATAAAGCTATAGATAGATAGTTAGATAGATAGATATAACTAAAATGAGTCGGAATATAAAAAGGATGTTATAATTGGATAGGATTTTATTAAATATATTTATTAAAACGAAATTGTGAGAGAAAGAAATAAAGAAAATATTTATTTTACAAAAGCGATGTATATATACAAATAAGTTATAGATAGATGGATAATTTTTTATAATATTTATATGAGTTTTTTATTTATATTTGAGGATTTCAAATTTTTTGTTGGTTTTGCTAATTTATAAAATTAGAAGTGGAAAATAGAAAATAGTTGTTTTTATTACATAATATCAAAAAGAGGCTAGAGATTAAGTCTTTGTGGAAAGAAAGATTTATTTATAAACCAAAATTATGTTTTTTTTTTGGGAGTAATTTATTCTGAAGATATTAAAAATTTTATTATCAAATGATAATCTATCTCAGCAGCTATTTTTTTATAGAAGGACTTTTGTTTACTTTTTTAATTAGTTAAGAGCATCAAAATGTTTGTTTTCATTGTTATTAATTTAAATATTTAAGGTATTATTTGATTTGCATAAATTTGCTCTTGAATATTAGCTGTCGCGAACTAATACTTCAATATCATTAGATAATGGTTTTATTTATTGATTTAGAGGCTAAAAAATATTCCTAGATCTTAGAGTCTAAGTAGCGCTGCTATAATTCATATTTTCATTAATTAGACTACCTTTTTTCATACTGTACTAGTTTATATTTGTTAAGCTAGGTATTCCTGAATTTGAAGCCGTAGAAGCAGTTGAATATTTATTTAATGAATTAGGCCTGTTTGTGCTAGAAGAGCTTGAGAATAAAGTAGAATCTTTAAGGTCGCTTGAATCTTATTTTGTCTTTCCTTGCTCACTTTCATTTCTTTTACTAACAGAGTGAGATCTGAGATGAATAGAGGCATTTTGCGAAATTTAGTTTTTTAAGTTTGTGGGTGTCTTTAATTAAGGCAATTGGTCAACAACTTCTTTGTCAGTTAAATATTGCTATTTTCATATTTACAAGTAAAAATAAGTAAATTTGCTTCTTTGTATAGAATGTAAGCATTATAATTTTATAATAATCTTATGGTTCTAATTAAATTAATAATTTTTAATTTTAATTATCGCATATTTTAAAACCAACAAATCTAGTTTACAGTAATTTTTTCTCTATTAAAAATTTCATGGGTAAATTTTATTTTTAGTAAAATTGTAAACAGAGATATTTTAGTTTTTACGGTTTTAAATCTTTAACTAAAATGAAATTATATCAAGATAAAAAATAAATGCTTGGTTTTTATTAAATTCTTTCTTAATATTTTTTTTGAAGTGTTAAGCAAAACAATTTTACCTTTTAACATTTTTTTCCTGGGTGAGACAGATTTTTACATTAGAGGCAAATTATCTTATAACATTTGAGGCATTTGTGGTATTAGTTTGAAGGATAAGCCATAAAAGATTAATCACAAACTGGACATTCATACTATAATAAGGGAAAAAAATGTAAATATTAGATCTCAAAAAGCATTGAAATAGTTTACATTTTTAAAATATACAATCTTCAATAAAAAACAAAATTATTCAAAAATAATAAGCTAACAAATAATAAAAATTAAGCTAAAAAAATTTTTTTTTACATTATGAAATGACTAGATGTTGTTCTTTTCTAAAATTAAGTACGATTTAAAGTCGGGTTCTTCCAAAACCACACTCATGAAGTACATACTAGGCTCTATTGAGCAGTTTGGGATAGGACAGCAGATAGGATACTAAGCATTTTTTATTTGTTGTTTCAAAGAGATTTGCAAGCACTGGTAATGGTAAGGATGTCCGCACTGCATAGATGCTAAATCTCTAGAGTCGATGGTACGCTAGCAGCTTAAACAAGTATGGTTTTTTCTAGTTTCTTCTTTACTCATTTTAAGATGTTTCAAATCAGGTAGAAGACGAAAAAATATTTAACAAGGAATGGTTTGAGAATATAAAACTCTTGATGGTTGTTTTTTGTTTGTTTGTTTGTTTATATGCTCTTTTTTATTTACTTATTTTTTTGTGAATTAATTAGTAAGAAATATTATTTTTTGTTTGATTTTTAATTACTATATTTTGGTTAGCCTTGATTTTGATTTGAGTTATCATAGATAAAGCATTGATTAGCTAAATGTTACTGTCTGCGATAAAAAAGTTTCCATTCATTTATTTATATAATTTAATCAAAAAATCAAATATTGTCCAAAATACTTAAAGAATTGCTGGCTTTTTGGCTTGTGCTTATCTTGTTTAAGTAAAAAAAATCAAATTTTGTATTAAAAATAAATAATACTGGAAGTGCAAAGCTTAACATAATTTTTACCACTTTTAGTTTGTTCTATTTGCTGTGTATTGAAAAATCTCTTGTTTGAATCAATATCATTTTCTATTATTAATTATTCAGATTATATCAATAATTTTGACTGATTCAGTCAGTCATCTTACTCACACCAATATATTACAAAATTTAAAAAATTGACTGATTTGTTCAATTATTAAAAAATCTAATTTAAATTCAATCTCTACAAAAATAGATCTACTTATTTTTAAAGATTACACTAGCTTAACCTATTTCATAATCAAAAGGCAATAAATATTTATTTTTCATGCAAATTTATCAGCATAAAACTAATTTGGCCTAAGCAAGCTATTGCGAACTTCTTTTCTCAAGCCACAGAAAAGTAATTTGTAAGTTTGATTAATTAAATAATATGATATCGCTTCTCAAGAATATCAGATTGTCTGTCTTTAATAAGTCAGTTTAAATTTTATTGAAGGATCTATCTATAATTTTTCAATTGTTTTTTGGCAAAAACTTAATTTTTACCTTAATTTTGAAAAGTTGTGGTAATATAAAAATTTTTCCCAAAGTTAAAATACAATCATCAGTAATATTTTTAATTAATTTATCTCTTTACCATTAATCCACCACTATCTCAAATACTAGTTATGAATTTGTTTTCTTTTTGATCATTCCTTTCTCTGTGTTTATCTATCATTAAAGCATTTTGCTTTTTTTGTTTTAAAATAAGTGTTTGTATTAAATAAACCTAAAATCTCATAATTTTAAATAGCTGCACAAATAATATACATTATCAAACCGCACATGATATTTCTATTAATAAAAATCCATCACTAAAAATTATTTTCATTATAATGAGCATATATTTATTAATCTATTACACAACATATTTAATCCTACAAAATGTTCTCTAAATAGCAAATAAAGAATTCGCTCAGTTATTTGTATATAATCTTTTAAATGATATTAGTGTTTAAAATTGTATAGAATATATTTTTATTTGCCTTTTTTTAATAGTTTTTTTACCTGAAATTTTATATTCAAATCTTAAAAAAGGAATAATTTTTTTGAATCATCATCATTTTTACAAAGAATAAAATAAACTTTAAATAATTTTTTTTTCTAGTAGATAAAAATATTTAAATTACATTCTTTCATTTCCTTTTACGCTTTAAATTTGAGTAAAATATTAACTTTTTTGACCTATATGTAAGCAAAAATAAAATTCAGATAAGCTTTATTTAAATCTTGTTTTAAAAATAATGTAATAATATAATGAAATTATTAAAATTTTGCGATAAAGAAATCTTGATAATAGAAAAAAATTAGTAATATTTTTTTATTAAATTAGCTAAAAATAATTCATCAATTTCAATTTATACAAACATATTTCTAATTTTTATATTACCCATACTTTATTTTGATGAAGTTTTTTAATAAAAAAGTTAAAACTAAGGAAAAAACTAATTAATAATTAAAAATATCTCAACAAATTTTTAAATAGAGTTTAATTTACAAAAAAATAAATTACATTATAGATTATTATTTATTTATTAATTAGATTCATAAATGCAAAATCTTGTATTTATTAAATATCAATAAAAATATATGGATAAATTAAAATAATATTATGATAAAACTCAAAATAACTTTTTTTCTTATATAATATAATATTTATAAATAAGTTCATTTGATAATAAATTAATTTAAAATATTGAAATCTTATTTTTTATTATTCAATATAAGTAGTGTTACTTTTACATAAACTAAATTATATCTTTTATAAACATTACAATTTTAATTAAAGCTAAACATTGCTTACATCTTAAATGGAAATTAATAAAATTATTATTATTAAATTATATGTAAAAATTTATTAAAATTAAAGTAATTTTTATTTCAATAATTAAGAATAATTAGCAATTAACCAAAAATTCATTGCTAATTTTAGTTTAATAAATTTCAATTTATAAAACTAAAATAAATTAATTCAAATAATTTAATTAAATACATCATTAAAACAAAAATAAGTATTTACTAAATGTATTTTAAATTAAAATAATTAATAAAATATTTGTATTAAAATAATGAAATAATTAATAAATAAAAAAATCATTTTTTAAGCTACATAGTTAACTTTTATAATTCAATTATTTTAAAATCAGTTTATGATTTTATAATACTAGATATTTTAATTAATTATATACATCCCTTTGAATTAATCTAATTTAATTTTAATTAATTGCTTTATATTTTAATTAAAAAAATAATCATTATTAAAATCAAAAAATAAAAACTCAATTTCAACTTTTTTAATTAAAAAAATCCATAATAAAAATGAAATCAGATTTTTAACATATTTTTTGATTTCAAAAATAAAATTACATCATAAAATATTTATTAGATAATATTATATTTTACTTTATTAAGAAAATAGTGTTGTTTTTCATGTATTACACCCATTTTGTAAAGCTTAAAATTTTAAAGTATTTCAAAAACTCTTTAAATTTTAGATAAAATTTTTTTTTTTAGTGTGCTAAAATTTGAGAAACTACGGTATATAAAATAATTAATATTTCCCTTGTATAAATAATACTTATAAAATAATTAACTTTATCTTATGTTTTATAAATTTTTTGTTATAGACATAATTGAATATATTTTAAGAAAAGTTAAAAAATTAAAAAAAATTTTAAGTAATTTATTTGATATTAGTATAATTAATTAATAAGTCATAAACTGATTACTTAAATTTATTATAATTTTTAATAAAAGGATAAATATTAAATTTTATTATGTAATTTATTTAAAAAAATTAATGAAAAAATGTTAATTTATTTCATTTTCATTGACATTTTTTTATTTTTATTTTATATTTTAAATTTAAATAGTTTTTATAATAATACAAAAAAATAGAAAATAATTAAACAAAATAATAAGAATTTTAATAAAATAAGAAATAAAACAAAATTAAGAGTAAAATTTGATTTAAATATTTGTTTTAATTACTAACACTGAATTTAAATAAAGTTATTTGATACACAAATTTTTTTAAAGTTAAAATATGTATTTTATTATTATATTTTTAAGTTCATTTCAAAGTAATTTGAAATATATTTACAATCTGATTACAAAATATTTGAAAGCAACAAACAATATTCTTTTATTTTAAAAAAATTATTTTATTTTTTCTAAAAATTAATCAATTATTGAAAGAAATTAAATTAAGGTACTAGATATTTATTAATCACAAAGTATTTCTAAATAGTTAAATAATTTTCTTTTGTTTTTTAAATTACAAGAAAATTTAATTACGAAAGCAATTGATATGTGTAATTGATTTTTATCTATTATTTATTATAATAATTATAATTTTATTTATTAAATTATTAAAAATTAAATTATAAAATTTGTATGCTAGAATAGCAAGTAAATCACCAAGCAAAAGTTCAAGGTTTTATGCTTTAAAATTATCTTTGAATAACTTCAAGATCTAAGTTAAGAATAAAAATCAATTTATTTTGATCATACAGGTTAAATGTAAATAATTTTTACATAAGGGGATTAAATCTTTAAGAGTTAAGCATAAAATATTTCAAGCATAATTTATTTTTTTAGGGTTGCTCAATTCAAAATTATAAAAAATGATATAATGATTTCTAATAATTTTTTTGGAGTGAAATGCGCTTTTGATATTAATTTTATCTATAAAAGAAATAATGTTTATGGCTTTATAGAAAAATAACTAAATGTTTACTGAAATGAAAATTTGAAATAGAGAGATAGATAGCTATTTTTTCAATATAAGTATTTTAAAATATTCAAAATTCAAATGATCTAATTATAGAAAGCTTTAAATAAATTAATCGTTTAATGACTGTTTTTCCGTTAGTTTTTAGTGCGTTTATTGAAACAAGTTTTAATTTCTGTTTTTTTATTTCTATAATTTGAGGTGAAAATTTAGTTTTTTTACCCAAAAGTGTACTTGAATGGAGTATTGATTAACGAATTAAATAATACCTTCATGGTACATTTTTCAGAAAAATGACATATTAATTAAGATAACTTAAAGGAATTGATAAGAATAGATTGATACATATTACAGATTGACGTATTTATAAGGGGTAAAACACATTATTTAATATATTAATTTTGAAATTAGTACATAATAGTAAGAAAGAAAATTTATATAGTGACGAAACTTTTTAATTTGTATTTTTGTCTTAAAATTTAAATCAATTTTGTTTTTATTTTCTAGGATATTAATTAGTGATTGATTGATTGATTGAATGAGTGAGTGAGTGAGTAATTGAAAATTTGGGAAAATTATTGTGTATTTTTCCTATTTGTTGTTATATTTTTGGATCAAAATCTTGCAGTGAGGTAAGAAGGAATAGGTTGGTTTTTAAAGACTTATACTTAGTCTCTGCAGAAATTTATTTAAATTAAATTCGTTATATTTTGATTTTCATTAGAAACGTTTTACAAATCCTATATAGGAGTTGAGTTTATTTTCACTATTTAGCCCATGCAGAATAGGACTTGAATTTATTATTTACCAACACTTAATGTGGAGAGACCATCTTAATAGCCATTAATCCAGTTTGATTCAAGAACATAGCCGTTTTTATAAATTAATTATCCTTTTCCGCTTCTACAATTGTTTATGAAGTTTCCAGTAAATACTTCTCCTTTTGTTTCTGTTTCTTTACCTTATCCTTCTTTAGCATCTAGAACCCATCCGCCGGTATATGAGCTACCGTCTGGATAGAACATAGAACCTTATCCGTTTCTAAATCTATTTTTCATTTCACCAATGTATTAATTACCATTTTTGTAGAATAGTATTGAGTTGCCTTCAGGTACTTTATTTTTATTCATTTAGCCATGATATTCTCCTTCATCTGTTTAAGTTATATAATACTTGAGTACTTAAATAGAGCTTTTCTTTTTTTATTTTTAGGCGTTTTGGTCATTGCAATCATTAGAAGGAAATAGGCATTATTTGATGTGATTGTAGTTCAAAGGTTTAAATCCATTGAAGTAAGAGCAGGTAGCTAATTAAGCAAGCAAGTCCTCTGCAGTGTAGAAAATATATATTGTCTTTGCAATTTATTTAAAGCATTAATCCTTTGCTTTTACTTCAGCTTTGTATTTTTCTTGACTGTTTGAAATAGAGGATTTGCTTTGCTTCTCTTAGATTAAGCGTATACGCACAGTTTTAATTTTTTGATTTATAATTTTTTGTGGTGCTTAAGGAGAAATAACTTGAATAGGAGCAGCTTGATATGAGCTAGTATCTTCTTCATTAACTCTATTTATTTCTAATGTGCTACCTCTATCTGCATTTATGTAGGATATATCTTTCATTTAGTTTTCAAAAATAGGAACAGCAGAGCAATCAGCATCAAAGACCTTATAATTTTGGTTAGATGGAGTCTTGACGTCCTCTATATTATAGTGAGGCCTAGATGAAAACATGTTGAAAAGTTTCTTCATTTATTTATCAATTAATTATATTATATTCTTATTGTTCTTTTACTTATTTTTGTTTTCTACTTGTTAAGTTTTTTTTAATTAATAATTTTAATATTTTTGCATAAACTCTAGATTGATTTTTAAAGGAAGCAATTACACACTGATTAAATATCTAAAAGATAGATAGATATTTAATAATATTTATTTAATATTTTTCTAAGTTAGTTTTGAGTGAGAGAAAGTATCTCAAATCATATTTTATCAAAAATTGAAAAGATTGTATTTATTTGCAGCAAATAGACATAAAAATACTTAGTTTACCATTAATTTAATTAAATTTACTAACCATTAGTTATTGTCTCTAATAAATAATAAATACATATGGTTGTAAGCTCATACTGCTTAACATATTATTGAAAGTTTTTCAAATTTATCACATATTTAAAAATAGCTTTTCCTTTTTTGATCAGAGAGAATTAAAAATATTTAAACAGTAAATAATTTGAAAGCGAAGCATTGATCTAATTGATTTAAATTTTTATAATACAGATAAAATAGAAAGCTTGTTTGTAATTTTAATTTTACTGCATAAATTCTTATTTGAGTTCAGTAATGTAGAAAAAACTCTCTAAAAATTAGTAATTATTTTCTTAAATTAGTAATATTAAAAGATAATTGCTATTTTGAAATAGAGATAGATTATTATTATGATAATAAATCAAAAGGAAAAATTGTAATTTATTGGAAAATAAACATATAATTTAAAATCTTACTAATTAATTATTTTTGCTTCCTTCACTTTCTTTAATAGCAATTTGAAGGATGGTTAATATTGTAATTAAATAGAGTAAATTAAACCAATGGTTTAAAGTGAGAAGTAACTAAATCAAATAAATTAATTAAAATTTAAATTTCTAGAGGAAATTTAAATTGGTTTATATCAATCAACATCAGCAAGGAAGGTAAGGAGAGAGAATTGATTGAAAATCTAATCCTTATTTAGTGATTCAAAAATTGTAAAATATTACAAATAAGCTATTAAATAACACAATTTACATGCATTATAAATATTACAAATTAGTAATTAATATTTGTAAATATTAACAAATAAATCCCCGCAAAGTTTGTCAATATTTGATCAAATAATATTTTTTATGATCTACTAATTCGAAGCATTTCAAATATGTTAAAAAATTTTGATTCAACTACTATTTCCTTTATTTGAATTTTAATTGGCAATCATTAACTTATATTCTGATGATTATATTCACATAAATCAATCAGTTCTTGAACTAATTCAACTTTTTTTCTTAAAATCAATAAATCTTTTTCATAATTATAATTATAAAATCACTATAATACATACAAGATAAATACTTTTACTATTTTTATACTGTTATTTTAATATTTATATTTAATTCTTGTCTACACTTTTAAATATATATATACAACCTTTCATAAAAATGATAAGTATCAATTATTAAGTCAAAACTAGTTATTCATTCTACAACGAAATTAAATGATTGAGATTGAATAGAGTAAGGATACTTTTTTTTTAATTTCATTAATAAATATTCAATTAGAAGCAAAAATAAAAATTTAAAGCAATAAAATATTTCATTAAGATATTGAATTTTTATGAAAATTTAATAAATTAATTTTTATTAGAAGTATTGTTCACATTTAGTTCAAGTATGATAGTAAAAGAAGAGTTTGTATTGATTTTTTATATAGTTTGACGAAAAATAAAGATTAATATCTGTACTAATTTTTTTTATTTGATTTCAAATCAAAAGAAAATAAATAAGTCGATAATAATATTGATAAAATAAAAGATTGGAAAATATAGATATTGCTTGCTTTGAAAAAAATAGTATTTGATCTTATTAATTAAATTTCCTTTCTAATAGGTCTTTTTTCCAAAAATTTAATTTATTGTAATCAAATCAATCTTTGAGAGCTAAAGTTATTAATTTACATAAAAATACAAGTAAAAATTTATGGTAACAAATGATTAAATACATTGATTACAATATAATATATAAAGATAAATTCTAAGTATTTCAAATTAAATTTCAGGTGTTTTTTGATTTATTTTTTATTAAATACGTTTGGAAGTCAATTTCACATTATTTGTTTGTTATAAATAAATACATTTTGTAACAAGATTTTTCAGGTAAATATTTAATATATTACATATAACCCAAAAATTTTTATACACTTGCAAGCTTGCTTGTTAAAACTTCTTGTTACAAACGAAAATATGATCAAAAATTTATAAAAATTTGCACAAAAATTTAGACAATAAATGAATAAATATATTTTAAAGAAACAGATTTCACATTTATTTATTATAATTATTTACAATAATATTTATTATATATAACATTTCAAAATTATAATTTATTAGTTATTTTGTTTATTTATTTGTTTATTTGTTTTTAGCTAGCCTACATTATTTCTTTCTATGACTCAGCTATTTATTTATTTATTTATATTCATTATTATTTAATAAGAAGAAAGGAAAATTGTTAGTTGCTTTAATAGTTTTAGTAATTTAAAGATCTTTTAAAATGCAAAATTCATTGATTGATTAATCATAGATTATTTTGCATTTTTTATATCTAATTAAGCTATCTGCTTTGCAAAACAAAATTATTCTTTTAGCTATAAGGGCTGGAACTTTGATTTTGAAGTTATAACTGAGATTTGTTGTCCAAGCTAATATTAAAAAGAGATTGCTATTCTTTTTATTACTTAGCAACTTAAAATGCTTAAGGATCTATATTTTGGTATTTTGGTTATTATGCTTGTTGTTTATTTTATTTAAAAGGCTTTAAATATTCATTTATTTCTATTTACTCTGGAAAAATTTATACATGAATTAATGTATAGTGAGTACTGTCTTTAGGAACTTTATCTATTGTAACACCATTAATTGATTTTATAACTCCTTTTTCAAACATTAATTTAAAATAATTAACTCCGACAGTGAGTAAAAACTCTCCTTCTTCATAACCATTAGACCATGTTCCTTCCATAGTTGAACCATCTTTATATGTAATTCTTCCTTTTCCTTATTTTTCTCCATATTTGAACTGTCCACGATATTCATTTTTAAAAGAATCCGTGAGTGTACCTTCACCACACATTTAGTCTTCTACCCAACTGCCATCATAAGTAGAGCCATCACTCATAATATAGTATCCTTTTTGGTGTCTTTTTCTCATTTGGAGCTAGCCTTAATAAATGCTTCCATCAGTATAGTAATAAATACCTAATCCATTTGGAATATTGTTATTAGACAACGTACCATGATACTCTCCATCATCCATTTTCTGGATGTAGTAGGCATCCTTTAAATTTTTATAAGAGTTATGCATTTAGCTCAAAGCTGTTTAAATGTGAGCCACCTAAACTAATCTGAATCCTTTCATAAATGAGATTTCGTTTATTTATTATTCAAGATGTTAATTGTTTTTAGTGCAGATTTTCTTTCTTGAAAGAATTTTTCCGAATTGATTCTTTGCTTGAATTTCATACCAAACATCTTAATTGACTGTGCTAGAATTAATATTTTAATTCCAAAAAAATGGAGTTGGTTCAACAAATTTTACAATTTTAATGTAATTTATATATTCAAATGGCACATATTTTTCTACAAGTTTAGGAAATGCTGCGACTTTTTAATTTTATTCTTATTTCTACTATTCTTCGTTCATAAGTTTCATACTTAAGTTATTATTTTATATTTAAGAAATATCATTTTCATTTGAAAAGCTGCCTGGAAATGCGGAGCTGCTTCCAAGGAAAGAACTTTGATATGGAATTTTTCTTTCACTCATTTCATACACTTGCATTTTCTTAACATTATCTTTTGAAGGAGTGGGAGAAATATCAAAATTTGAAGATTTAGATTAAAAGAAATTGATTGGTTTCTGCATTTAACTTAGTCTTTCGCTACAATATTGATTTCTCTTTCTATTTAATCTTTATAAATATAAATTAATTATAATTTTTGAAATCAAAGCTTACTTTTGTATTAATATAGTGGTTGATTTACCATCTAACTCTAATTTTATTGGTTATTAGAAAAGTGTCAAGCCGAAATTCGATTATAGTTTAAAATATTTATAAAGAAAAGCTGTTTTCAAATAAAAATATAGTTTTGAAAAAATGGAATTGCTTTTAATCATCTATTATAGAGCAATTTAGTAAAATTTTAAAAAGTATTTTTACTTTTTATTGTTTATTTAAGAACAAATTGTTTAAATTAGTATAATATAGTTATAACGATTGCTTATATAAATTATCCACTAATTCAATATAAGTTCAACTTAAATTTACTTTTTATTAAGTTTTAATTATTTTTTCAATAAAATTATTATAATTTTTTGCTCCTAAAAATGGATTTTCTTCAAAATAAAAACGTAAATTATGTCAAAAGCAAACAAAAGTATTCTTTGAATAAAAATAAAATAATCTTACATTTTAATTTAAATAAATTTTATTGATGACTAATATGGTACGTAAGTTGATATGCCTAATAAAAATAATAGATAAGGTTTTTTTTAATTTTTAATCCAAAAATGAGCTATCTTGATAGATATTTTTTAGTTGTAATTATAGATGTATGTATGATGAATATATTAATACTGTCTCAAAAATAAATGAATATAAACTGATCTAATGAATTTTGCTCATTTGCTTTTTAAAAATACAAGTATTTCTATTTAATTTAAAATTCAGACTATTTATCAATATTTTTTTGTTCTATAACCTTCAATTAATAAGTGATAAGTATTAATTTAGTTTACAGATATTTAATTCTTATTGGAAAAAATATTTCCCAATTACTCAAGAATATAAACAAATTAATAAATTATTGATTATTTTTTTAATAAAGTCAGTGGTATAAAAATATAAATTTACTAAAGGTTGCAAATAAATATTAAATCTTATCTTATTATTATTCACTTTTTTGTGTCTTTCTTTGAAAATTTTGGCTCATTTTCAATAAACTTACTATATGTTTTCCAAATAATATCAGATCTTCCTTTTGCTTTTTCTACAAAGGACTATTCATATTGATTCAAAGGATATTCGATGCTCCTCTATCTTTCACTTGATTTATTCTTATTGTTTCTCTTTTCTATGTTATTTATAAGTTCTTTGAAAGACTATATTAATTCTTTTACTTAATATTCACTCTAACTTAATAAGTCCTCAATTTCTTTTTTGGTTTAATCCATTACTGATTTCTTGTGCATAGTATTGTTGTTTAATCTTTTAGCCATTTTTATTAAACCTTTTAGGGGTCTAGCTAATTTAGCAGACACTCTGTAAGTGAAGACAGTAATCAAAGTGATTGTTATAAAGCCTGACATAATACAAATCATTATAGTTGTGTATTCCTATTTATAAGTAAGCGTAGATATCTTTTCTGTTATCTCGTACATTTATTGTTATTCTCCATAAATAAATACGCAATAATAATTCGGGGTATTTGTAACCTACAATTATTAATAAAGATATTAACTTATTTTCTCTTTATTTATTTATATTCATTCAAATTGTAAATTTAAATTAGTAATTGAGAGTATATTTATACAAATTATTTACATCAGCATCCAAATAGCTTAAATTACCATCTATATCAAAATAAGTATTAAAAGTAACAGCGTTTACTAAATAATTTGTCATCACACCATTTTTATTATTTCTTTAGACTATAACTTACTACTTTTGAACAACAAGCTATTGAAAGGTTTCAAAATCAATCCCTTTAAAAAATTTAATATAAACAAATATGTTGTTACATTTATCATTTAAATTATTTATAAGAAAGCAAAACCAATTAAATTATTTTTAAAATAATATCCTAATTACAATCTTTAATCTTAAAATAAAAATTTTTACCACTTTGCACTTACACATTCTAATTTTAAAAGTCTCTACTTGGGTTGTTTTTTGAATAATTCCAATAGTCCGGGGCTTAAATAATTTTTTTTATAGAAGGCGAATTATAAATAACAACAAATTCAACCGATGATTTATACTCATGAGAAAGGAATATTTCAGAAAAGATATTCAGATTAAATTCTACTTAAGCAACTTTTAATTATAAATAAATATTTAGAAAATTAATTTGAAAGATTTTTAAATAAACAAAAAAATAATAATATTTAATAAATGTGTATAGTAGTTAGCTCAGTTTTTATTCAAATACAATAAATTTCTATTTAAAATTAGGTCAATAATTTATTATATCATTATAATAGTCTCTCTTTATACTATTAAATTAAGTAATGATATATTTTTTAATAAGTATAAATTCATAAATTTAATTTTAAGTAAGTAAGTAAGTAAAATTTAAATTATGGTTATTTTTTTATTAATTTTTAAAGAATTAAAAATATTTAAAAAGTTTAATATAATTTATAGATATTTATTTTTTAACTACATATTTATCTTTAAACATTTAATTAAAGCAGAATTGTTTTTAGATTAAAAGATGACCTAGTTTTATCGTAAATTTAAAGTTAAATTTTTAATTTGAAATCAAAAAAAGGTTTAATGAAATAATCTTTAAATCTAAGGAAAATTTTAATTTTATATGTATTTACTATAATATTCATTAACTGAAGTCGATATGATTTTGGATACTGACATTAATATAGTGCAGTCAGGTGAGCAGCTTTTTTTGTCATCATTATAAGGCCCATAAATTAAAATTCTGTTCTGATTTAAATAGTCTGTTTGTAATGTTCTAATACCTTGATACTAAGAATATATCCCTGTTGCAACTAAGATAGTATTACAAATATAAATAAATAAGTAATGTAATTATTTTACTTTAAAATAAATTATTTATTTATTACTCAAGTCAATACTAGGATTCAACGTCTATTAAGGGAAAACTCTAATAAATGAATTATCTGGTATTTGATTATTAACATATATAACACTTACTCTAAAGATTTAGGATTAAAGCAAGTCAGTCATCAAAAATGGAACTATTCTTTACAAGTTTAAAATAGCATACATGTTTGGTAGTATAGTTCCTTTACTAACTAGTGGAGAAAAGAAAGAAGAAGTACTGAAATCAGTCGATTAAGGACTAACAGTCCATTGAAAATCAGCTGGATTTTAAATTACAGGGAAGAAAGTTTAATATTCAGCTTTTTTATAAAAAAATAAAATATATAAATTAATGATTTATCATAAAATTTGTTTTTACTTTCTTAAACCATATTTACAGCCTCCATAACCTCGCTTGCTAGTAATCCTAAATTAAAAATTTAGCTTTGCAATAGTTGTGTCATTTAGCTATTTTATAGAATTTAATAAAGACTTAATTTATGATTAATAAATGATGAATCAAAAAGTGGCAAATATTAAAAATTAACTTACTTTGTTATGTTAACCATTTCAAAATTGACTTTTTATACAATGTAATTACTAGAATCCGTCAATATTTCATTTGTAATTTTCTTTGTTTGAAACTAAAATTGTAAAATTTAATATATTCATCATATAAATGAGTAGAATTAAACAATTAATTATGCAAAATGAATAAATCTGAATTACATAAATGAGAATGATGATCCCAACTTCTACAATTATTGTTAACAGCAAAAATTTCAATATCAATTAGCACATTAAAGGTTTCCCTTTGAAAACAGACAATATTGAATCATGATCTACTTTTTTTTTAACACTTACCATAATTTATTATTTATTAGCAATAAGCTTACTTTTAACTGTATTTAATATCTAATTTACAAAATTATGTTGTCTTTATTGATAATAATACTTTTAAATTTCCAAATAATTATTTGACCATCTAAATACTATTTATCATCTCCAAAAAAATGTTATTAATTAATTAAAGGTTTTTTATTTAATTTAGCACATGTTTAACAGTAAAGTAAAAATATTTCTAACCTTATATTATGTTGATTCCAATATTTGAATTTAAAGTTTTTATATTATCAAATTTTACTAAACGTTTATTTAAATAGTTAAACTAAATAATTATGATGGTTTATTTAATTCTATTATCATTTTGTTTAGAATATTTTTTCTAATTAAAATTTTTTTTAATTATCTAATGTAATAAGTAAGTAATCTAAAATACTTTCATATGCTTTATATTGAAATTAAAAATAATTCAAGTCTGATATATTTAAGAAGTTTATTATAAAATTGCTTTTATTAAATTTTTAGAAAAATATCTCAAAAATTTTTAGCTTCAATAAAAGATTTAACTATGAAATGATCTATTTTATTAAAAGATTATATTAATTTAACAATTTTTAATTCTTTTTACTCTGAAAAATTCAAAATAATATTATTTAATGATATTAAATTTAAAAAATTAAATAAACTCATTAAAAAAAATCAGTAAAATAAATAAATAAGGCAAAATAATAAAATTTTATACAAAAGAATTAAACTTAAATATTTTCTAAAATAACTATAACATCTAAAATGAATACTATTAAAAATCAATAAAAAATATTTAATCAAAAACAAAAAGAAACAAGGATCACAAGAAGTATTGACCCCAGCATACAAAAAAACAAAATCAGATAAAGACTCGAATGACTGGATGGAAAAGGAATACTAAGACTGATTATTGATTACTTAAGAAGTTGAGTGCCTACAATAATCAGATAGTTTCATGAAGATAATCATAACAGACCTTTTAAGATTAGAGATTATCCTCATATCTTAATTAAAAATGGGCAGAGAAGAGTGGAGAAGAGTGAGCTATGATGACAACAAGACGATGCACATTAAGACATCTAGATAAATTGAACAATTTTTGTATACTAGACATATATGGATGGATGGAAATGAACTAAAAAATATTTTAAAGAAGGAAAAGAAAACATGAAAAATAAATACATTTAATTTAGAGGAAGAAGAACAAGAAATAGGACCCAATGAATATGCAAGAAAAATTCTAGAACTAATACTAAGTGATTATAATGATTAAATTTTTATAAAATGAATTTTAAAGTGAATTTATATTCTTTATATTTGTAAAAACATACATAATACAATAACTATAAAATCAAAATGCATAATTTTAGAATTTCTTATAAACTAAAAAATTTAAAACCTATCAAACTAAATTAATTTTATAATTTAATATTGCTGAATCCAAAATAAATAAATTCTTTTAAAAGAATCCTTAGAATATAAATTTAAAGCCTAGCAAAATAAAATAGACTATAAAATGTAATATAGCTTAAACCAAAACAAATAAAATCTTTAAAAGTGATGTTTAAAATAAATAATTTAAAATAATAAAAAATTTACACCACAAAAAAGCTTTTTTAAAGTAAACTGAAACATAAAAATATAAAATTTTTTGAATGTTGAATGAAAATCTATCTAAATTTAAGGACTATCAAAATAGAAATAGTTCAAAAATGTAATATTGTTAAAAAAAAGAATTAATAATTATTAATAATATTTTAAGTTAAATTAAATATTCAATTAAAAATTATATTTTACATAAAAATAATAAATTTTATTTTCCCAAAAATTTTTAAAAAAAATTTACAAAATCCAAATACTAAAAATATAAATTGCAACAAATTTTATTTTAATTATAATATTAAAATAGTTTGCCAATTTAATTAGAATATGATGAAATAAAATTTTTGATCTATTCATAATAAAAGATAATTATTTTTAGGTAAGAATTATTTATAATAAAGATTAAAATTAAAATATTGAAGAATTGTGAAATAAAAAGATATTTATTTTACTTTCTAATTTAAAAAAAATGATTAATTGTGTTTATTTTCAAATTAATGAGGAATCCTAAATCTCACTTTATAAGTGTTTTTTTTGTGTTTTAATATTTAAATTCTTTTTTATTGAAAAAGTAAGTTAAAAAGAAACAAAATTCATGAAAAAACAAAAAAAAAATTATTCGTAATTTTATTTATCAAAATTTGATTCAAAGTTTTTTCAGAGCATAAATGTAGCTAGTATTTGCATTAGTAAATTCAAATTTCAATATAAAAATTAATATTTAAACTATGATTAGTTAGTTAATAAATAGATCTAGAATATTTATTAGATATTATAATTAATTTTATAGTATAAATGTTACACTGAATAATAAATAATATAAAAATTTATTTACTATTTTTTAATTAATTAATTATGTTTTTAAAAATATTTTATAAGTTTGGTTGGTATTTTAAGTTTTAATATATTTTAAAGAGTAAAGAATTCGATGGTATGGATTAAGTTAGAGTTGTTTATTATAATTATTGTAATAGATTGAGTGAGGAGTGTAAGAATTTAAAGCAAAATTTAATTTATTTTATTATTCATTTTAAGATTGTAAGTTTATTAAATATTTTTACCAATTTCAGGCTCAAATCAATGAGCAATCAAAATTAATACTATTTGAATAAAAATTAATTTTAGATTGTGGGAGTGGAAAATCTTTAGCTACAAATTAAGAATTTATTTTCAAAATCTAGCGGCTATTTCTTATAGGGGGAGTGGAGAATGTTTTCTGTGATTTTTATTTTACAATTATATTTTTCCCAAAGAAAGTCTTTTGAATTTGGTTCCTTCTGGTTAATAAAGACTAGAGCTGAGGATATCATTATTTGAAGACTTTTAAATTTTAGAGGCTGAGTTTTACAACTAGGAATTTTATACGACAACTTAAGATGTGTTTAATAACTAGGTTTGTTTAGCCATAGAATTATTAGATGATTAGCGGTGTTCGAGAGAGGGTTTTCTAGTGGAAGAGTTTTATGAGCCGTATTAAGAGTTTACACTTATGTGGTTTTTAATAATATATGAAGCATTTAATTAGTTTGTAGCAACAGCTGAGCTATTTTATGCATTACTTAGAATGATATTGTTTTATCCGCGGTTTGAGCTGAGAGCAGAATAATTATTAGTGTTTGGATTTAAGATACTTGATTTATAAGCCTTGGAAAAAAGTTAAGCTATTGGAGCATTCAAAATTGTTTTGGGTTAATGACTTTATCTTCTTTTTTCACTATTTCCTAAATCTGGCAAGATTTTGCGTCCTTCAAATTGTATACGCTAGCTGATTTCTTTCATTTATGCTTGTTCTGATTAATTCATTATAGTGCTGAGATTCTTTCTTTAGTCAAAGTGGGTTGTATTTGCGGGAGTTTTTTCGCTTTGCTCAGTGACTTTCTAAAGATTTGAAGCTGTGCTTTACTATTTAATAATAAAAGATATATTAGTAAATAAAGTGATGATTGATTATTAAAAAGGCTAATTTTAAAAAAATGAAATATGATTCTAATTATATTTTCCAAATCTTAGTAAATAGTATTATATATAATTAACTCAATGCTTTTCGAGATGGGTAAATAAATAAATAAATAAATATTCATTAATTTTTTGTCAGCGAAATTAAATAAATTTTTTTATTGAGTTGGTATTCAAATAAAAATACTATTTCCCTAATAAATTTAATTAATTTATTGGCAGTAAATTTTATTGGGAGCTTTTTTTAAGCATGTGTAAATTTAGCTAGTATGTATTAGTGTTACTGGGGGATTTATTTGGTATTTATATATAATTTTAAATTGAGTTGAGTTGTTCTTTTTTGCTTACACCTTTAAAAAGAATTTGGTTAATTTACTAGGTGTAAGAAAATTCGTGAGAATTATTGATCTTTTAAATTGTAATCCAAAAACATTATAATCTAATACTTGTATGTAAGCTATAATTAAATTTTCATTTCGAAATTATAAATTAGAGTTATTCAAAAATCTAATTGATTAATCAATTACATTATTTTGTTTAGCAACCTTCTTGCAAGGCTAATTGGGATGATAGCCCTAATGGCATGAGAGGCAATTTACAGCTTTGCATTTCAAACACTTATGGAGATCGACCTCTGAATCACTGAAAAATCTCTGACCACAATTGTAGCAATTATTCTTTTCATAAAATAAAAATTAGAACATTGAAAAATCCATTAAAATGTTTGTAAAGAATTTTTGAATTTGGCTTTTGAGAAAAACATATTTTTGTAAAATTTAAAATATTTGAGCTATTTTTTGAGGTTATTTGTGTGAGTGTAAAGCTATTTATGTGATCGGCTTATTATCTTAAGATTGATTATGAATGCAGAAGCACTTTACTTTGTAAATGGATATTTGAAGACTATGGATGGATTTGAATTACTATTACAGGTTTTGATATGGTAAAGATTGATGGAATTTATTAAATCTAAATTTAAATTATTTTTGTATATTATTCATGCTTTTATTATTTGTTATTTACTATGAGCGAGCAGCCCCCGCTCATAAGAAATTCATCAAATAATCTAATTAATTAATTGATAGTGGATTTAGTTAAGTAAATTATAATAAGAAGATGCTTAATTGATTGATTGACTCATGTAATTACTAGTTATTGACTGTCTAAAACTTTTTTGTCACTAGGGGGAAAAAAATTGAAATTCCTTTATTTTCTTAAATTTTTAGTATAACGATAAAATAGAACTTTTAAATCATAAATAGATAACTTATTTAGCTAATTTTGTTGAGCTTTTTTTACACAAAAGATTTTTGCTAGCTAAAAGTATGATTTTTTTTTCTAAATTATATTTTTGTTTTAAAATCACTCACTTTAATGTACTTTTTTTACAGCAAACTAGATGGAAATTATCAAATATACATTTTATTTTATTAATCAAAATTCCCTATATATGATATTTTTATTTTTAAATGGTTGCTGCTATGTTCGAAAATTCCAATCCTTATAAAAGAATAACAAATTTAAAAGTTTATATTTTTTGTTGAAGCCACTTTTCAATAATTTAATCTTATTTATAAATTTCGTAGTATATCTTTTAAAGCAAAAATCGTGATTTTCAATAAATTAATTTTGAAATTTACTTACCTCGTTAATAAGAGGGCATAAAGAAGTTTCAAAGTCTAAACAGGCTTAAAATTTTTCACGACTTATCAATACACTAAGCAAGAACATGCTGGGCTCTTGTTCACAATTGTCTAGAGGACACATTACTGGAAATGAGTCATCATCTATTTGCTCAACGATATTTTTTCTTATGCACTCCGAGTGGTAGTTGTGACCACACTCAAAAGAAACTTAATCATCTTTAGATAATTCTTCGTGACAAATATCGCAATTTACAAGGCACACTTCAATTTTATTGGTATTCACTGAGGATTACTTTTGAATGTCATTTTGATTTTTTTAAACTTCGATTTCTTTCATTTCAAAATTGTCTTTGGAATTAGAAAGAGAAAGCATCTTTTCAATACTCTTTTTGCTGTTAGTAGTCTAAGGCATTTTTAGTTATAATCACCAATAAAGTATTTTTTTAAAGAAAAGTAAATTTTTTCGTTAGTTAGTTAGTATAGTGGATTTTATTTGTAAATGAAGTTTATTTTTAAGTTTGTTTGTTTTTAAAAACTAGAGTAGATGGATTTTGTTTTATTTAATTTATTATAAAGATTTAATGTATTTTGAATTCGTCTTTTAAATATTTGATAAGATTATTAAAAGCTAATCTTAAATCCTTGCTCGCTATTATAATGAATCTAATTATAAGCTTAAGTTAAAAACTTTACGCCAATAAATTCCATGGGATAATAATTTTTTGAATGCAATTTAATTAAATTAGTTGTTTCTAGTCTAAACATAATAAAGTAATCTCAATTATCAAGTCATTTCAAAAAAAAATCGTGTGGATTTTAAAGTGTGAACAAATTTAATTAATAAAAACCTTTTTCACTATGACATTCTATTTTATTCTTTTGCTGTAAAGCCTTACCCACCTTTGAAATCTCTAAATCTAAAATATTAGGTTTTTTCTATTTAAAAAAGACATTGACATAACTTTAAAAATACAAAAATTTAGACTTTTTAAGCAACTTCAATTATTGATTGAATTAATCTACATGTAAACGAAGCTTAAAAATACCATACTTATCAAAACAAATTTATTGAAATTACATTTGATTGCTTAACATTTTTTGTTTGGGGGTTTTTTAAAAATTGTTATTTCAAGACATCTTGTTTTAAGTAAAAACCCCTTGTTTAATTTGTATTTTATAGTGTATTTTATTTAAAATATTCTTCTTTTTTTTAGCAAATATACTGCTTTTACTGCTAGTACTATCTAAAAATTATGAATAAATTACTTGTAAAGCATAATTATATCAACACTGAATGTTGTAAAATGAGAAGAAAAACATATTTATATTTCAAAAAATATATCAAATAATAAGAATTATTTAGATTACATAATAAATAAATAAAATATAAATAAATTTATAGGATTATTTTTATTTAAAATATTCATGTTCTCTCAATTTAATTTTATTTTTAGTTTTTCTATATTGGTATTTATTTAATGTTGATGAAGAGTATAAATTACTTCTTAGAAGGTAGGTAGGTATTCATTAATTGTCAATTACACTCTTTTAGTGTATTTCATTTACAATCTCAAAAAATAAACAAAATCATAATTCTTTTCCATAAATCTTTTATCAAAATATCCAAATACTATGATTAATAAATCAATCTTCGAAACTATTAATATTTAAGCTACTTTAACTATACTTCAATTAATTATTTTTTCTTCAGATATTTAATATCTGTAAATTCCTCAAAAAATATTTTAACTCTTTTTTATAATTTGCTTAAAGCTATAAAATAAATTAATTAATGAAATACAGAAATAATTTAAACATCAACAGATGTTTGTTTAAAAGACAAAATTATTCAATTTCAGTAAATTTTGTTTTAGTAAAGATATAGAGTAAAAATTGTATTAAATAAATAAATACTTTTGATTTAGTTATGTTTAAAATATATTTGGATTCAGATTAATTAAGAATCAGGTGTAAGATAAGAATTTTGGACTTCTCTTTAATAAAAGAATAATAAAATATTGATGTAAAGTTTTACAAAAATCTTTAGCAATATTCCCTTTTACTATTAACATTCAGACTTACATAAAATATTATTTGATACTGTGGTGTATGTTTTTGAAAAGTAAGATTGTATTTATTATTTCCAGACATATTTATTACTTGTAGAATAAATAATTTTAAATAAAAAGTAATTCAGAAGTAAAAATATTCTATCCTCTTAATTTGTAAAAATATTGATAATCTATTATACTATAGAGTAAACACTATTTAATTAATAGCAAATATTTTTAAATTCATAATAAATCTTTGCTTTCTTAAGTTATGACAAAATAAAAAATTTATATTTGTTGATTGTTTGAAAATTATCACTTTTATAAATTTATCCTTAAAAGTAAAATTTTTAATGTTTTACTCTTTCACTTGCGAATAAATTAATAATCAACATAAAAGTTTCATAATTAGATATTTTATTGGTAAAGACAAACAATTTTATTTAAAACTATAAATTTATTTTCACAAATTTCAAAAATGTTTTTTAAAGTAGTTTAATTTATTAATTTATACAGTTTAATGTTTTTTGAATATTGTAAGATTTTCATGATATTTTTATAATTTTATTCTTTCATTTATTTGTTTCAGTTTGATTGTTGATTTTTTATTTTAAATTAATTAATTTTTCTTTTAGAAAGATATTCGTTTGATTTTAATTTTCTTAATTACTTTCTTATATTTTGATTAATAATTGATTTTTATCTTTTCTTCTTATTTTTTTATTACTGTTATGATTTATTAATTAATATAATTTATTATGCAAATAAGCTCTGCGCTATATATCTAATGATTGAACACTTGTACTTAGGGGAAAGAAATGATAAATAACTTCATCGTTATTTTATGTATTTTAGATATTAAAAGTAATAAATTAATGCCAATTTTTATTAAAAGAGAAAATAATTTATGTTAAATCGAATTTATTTTTTTAAAATTGCACACATATTTATTTTTGTGATATTTATTTTTCTGAATATATAGCTAATTGATTTGAATTAAATAACACTAAAATTTTCCTATGATTTGCGGTTATGATAAAAACTTTGGATCAATGCAATACCTAAAACATTGTTGAGTTAAAAAACTATTTTAGAATAATTTTAGTTTTATTTATTTATTTATTTTTTCGTTTATTTCTTCTTCTCTATTTTCTTCCTTTGTATCTATCAATATTTCAATTTTATCTGTTTAATTTAATTATGAAAGTTTTGCTTTGTTTGTATCTATTTAATTGAAAAAAATAATTGTTAACATAAGAATAACAAAACTAATTAACAAAAATTTATTTTGTGTTTGCAAATAAAATTAATATTATTTAAAAGATAATTTAATTATTTTGACAGATTTACAGATGAAATTATCATGGCTTTATGCTTTTAAAAGTTTTACTCAAAAATGATAAAAATTTTTAAATATTTTACTTAATTAAGAATAAAAAGTATGGAAAAAGATATTTGAAAGTTAATAAGATTTAAATTGATAAATGACGAGTTTTAATCGCTTTTTATAAAATGATTTTTAAATAATTTAGCATTTTTTACATGTTTTTTAGAATATTACTCTATTAAATAATATCATTCAAATGAGAGGAAAAGTAAGTGAATGCAAATTTAAATTTGTCTTTGATGTTAGATTATTATTATATGTTATTAATAGTATTAATTCTTTCACAATAATATGATGAAATAAGTCCTTTAGTAATAGTTATTATTATATTATTAAAAAAGATAAAGAAATTATTTGGTTAAATAAAATCGAGTGTATTTGAATGAAAACATATTTATAGCTTAATAGGCATTTGGTATCACAAATAATTAATTATGCAAACTTAGATGATATCGAAATAAATAATAATGATAAAACTACTACATCTACCAACTATGTGTTCATAATGATATTCATGATACTAGCCCTTGGATACTTAATAATACTTATCCTAATACTCTATAGAGGGAAAACACTCTATAATAGATCTACAACCATAATAGTATCAAAGATTTTTTACTTTTAAGGATTTGTTTTGTGCGCGTTTAGAGTAATATCATCAGTACTTTTAATTATAGTATCTTACAATTATGATTACACTACTGAAGAGACCAATAATACTCAACAAGATAATAATATTTAAAAGCTTTTGTATAATGGACTTTATATTTCAGACGCTGTTTTTGATATGATGTATTTTAGTCTATTTTGGTACATTATCATTTACTCGTATAAATCTCATGTCAGAGTTGGAAATATTCTTGAAGATAGAAAGAACCCTGCTGCTTCAAATAAGGGACTAAATATATATACATTAATAACTGTGTTATATAGCTTGGTTCACCTTTTAATCACTTGCTTATACAATTTAGATTTATAAAATCTGAATTAGTAGTTTTACATCTCATGCATAAGTGTGAGTGATATTCTATGTATAGTCTACTATATCATAGGTATATTCATCCTCAAATTTAAATTCAGCGGGGCCCCATATAAAAGCAGTGCACTAGAAAAAGAAATGAAGCATTTAGAAAGAATGGGATATTTTTGGGTAATTTTAGTTAACAATTTATTTATTATTTTATATATTTGGCATTTTAAACATTTTAATGCTTTGATGTAAAGCTCAAGTGTAATTGATTTTTTACTTACTTAAAACAAACTCTCGATAATTCATAAAGATAGACTGAAAATAAATAAATTAACCTAAATTGAATATAAATAAGAAAATACTTGGTCAATTGATTTTAACTAAAAATTATTTAATTATTTTGATTAAAATTTCATTTTAAAGCTTTGAAAAAACTTGCATTATAAATATTCATAATTATAAAATAGCTGTTTGGCAGATGTTTTTAAGCATCTCTTGATATTTTGATGGTAGTAGAATCACAATAAATATAAAATCTAATTGTAGGTAAAAATCCAAATCAGGGGATATTCTGGAATGTTATCAGTTATTTTATTCTACCTGCTAATTATATTGTGGCGGAAGTAGTTCCTATTCTATATAGTCTGTTACAAGAATCAGTCAAAATTTTTATCAAAAGTCCAAATAATTCTTAAGAAAGCGTTCTACTGGTTGATGAAAATGATAATCCAGTTAATGATCCTCTCAATAATTCAACGGATAATAAAGATAATATAAATGAATAAAATAGTGTTATTTCAGATACTTAAGATAATAACATTATTAAAATAAACAAAGAAACTTAATTTATCAAATAGCTGAAAAAGAAGGAAAAAAAAAGAGGGTTTGGCTTTATTTAAAAAGTATTATTCGAAAAAAAAAAGAAAACAAGAGAGAGCTAGCTTAAAGACAGCTTCAGAGATAGCAATGCTTCTGGAGATAGGGTAGTAGATGATGAATATGATGTGCTTGCTTTCCGTATTTTACCAATAGATACACTTTCTTCGTATATATTGCAAGAAGTTAATCAAGATATCAATAAACTAAAACGCTACCATATTAAGAACATATCAAAAATTAGCAAATTGGCAATAGATAACAACCAAGTGTGTTTAGTTTCAAAATACTATGAGCTTGGTTCTCTTGCTGAGCTGATTTAAAAGCACCATAACGTTTTAGAATCTTCAAGGTCATCGGGAACTTCATCATTTCCAATTGCATCAGATAATAAAAGCCTAAATAAAAATGACTAAAATAATAATTTATATGGTAAGAGATTGAATATCAATTCAACGAGTGTTGACTCTTTTGATTTTAAATTTTCTTATGAAACTAAAATGAAAATTGCTATTTCAATTGCTAAAACAATGGCTAAACTTCATAAAATTGGTATCATTCATGGACATTTAAGTAGCTCTAACATTTTATTTGACACAAATTATGAAGTTAAGATATCTGATATTGGTCTCACTAGTCTTAAGAAATTGATAAGCTACAGATTTGGATACTAAAATAAAACTCACTTTACTGCTCCAGAGCATCTTCAAGAAAAATCTTTGATTGTATAAAATCCGAAAACTAAATCAGACATTTACAGTTTTGCTTTCATTTTATGGGAATTATTTATGGAAAGAGAAGCTTTTAGCAACCTTAGCTTAGAAGATCTTAAAAAGACAATAATCTTAGATAATTCAAGACCTAAAATTCCAGAAGTTGGCCCCATACCAAAAGAAGTGGCAACAATAATTCGTTATTGTTGGCTTTTAAACCCTAATGAACGTCCTGAATTTGGCGTTATTCTTGCAAATTTGAAGAGAATAAACAACGAGTCTCTCGATGATGATGAAGATTTTATTTTTGACGAGCAGGAATACAAGCTTTCATTCAAAGACGTTGATTAAATAAAGGAACAGCGCTTAAAAAGCTAGGATATAGAATCTGATGATGAAGATGAAGAAATGTAATTCAAATTTAAAAAACAAAACCAATAAATATGATATTTGGTATTTAGAAAAAATTATTTAAAATATAATAAATTTAATTTATAACAAATTGTGATCATTTATTTTTTTAACTTTTTAATAAAATACATTTTTCAAATTAACAAAATTATCAAAAACTTTAAAATATAAATATGACTTTCAACTGATATAGATTTTAATAGATCTATACTTATTTTTCTACAAAAAATCTATATATTTTGATATAAAAACTAAAAAAGTTGAAAATAAAAGATAATTGCAAGAAAATTTTTTAAATAAAATGGAATCATTAAATAAATAAGATAAAATAGTTAATATGTTAGTTAGATATTATAAATAATAATAAAAACATATTTTTTCAGGTTTAATGGAAATAATTTAGATAAATTAATTTATTTTTACTTGGTCCTAAAAGGCATTAATTTTAATTATTATTATTTAATCTTTATGCAGGAAGTTAATTTTTGAATTTAAATTATTTTAAAAGTATAGTTAATTATCAACTTATTAAGATAAAAATGGAATTTTTTAATATTATTAAGCATAATAATTTTGATAAAATCTATCAATAATAAAATAAATAAAATTTGATTTATTTTTAAAGTAAAATAGTTAATAAGTTAGAGATTAATACTATACAAATATATTTATTTTTTTAGGATTTATATTTTAATAAGAATTACAAAATAATTTATATAAATTAACTTATTTTTACTTGGTTTTAAGAGGCATGAATTGCAAAAATTCATTTTTCAGCCTTTCTAAATTGAGTTAATTTACAATTTAAGTTTATTATTATTTTCAATTATTAATCAATTTAAAAAAACAATTAGCTAATTTTTATTATAAAATGTAGCTTATATTCTTTAAATTATTGCTCTCAGCATTTATTTGAGAGTTTATTTATTTATTTAAACAGTATCTTCATTATTTTTAAGTTTTAAAACGATGTTTTTTCAGTTACAAGATTTTTATGGTTTTTCTGGTGAAAGTACGTTGGTATAATCGTTGTCTTAGCTTTTGTTGAAAGTCAAATCAAGATTAAATTCTTTTTTAAAGGTAACTAATTGCATAAAACCTTACAATTTTTCTTATTTTGCTTCAGGATTATCTAAGCTAGGGATTTGCTGTTGGTAATCCTCTGGTATTGAATTAAGATATTCTAAGAATATTTCAAAAGGAGAAAAGCAAATTTCTCCACAATTATAACCTTTGAAAACCATATCACGAAGTCTTAGTTATTTTATTTAGCGGAATGTATTGCGTGTTGATTACCTTGGAAGTTCTGAACATCTTTTTACTGGGTTTATAAAACTTTATCTTTATGATTTCGGCTCTTGTTTATCTTAAAAAGTTACACTCTTTTGAGCATCCTTTTGAGAATTGTTAGCTGTTGAAGCTGATTCATCTTGAATTAAATTTGCAGAATCATTCCTATTTAATTCTTCCAAAGGAATTATTTCATCTTGCAAAGTGCTTTCTTCTGAGAATAAAAGATAATTAAGCTTGTCTATATTCTCTTAAGTCTCTCTGTTAAATTTCTAATCTTAGAGTTTCTATAAGCGATTTTTTTATTTTTCTTTCTGCAATTCTTGCTATTTTCTTAGCTCTTCTTATTCTTCTTTAATTTCTTCTTCAGTTACTTCATACAAAGTATGAATGACATACTCCCAGCCGTTTCTCTTTTTTATTGAGAAGCTATGGGTTTTTTTACCAATCTTCATTATGAGAATTACTCCCCAAAATGCTGAACTTTCCTTGATGATAGAGTTTTAGTAAAAGTAATTCAACTCTTATTAAAATGCAGCACTCAATTCATCTAAATAAAATTGCTTTCCAGGAGAAACACATTCTGTCAAGCCATATTAAGATTACATATGCATTGGATCAAAATAATGGGATTAATCACCTTTAGGTGCATATATTTCGCTAATTTCTATTAAGCGAGGTAGACTACGCATAAGTCCCTAGCAGCCGTCTTATAAGAAATGTGTTAAGGCAACAGGCAATGCATTTTTTTTTGGATTAAAGCGACTTAGTTTTTCTAATATTTAAAATTGTTGCAAAGAATAGCGATGATGAGACTACTGCTAATTGATAGAGCTAGTATTTTGAGTGTCAATAGGCCCTTTATCTCTTACACAGCAATTATTTCCCATGTATAAAAATCGCTATTAAATCTATTTTTAAAATCAATTTGTTGCTTGCTTGCTTGCTGCTTATTTATTACTTTTCGATTATTTTATTATAGATCAAATAATAGAGAATGAATGCTTTTCCAATCAATTAGATTAATTTATAATAAAAAAGTGTTAGTTCTATTTCATAACAATTTCGTAGTACTTAAAAGCTGTTTTTAAAATTAGATTTCCTTTGATACTAGCTAGTTCACTCATTCACTTTTTTATTTACTCACTACAGCAATATCAATATAATATAAAATAAAATAAAAATAATAAATCTAGTAATATTTAAGCAAATACTTTACATCCAGTATATTTTTCATATTTTTTTACTGTTCTTCTTTTCAAGTATTTTTTTATGAGTCTTTTTATGAAATCATAAAATTTATTATAAGCTTAGTTAGATAAAACTTATTAAACAATTTATTTGCAAAATTAATTTTATTATAATTCCAACAAAGTATTTTTTATTTAAATGTAAATTAAATCATAAGATGCATTTGTCCCGATATTTATACTTCAATTAGAGGAGGAATCTTTTTTAATAAATGGAAATTTGCAAATATTTTTCTTTATTTTAATTCATTTAATAATTAAATTTGAATTTTCAGCCATTCAATTTATGATAAAATAACAAAGTATATAAATGCATTTTTAATAAGAAGAATTTGTCATAATCATTTATATTATTAAATGAATCTTAACGTATTTAATAAAATTAAGTATAATGCATGTAGGTAAGTAAATAGGTAGGTAGAGACTGAAATCAAAAATGAAATTTTGTTTGAATACTGACTTAATTAATTGATTTATTAATTAATTAATTACAAATTGAATTATAATGGATTTATTAAAGATATAATATAAATTTTGTTTACTCGCATATTAATAAATTAAGTGTATGTAAAAACACCAATTTTTTTAATATCTTAAAGATTAAAAAGTGATTAGATTTATTAAATTAATTTAAGTATTTCTTATAAACAAACATAAAATACATTTAAGTTAAAAATGAATATAAATAAGAACATTAGTTTATCATCTAATTAAATAGATAAATATGAAAGTAATAATAATAATCATAGAGATGTGAATAATCAGATTTAAAGTTTTAGTTAAATACAAACTTCTCCTTCTTTAAAATATTTGACATAGAATACATTACCAACAAGTCCATCTAAGGTATATCAGTAAAATAATAATCATTTAGGTCATAGGCTTAGTAATAGAAGTAACTAACTTAGGCTTAGTATAACTAATAATGGGGAAATTTAATTCTTTTCACCTAGAGGATCTTATCCTTCATAAAATAAAGTCTAAAATGCAAACACTTATCGCCATTAAGCTTCTAAATATTTAAGTTCTTAAATAGAGTTATAAAAATAGCAAGCTTAATAGTCTGAACTTTAGATTTACAATGAGCATCTTGAAATAAAAGAAATGGGCGGAGGTCCAGGAAATATTTAGAAAACAACTTAACACTTTTTTTAGATTAAGAAAGGAAATCATATTCCCTTAAAGTAGATAAATGCCATTTAAAAGAGTTAGATCTAGAAATAATGCCTTACAGAGCAAAGCGATATATAAAATTCACACTATTTTTCTAGCAGTAACACTTTTCTTAAAGGAGTTTATATGAATTAAAGAAATAATTTATCAGCTAATAATATCTCGCTGCTAAAATAGTAATCTAAAATAAATAATGAAAGATTGCTAACTGATTAGTCTGAACTTTTTTAAAGTCCTGCTCAGTAATAAAACTCTACAAAGAAATTTCAAACTTAAAATTCTATGTAGCTTGATAATAAAAAAGATAATTCCTCTTTAGATAAATTTTCTTTGACTAAAACAAACGCTCAGGAGGAATAATAAAACAAAAAAAAGAGCGTTTTATTAAGATACAACAGTGGCAATCAAAAAAAATTAATTGCTACCAATTTTCCAGTAACTAGATTATCTAAGGAAAGATCAAGTCTAGAAGATATCTAAAAACAATATGAAACTGAATATTCAACTTAAAATCTTCAAACCGATGAAGGTTTCAATAATTACTCTATCATAGGTAATGTGTAGTCTTCGCCAATGCTCAAAAGAAAGAGCATAGAAAAAAATTTACTTTTAAAATAACAAATACAAAGTAGCAATAATATTACTGCAGCAGCTGATGCAGAAAGCAAAAATAAAGCTAAAAATGAAATTAATCTTTTTTAAAGGAATAAATAAAGTTCAGATAATTTAAGAAATAATAAGAATGCTAACTCGAATATGAATTCAACATGTAATACTTTTAAGTAGCCAAGTGCATTAAATAATTTTTTTAATACAGCAGTATCAGCTCCAAAAAATAATAGCAAGTTTAAAAGCTCAAAGGCTCTTAATAGTAGCAATTCGTAGAATAATATTATGTAAAGTGACAAGCCTTCTCATTCAAGGAACAATAGTCCACTATAAAACAACAACTTTAGTCCAAATAAAACAAATAATTTTAATAATCAGACATCTGTGAGTATAAGTAAGTAAATGTGTTTAGCTGCTACAGATTATTAATTTTAAAAGTAATTAAGACTTTAAGAGAGAGAGTAAAAAAAAATAAGATTTGGCTAAGAAATGTTTAACAATTTTTAAACTGAAATTGAACGTTTAAAAAAAGCTTTTATTAATAAACAAGATCCAGAACCTATTTTAAATCATTATAAAGTGAATTAAGAAATATGTGAGAAAACATTGGTCTTAGCAAATAAATGCTTAGTATTTAAAAGAAGTAGAGCACCTCTAGAGACTCTTTTAAGGATACACAGCAAATCTATCGAATTAAATAAGCAGCATCCTAGTTTATAACTTTTTATTCTACTTTAAATTGCCAAAATATTTATTGAAATTAGCTCTCCATTATTAGCTATTCCTATTCTCAAGGTAGTTAAAAGATAGTCATTTTTAAATATGTAAAACGAGTATCTTATGAAGTCCTACAGATCCCTGGCTCAATGCTATTGCACTATTTAAAAATTCGAAGTAAATAATTTTTAATTTTTTAGATTTTTTAGTTTTTAAATTAATTAAAGATTGCATTCGGCTATGCAGCCAAATATCTTCACTTAAGTTGGACTTGTGATAGCGCCAACAATGAGCTCGGTGCATATGAAATGCTTGGAAAAATTTACTTTTATTTAGGAGATGCTAGAAAATCAGCTTATTATCATAATAGAATGGCTATGAATATCAGAGAAGAAGAAACAAGTTCACTGAGAAAAATGCAGATTGAGAATTTAAAGGCACTGCAAAAAGTAATTTTCTTTAAATTTAAGAAATAATTTTTAAAATTAACTTTATTTTGAATTAAACCAATAAATAAATAGAGAAGATATGAAATTATAGCAGCACGTGAAATTAAAAAAAACAGAAAAAAATTGGAAGATCAATAAATAGATGGAAGTTTATACATAATTTCTTCAGATGAAGAAAATGATTTAAACTAACTCATTCCAGAAGAAAACAAAGACTTACTTTTAGATCATCAAATTAATTAGAATGATTAACAAAAAAAAAATCAGCAAGAATAGCTATTTAAACTTTAAACTAAATCAAAAACATAAATACCATTGAGAAAAACACCTAAATTTGATATAAAATCTGATAAAGGATGTCTCATGGATACTCAAGTGAAGGTAATCAATCATTAAAAAATTTGGATAGTTAAAAAAATTATTAATAAAATTAATATTAAATAAGGCTAATTAAGATATCAGAATAGAAGCTAAGAAGAGAGAGAATTTTGAATAGTTCCTTAAAAAGCCTTATTAGTAGTTTATTCAGTACAAATCTATCAAGGGTATAGGCCCTATGAGAGATAAACTTTTAGTTTCGCATAAAAGCTATAATAAAAATCTGTCAAATTTTTAACTTAGCTAAATAAACAAGAAATTGAAATCAAGTAATATATTTTTCACTTAAAATGAGCTTGATGAAAATCATTAAAATAATGGAGAAAGTCCTGATTCTTAAAATGAGTAAATATATAAAATTAACTAAGATTAGGAAATTAATCAAGATATTAAGCATAACATTGAGCAAAGTGAGTATTGGAAAGACTCAATTGTAAAAAACGTTGAAAAAGCTCTTAAAAAAATGATCAAAAATATAAATTATTTGAGTATTTTACGTGAAGAGTTAAAGATTTACCATGAAGAAAAATTAAGAGAAAAAACGTTCTTTGAAGTAGAAGAAGACAATTTCTAGAGCGAATAAGAGAAAATCATCAAAAAGATGATGGAGTCAAAAGAAGAAAACTCTGATCAATATTGGTCTCACTTAGTTTGAATGTTTTTATAAAATAATGAGATCATATTTAACTTATTTACTAAAAAAGTTGATGCTTAAATTGAAGATTTAAAAAATAAAGATATTTTTTTTGAATAATTCAAATAAAATTTTCTTTCATTAATCAAATAACAAATATGTTGGTTATTCTCTATAATTTAAGTTAGATATTTAAACAATTAATTAATTATTTATTATTTTATTTATTTTCTATTGCAATTTTAACAAATTAAATACAAGTTTATTAGAATAAATAATTTATTTTGATCTTTGTAAATATAATTTATCTTTTATAATTTTATTTATTTCTTGACAATTTAATGATATGTTTTTGATAGAAAAAAGTTAAGAAGTAAAAAAAATAATTAATAATATATGAAAGATCAATTTTACAAATAATCATATTTGCTTCACTAAATATAAATACATTATTTTGTTTTACTTTCTTTATTAATCTATAAAGGTAATTTAAAATATAATAAGTAAGTTTATAAAAAAGAACATTTTTGAGTTAAAAAATTTGAACAATATAATTAATTCTATAAAAAAATATATTTTTAGTATTTGATTTAAATTTTTATTTTTTTATAAAAATTATTATTAAAAATTCCAAAATTATGTTAAAAAATATTTTTAAAATTTAAGATTAGTTGGTTTTTAGATGCTTAATAAGTAATATAAATTAAATAATATCTTTTTAGTTTGAATGCAGCACTTTATTCTTTCAAGGTAAAAAATTAAAGAAAATTTAAATAATTAAATAGAAACAAAAATAAAATGCAAAAAAATAACAGAACTTAATTTGATATATCATTTCAATAATTTTTCATATTTGAACCATTTCAACTTTTGCCATATCATCATTTGCTTTATTAAGGTCAGATATTTGAATATCTTTGGTATTAAAAGTACCATGGTAGACTAAAGAAGGGAACAATTTCTCAAATAAGCCACAAAGAATATTAACTATATATTTTTCATATAATATGTTAATAATCATATTCACTATTATTAATCCTCCAAAAATGTATCTCCAATAATAGGGCATTTTACTCATAGGATTACCATCATTATCGTAAGCTATTGCAGAAATTTAAAAGAACTCAGTAAAGTTCATTTCTTATGAAAACAGAGCATAAATAGAAAGAGTTATGATAGCAAATAAGAAAAAGGTAAAGTAGAAATTAGTATAAAAAGGCTTTTTGTATTATGATCCAACTGAAAAGGCTATCACTGAACAGATATATTGGAAATTAGATACCCAAAATAGAACTGCATTATCAAAAGAGTTGGATAATAACACAGAAGGATCAGATTAACTTTTTATGTTAATATCAATGGGTGAAATATACCAGTCTTCAGGAGTTATAATGGATATTGAGATAATAAGGAATATGAATTATATTATACCCAAACCTATCACTGAAAATATATTTTGGTAAGAAAATAGACGGTGAGAAGGTGTCTTAACAGTGAGTTTTTCAGCTGAATCAGTTAAACCTATCAAAAATGCTAATGGTATAATGATGAAGAGATCCCAATAAAGGAATTGATAATCACCAGGAACAGCACCTCTTTAATAAAGGATAGCAGTTGTGCATGTCTAAATAATACTGTACACAGACATAAACTTGAAGCATTAAAATGAAGTTGCCAAACAGCATCTTCCTTCACGTAAGATGTATTCTATAATACTTATATTTTGAATCTTGCTTGTAAAGGAAGCTGCTATAGAAGCTTCAGCTTCTCCCAATGAAATACCCATATCAGCATCTTTTAAAGCCTAGCAGTCATTTGCACCATCTCCACACATACCTATGAAAGAGTAGCCTTAAGAAAGATTCTAATATTACTAGAGGTTTCTGATCAAGCTTTGTTTTTAGTCTGGTTTCATACGAGCATAAACTTTTGTTTGAGAAAGTAGTAAAGCAAATAGCTATTTGTTTTATTCCTTGATATTATTTAGAAATGTGCCAAAGAAAGCTCCTGTCATAACAAGTTAGGGTTTTTAAGAAACCATATTCTCTAAAATTTTCTCGACTGGAGTAGATACACCATCTAAAGAGCTGCTTGTCTGGCCGTTTTCTGTAATTACATCAAGCACACCTATTTTTTGTGTTTAATCAAGAATATCGCATTATTTAGCTACACTTAAGGAAGTTAAGGGATTGTCACCTGTTACCATATGAATTTAGACTTTCTTTTCAAGGAGTAATTTAATGTGAGGAATAGTCTCAGGTTTAAGCTTGTTCTCAAAAACGAGGAACCCTGTAAAAATTAATGAATGTTCATAAAATAATCTTTCCTTTGCACAATCTATCTCAGAGTCTTGAATAGGCTTATAGCTTAAAGCAATAACACGATAACCTTCTTAAGTGTATTTCTAAAGTTAGGAATCAAAGGACTAAGGAATTGTATGAGGGAGACAAATTGTTTTAACTTTTTCTGGAGAACCTTTTGTGACTATGTATGTTTGATTTTCATACGATATCAAAGAAGACATTCTTTCGACTTCAGACTCAAACTAGAATCTTTTTAACACAGAAATAACTTCTTTAGTTTCTTAATTTTAACTAAATGATCTTAAGCTAATTTCAGAAATTACTTTATTTCCATTGATTTGTTTTTAAGCATGATTATCCTCTTCAATTAAATCTGCTCCTGAATTCTCAAACATTTCAACATCGAGAGGATCTCCAGCATTCTTACCCTTATAAAGCATCAAACTATGACAAGATGACATAATCATTCTTTAATTTTTGCTAAGTTGCTATGGAATAACTTGCTCTTCAAATTTGTTTTATCCTTACTCATTTAAGAATGTAGAGACAAACTTGTAAGAAAGCTTTTCTTCTGTTAACGTTCCTGTTTTATCAAAGCATATTGTTCTTACTATACCACAAATGTTTATTTTTTCAGGATTTATACAGTAAACTTGTCTTTTACGAAGTCTTTTTAGAGAGAATGAAATACCAAATGACAAACAAGTAGGAAGTGCAGGAGGAACACTAATAGTAACTAAATCGAAGCATCTAATAACTACATCTTTAGTTTCCATTAATCCTAAATCGATTTTGTCAATAAAAGTTTTAAGTGCTACAAAGAATGAAATCAAAGCAACAAACCCAAGAATTAGCAAAAATTTACCAGAATCGTTTTTGAAAGAAATCTAAGAATGTGACTTAGGATACATAATAGAACGAATCAAGTTACCTTTTAATGTCTCAAAGCCTATACGAATAACTATGCATTCTAAATTATTTGTTACTTATTGAATTGTACTTCCACAATAAATCACATTTTGCTTATTTTCGTTAAATTCTTCATCATTATTGCTCAAAGAAGTCTTAACTATGGGTATACTTTCACCAGTAAGCATAGCTTCATTAACAACAGCGCTTCCTTTCACAACAACTAAGTCACAAGGAGCTATTTCTCCTTCACGAAGAATAACTTTGTCGCCAAAGCATAGTTCTTAAGAATCCATAACCTACTTATTACCATTTCTGAAAATACATGATGAACTTCTAAAATAGCTAAATTCTCTTAATCTAGAGAAATTAAGTCTTTCTTCATAGATTTTCAGCATTACACTAATAGTTGAAGTACCTATAATAATGTAAGCATAAATACGATATCCTTCAAACAACCACAAGATAGTACTGCCTACTTAAAATAAGTAGAAAGGAGAAAATAATTCTTCAAATGTTAGCTAAATTACTCCTTTATCGGGAATATCAGTATTGTTTCTACCATTTTTTTCTCTAGTTTACTGTATTTGCTCAGGTGTTAAGCCTTCTTTAAATAAAGAAATGATTTCCTTATTCTTATAGTCAAAAGGAGAATCACAGTAAGGAATAAATTCTCCATTGACATATTAATATTTGTTAAAACGATAATCGAAAGCTTTAACTAAAATTAATTCAGATGAATTTGAGTTATTATTTTCAATATCTTATTAACCATTCAATTTACTATTGCTATTCATTTTTCCATTCACCTTTACTTAAAAGAGCTTCAAGATTTGGATGTCTCCATCAGGTCCATATACTACAACTCTATCGGCATGCTCTATCGTCGTAATAGTGAAGAAGCACTTAAATCGCCACTCTTTTATCCACCAAAACAAGAGGAAGAGTATACCTGCAGAGAAGAGGTATGAGGTAAACTCTAAAATGACTTGCAAAATAGTCTGTTTAACAGTAAATACTCTTGAAATGACACATTCCTCCTAAACTTTTTTAAAGAGTTAAATCTTTTAGGAACTATCATATTTTTTCTTGAATCCAAGATCATCTTATGTGTTTTGCTAAGCGATATCATCTTTTTTGTTCATAGGTTTTTTTCAAACCAACAGAATTCTACTATTAAGATTTTAAGAGATTAAGTTGTTTTCCTTTTTTTTAATTTTTCTTTTTCTTTTTAAAAAGTTTTGATTATAATTTTGAGAAAAATACTAGTAAAAGTTGTATTTAATTCCACAATAAATTACATGAGTAAGATATGTCTGATGGTTATTATTGAGGTATTTCAATCTATTTCTATTATTAAACTCAACTATTAGTAATAAGGTGAACTAAAATGTTTGATATATATTTTTATATAAAAATCGATCATAATATTTAAGCTAGTATTTAAAATTATAAATAGAAGATATAAATTTAAGAGATAAAAATAGATGACTCTCATATATATTTTAAAATTTGGTTTGATTTCCAGTTTGCTTTTAAATATCACATTTTTTGTTTCTTCGTTTATTAATATTAACTCCTTATATAAACTCTAATGACATCAGATTACGTATTCTAAAAGCTCTGATACTTTTTTAACAAGTAATCAAACAAGAGAGTTTGAGGTTTTAGTGAAAAAAGAAAATTAAATTGAAAGATATTAAGTCATTATTTGCAAATGAATAATATGCTAAAACATACTAAAAACGTGCAACTTTCACGATAGAAAAAAAATTTAATTGAAAATTTTTATAAATTTTACCACACACTTGATCAAATAAATTCGAAGTAAAAATCCACATGATTTTATTTTCATTAAGTTGTTTTATTTTTTAAATAGGCTAAGCAAAAATATTTACTTTTAATTTCACCTGTTGTTTAATTTTTATTAATGTAAGTTGTTTAAATTACAAAATTAGATTTTTTTAGGGATATAAAGGAATTAATATATCTAAAAACATGCTAGTTTTTCTCATATAAAAGAATAATATTTACAACGAATGTATAATATGATCTAATTATTTTGCAAGTATAACCACACAATCAAGAAAATTAAAAATCCAAATATTTTAATATTAATAGTTCTACAGCTTAGTATTAAAATGAAAATGGCTTAATTGACATAGAATTTGAATATAATATAGCTTACTACACAGTTTTAGAATTTAGATTTTCTGTAGGTTAATTACAATTTACTTGGATACTTGGCTTATCTAATTATGCGTGAAAAAAAGATTCTTAAAATGAGTTTACTTGAATTTTAAAATATTACTCCAAGACATACGCATTATAATTAATTTGTAATTTAGTAACAACTTAATTCTTTTATTAATACTGATTGCGATAGGATAGGAATGATTTTCAAATTTAATTAATCTTCTTAAGTTACAATTAATAGTATGATTTACTATTTTTAACCTTACTCATTTTAACTAAATTAAAACAACACATTAAACAGTGGCTAATTTTAAATAATTTAAAAGTATTTAAATTAATATTTTTTTAAACTAAATCTGTTAAATGAATAAAAATACAAATATTTTTTTATTTAAATTTATAGTCTTTCTTCACAGTATTAGATTAAAAATCTAATTAAAGTATATAAAAATTTATCAATTATCTACACTTAGAAACTCTTAAATAATTAATAAATTTATAAATATAATTCAAACTTTTATGTAGTTAATGTCTTTCTAAACAAAAAAGTTTAAGCCCTGATCAGTTTATATAAAAAGAGGGCCATATAATTTTGGAAAATTTATCAAAGTAAGAGGAGGGTATTAATTAATGAAAAATAAATTAATTAATCGTTTTACCTTTATGCTAAAATTTCAAAATAAATACTAAAATATAAATTTGAAAATATAACTTTTATATCGTTACAAATTTAATACTTTGCTGTTTGATAAGAAAAAAAATTATAATTTAATTTTTAAGTTAGAAGTAAGGGTTGAATATTTTTAAGTTGATTAAATATTATTATTAAAGATATTTTTTTAAAAATAATAACTAATATTATAAATTGAATTTTTAAATTATTTTTAGAAAATAAATTGATTAAGTTGTGAAGATTTAATTTATTTTATTTTATGGTTTTATAAAAATAAAGTAATTATAAAAATGTTGCTGTTATTTATTTTTTAATAGTTTATATTTTATGTTTTTTAAATATAAATATTTTGTTAATTTTTATTATATTAAAATTAACTAAAAAACTAATCAGATTTCAATTATCATCTCTTCAATCATCATTTTCTTATTCATCATAAGCCCAAAGACCGATTTTCTTTTCTTTAGCGAAATCTTATTCTTCTTACCAAGCTTGAAGTTCTTCAGGGAGGGCTACTCCTTCATCTAATCTAACCAAACCCTTTTTAAGAAGTTGGAAGTTGATGGTTTAGTTCAAGGGAGTATTAGCTGCATCTTATACAATAACATATTTTACGCCGTTGTCTTCGTATTTGTAAGATAAGTGGATTTTTTTGCCCCAAGCTAACTCTTTGAATGTTTCATCACTTTCTACTGCCAAGGGATGCTTATCGTGTAAACCAACGCAGTAAGCTAATCCGAGCTTGATAGCAAATGGTTGAATAGGAGCCCATTTTTCAGGTAATTTGCACATATCATCAATATGAACACTATCGTAGAAGCCGTAATCAATGAAAAATACTTCGTATTTATTATCATTACGCTTCTTAACTATTTTACCTCTATAATAATTATTGTCTCCACTGAAAAGAGCTACACAAGGTGTACCAGGCTAAACAGGTTATTAAAGTTTAGGATAAGCTTCTAAGTCAAAATCATCGAGTTCCTTTTCCATCTTATCTAAAACAGCAATACGAGAATTTTCTTGGATATAGAATTCATCAGTGTTAATTAATTCGCTTAACTTGGCTTAAATGCTACCTGAAATAGCTTTAACATTTTTTTAATCTACATCAAAATTTTAACCACGTAAACTTTCAATATTTATTTTATTTGAACCGAATAATCCTTTCTTGGCTGCTTATACTTCCTTTTCAATAGCTTCATATTCGGTAGTATGTTTAGCCTTACCAAAAGTAAAGCAAAGTCCTTAAGATAAGAGCTAGCTTGCATAATTTTACTTATTCACTAAAACAGTAGCATGGAACTTACCCTTGTTATCCATACGTTCTAATTGGATTTCAACATCTCTCTAAAGTAGATTATTTTTAGCAAAATCTAATGCTTTGCTTGACCAGGTGGTGTATTCGGGAATATTACTATCAGGAGGTAAGCATCTGACACCGCTTAAAAGAACAAGAATGGAGTATGGTTCTTCATTAACTCTAACTTTATAAATACCACCACTAATGACCAATTCAACAACACCAGTTAATCTAGCTTTTCTAAGTTAAAAAAAAAAATTATTAAGAAAAATAATATTTTATTTTTTCTTTTGTTAAAACAACATAATTTATTTTTAAAAATTTTTAAAAATCTTCTAGATTTTTTAGTTAGTTGAAATAAAAAAGTCTTAAATAAATTTTCACTTATCAGTTAATTTTTAAAAAATTAATTAAAAACGATATCTTGGAATTTTTTTAATTAAATCTATAGTGACACGTTTATAAGAATCTGATATAGTTTGTTAAAATATTTATAAACCTGTTCTAATATATAATTGAAGACTAAAACTTAACTATGCATTATGCTTTTTTTTTTAATTTTTTCTATTGGTAGGTTATTCCATTTTTAATGTTAGAATTAAACGATAATTTAGAGGATTTGTAAAAAAAATTATGTAAATTATTTACGATTTCAATGAGTTGAAGTGCTCAAGAAGTTTAGGCTTATTTTTCAAACGAGAAATATCATTGAATCTGTGGAGAGGGATATTTTTGGTAGAGTGGAGACCCTTCTTTTTCTTAGCAGCTTCTTCAGAAGCAGTCTTCAATTCATCGTGATATTATGATTTTTCTTCTTCTGTTCTGGCGAAATTGAACTCAGCATAACCTTCTTGGATTAATTAGAGCTAAAATTTTTAAAAAAATGATATTAAAACAAGTAATTAGAAGAGTTTAAATGAATTAGAGTGTTTTTAATAATATATTTGATGTTTTATTAGTTGGAAATATAAAAAAATAATTTTAAAAATCCTACATTAATATTTTAGCCTTAGTAGAACACAGTACAGAAGTTCATTTGTTTTTCAGTAGCTTCACTGTCATCTTCCCAAGATTTGGCGACTTTAACAGTTTTTTCATATTCAAATTTTACTTCTACTTATTGACCTATGAGTTTCTTACGAAGGAATTCTTTAGATTCAAAAGCATAAGGTTTATCTTGTGTATCATTGGTTCCAACCTTAGGAGCTCTGACGTGAGTCAAGAAAAATCTGGCGATGTTATTAGTTTTAGTTGATTAGATTGTGAGAGAATCACCAGAGTGAACTTCTCTAACTATACCAACAAATTCGATATTTTGAAGCTTAATGTCTTTTTTATCCTTCTTTAAATCCTTTTGGGCAGCCATTTATTTTAATGTTATTTCTTGCTTATCTTCTTTTTTTTGAAGTGCTTTTTTATCAATAATTTTCAAATTTTTTATATTTTTCTTTGAAATTAAGTTTTGATAAGATTGAGTTGTTGCTATTTAATAGCACTATTGTCTTATATACTTTATTTAAAATTCTTCTATCTTTAATAAACGATATCTTTAATATTTGCTTCACACAAATCTTTATTTAGCGTGCAATAAATAAAAACAGTAGATCTTTTGTAATCAGTGTTTTTATTTAATTAAATTGCTTGTTTTATTTAAAAAAATCCATCTAAAAATACACGCGTTGATATATTTTTTTCATTCACTTGTCTACTTTCTATTCTTTTTAAGAAAAGAGACGTAAATCAAATAAAATACTAAATATGCCTCAAATAAAAAACAAATTCTCCTATACCATATTTTTATTAAATTCTATTCTAGAGTTAATTAATAAAGCAACTTAATTTATGCACTTAAATATTTTATAATATGATTTATATAATTTAATTCATATTTTTAATTTTTTTAAGTAAATTATTAAAACTAATTGGACATACAAAATGAATGCTAATCTATCAATCTAAGATTACAGAATTTTATTCAAATGTTACATTTAATAAGATGAATAAATTTACTCAAATTGATAATCAAATTGTTTTATTTTATTTTTATCAATTTTCTTATTTTACAAATAAATTGAAAATTATTTAATTAAAATTTGTTGTAAATCAAAACCTAAAAATGCAATTAATTTATTTAAAAAATTATTTATAATTAAATAATTAGTAACACTTTTATTTTAACTATCTCTAAATTTTAAAAATGGCTCTTAAATTCAAGCTTTATTAGAAATTTTTTTTTGTAAGCTCTAAAAGTTTAGTAATAAAATAATATTTATAAAAGCTAATTATTTTTATTTAAAATGCGAAGAATAAGCATATCATAGAATTACTGACTATTAAAATCTTATTTTTAAAATTTATAATCCTTTTTAAATAATAATTTTTCACTCTATTTTTTCTCCATCTCTTAAAGTAATAACTTCATGACCCTATTCTGTGATTAAAATAGTGTGTTCCCATTAAGCAGATGGATTATAAGGAGAAACAACTGTCATCTAATCAGACCACATTTGATAACGTCCTCTTCTCATAGTAAATATAGGTTCGATTGTGAAGACCATACCAGGTTGCATAACATAAGGATTTTCAGATCTTGTTTTCTTTTCGTGGAAAACAGCTGGAGCCATGTGCAATAATTCTCCTACACCATGTCCAGTGAATAACTCGCAAACTGAGAAACCATTTTCATGAGCAATAGATCTTTTTATTAATAGTAATTAATTTTTAAATATTTTTTATAATAAATATTAAACTCAATTAAGTAGTTTTATGTAATTTATTTACTCACAAACTTCTCCAATTTTTCTAAATGGAGTACCAGGTTTACAAACTTTAATACTTTCATATAAAGCTTTCTATGTAGTTTAAATTAATTTCATAATTTCTGGATGAACATCTCCAACAGGTACCATTAATGAATTATCTCCATGAACACCCTCAATATAAAGAGTAACATCTAAATTAATATAATCACCATTCTTCAAAGGTCTAGTATTAGGAATACCATGGCATACGACTTCATTAACACTAGTACATACACTCTTAGGAAAATGCATAAAACCTAATGCTGTTGGATAAGCATTATTGTCAATAATAAATTTGTGGCAAATCTTATCTAATTCATCAGTTGTGATTCCTTCCTTGACATGACTTGCAAGATGAGCGAGAGTTCTAGCAGCTAAATTTCCTGCTATCTTCAAACCTTTATTAAAAATTTTGAATGAAACATGAAAATTAATTAATAATCTGAAATATTTTATCAAATTATTTGATTTTAATATATAAATTGCAGTCTATTTTACAAATATATTGCTCAAAAAAGCTTTTGATTAGGATAAAATATGAAAATTTATTAGAGTAACAGAAAGAATTTATAAATAATTTATCTTAAAAATTATAAAATTTCTGAAAAATTACGCCTGATAATATCTTGATTGTGCACAACTGGGTTTCCATGATAGATACCAAATATAGGGTTAGGGTTATCTTTTAATAAAATTAAGAAATTAGCAACCTAATTGATTGATGACAAATAACTCTATTTATTTGAATAATAATTATTCTACCTACATAATCAGGACGTTTGATATTTTATGGAACACTGAGTGTAGGAGTAACTTGATACTAACCCTAATAATTAGAAATAATAAATTTTTGGATATGCAAAACGATTAGTAGGTTTATCTATAAATCTAAAAAAAACTACTTCAATAATGGGTTCTGTTTTAAAATAATCAGGGATAATAGTTTTAGAAAATTTGCTAAAGTTAGCTTGTGTTCTAGCGAAGCAGAATCTAATAGTTTTTGAAAGCATTTATGAATTTATTATTTATTTATTTATAAAATGATATACTATTATTTCTTACAAGATAAAAATATTTATAATTAATTTTTGGTTAAAATTTGTTTGTTTTTAACTCTTCCATTCTAAAAAAAAGAAAAATCTTGATTAATTAATTAAGAAATCTAAGAGCTAATAATACATAAATTATGTGGCTTTGTATTAATCATATGATGGTGTTTCAAAATACCTTCTTATTAGCCAAATAATTAGAACAAAAACTTCTACTCATAATATAGTAATTTTGGTGATGTAAATAAATGATAGAAATCAATTTTATTTATTTATATTTTCTTCTTACACAACAAAAACACTAATTAAAAACTCTATCATTAAATATTATTTTATTTAAAAAAAATATTTTAATTTTCTCTAATTAATTTTTTAATTTCAAAAGTTTAAATTAAATAATTTTTTATTATATGTTTAATTCAAATAAAATAAATTACATTATGTTTAAATAAATAAAATATAATAACTCAAAAAATAATTTTTTAACAAATAATTTACTTATTAAAACTTCTATCAAATATTTATTTTTTATAACAATAATTAATTGCAAATGTTGTAAATTTTCATTTTAATTAAGAAAAAATAAAATTTTTTTTCTTTTAATTAATTTAAAAATATTGAAAATTAAATAAAATAATTTAGATAACTTTTTGAAATATTTAATTCAAACAGAAATATTGATGTTGTATTTTTTAATTTGAAAATTAATAGTTGAATTTAATAATTTATTCATATATCTTTTTTCTTAATTTTTAATTGATAGGCAGGTAGGTTGGTAGATAGGTTTTTTGTTTGTTTTTTTCATAAAATGAAAATAAAAGATAATAAATTTCAAATAAAAAAATAAAATTTAGAGAATCGTCTTATGTAAAACGATAGAGATTGATTGCTTGTTTGTTTGCTTGTTTTTTTTTTACTTAATGAAATAAATAAATAGCTGGATTTTATATTATAAATAAATGTTAGAAAGGGAAACAGAAAAAATTTATAAATATATTAAATAAGAAATTTTAATTGCAAGATACACAACAGAAGCAATAAATAATAAATAATTTATAAAAAGGTATAGCAAATATGATTGAAATAGAAGCCAAAACTAAGCTAAAGTCTTCAGAAGGAGCCCATTTCTTCTTTACTTTGATTTTCTTGACTGCAAGCGGACTCATTGAAAGATAATATTCAGAAGAAACATGCGGATACTAATACTCTTTACTCGTTGATCTAGTATTCTACAGTTAGATCATTAAGGGAACATATCAATTAATAACAATGGTCCCAAAATATAAAAATCACGATATTATTTTGTTCTTTGAATTCCTTGACATAGCTTACTACCTTTTCCTTTTTGGATTATTTGTTTATGCTAACGTTCTCTATTTTTAAGCTGGTTTTGAAACTTGTTTAACTGATGCTCCTATTATTGCATACTTCATTCAACTATTCTTGGTTGTTACTTATTTCATATTCATAGTCTTAGTTCTTTCAATGATCACTTATCTCTTCAGATTAGCTTCTAAATCTAACGTCAGCGAGCACGACCAATTAGAAGACAATTGATTTTAACATGATACTTTACTAGTTTACAGCATACAAATTTATATGTTTTAGTTATATTTGCTAATCAAATATAAATAAATAAATACTCTTGACTGTTATTTGCTTATATGTCGTCTTTGTTCTTTATTCCATAAAATATTCAAGATAAAATTTAAATACATTTTTTGAAATTTCTTATTAAAAATAAAAAACAACAACAATTAGAAGAAAATTAATTTTTTTATAAAACATTTTTAGATTTTAGCATACAAAAATAAATAAAAATTCAACTAAAGTTATTTAGAGGTAGAGACACAAATCCAAAATATACTATGAAAAAAAAAAGTATTGAGTTTTTGAGAACCTATGAATACAAAAGATCGACTAATTAAATCTGGCTATCATCGCAATTTGATGGACATGTGTAATGACCAATATCTTAATTGTTGCATTTTATACAGTAACCAGCTTAGGCTACATACCCAAAGGCACATTATATACAAAATCCGTTTTCCTAGAGAATACAATTATCAGGCTATTTTTTGCAAACAAAATTTTATATATAAAATCCGTCTGAGCATTTAGTACATTTTCTAAAATCTACATCACAGACTAAGCAATTACTCTAGCATTACAGGCACTGGTCTGTATCATCTTTAGATTAAGTATTTAACCCATATCCTGGCTTGCATTTAGTACAAACATTTTCTACCTAATCACATTAAGAACAGTAGGGATTAGTACAACTACTACAACTACCATTCTTTAATTTGTATCCTGAACTACATTACAAGCATTAAGTAGCAGTTTAACACTTAGAACAAATCTTACAATCACTAGTTGTACAACCCTAATTGCATGATTAGCAAACATTATCTTACAAATAATATCCATCAACACATTTGTTACACTGTGTTCCTTTGCTAATTGGCGTTAAGCATGTATTCTTATCATATTCATAACATTTAATTTTGAAATTGTCATCAGGATCTTATTCAGGGTATCTACCATCATAACAATCAGAACAATCTCCATCAAATAATCTTCTGCAATTACTATTACTATTATCAACACATACCTATGAGGATAAGTCCAAGATATAACCATCTTTGCACTATACTATTGTAATGCCATTAAGATCATTAACCTAATTAATATGAGAAAATAAAGAATAAATGAAATTTTAATTTTATTTATTTTACATTTAATAAACATCTGTGGCTATTTTGATCTTTATCGCTACAAGGACTACAAGTATATGATAGTTATTAAGTTTCTTGAGTAAAAGAATAATTAAGATAATATTAGTCATTACATTAGCTGCACCTGCATCTCCCTGTTGAAATATCTAAAAAGTAAAATTATGGATTGCAATTTGGTGTTTCATCCGTATTGGAAGGAATACCATACTTACTTTCATCCTATTTTAAGATACAGTCAGGTACTTATATCTTAGGGGGAGTTGGAGTAACATTTCCCACACAAATACCTCCATCAGAAACATTAGAGTAAATATGATTACAAGTAATACAATCATATTTTGTTAAACATGTTTTACAATTTTGATGACATTTCTAACATTAAGAAGATTGATCTAAATAATATCCATCTATACACTATATACATTTGTCACTATTTGGAATTAATTATCTGCAACCTAAAGTTTATATACATACACCTCCAACTAGAGTGTAATCTTCCCTGCATTAAGAACATATATAATCAGTTAGTGATTCTCTTTGGCAGCATATTGCGCATCCTGGAGGGCATTATTGACATACATTATTATTATTTATAAAATAGCCATCCGTGCATGAATCACAAATATTATAATCTTAACAAATACACTAACTATCTTAGCATGGAGAACATTAACTTAAATCCCACAAACAACCTGGAGAATCTTAGCAAGTTGGTAGAGATGGGTCATTATTTAGGCTATAGTCAGGATTATTAACTTTGCACTAGTATTTTCCTTTAACAAATAATGTAACCATCAAAATTAAAAATGCTTAAATAAATAGTTTTTAACAAACCATATTGGTGAACTTTTTGTGAAAATATTAAAAAATAATAATTAAATATTCTTTTCAAATTCTTTTTTCTTTTTGATTGTAATTAGTTTTTCTATAAAAATGAATTAAAATTTACAATTAATTATTTGTTTATTTGTTATTTATTTTTTGAAATGACCAAAACAAAAAAAGTGTTTGTTTGATTTAAAACATAATTCTAAGCTATAAATAAATATACATTAAAAAACGTTTCTACCAATTTAAAAAAAGATATTTTTAAAAATTTAAAATCTTTAATAAAAATAAATTTAAAATAATTTTTAGAGAAGAAAATGAATTCAACTGAAAAACTAAAAATTTATTTTACTTTTTATAAATTCAATTTATTTTTAAGTTTTTTGTTGATTTTATCAATTATTATAGTTGATAAATATTTTTTTAAAATATCACAATATTTTTTTAATGTAATTTTATATAAAACAATTTTTTAATAGGTAAAGAATTCAATAATTTTATTCCAAAATAACCAATATGGTTTCCTTTAGAAAATTGATAATTCAACTTTTATTTAAGCAAATTATTATAAATAATCAGTAACAAATAATGTTATTTTTGCTAGAATAAATTAAGAATTTTCGAATATTCTCTCCCTAATTTATTATTTTGATTACAAAGTTTGTTAACAGGAATATTTTTTAAATTTATTGTTTTTTGTTCTATCTAGTTATTTTGATGAAAATAAATTTGTTGTAGTAAATTTAATAGAGATAATTTTTTCTTGAATATTTTTAATAAAATATTAAATATAAATTTTTTTACATTCTAATATGTTTATTTGCAAAATTATTTTAGAAAAAAGTAGTTTTTATTTACTAATATGATAATTTACAGTTGTGTTCTATTTATAGAATATAATTTTTTTAAAAAAAGCTAAAGTAAGCGATAAAAAATTAGAAGATGTAAACCTATGAATAAATAGATGTAAAAATAAAGAAATTTTCTTTGATTATTCTGTGAATTATAAAAGAAGAACTTAAAGAATCTTTTATTAGTTTAATTAATAAATCTGGTATTACCTATGTAAAACCTGATAAATAAAAAAATAATTCCTGATTAATTACATCATTTAATTAGTAATATCTCAAATTTTTGTAGTAAAAATAGCTGAAAAATAAACAAATTTTAGTTTAATTTATTTTTTTCTTTTTCTTAAATTAATTTTGTCATTCTAAATTACTATTTGTTACTTTAACTTTTAATCGCATTTACATTTACATAATTTTAATAATACTACAAGAACAGTAATGGTTAATAAAAAGAAGATAATCAATCTCATTAATTTATAAACAAATAACTAAATTAAAAATTTATAAATCATACTAATTAGTTTCATATCTTAAAAATGAATAAACAACCTAAATATTTGCCCATAGATATCACATTTAAGGATTTAAAATACACTGTTGCTACTAAAAATGGCGACAAAGTCATCCTTAACAATATTGAAGGAATTTGTAAAAGTGGTGAAATCACAGCCATTTTAGGTATAAAAAAAAATTATTATAATTTGCTTACTATCAAACAAATTTTTAAATTATTAAAGGCTCTTCGGGTGCTGGTAAAACTTCTCTCTTAAATGGTTTGTGTCAGAGATTGCAAGTAGATTAAAATCACAGACTAGAAGGAAGCATCCTTGCAAATCAAAAAAAGTATACAAGTAAATCTTTTCCTAATTTTGCATCATATGTCATGCAAGATGACATCCTTCCTGAAACTCTTACTGTCAGAGAATGCATTTCTTTTGCCGCTGATTTTAAAATCAAAGGCTCAAAAGAAGAAAAAGAAAAAAAAGTTGACGAAGTTATTAAAACTTTAAAATTAGAAAGATGCCAAAATACACTTATTGGTGGTAACTTCATAAAAGGTGTATCTGGAGGAGAAAGAAAGAGAACTTCTATTGGATTCGAATTAGTAAGTAATCCATAAGTTATATTCCTTGATGAACCAACTTCTGGGTTAGATAGGTAAAGATTTTATTCTTTTCTTCAAAATAATTAATTTTCTAACTTTATTTATAAACCAACTAAATTTAATAATTGAAACATTAATAGTTTTACTGCCTACATTCTCATAAACGAATTAAGAGAATATGCTCATAATACTAGAAAGACAGTTATATTCACTATTCACTAACCTTCCACTGATATTTGGTAAATGTTTGATAGAATCATCTTAATGATTCATGGATAGATCATTTACTAAGGACCAGGAAGGGAATAAATTTTGAACTATTTTAGTAAAAATTCATTTGTTTGTCCACACAATTCAAATCCAGGAGGTAATAAAACACATTTTTTTATTTCTTAGCTCTTAAATTAGAAAAATAAATAATTAAATATAAAATTTAGAATTTATCTCATCATTAAATTTAATTTTAAAATAGATTACTTTTTATCAATAATGCACTCCGAAAGTTCTACTAATGTTTAAAATTTCCCTACATATCTTGAAAACTATTAACAGTAGCTTCAAGGTTTAGTTCATTAAGAAATAGAATAATCAAATGTATCAGATCTTGAAAAAAGATAACAAGTTCTTAATATATTCTAGTAAATTCCCCTAATTATTAAGAGATGCTTAAAGATCAATTTCCGTAATCCAATTTTAGTCAAATCTAGAACTATTTAAAGTATAATCATGGCTACATACATTGGACTTATTTGGTTCTAATTACCAGATGGAAAAAATGATCCTACCAATATTGTTGATGTTTAAAATAGAGCAGGATTAATATATTTCCTTTCTGTTTCTGTTTTCATGGAGTCTGTCAATCCTTGTGTTTTAACTTTCCCTGTTGATAAAGCTACTTTTTTAAGAGAAGAAAACGCTAAGTTGTATGGATAATTTGCCTATTTTACTGGAAAATTTTTAGTTGATATTTTAAGTAATTTACCTCTGCCTATTCTTGATACATTAATTGCCTACTTTATGACAGGTCTTAGACTTGAAACTGGAGCTTTCTTCTTTTATCTTATCACAATGATCATAATGAGTATAACTGGTGTTAGTGTTGGATATTTTGTTGGTACTCTTTTCAAAGATGCTAATACATCTATGTCAATGATGCCTATGATTGTTATCCCTTTTATGTTATTCTCAGGTTTTTATAAAAATCGTTCCGATTATGCTAGCTGGATTGGTTGGGTAGAATACCTTTCTCCATTCAAATATGCATTTTAGGCACTTTGTATAAATGAGTTTGAAGTCACTTACTTCATTCCAAATCCTATTAAATCATACAATTTTGAGTTTAGTAAAGGAGAAGCTTTGGGACTTTTAATTGTATATATGATTATTGTCTCAATGATTGCCTTTTTCCTATTATCAATTTTCAAAAAAAAACTATAATGACCAAATAAATTTCTTAATAAAGCTGTTCTATATAATATAAAAAAATAAACCATTATTGCTTACTTAAATAAATTCTATAATGTTTTTCAATTCTAACTCATTCTTTTAATAAATATTAATAAAAACATATTTTTATAAGATTAAAATTAAATTATTTCTATCTGAATTTTATTAATTCATAAATAAGGTTGATTTAAGAAAATTGTATGCGTAAAAAATAGAAGCAGTAAATTAATAATTCAATTTACTTTTCAAAAAATATAATGAATAAATTATTTATTTTAAATAAAATTTTGAAGAAAATAGTATCAGAACAGATTTATGAAAGCAAAATATCTTTATTTCAGTTTTCTAATTACTTTATAATTTAAAATAAAAACAATCTCGAAAATAAAAAGAGCTAAAATTATTAAATATTTTAAACTTTAAACAAAAAATGCATCAAATAACTTTGTAATTTGTATTAATTTTTATTTAAAATTAAATAGTATTTATTTCAAAATTTTGAATAATTTAATTAGTGAGGTTGAATCATATATTGATGTTTGTATTTCAATAAAAACAATTAAATTTTATACTGATTATACTATAAAAATTAAGAATGGATGCTACATTCGGGAATCGAACCCGAGCTTATTGCGTGGGAGGCAATTATCATACCACTAGATTAATGTAGCTATTTAAATATCATAGATTTTTTCTGTATGAGCACTTAATTAAATGAGTAAAAGTTAAATTTATGCCCATAATTATTAATTTATTAAGTTAATAAATGATCAGTTTTTTATTTTAAAATATTTAAATTTAACTGCTTTCAGGTTCCACTCATTTTTTATTAAAATGGATAACAAATAAAACAGTAATTTAATATCAAATAAAAATGCAACGTCCGGGAATCGAACCCGAGTCTATTGCTTGGAAGGCAATTATCTTACCATTAGACCAACGCTGCTTGATAATATTTTTGTTATTCTCTTACAAAAGCTTAAACAAAATTATTAAATTTTTCTTAAGACATATAAGTGTAAAAATATTATAAAAAAGCCAATCAAATAAGTTGAATTTGCATATAATCTTATCATATAACTAAAGTAAAAAATTTTATTATAAATAATTAGAATATTTAATTATATTCTTCAAATGGCAAATTAATAATTCTTATTCTAAAGATTATATAATACCACACATTTATTAATTTTGAAATGTTGATCCTTTATTTAATTGATAATAAAATTGAGATTTATATTTAAAAAATAAATAAAAATTTAAAATGAATGATTATAAAAGTCAACAAACCTAAGAACTGAATAAATATTAAATTGAAATCAAATATTTTTATATCAATTTTTAAAAAATGCTGCGTCCGGGAATCGAACCCGAGCCGATTGCTTGGAAGGCAATAATCCTGCCACTAGACCAACGCAGCTTTTCAATTAAAATTAAATAGCTTAAATCAAATCTTTAATAATGAAACAAAATAAAATTTTAATTACATTTCATTTTCATCTTATTTGTTAAAAAATCTTAAAATAAAAAAAATTATTTAAAATTTTCTCAAAATAGATGTTCCTAAAAAAAATTATAGTTAGCAAACTCTCTTATATTTAATGTATTTATCTCAAAAAATTTTAGATAAGGTATATAAAATTATATTGTTAATTTATAAAAAAAAAATGATTTTGATAAAATTTTTATTTATGTTTATTTTAATTAATTTATAAGTATTTAAAGTAAATAAAAAGTATTTTTTAAAGATTTTTACTTTTACTATAAAATAATATAAGTATTTTTTTAAATAGTAAACTAATATAAAATTCATAATATGTAAAACAAAAAATATAAATATAATTCAATTATACTGTAATAATCAATTTAATTGGTAATTATTTCTATATAAATAATATTCTAAAATTATTTCTAATATAAATTTAATATTATAAAATCAATAATTTTAATTAATGATAATTTAATTTTAAGGTTTTCTATCTTAATTTATTTAATTGAAAATGCTCGATTAAATAATTGATGCTTATACTTAGGTTTAACATTGTTGATGAGGTATTTTACCAACAACATTTGAGCTATTGGTGTATAGTGCTGATAATACTGTAGACTTAATCCCATTATTATTTCCAATATTTGCGTTATTAGTACAAGATGAAACTATTTAAGGAATATATTGAGTGCTATAACCTTAAATTTATATTTTTGAAGAGTCATACTAAGCTAAAAGACTATTAGTTCCAGTATTCTTTTTGTTAATTTGAATAAGTAAATAATTTAAATAAATATAATTAAATCTTACATCAGTCATGTTTGTGTTGATTGTAGAGTTAAATTAAGCGCTCAAAAATGAACCGTTTATGTAAGCTCCTACTTCTACAATACCGAATAAAGCAGAAAAATATCCTTAAACCTACAAGTTTAAATTAGATTAAGTTTAAAATAAAATGTTATTGGCTTAAGTAGTTAGGGTAGTCTAAATACCAGAAGTCCAGTTTACTTAAAGATTTAATTTTAAGTTAAATCCAATAGGACTTGGATAAACATATGTGTAGTTTATACTTTGTAATTTAGATTCATAATTATTAAGTTAAGTTTTACTATTTCCAAAAGTTAGTTAATCTGTAGTAATTAAATTAGATTTTGAGCTTTAGATTTAAGTTAAAGCTAAATTATAATTATGAATCATTTAATTTTATTACTACATCAAATTATTAGTAAAACTACTTTACATATCAGTGCTTATAAATTAGTTCAGCTATTTTATAAATAATTACATTTTAAATCAAAATCTATGTTATATTAATTAATTAATTTATTTACTCTACTATAAAATTGTTGGATATTAGCTATACCAGTTGTATCTAATTTCAAATTATTCAAAGCTCTATCTGCATCAAGAGAAAACCCAGCAACATAATTTGAAATAAGGGTTTTGAATGTAGTTTGAAATGTTGGAGTAAATATTGCTTAGGGGATCTAAGGTAGTTGAATCTTATAGTTTTGCAAGTAAGTTCTCATATCATTGATTAATAATGAAATTTATGGACCATAGTTTGTTAGATTATCAACGACTGTGTGCAATTGAGGAAGTAAATTTGCAAGTTAATTTATTTATTAAGCTAAGTAATCGTTTGTAATTCCAAAAACCGTACTATTAAACTTAGTGTCTTCTTGTGGTGTCTTTATTAATTAATTAATTTAAATTATAAATATATTAATGTTAATTTTTATTTTACTTGATTGCTTAGAGGATCATTATCAGGATAGTTTGTATCACTTAAAAATGCATTCACTGTATTATAGATGCTGCTAATTTGAGATAGAATTTAAGAAGAAGTGCTACCTATAATAGCTGTCTACTAGTCATACTCATTTTATACTATTGGAATAGTTTAATTAAGAGCACCGATTACATTTAAATTTGCTTCTTAGAGTAATTTAGGTAAGCTGAAACTTTTATTATACCCTTATGTCATCCAATCTAATATATAGTTCTAATATTGTGGCTATACAGCAGACTCGTCATCAGTGAAAGTTTTAAGAAGTTAATAAAAATCATTTAAAAAGCTTTAATAAGTACTCCTGAAATCGATAGGAGTATCAAATAGCGCTTACAACTAGGCAACTTGATTATCGAGATCGCTTGCTTGCTCAGATTAACGAATTGTATCTACTAATGCAGAATCGTCTATTCCTCCTTAAGCATATTAATTTGAGCTAGTAGTATAAAATATTGCAAATGGACTACTTTAAAATTAAGCTTGATTTGAGAAAACTGTGACTGGATAAGTTAAATATACACTTGGACCACTTTTAACATACATGCTAGCAAGCACAGCAGCAAAGTTATTATAAAGATTAATTTACAATTTTGTGGAAGTACCATTTGTTACATTAGTTCTTATTTGAGACCATATAGGGGTATAGTTAGCCACTGATTAATTATAGATATCCATATTAGAATTTTATTAAATAAAGTTAGTAACATTCAAAGTCTATTATGCTAAACTGCAGATGTAGCCAGGTTACCAGTATTAAGATTAATTGAAAGCTATACTAAAATAAAGGTATTCATTGTCTGTGATATTTCTTAACGCATTATAAGTGTTTTTTGAAATAGTGAGGTTATTTTAAATGATATTATTGATGAGAGATCTAAGTTTTGCTATGCGAGAGTCAAACTCAATAACTGTATTGTTAAAGGTGATATTGACAAGATTTACATAGGCGGGGTATTAAGACAATAAGCTATCATTATACTTTTTAACGAAAGAAGAAGTTGCATTAATTACACTTACAGAGTACTTTTATTTTATTTAAAAAAAAAATAAATAAAAGTTATGAAATTCTTGATTAAAAAAGTTTAATTACATTATACGTGAAAGCATTAAACTGATTCATAGTATTGTTTAGGATTTAAATATTTTGATTAACTGTATTAGACAAATTTTGAATAATATTATTTTAGAATGCTGAACTTCTGGAGATAAGAGAGTTAATAAGATCAATAGCTGTCTAGACTTGATTTGAGACTTTTTAAGTCACAGTTCCCATCAAATTATAGACATTATTTTTTAAATAGTTGAGTTATTTGACCTTTTTATCAATAGTAACATTTGAATATATTTATGAAAGATTTTGTTATTAAAGCTAATAAATTTGATCTTAGAATTTTGCTTTAAATCCTGAACGGCAATTAATTTTTTGTAAAGTAGAATCATTATCACACTCAGAAAAGAAATTAGATTGCAAATTAATAGAACTAAAGTAATTTTAAAAGATTGGTGAGTCAATAGCCTTGCCAATAATATTTTAATTCAATGACTAACTTTATAGAAGTCGTCCTATATTTAAATTTATTTTAAAGCTTAAATTTAATTGAAAGTATTAAAAATTAATATTATACCTGTATTTGAAGATACATTATTGTTATCATACTACTAGACTTTATTTTGTAAATCATAAGCTTACTACCAAGTTAAATTTAATTTTAGCATTTTTTCTTAATCTTAGATTAGCTGTTATAAAAATTAACTTTCTACCTGATCCTATTAAGACCAAAATTAAATTTGACCTTAAGAATTAATTTCTGCACTTCTAAATACATTTAAATCTTAATTTAAGCTTTAAGAGTTACTAAAAAGCTAAAGTTATGATGAAACGTTTGATTATGAAAGAGCGCCATTTTAAAAAAGGAGATTTTAATTATAATGAGTTTAATAGGTGTTATCGTTAGCATCAGAATTATCATAATTCTTCTTAAGTTTACCATCAAAATCAGATAATACAACTGCATCCAAAACTGTTTGATTATTTTAAGCATTCATAAATCTATTAGAAGTATTTTTTACAGGACCCTTTAGCATTCTCTTATTTCCTTCTTTAAAATATGAAGTGGTATTATAAAAGCTCTTCTAAACATTAGGTGAAATTTATTCTAAAACATTTAATAATATTTACTATAAATCATATCTCATATTTAGAGGTTTTTGTATTGAACCTACTTAGCCATTCTAAAATTTATTATAAAAAAAAATTTTGCTGTAAATTTTATGAAAAAGATTAAATTTTTTTACCTTTAATATTTAAAATCTAACAATTGGTAAATTACTGTTTAAAAAATCCTAAGAGTCAATATTTAAAGACTTTAGTATTTAAATTTCTTAGGAGTTTAAATTTTGTAATTAATTAAAATTTGTTGGATCAAATAATAAACCACTATAATCAGCATTTTAGACTGTGGTTTTTTATTAATTGCTTCCTTGGTTTATAGGGTAATCTTAGAAAATCTGAGAGATATTATTAAGCGCAGTTATTTTTGATTGGGTAAAATAGAGAATCATATCAAATTCTATTTTATAAATAGAAGTTAATTATTTCTTAAGAAAATTTATTTAATACCTGATTGATTAACACTCACACAAACCACACTGAATGAATAGACTGATGGTAAACTTACTATTGAAGTTGTACCATCTGAGTTAATAATTGTTTTATTATTAATTATAGTATAATTGTATTGTCTTTAAGCATTTGGTACATTAATAATTTATATTAAATTATCTTGTTACCCAGCCTTATTTGTTGGATAAAAATAAAATTAATAAAAAGTGGAAAAATATTTCTTAATTTTACCATAATATCTTATTAATAAGTAGCATAAGTAATAGGAATACGAGGAATGTTATTAGCTTTAACATTATCTTCTGTTGATGATGATTTAGGAATCAAAAAAGCTAATAGAAAAGATATTGTGATCACTAAAGCTATACCACCTAATATGATTTAATTTCTTGTGAGACATTTAGTTTTCACTTTGACTTCGTTTTCTAAATTATTAAAATAAATTTTTAATATATATTTTTTTTTAAAGCAATCATTACATTATTAATTGTTAGAAGGCTCGTCACATTAAATAGCATTTATTTCAGTCTAGGATTAACGAGGGATTTCATATTAGGTAGTCATATATTATTACTCAGTGATTGTTGGTATTTTATCAAAAGAAGTGCTTAGAGTCTCCTTTTTTATTGAGCAATTATCTTACAGCATTCTAAAGTTTCAAGGAAAAGATACTAAAGTAATTTGATTTTTTTTATGATTAGAGATAATGTTTATTTTATTTATTTATTTATAAATTATTCTTTGATTGAAAATTTGCTACATCATATAAACTGAATCAGCTAAATATGAGCAGTTTCTATGGTATTTATTTTAAGATCTTTTCATAAATCACTGGCTGAAGTATTCAAAGAATATTCAAATAAAGGCCACAAAATTTAATTAATTTAGAAAATTTGACTTTATAAATAACTCTTGCGTTAGAAAAATTTACTTGATTAATTTTTGAAAAATTAAATTAAAACTAAGAAAATGATTAATAATAAACTATCTACAAAATATTTCTATCTATCTATCTATCTATCTAACTATCTATCTATTTTTAAACAAAAGTATCAAAAAAATTGATAACTACATACATATTTTTATTTCAATTAATTTGATTAGTTGATTTTAAGATGAATTTTTAACATCTTAGTAACTTCAAATTTAATTAATAGAAAAATTCTTAAAATACTTTACAATATTTAATTTATAAAAATCTTTCTTAAATGACAAACATAAAAATAAAGTAAATAACTAATAAATTAAATTTTCTTTTACCATTTAACTTTTTTTCTTTTGTTGATTGCTTTTTATCTAATTTTCCCAAAAAAATGTTTTTTATAATATAAAAAGTTTCTAAATGACCTAATTATAAATAAATTTATGGATTTTTGTGAAAGTGGCCTTATTATATTAATTTAATATCAAGTAATAAGAAATTATAAACTTCCTTTGAAATTTTATGTAATCATTTGATGAAATTCATAACCTGATAATCTGTGAATATAGTTTTGACTGACTGTAAAAAAAATTATATGAATTTGTTTTAATTAGTAAATATACTGAGAAAAAGGTCAGTAAATGATATTATTATATTTTTACTGATCTCATTAATGAAGATTAAAGATTTTTATATATTTTATAATTATTTAATGATGTATATATGTGTATTTATTGGCTAGAAAATATTATTTTATTGTAAGAATACATACATTTTTTAGTAATAAAATATCTACTGGATATGCTTGAATCAATTTATGTTTTGATTATTAACTTTGGATTTTTATTTATGATATTTAATTGATTATTAGGTAATTGATTATCATACATTAATAAATACTAATAATCACAAAATCTTCATTTTTCTTAACTTTAAAAAAGGTTATAAAAATCTCTTTATAATTAATTTTTTTCAAAAATAGGAATTAATCTATTTATCATAAAAAATACAAAATGTTAAAAAATAAAAATTTATATACAATTTTAAAATAAATTTACTTAAAATATTATATCAAAATTTGATAACTTAATTATCTTTATAATCATAATCATAAAATTAATAACATATAATTAATTAGTTAACAAATCTAAATTATATTTTTAATTGATATTCTTTTATTATATTAAACTATTTCGTAATATCTGATCTTTAGAAATTTGTTTAAAAACTTCTTAAAATTAGTAAATAATATTAATTTATTCTTCTTTTGATTTATGTTTTCTTTTTTTACAATAGCAGTAATAATCCTCCTTTTTAAATCATTAATTCATAGTTTTTTGAATTAAATAAAACATCTTTACTTTTCCATTCAGGTTTAAATTAGTTAAATATTTTTCTTTCATTTATGTATGATGAAATTCTAAAAATTGAAAAATAATTACCACAATTCCCTATTCCTATAAAATTATATACAGTACTGTCCCATGAACAGAATTTTTTGTATATTTCTCACTCAAGAAATAATTATTCGAGAGAAATAGAATCATAATAAAATAATTATTACATTAAATTTTATTTTTAAAATTTTTTATAAAAAATTATTAATTAATTTTAGACTTTTGAAAATAAATTTAAACTAATTCATAAATAGTTAACAAAATATTTAAAGACTTCAACTAATCAACATATAACTTTAAAGATAAATTTAAAATTATTAAGTTTATCTGACTTAATAATTTTTTAAAAGTTTTAAAATTATTAATAAATTTTGCTATTAAATTATTAGCGAAGGATCATGTAAAAAAGTGGTTTATTTTAAGTAAAATTTATTTAACAAACAAAATATGTTTTAATAGTATGTAATATAACAGAATATTATAGCTTTTTTAGTTTCAATAACTTTGGTTAATTAAAGTCTTATTATAAGCCTTACCATAAAAATTGATAGGGTCTAATAAGTCTATTTGTACTGCTACTGTCTGTACAGTTGTTTTGCATTTTTGCTTTGATACTTTTCCACAAAAGTAATTAGCATCAGAAAATAGAGTAGAGGCAACAGATGATTTGTATGAAGAGTTATTATAATAGTCATCATCGTCATCATCATAATATTTAGAGCTCTTTTGGCAGATTGTAATATATTTTTGAATGTAAATAGTAATGTATTATTCAATCTGAATATTAGTGGCTCCATATTATGCAGTTAAATTATTTTAACCAGAATTCTATTTATTAAAATAAATAATCGATTAGTTAAATTGTTATTTTCAAAATAAATAAATATCTTTACATTAGTGACATTAGCATTTATACTAGAGTTAAGTGTTGCATTAAGGAAATTACCTTGAGCATAACCTCCAATTTCTACAATAGCAAATAAAGCTGAGAAAGTTCCCATAGTTTATATATTAATATTGGATTATGTTTTAAAGGAGAGAATATCATCTTAAGTTGTTAAAAATGTTTATATGCCTGTTGTCCAATTGACTTAAAGACTTAATTTTATGCTATAACCTAAGGGACAAGGATAGACATAAGTATAATTTTAGCTTATTAAATTTTTTTAATAAGGATTGTTAATAGTTTAAAGATTTCCAAAACTAGTTTTGTTTGTAGAAACTGGTTTCTAATTTTGTATATTTGCTATTGTTGTAAAATATAGTTAAGACATGCTAGACTACTACTAAAGTATAGATTAGGCAAAGGTACTCTGCATATCAGTACTTACAAAAGAATTAAGCTAGTTTATTAGAAATTAATATTTTAGAATTAAGTAAAAGCTATGTTTAAAAATTTAAATTACTCTGCTATAGAATTGTTGTATATTAGCTATATTTGATGTATTTAAGTTCAAGTTATTCAAAGCTCTATTTGCGTCAATTGAAAACCCACTAACATAATTTGAAATAAGGGTTTTGAAAACAGTTTAAAATGTTGGAGTAAATATAGCTTAGGGGATCTAAGGTAGTTGAATCTTATAGCCTTACAAGAAAGATGTCATATTGTTAACTATTGACTAAATTTGTGGGCCATAATTTGTAAGGTTATCAACAACTGTATGTAATTGAGGTAATAAATTTGATAGTTGATTAAGTTATTAAGCCAAGTAATCATTTGTTATTCCGAAAACTGTATTGTTGAATTGAGTGTCATTTGGTGGAGTCTTTTTTTAATAAATAAACAATTATAAAAATATTAATATTATTATTCATATTTACTTGATTGTTAAGAGGATCATTATCAGGATAAGTAGTATTACTTAAAAATGCAGTTACTGTATTATAGATGCTACCAATTTATGATAGTATTTAAGAAGAAGTATTATTTAGAATTGCAGTTTACTAGTCATATTCATTTTAAACTATTGGAATAGTTTAATTAAGAGAGCTAATTACATTCAAATTAGCTTCTTAGAGTAATTTAGGTAAGCTGAAACTATAATTATAGCCTTATGTCATCCAATCTAATATATAGTTCTAATATTGTGGCTATGCAGCAGACTCATCATTAGTGAAATTTTTAAGAAGTTAGTAAAAGTCATTTAAAAAGCTTTAATAAGTACTCCTGAAATCGATAGGAGTATCAAATAGCTATTACAACTAGGCGACTTGATTATCGAGATCACTTGCTTGCTCAGATTAATGAATTGTATCTACTAATGCAGAATCGTCTATTCCTCCTTAAGCATATTAATTTGAGCTAGTAGTATAAAATATTGCAAATGGACTACTTTAAAATTAAGCTTGATTTGAGAAAACTGTGACTGGATAAGTTAAATATACACTTGGACCGCTTTTAACGTATGCGCTAGCAAGCACAGCAGCAAAGTTATTATAAAGATTAATTTACAATTTTGTGGAAGTACCATTTGTTACATTAGTTCTTATTTGAGACCATATAGGGGTATAGTTAGCCACTGATTAATTGTAGATATCCATATTAGAATTTTATTAAATAAAGTTAGTAACATTCAAAGTCTATTATGCTAAACTGCAGATGTAGCCAGGTTACCAGTATTAAGATTAATTGAAAGCTATACTAAAATAAAGGTATTCATTGTCTGTGATATTTTTTAACGCATTATAAGTGTTTTTTGAAATAGTGAGGTTATTTTAAATGATATTATTGATGAGAGATCTAAGTTTTGCTATGCGAGAGTCAAACTCAATAACTGTATTGTTAAAGGTGATATTGACAAGATTTACATAGGCGGGATATTAAGACAATAAGCTATCATTATACTTTTTAACGAAAGAAGAAGTTGCATTAATTACACTAACAGAGTACTATAATTTTATTTAAAAAAATAAATATTTAAATTTAGTTATGAAAAAGGCTTAATTACATTGTAAGTGAATGCGTTAAATCCATTCATAGTATTGTTTAAGATTTAAATGTTTTAATTTGTTATATTAGACAAATTCTGGATGACATTATTTTAGAAAGATGAACTTCTGGAGATTAGAGAATTGATGAGATCAATAGCAGCCTAGACTTGATTTGAGACTTGCTGAGTTACATTTCCCATCAAATTGTAGACATTGTTTTTGACGTAGTTGAGTTATTAAACTCTTTTATCAATACTTCCATTTGAATAGGTTTAAGATATGTTTTATTGTTAAAGTTATTAAGATTTTCCTTAGAATTTTCCAATGAATCCAGAATAACAATTGATTTATTGTACAGTAGAATTCTAATCGCATTCAGAATAATAATCAGATTACAAATCGATTGATGCAAATTAATTTTTAAAAATATTAGATTAAATAGCCTTGCCAACAACTTTTTAGTTTGAAGGCTATGATTATAGTAATCTCCCTATTGTGAAAAATTTGTAAATAAATAAGATTTGAATTCAAAAGGATTAAAATTAATAATTTTACCTGCATTAGAAGTTATGTCATTTTAGTTTTCAAATTTCTATACTTTATTTTACAATTCTTGAGCCTGTTCCCAAGATAAATTGTATTTGAGCATATCTTCAAAATCTTGTTCAAGCTATTATAAAAATTAAGGATCTACCTCGTCTTATTGAGATACAAAGGAAATTTAACCTTAAGATTAGACTTACATACCTTAGAAGATTTGTTAGCTTTAATCAGAATCATCCTTGCTAGGTGAAAGTTTAACAGTCGACTTAACATCTGAGGATTCAAGAGCACCATTTTAGAAACTATTAACTTAATTATAAGAAGTCTAATGTTGAGTATCTTAATCATTTTAAAGATCACTGTAGGATTTGCTAAACTAACCAGCTAAATTAGAAGTGACAGATGCTTCCAAATTTACAGGTACATTTTCGTTATTCAAAACTCTTTTAATGAATTTTTAAGTTCTTGCCTTAAGCATTCTTTTATTACCATCATTAGTAGATTAATAAAGATTGTAGTAGTCTTTAAGCACAATAGGTGAAATCTATTCTAAGAGATTCAAAATGATTTATTGTAAATCATATCTCATATTAAGAGGTTTTTAAATAGAACTGATTTAGCCACTCTAAAAAATAATAAAAAAAAGATAAATATTGAATTTTTATCAATAAATATGAATCACATACCTTTAAAACTTAGAATCTGATAATTGGAAGATTGCTTTTTAAGAAATCTTAAGGATCAATATTCTTTGACTTGAGAATCTAAATTTCTTATTGACTTAAATTTGACAACTAATTTAAGTTGGAAGAATCAAAGTGATTAACGTTGTCAGTATTTGGTTTACCATTTTCTGAAGTACTGTTATTATCTTAATTATTTTAAACTGGAGGATAATCTTAAAACAAAAGAGTTGAATTTTAAGAAGTAGGAATTTTAGACTCTATAAAGTACAAGATCATATCGAATTCTAATATAAAATAATAATTTATTTTTTTTAATTTAAAATTAAAAAAGTACCTGTTTCATTAACATTAAGACAAACAACACCGAATCTGTAAGAAGAGGATTGAGTTGCGGCTTAGCTAGAACTATCTATGTTTTTGATAATTCTATTATTAACTATCTCGTAATCATAGATTCTTTAACTTTGAGGGACATGAATGATTTTAATTAAGTTATTTTGTTGGCCAGCCTTTTTTATTTAATTTAAGTTATGAGTTAATTTTTAATTAAATTTATATTTACGATAATTTTAGATTCATAGTTTGAATAAGTAGCAGGGATCTGAGGAGTAGCTCTTTGAGAGTTATTTTTATCAGTAATTACTTTGTATGCTACTATACCAGCTAAAATACCTGACATCACAAGCAATAAAGATAATGAAATGATTATCTTTTATTTTTTTGTTAGACCCTTCTTTTATTAACATTATTCAGTATCTAATTGATAAATTGTAAAACAATAAATAATTGTTAAAAATAAAGGGAAATATTTAACCTTCAATTTCTGGGAATGAGCTTTTCTATTCGTTAGTGACCAGTTCAACTTTAGATTGGCGAGGAATGTTGAACTGAGTAGTCATACATTACTATTCAGGGATATTAGGTATCTTTGAAAGAGAGCAGTTTTAAGACTCCTTTTAGAACGATTAATTATGCGACAGCATTTTAGAATGGATAAAAAAGTATATTTTATATTATTCTCTTTTCTTTTTTTGTGTAGAAGGAAAAGATTTTTTGTTAATTTTTCTTTTTTAATTTATTAACTTTTAGGTGATATCCCTCACTTTTCTATTTAAAAGTTATTCCTACTGATATTAATAATTAATTTATGGTGTTTATTGAAACACCAATAAAATTAAGCTGACTTTTTAATACAAACTATTTTTCATTCAAATAACTATATTTTTAAAATAAGATCAGCACGTTTAATACAATCAAAACAAATTTATCAGAAAAATTAAGATTTCAGCTCATTACTGGATTCATAAATCAAAGCAAATTAAATTTTGATAACTTAATGGATATATATAAATTTTGGCTTTTGGAGCAATAAATGCAAGGTATTTAATTATATTTATTTTCTAATTTATTTATTCTTCATTTTTACCAAACATTAATAAACTCCATTTAAGCAAGTCAGTTTTTTTATTTTTCCATATTTAAATATAAAATAATATTTTTAAATTATTTCTTACTTATATAAACTTAAAAATCTAGCCATGCTAGAATGATATTAAGTTTTTAATCAGATATTAATCTGTTCTTGCTTTGAAATGATTAATTTACAAGCTATTGTTATATAAATAAGTAAGAAAATATCGTTCGTGAATTTATCATCAGACTCTTCTTCATCTATATATCTATCTACAGTTACACTTCCAAAAATGATAGTATATTTTATAATGCATATTATACTTTAAGTTAAAGTGTTTGATTATTCCCATAACTATTACAATTAAGCAACTTTTATTCTCAATGGTATTAACTAAAAAATGCATTTTTTTATTTTAAAAGGAATTCTTACAAAATTATAACTTACATTATTAAAAAGAATTAATACTATTTTCAAGAATGCAAATCAAATGATTTTTTTAAAGAAATTTTGTTTTGATTTTAAAAATATAATAGCATTTAAGTCTGTCCTCTTAATACTTATTTTTAAATTCAGCATTCAAGTGTCAAATTATCTTTGAAATTTCTTTCAGATTAAAATAATAATCTATTTTTACCCTTTTAATTAAATTGACTGATTGACACAAGATAAAAAGATGTTTAAAATTTTTAATTCACATATTGATATGGCATTTATGGCAAGAAAAATTTAATTTAATTTTTATTTTAATATAAAATAATTTTTCTCTTTATGGTTTAGTTAGAAGAAAATAACTTTAATGGTTTATGTAAGTTACACAGCAGCTGATTATATAATCTTTTTAATATAGATTATTTTAAGTAGAATGCTTGAAAAGTCAAAAATTAGCTTAAACCAGTGGTAATTTAATTATATAATTAAATGACCACACAGTTTTATGATTTAAATATCATAAAAGTGTAAAACACAAATATAAAAAGAATAATATTTAGATCGCGTATTCATAGAATATTATAAATAAAGCTTTTCTCCTGTAAATATGATTCAAGTTAGTTATTATAAAAAGATTATCTATTAAGATTAACTTACATACATTATATTACCATTTTTGGCTAAAATACCATGTATCTCATTTTAAGAAACGCACTAAATCTGCTCTAAAAAAATTTAATTTTTCAAAAATAAAATTCATTTCTAATATTCTTGCAGTGAATTTTAATGGGGATATTAAAATGAGATACATGGTACATCTTTATTTTTCTTATTGTTTTTATAATCTTGGAAATATTTTTGCTTTATGGAGAGAAAAAGATAATGTGAAGCAAATAAAATATTTTAAACTCAATTAAAATTTTTTATAATAAAAAAATTAAAACATTGCAACAATTAATAAAAATTTAATTTGAAATTTATTTTAATCTATCTAAAATAAAAAAAGTTAGAATTAATATAAAAATACTCTAAATTTATTCATAAAATAATTTATTGTAACAGATAATTATAATTTAAATCAGAAGGTTCCTTCAGCAACACGCTTTGAGTAAGTTTCACCTTTTAACTAGAAGGGATCAAAAAGGTCTTTTCTAACAGGCTATATTTTAAGACCTTATAAACATTTCAAGGCTTAACTTACTTTATTAGCAACTACTTATTTCCATGTAGGATTTTGAGCTGCAACGTCAACTGATTAAACAGATTTTTTGACTGAATCAGATTAATTCAAAGGTTCTATAACTCCTCCGCAGTTTTGTATTTCTTATGGCATGTAATATTAGTAATAAACACCTACCTTTACATCAAAAGGACTAAATGAGCCATCAAAGTAATATTTTCCATGATAGTTATTAAGCATTTGCAATTATACTCCTGCTGTAATGTTTGTATCAAGGAAAGTACCTTAAGCATAACCACCAGCTTATGCTATTAAAACAGAAGCAGAAACGTCACCAGTGACTATAACCTTAGTATTGACTGTAGATACAAGGTCAAGAGTAGCATTTTTGAAGGTAAAACTCATTTAAATGCCTGTATTCCAGCTAGCTGAAAGCTTAAGTTAAATAGCAATACCGATTGGAGTAGGATAAACATATAAATATTAAACAGGAATGTTAATATTTGGGAATTAAAAGCTTTGTTAGAAATCAGCAGTAGCAATTAACTAAGTAATTAATTACTTATAAATCTTTTTAACATCAACTTCCTATCCTGAAACTACTTAGCTGTAGGTCTCTAAAAGATCGTTGCTTAAGAGTTGAGTTGCTTAAGCAGTTAAAGCAGAGGATGCTTGCAAGGCTACAGGTTAATTGACCTATTAATCAACTGCATTCAATACAACTAATTCTGATTATTACTTGGTACCTTAAATAAATTTAGTAATATACTAACCGATAAGACCTGTGTCAATGTTGTTATTAACAATAGTAAGCTTTATTTCGTTAGCAAATGAGAGAGTACTTTAGTACAAAGTTTTGAGATCAACAACGAATTATTTAAATTTGTTTGGTATGTTCTTAATTTGTTGTACCTTGTTAGTAATGTTATTGAATTTGGTGTTCATTAAGGTTCTTACACCAGAAATAGTATCTTCAATATCATTTAAAAGGGGTTTTTAATATGATTTAGGATCATCGTCAGGGAAAGAAGTAATGTTAAGGAAAGAGATTACATCTTAATAAACAATTTTTGCTTGTGAAAGAAGAACTTTAGAATCATTAAGCAAGTCATTTTTCCATGTCATTAAATCAGTGTAAATCTTGATACCAATATTTTTCAATTAATCAGCAGTTTTAAGGGCATCATCTTTGATTTTTAAAGCCATGTCAACAGGTAAATTTAATAGATTTACTGTTAAATCGATAGAAATTCTCTTGACATCTGAAGCCTTGATGTTTTTAATTTATTCAGATAAATCTGTTATGTTCTTTTTTACCATCATAACATCTTAGTAAACTTCAGAACCAAAGCCAATTATGCTATTAAGTTCAGCTTTGATATTTTCAATTTTTTATTAATCTTCTGCACTTTCAGTGGAATTTGTTTTTAAAGATTCCAATTATGCAATAATAGTATTCTTTGTAGTGTCAAGGGTTTACTTCAAACCATCTTTAAGCTAGTTAATGAGTTAAGTATTATTAGCTACAGATTTGACTGCATCTGAAACAGCTTGCTTGATTAAGCCATTTCCATTTAACTGGGAAAGGATAGCGCTTAATTGATCTGTGATATTAAATCCTGCTGTGTTATTTAATGGTAAATTAAGATTAGTAAGATTAGCATTGTTTGTAATATTCTAGATAACGGAGTTAATGTTTTAGTTGATGAATTAGTCAATCAAAGTAGAGTTTTAGAATATTTTATCAGCATTGTCAAGAATGGCTTTTTCAATAATATCCATAGCTTCAGTAGCAGGCTTTTCAATAACATCAGCTATTATTTAAGTGTGATGATCAAGAAGGAATTTAACTTCATCCTTAATAGCTTAGCTTACGCTTCCATTTTTCTTTGCTTAATCAACAAAATTTTTGATTTTTGTATATTTATCATTATAGAATTACTACATTTCCATTATTTATTACTTCAAAGCAGGATTTTTGGCTTCGAGGTAAGCAAAAGTTCTACTAGTGAGAGTATTCAAAGGATCTTAGAGAAGTTAATTTACTGAATTCAAAGTTACTTAGATCAATTATTCGATTTGCTTAATTTATGCAATAATGTTTAAAGAATCTCCCTAAACTATTTGCTTGTATTAGCTCAAAACAGGATTCTAGTCAATGCTAATAGTATAATCAACCTTATTAAGTATGTCGTCAAGAGCTAGAGAAACGGCATCAATATTCTTTTAGATTTAGTCAGAGACAACAAAAACTTTATCATTAAGAACATTAGTAATATATTGATAAATTTTTAAGACCTTAGAAATATTGATAGTAGTATTTTTTTCAAGAATTTTCATGCTATCTCCATTAAAGTAGCTGTATAATCCAACGTTACAAATATCTCCTGAAACTGCAGCATCTGAGCATTCTGATTTTAAATCAGCACCGAATTCCATAGATGCGTAAGTCTTTCTAAAAATAGGCTTAGTGATTGAAGAGCTAAAAGATTTGGCTTATTACAAAACTCTAAGATTATGAGATTCTTCATCAACAATACTGGAAGTTTATTTAGATTAGTTAAAAACTTCATTATAGTTAGCAACAGCTTAATCCCAAGTCATCTCTAACACACTCATATTTTCTTAATCTTAAATGAGAGTTTTTAAGAAGGTTTTGTCCATAATATCTTCTTGGCTAATGAAATTGATAACGCAATTTGAGTTCATAGATAATTTAGAGAATAGAGGTTGTGAATTGTCATTTTCATCAACTAACTCATCTTCTATAGAGAACTTAGAAGAAACATGACTGGTAGAAAGAGCTCCATTCATAATACTTGAGACTTATGAGTAGTCAGAATGAGTACGGGTTTTGTTATCGTTTCTTTGGTTTAAAGTTTCATATTGCTTTGAAGCATTAACTATTCCGTTGTCTTATATTTTTGCTTCATAGGCAGGCTCAACTAGCTCATTATTCAAAATTCTTTATTTATTTTTTAAACTTGAGCTAGAGAGTAATCTCTTACCTTGAGAAACGTTGTAGAAATCTTTAAGGACAATGGGAGAAATTTATTCGAGAATATTTAAGTAAATTTAATGAATATCATATCTTATTCTGAGAGGCTATTGAACATAGGATATTGCACCATTCTTGAGCATGGTAAATCTGATAATAGGTAAACTAGAAGCGTAGAATTGTTCAGGAGAAATTCCTTGTTATTTGAGGATATCAATTTCCTTTTAGGTAAGGAAACCAAATTCATTTTAAAGGTCTTCTTATTTTTCATTTTGAGTAGGTTACTCTTCGCTTTTTAAGAATCTTCTTTAAGATTCCTTTACGCTAGGATAGCCTTTAAAAGTTGATTACTCAGTTTCTAAGTTTCCAACAAGTTTTGATTCGATGAAGTAAAGAAGCATATCAAAAGCTATTAGTTAAAAAATGTTTTTTAATAAACAAATAAATAAATAAAAATAAATTTACATGATTCCGTAACATCCAAGCATACAAGACCAAATTTGTGACGAATATTTGATTTTGTTTCAGATTTTTTATCAGCACTCTAAGCAGTGACTTGATTGTTGGTTAAAACATATTCGTAGATCTTTTAACTTTAAGGTACATGGATGATTTCGACCAAATTTTATTCTTGACCAATCTATTTAATTTATAATTATATAATTTTCATTTCATATTCTTAAAAAATTTATTAATTTACCTTGATTTAATTTTGATATTAAGGATAAGTAGAAGGGACTTAAGGACCACTGGTTTACTATGAAATAATGAAATAAGCAGCAAGACCACCACCAATCATTGCAACAGCAAGTAAAACAGCTAACCCAATAAAATATTTTTATCTCTTAGTAAGGGGTTTCTTCTCATTTGCATCAAGAAATACTGTAGAAGGTCCGCTTCCAGGCTACTAAGGTTAGTCAAGGTCAGCCAAACTTTCAGGAATATTTGAAAGACTTGATTTAGGTATAGGTTAGTGCTTTAGTCCATTGTTAGCAAATTACTAATGGGTGTCATCGTTACCCATCTGTGGATTCTTTTCAAAAGATTGATTTGCAGAAAGCATTTACAAAAACTTTATGCTAATTTATTGTTTACTTTATTTTATTTTAATTTATTTATTATAATCAAGTACTTACTTTGAAAATGCAATTTAAAAATAAACGCTCATCAGAATGGTTTGATTTTTTAACTAGTAAGAATTTGATTAATATTCATTTACTCATAATACATAAAAGAGTTTTTGAACAGTATTTTAAGGTTATTAAAAGAAACTATACAAAATAGTAATTAAATTTATAGTATTACTTAGAGATCTAATAAAAAACGAATGAAATGTCGCTTTAACTGGACTCATTTGTTTAAGACTGGTTTTAAATGAAAAAAAGGTAAACTTTTATTTTGAAGTATTATAGATTGATTTAGATAGGAATTTTATCATTAGTAGTACACGTTAGTGATGTATGATATTTAATTATTAATATATATCAAATCAATTCTAAAAATCCATGAACTTTGCATTTTCATTTTGATGGCTGAAAATAAACATTCAACTTACTTTTAATTGGAAAAGATATAAAATTAAAATTTTCAACTTTTTATTAGATTTAATTTATCCTCATTTTTAAAATAAAAAAATATGTATTAATTTATTTTCAATTCATTTTATGTCATTTCCTTCATATTATAGCTTAAAAAACAAGAAAAATATTTTTCAATCAATAAAAATTAAATATTTAGTATTGATTAGCAAGAATACAGAAGTCAGCGTAAGTTACTAAAAAAATGATGCAGCAGTTGGAAAATGGATTGTACTATAAATTAAAACCATAAATATTTTTGTTTAAAGATTAATGGACTAAAAATGCAAATGTACTATAAAATAAATGTTTACCACAATAATTATTTAATTTTTATTTATGTTTGTTCGTAATTAATCATTAATTAATTAGTAATCAATAAAGTTATTGGTTGTTTTATCCAACCTTATTTTTCCATTTTTCCAGTCAACTCAATAAACAAAATAGATTTATTTCATTTTTCTAGATTTAAACAAAAGGATTAAAAATATTTTACTAAATTATAGTTTTTAGCAATTTTTCTTCCTCGTGTTTGTTATAATACGAATTATGAAACAAAGTATAAGATTCAGTTAAATATAAAAACTTGTTTGCATAGATAGACAAACTATATATCTAGAAAATTAATTCAAAATGCCATAGATTCTATTAATTACTGTAATCTATGTTTTTATTAATTAAATCGTCTAATCAAATGAATTAAATAAAGTACTACAAAATTAGTATTTAAGTAGTTTTTAGACTTTGATAAATAAATTAAGCGGTATGATTATTAATATGCATCATACTATGTAATTGATGAGTAATTGTCTATTTTACAAAAATTAAAAATAACACATGTTTATCCTTGAGAATATTTGCTTCTTTCAGCCAAATAAAATAAACAAAAAAAATGAAAGACTATAAATACTAGTCTAAAAAATGTAAATAAGATTTTTAATGAAAGATAATTAAATAAAAGCTAAATTACACAAAAATTATTTCTATTTACATCTAATTAACAAGAATTTAAAGCCGCCAAAAATATAATTTCTAGATTTATTCTTTGATCAAATAAATATTAAATATTAAATTATTATTTTGGTGGGATTATTTTAAAAGCAAAAAGTAAAAAAAACTAAAATATATTTTTACCATCTTAAAAAATATTTTAAAATAATTTTCTACATCAAAATAAGAAAATGAATTATTAAGCTAAAAAAATTAAACAAACTAATTAATTAATATATTTTAAATAAACGATCCTCTCTAATTTATTAGATATCCATTCAATTTGAAAATTAAATATATCATAATTTAACCTTCTGCTTATTTCTATTAACAATTTTTTTAAAATGACAAAAAACACTTTAAGAGGATAAATTTGTATGTGTTAAAATAATTAGAAAATTTAATCATAAAAATAAATTTGAAGTCAATCATAAACTGATAAACATAATTCAAAAATAATTATTAATAGTCATTATATACAATTAAATATGATATTTTAAATGATTTTATTAAATATTTTTCTCTATTTAACTTATACCTTTATTTATTTTATTTAATAGTATTAACCTAAAAATGATAAGAAATATCTTAGTATTTTTTATTTCATTCTTGTATTTGGTTTAGATATTGAAATTCAATATCCAAATCAGTAAGGTTATACAGTAATTATAAAATTAGTTTTAATTAAAATGAATAAATTCAATACATAAAGTAATTAGTTTATAATTTAAAATTTAATTATTTATGTAAAATATTTAAGAATTAAAAAATTTTATTATTAATATAAAATAAAAAATTAACTAAATAAAGTTAAGCTTTCCTTAGCTCTGAAATTTATCATCCAATAAAATTTAAATGAAAATAATTGAAGGTTGAATGAAAATTTCAAATTTTTCATATTTTTAAAATGTTTTAATAATAAATATAGTGTAAGTTTATAAAAAATGATAATAAAATTAAAGAAAGTTATTTATCAAATGATACGATTATCTTTGATTTAAAAGATTTTTTTCAATTCATTTTTCTATAGATAGCCATTTTTTTAAGTAAACATCATAAACTTTATCATATGCAAGATCAAATAAAATAAGCAAATAAATAATAAAGCAAAATAAAATATATCTAAATATAAACATTTTTATAAAATAATAGAATTATTATTAGTTAAAATAATTAATACCCATAATTATTTTTATACTCTAATTTTAATTTACTTTTATTATATTTAAAGGTGACAAAAAATTAATAAAATTTTGAAGGTAAATGGTAACACATGAAAAGAATAAATTTGTAGTAGACACTAATCAAAAAACCCTAGAATGAGTGGTTATCTTAAAATATGAATACATTTATATATTCACAAGAGAAGTACATTTTTATTTTTATATCAAATATAAATTTTCTTAATTTTATAATTTTGTAAACAAAAAGCAAATTTTCTTTTGCTTTAAAAAAATTCATTTCATGGTTTTTTTCATCTGAAAATAAAAAAATAAATTCCTTTGAGAAGAAAAAAGTATCTATTAAATCTTTAAAAGAGCTATATATAAATATATATATTTAAATTTAATGATATTAATATTCTAATTTTTATTATTATCTAAATCTTGAAAAAAAAGCTTTATTTATTAGAATATCTAAATTATTTAAAAAGAGTAAAATTTAGAATTTTTTTAGTTAATATTTCTCATTCAATATTTAAATAATTTGTTTTTGTTTTTTATTATGCAGACTTTCTATTAATTGATAATAAATAGAATGATATTCGCTCCATTTTCATTTTATTTTAAGGAGTTATTTTATTCCTTAGCTGTAATAGAAACGATATGAAATATCAAAGAAATTATGATCAGATACGCATATTTATTAATTTGTAGTTTGTAGTAATTTAACTCAGTGTCTAATACAATAAATATGATGTCTCAAGTAAATTTATTTCATAGAGACGCCTTAGATTTGCACTGAGAAAAAAATCATGTATTTTTAAAGGGTGATAACTAATTTGAAAGGTCTTATTCTAAATTAAATGTTACTTAGTAAATTTCTTAATTTTTTCTTTAAAGAAACAAATAATTGATAATATCAATTCAGTTTAATCTTTGTATTTATTTATTTGCTATTAATTGAATACAATTTTTAATATAAAAGAAATGATTAGTGAATCAATTGAAAACTTAAATAATAAAATGATGCTCTAAAAAATACATGAGAGTTAAGAAACTCTAGCTACTGGATCTTACCAAATCTGCACCTAAGGACTATTTGACTTTCTAGGATAAGATCATTTGACTGAGACTGAACATTTTTAGTCTATGACTTCAAACACCATCGAAAATATAAGATCCAAGTTATAAAAGCGAGAAACCAAATTTTAAGATAAAGATGGTAAATAAATCATTTGTTATGAAATTATAAACTCTGAATGTCAATCAGAAAATAAAAAAACTAATGAAATACTTAACTTTTTTTATAAATTAATTTCAGGATAACAGAAGATTACCACTTTTGGAAGCTCTAACCCAAATACTATTTAAGGAATGGATGAATCAAATTGTTCTACTAACCTAATAACTTCTTCAATCACCTATAATAATCAACAATAATATAAAAAGTAGATTTCCTAAAACCCTGCTATATCATAAATAAAAAAAGAGGAGAGCGATTAGCCTAAAATATTTATATAATACGAAGAAAATAAAGATTTTGATCTGTTTACATTCAGTCCTTTAAAAATGAGAAATCTTAAATCAGAAATATAACAAAAATAATAAAATAATTTATTTGAAGACAACAACTTTTTGATAAAAGAATAGAATTTATTAATGCTAAACTAAGTTGTGGAGTAAGCAGAAAGCATTGAAATTGATTTAAGCGACAGGGAAGATGATTTCCATCACGATTTTAATGGATTTAAACTATAAAAATAAGATAGTCACAATTTAAATTTAGAACTACCTTTAATCGTTTAGCCTTGCTAATTAGAATCAAACTAATAATAAATATTGGACAATTTATTATCTCAAGAAATTGATATATCACACATTAGTTAAAATATTTCGAATATTTCTTAATAATCTGTTGGGGATGATAATATGATAAAGTGTTATTCTGGAAATAACCTTAATATTTAAAATAAAGAAATTCCTTCTCTTAAGAGGTAAAGTTCTGAACCTTTGACTTAAAGCATCTACAAAGATAAATTAATTTCATCTAATAGCTCAATAAGCTAAAGATGCTCAAATAAAAAGATTAAATAAAAATGTAAAATTGACAAAAAGTAAAATAAAAAAAACCAAAATTAGGAATCCTTAACTTCATCATTATCTATTCCATCTGAAAAATAATCTCATACTTCAAGCAAAAAATAAGAAAATTAATTATATTGTAGAATCGGAAAATTATTTTTTAGATATTTAAAACTAAAAAGGGACAGTTGCCTTTTAAAAAGCGATAAAAGTGGTGCCCTTCTTTATAAATAATACAAAGACTTATTTAAAAATACTTTCAATAATTTAAAGCAAAAATAAAACTTTGACAGCTTTTTGTAAGAATAATAAGAGAATGAAAAAATATAAGGATTGTAAGCTTAATTCTCAGAATTTCTAGATTCTAAGATTGATTAAAGTTGTAAAATAGACTAGGATAATACTACGTAAGTTACTGCATTAGATTTTTAGAAAATAAAAGAAATATTTTCAAAATCTCAGTACAAGATTTTAAAATCTCCAAAGAATAAATGATCAATATTACTTAATGTTAAACATTTAAATTAGCTGTTATGGATTGATTGAATTTGTTTTTTCATTTTTATAAATGAATTTACTATTAATCAAATAAAAAGGAGATTTAACCTAAATTAAGGAAGTATTAAAGAAAAATTTAGATGATCTTCGAGTATTAAAAACTGTAAAAAATTTAAACAAGTACCTAATCACCACTATATTTTTTAAACAACCTACAATAATTAATTTTTAAAAAAACTAGAAAACTATTTTATCTAAAACAAAGATAAAATATTTTTCATTCCATAGCCTTCTTATTTCCTAATTATATAAAATTAATATAAAATTTTCATATTTGTGCAAACTTATATACATACTACATACTTATATACATACAAACTTATATACATACAAACATATAAAAGTTACAAAAATAAATATTAATTGCTTCAACTCAAAATCATTTTCTAACAAATTATTATTAATTTGATATTTTATTACTGAAAGTAATTACAATATGAACTTCTTGGATTAATTTAAAATTTTGAAATAGAGAGATATCAAATAAGATAATTTTTTTGGTTTCATCAGAATTATTTCTTATCGAAAAATAATTAATTTTCTTACATCAATCAATTCTAAGACTGTTTAAAAATTTCTTCTTTTAAACGTAATCTCATAGACGCTTTAAATAGGACTAATTGGCAATTTTAATGGACAAATCAAAATATTAATTTGTTTAAATTGTGAAATTAATTTGAAGAAAGAAGACTTTGATTTTAGTTATTCCTTTATAATAATTAAGAAAACACACATGATATTTATTTAATCTATACGTAATAATATAACTGGTACTTTTCATACCTTAAATAATATTTTGAATAAAAATGGTAATTAATTAATTAAGTTGTTTATTTATATTTTTTCAATATTAATTTAGTTTATATAAATAATTAAAATATCTTGGTATTAGTAAATATATAAAAAAGTATAGTTTAACTCAATACCAAATATTTCAATTGAAGCTAATAATTTTTTAACTTAAAAACTCAGGAGAAAAATGTTTTCTTATAATTATGGAGTAATTTGATTATGATAATAGTATTATAGGTGTTTTAAATCAAAAAAGGATGTTTTTATTGTCAGAATATTTAGAAGATAAGACAGCTAAAGATATATTTTGAGTTGTTTATAATTGCTACTAGTTTTGATTAAAAGTTCTATTAAATGATTGATGGTGATGGGAGGATGTATTCCTAGTAGTTTTTGAAAGCAATTCGTCGGTATTTGTTGCCAATTACGATCTTCTAATTCTAAGCATACTCTTTGAGGAAGAGCTTGTTTCTTATGTAACTAAATAATTGTCATTTATTTGAGTTTATATATTATGAGCGACAGTGTTTTTATTTAATGCAGAAACCCTTTTCCTAAATTACTCTAAGCCGATAGTCTTTGACTCTTCTTTTACATCAAGGTTTTTGTAAAAATTTTACAAGGTTTTAGTCCCTTGTTAGGATATTCCTTTAAGCTAAGAATTAGATCTCACTTACTTGATATTTTGCTATGAGATATTAAGATTCTTAAAAACTTAATCTTAGTTTGAAAGATGAAGGACTGAATTAAAATATGAATGGTTCTCTAACTTTGTTATTGGACGTATTTTATGAGGTACAATCTCTTTCTTAACTATTCTGCTCGAAAGAGGTTTTTTAGCATATCTTTATTCATCAAATGCTGCAGATAAACTTGCTGTTTAAGGTGAAAGCAACACTGATCTTCTTGCTTGTTAAGCTTGTTATGTATCTTTACTGATGCTTTATACGCTTTTTCTCTACTAACTATTGTTTTTAATTTACTTCTCGAAATTAAATTCAGAGATTGGAATTTCTTCAATTATGATATCGTTTTTGATTTCTGTAGGATACTCTTTGTTATTAGCTTGTGAACTATTTTACTTTGTTGTTTGTATGCTACTAAAATTTTAAATACTTGATAATGTAGTAAATGATGGGACACTAAATGCTCCAAGCTGATTTTTATAGTTATTATTTGTTGATGTTGAGCTTGAGCTAAAAATATTTTAGGATGGTGTTACACATGTATGAGAATTATTTAATTGGATTTGAGATGCTGAAAATTCTGATGGATTATTTAGTGCTACTTAGCTCTTTGAACTTGATCTAACATGAAAATGATTTTTTGCTTATGAAGTTTTCACTTATCTGTGAGCAATAGTATTGCTCCCACTGGATATAGCAATTAAAGGACGGGACTTAGGAGATGTAAAATTGCTTACAGAATGAGAATTTCCAATCTCTTCATGAAAAAGCCCTGTCCCTGCTATCTTCAATATTTTTTTTGAGGAGTTTTATACTCTCATTTTTTAAGGACTACTCTCTTCTTGCTAATTTTAAGAAGGAGTAAGAGTCTTCTAAAAGTTATAAATTTAATAAGTGGGTTAAGGAGTTTTAGATTTTTGCAAAGCTTCGTTTTATTCTCTTATTTGCTTGAGCTATTTTTAAACTAAGCTGTTTTTGCTTAAATTTAATATTAACTTATCAGTTTTTGTCATTGATTTGCTTTATAATTACATAATTTTTTCTTTTGCATTTTCATCACTACTACCTTAATCATTCAATAAAATATTAGTTTAGCTTTCTCCTTTCGATTATTTACTAGCTGGTTCTTGTAGTTAGTGTTCGTCTTTTTCTATAGACTTGTCATCAATTTCAAATAGGTTTGTGAATGATTTTATTTGTATAGTTCTTGTTGATTTTTGAATGTACTCATCCAAACTATTATCAAGAGTTGTTATTATTTTATGAGAAGCTCTTCTAATCTTTTAATTTAAAAATTATTAATTTAATTTTATAAACTGAAAGAATTACATCTATTTTAGGGGTCATCTACTTTGGTATTTATTTTTACTCAGTGCTAATTTTGAAATCATCAAATGTTTGAATTTGATTATATCTAAAAGATTTACGATGATCTTTTTAAGGGAAAATAGGTTAAATTATGTTGGGATTGGCGTGGTTTACAGTCATTTCTTAATTATTTTTATGCATCTAATTTATTTTATCATTAATCCTGTAAAAAACTTTCTTTTATTATTCTAAATTTTTGACTCTATTATATTCTTAAATATCACTATCACTAATCTCTTCAGAATCATTTTCGAAGTTCTCAATACTACCCTTATTTTTATTACTATCAGCTTGCTTTTCTTTCTCATTTTAATCTTGGAATCTTTTTGAAAAATTTAATTTTTGTTTTTTTAAAAGAACTTTTTTCAGCTCTTCCTTTTGAATTTCAAATTCTTTCTTTTTTTTGTCTTTTTCCAAGAATTCATTTAAATTTGAGATGTCTTTTTGAGGTATTTGCATTTTTATAGCGTTTTTCAAACGCTCTGATTTTAATTCTTCTTTGAAATCTACTGACTATTTAAATCTGTCAAAAATATTGTATCCTAAAACTTAATGAAGTCTCTTAATATTTAAAAAAAATTAAATTAATTTTAAAATTTATTTATTTTTGATAAAATTTTTTACCTTTCTTTCAATTGCATAAATTTCAGCTCCTTGTCCTTTGCAAATGGCCTTTGCTTCTCTTTTGGTCAAGTTTTTAACTATTTCTTCTTCTCCGAAATAGCTGTTTTATCCAAGAATCTTTACTGTGTGGAGTTTATTAACATCAATTTTAGCTTTTTTCATCCTAAGATCTTTTAAATCTTTAGTATCATCATATTCCTAGATTTTTGAATGATTTTATTTTTATTAATATTTTATTTCTTAAGTATTTACCTGATCGTTATCTATACTATATTGTTTGACTAACTCTTGAGGGTTGCTGTATCTAGATTGCAATTCTACTTCGCCTTCTTTAATCAAGAAGAAAAAGTTAGAATTTTCACCTTCTTCATATATATTCTGTCTTCCATTAACTTTGATGACTTTAAATTGCTAAATTAACTATAAAACCCTTTTAGTAGAGAGAGTGCTGAAGAATTCAAAGCTCTTAATAAATTCTATTTTTTCTCTGATAGTGTTTTGCTTCATATATGAAATAGTTTTATCAAATCCCTCTTTATCTAAAACCAATAGATCACAATCTTCTTTAGCAACAAGAGTTGCAGAACTAGGAATATTTTTAATTTAATTTTAAATATATTTTAATATTAATTAGCTAAGCTAATATAAAATATAATTAGTAATTAGAGTATTTTTTACCGATTTTATTGAGTCATCAATGCAATTTCACCAAAACTTTCTCCAGGTAAAAAGGTTTTGACTAATATAAAACCTGGAAATTTTTACTTTAAGAATTCCGTATCAGATAAGACATCGTTTTATTTTTCTTCTTCTTCAAACATTTCTTCAAGCTATTTTGTAGTGGATCTCATTCTGATATTAAAAAAATATTTAAAAATTTAACAAATGAAAAATTTATAATTTTAAATAGTTTACAATTATCTGCCAGCAGGTTTTTTTTACTTCTTTAGCCTAGCTTAGCTTCTGATTATGTCAACAAAACTCAAAACATTATGCTCTATTTTAATCTTTTTGTTTACACTCAAAACTATGTTATTCAAAAAATCACGAGCAGTGGCTTCCACTTTGCTCTCATTATCTTTTTTTTCTATTTCTTTTAGCGGTTCATGTTTCTTAATTTATTCAATTTTTTTGTATGTTGGGTCAGGAACCAAACAAAAAACTGCGCCTTTATTTTAAAAAAGTTTAGAAATTAATGAATTTGAAAGTAAATACTTGAAAAATGAATTAATTAAATTTAATTTACCCTTTATGACTGTAAAGAATTCAGTTCCTTTTTCACCTTTAAATTAAATTATAAAAAAAATTAATTATTATTTTCAGTCGCACATTTTTAATTTCAATTGAATAAATTTCAAAAATCCTTTAATGGAACCAAATTATTTTTTGTTCAAAATTATACAGCTGCAAATGGATTTTAATAAAATAATTTTTGATTACTTCAGGATTTTTTATCAATTAATGTATTAGATTTTTAATGTAAATAATTAATTTGTTTTACCATAGTTAAAGATAGTTTACTGCTTATTAAAATGTCTATATTATAATGCTTGAACTATTCTTTTAAATTATGAGTGATCTTTTGTTTCTTATTACACATTAGAACTGGAGAAAAAGGGAAGATTTTTTACAAGATTGTTCAAAAAATTAACTTCTAATTCATTTTTAATTTTCTTTCTGAGTATGTAGATAGCAACCTAAATATTTTAAGTAAAGAAATTGATCATATTTTTTTAGTTTTTGTATTTATTTATTCATTTTAAGCTTATTAAGTAATTTCATAAACTAATTTCATCAACTAAATATTCAATTACATTTTAGTTTTCTTCAAACTTTAAATCGATGACATCCTGCTTTAAAATATCCATTAGTAGCTTATCTCTATCATTCAATTTATAATTATTAACTTCAGCGATCTTCAAGCTATCCTTTTCGTTTAACTTGAAATTATTTACAGATCTGATTAAAAGAAGCAGTCTATCAGTATTAAGGCTTCCTCTTTTCAAATAATTTTTATTAATCTCTTGTATTTAATTTATTGTAGTTTGTTTTGGCTGTATGTTATCAATACCTATGGTCCTCTCTGTAACTGTATAGCTTGTTTCTGTAAAAGACTAATGGTGCTTATCGTCATCCAATTCTTCAGGAATATGATTCAATGAAGTTATCATTTTTTACTAGTACTTATGCGATTTATGTTTATTTCCTTCTACTTTGATTATAAATTAATATTCACTGGAAAGCTTCTTTGATTTTCACAAGCAATATTTTTATGTACTATTTTACGGATGTATTGCAAATGTATATTTGTTTCAATATATATTTTTTAATTAATTAATTTATTTATATATTATTTAGGATCATTCCTTCTCACAAATTTTGATCGAATAAAGCAGAGGAGTATAACTCTTTTTAATGATCAATAGCTTAAATAGTTCTAGATATATCAGCAAAACTATTTAAGAAATCAATTCAAGGAGAGATAGATAGATAGATATCCAGCTTTTTACAAAAAATTGTAATATTTATTTTATTAAGAGGTAAAAATTCATAAAAATTGACTTAACGTAATCAATTTAGTTGAAACGTAAAATAAGTTAAAATCTAATTTTAAATTGAATATTAATTATTTTACTTAAAACTTATTTTAAGCTAGTAAAAATTTAAACAAATATTTAAGAAAAAGGAAGCTTTTTAATTATAAAAATAAATACTAATAATAAAATAAAACTGAAAAAAAAACTCCTCAATTTTCCTCCCTCCCTCCATTCTATTTCTTATAAAATAATTATCTGTGTCATGTTTTGCTTTGAGAGTATTTTATTTAGCATTTATAACTATAAAAAATTCAATACATTTTTTTAATTAATTACAAATATTATTTTTAAGATATTTGAAAAAACCTTCTATATCCATAACTAAATTTCTTAATATGTAAAGAATTTACCACAACCACCATCTACCTGAATAAATTAAAAAATATCTATTAAAAACCTTAATAATAAGTAAAAGTTTAGATTTTAGTAATAATTGCTCTTTAGATTTTTAATATTAGTTGTTATATTAATTAGTAGAATCTCATAATTTGTCTATAATAATCCTATCGATCACTAATATTAATCTATTTAACTTTTTATTAAAATATTTAGTATAACGTTAATAGATTTAAATAACACAAGTATTTACTAGATTTAAAAATAATTCGTTTCTGTTAGAAACTCATTTACATACAAATTAGGTAAGCATCTTAACTACATTTAAATTTAAATTATCAGATATTAATGAATTTCATAGAAAAATATATTTACTGAAAATAATAGCAAGTGTTTCTAAATAAATAAAGTGCTCATATTTGAAAACAAAAACTATCCAATTATTTAATTTCTAAAAAATATTTAAAAATATACTCTAACTCCACATTTAAGGAAACCCCTTCTCATTTTAGAGGGCTATTTTGTAGTACTTAATGTAAGTTCAAAAATTATTTTTTGGCTCTTAATATAAGTAGTTCTATATAATGAGAAGTTAAGGTATTTTATTTTGCACAATTAAACAAGATATACAGAAACATTTTAGGAATCGATTATTGCAGAAAAAGCTTTTAATTTATCTTTAATATTATTTTTTATAATTGTAGCTTTTATTTTCTTATTTAAAATGGATTTAAATCCATTTGGTTAATTAATTGAATATAAAATATATTTTAGTTTTAAAAGAGAAACAGAATAAAAATAAAATATAAAAAAATGCTTGCTTTACTAATTAATTACCTACTTAATTTTATTAAAATTTTTTATTTCTATCAAATTATTCATAGTTCTTCGCTGCTTAAATCTATGTTATTAACTATTTCAACTTTTTCTCCTTTATTGCATAAGTTAATGCAAGGGACTACCTTTTCTGTATCTGGAAAATCTAGAGTAAGAGTGAACTTGTTGTGTGTTTTTTATTTTTTAAATGTTAGTAATTTTTTAGTATAATCGAATTCACAAATGATGATGTCATCATTTGAGAATACAAAGCTCTTGTTTGCCATATTATCTTCTTTTGAAGAGTGTGACCATGAATAACCGTTAGATGATATTAAATAAGCACCATGCCCGATATTATTATATTCAAACTTATATGCTTTTTTCTCTAAGACGTTTTTGAGACAAACTCCAAATCCAATCCAATTTGCTATATGTTTAACTTAGAAAGCAAAACGAGTTGGATGTTCCATGCTTAATTCAGGTTCCAACAAGGCAAATCTATTTTCATAGTTTTAGTTAGATCCTTGAATTGCAGTCTATTTAATATAATTTAATATTATTAAAATTTCACATTTATTTATGTTTTGTTAGCAAGTCAGTGAAAAATACATTTTATACTCAGGATTTATTAAATACTCTGACTGACTATGCTTTAAATTATTCATTAAAAGGCAAAAAATAAACTATAAGTTTGCTTAAATTTTACTTTTCATTTTAAAAATAAACATTTTATTATTAAATTAAACTAAATTCTGCTAGAGCTATTTATTTAAAAGTTAAGGATTTTTAACTGCATTAAATATTTTAACTTTAAACATTCATTCAGATAAGTAAATAAATAAATAAATTTTACAGTTTATTGTCCCAACAATAAGTAAACATTTATTCTTTATTTTTCTAAATTATATTCAGCAAAAATAAATAGAGCAAGTTCTAATAAGATAAAAGTGGATTGATAAATAAAAACGACATTTTTACCTTGCTATCAGTAACTGTTATGGTAGATGATTTGAAGGTCTATGAAAATTAGAATTAAACGCTGACATCAGATGCAGAAATAGTTTTTTCAAAAGATTTTTCTAACTTTTTGATGCTTTCTATAAATTGCTTGGATGCCTTTTGAATATTCTTGATAATATCTTACTCTGTAATTGAGAATGATTCTATTGACTTTTCAGGGCGAATATCAATTTCTATTCCTTTTTTTTCTGAATAATTTATAGAATCCACGAGCTTTTTGCACTCGGATTTAAGAGCTTCTACGTCAGTGTATTCGCTATTAACTATAGAGTCTATAACTTTAGGCATATGCTCATTCATAAAAGCTTGTGATATTATCTTCTCACGAATACGCTTTATTGTATTGGCGCATTCTGTTTCAAAATTTTTAATTGTGAGGGCTAAACTCTCAACAACTTCTTTCAAATTATAAAGAATAGATTGGTTGAGAGAATCAAGCTATGAAAGTAGTTCATCTATATTGCTATTGAGCTATTGACGACTCTTCATTTTTGAAGCTACTTCACACAAAAATAATTTCAATGGCATCACTTTATGTTTTTAGTGAATTTCTATTCTACAAATAGAACAAATTAAGCCACTATCTTTACAAACAGGATCTACACAAATAAAATTGAGCTACTCACCGTCATGGAGGTGCCCTTTAGGACATTCTAGATATCTTAACTTTGATTGCTTTATAATTTCTTCCATTAATCCTATAAAGTAACTTTTTGATATTTATATTGTTACTTACTTTTTGTTTGATTTAATGCTGCTACTATAGCGAAATACCTATCTAATAATTATCAATAAATAAAATTAAAAGCCTTTCTTCTTCTTATTATTTTTCGTGTCTTTCTTATTTTCCTATTTTGTTTGTTTGTTAATATGCATACATACATACAAATATGCATGTAACTTTCAAAACTATTCATACAAACCCTTACCAAATGGTTGATTGATTAACTAATTCACATAGACTCTATACACTTATCCTTCATTCATTAAACAGATTACTATTCTACATTCATTTTATTTATACATCAATCAAAAACTTAAACAAAATTTAATTGAATCAATAAATCAATCAAAAATTCATTCATCTTTAATTGGTTTTATAAAACTTAGGTATTGCATTATATAAACAAATAGAATAACAAATTTTTTATTTTTGTCATTCATATATAAATAAGGACATATCTTTTCTTTTCTGATAATTCCATTCTTCTCTGATGTTCGATTGATCCATTCTTCTCCCATTTTTGAAATAATTTGATTTTCAAATATATCAGTTATTTCTTAGTATTAGAATTAATATATTAAATTTAATAATTTTAAATCTAAATATTTTTTTTTTTTTTTGATTTTGGTTTATTAACATTTTCTAATAAGCTTCAAAAAGTGTCTTAATCTCATTATATATATTAAATGCGTTTCTGAATGGAATTAAATAAATTTTATTGTTTTCTCATTATTATATTTGACTTTATTTAATAATTTTATTTTTTTGAAGATTAAAATTCTATTTTCAATTTTAAAATAATTATAATTTAACTAAAATATTATTTATATATTGAAATTGTCAATTCCAACTTTGGTAAGATGGTGAAATTAATAAATTAATTAATTTTTTTAGAATTTATAATATAGATTTACAAGGAAAAAAAACTATTTTGTTCAGTTAATGATATTTTTAATATTAACCAATTAATAAATGTTTATTATTTAATGAAGTAGATAGAAACATTTTTGCGGTTTTTTTTGATGAAAGAATTGAAAAGATCTCTAAAAAAATAAATAAATAAAAGCTATTCATTCTCATTATTAATTTTTATGATAAACTGTAGTCAAATTAAAAAATTCTAACAAAATTAATTTGTTTTAGAAGTAGTTAATGAGAAAAAATTAGGATAACGAAGCTGAAGATAACATTTATCTTTAATATTAAAGTGTTGACATATCAAAGAAATGTGTTAAATTAGAAAATTGTGGTGAAGGTGGATTTGGAACTGTTGATGCATATTATGACAATAATCTATAAAAAGTAATAGCGGTTAAGACAGTAAGCAGAAAGACAACTTATCTTTAAGAAAAACGAAGGCTTATCAATTTAAAAAAATAACAATTAGATTTTGTTAATAATTTAATTGGATTTTGTGATCAAGAGAGAATACTGGTCTTTGAATTAGGAGAAGCTACTCTATTAGAAATAGATGATATGTTTTAAGATGACGGATATACATGGAGAGAGATTGATTTAATTTATATAGCTTGGAATTTACTGGTTGGACTAAAATATCTTAGAGAAATAAAGAGTTTTCATGGTGATATATCTCCGAATAATATAATGTTTTTCATGGAGAAAGTAAAATACATTGATTTAGGTTCTTCAGAAATCAATAAAAACAACCAATATTTGCAATAGTACAAAATAGAATTTGTAAATCATGAAATTAGAAAAAACAAAGCTAATTTCAAATATAGTGATGAATAAATTACTTAAAATGAAATTTTTGCACTAGGAAAAACTTTGCTGTATCTTGCTCTTTATAATGATAATGATAAAAACCATTTTATAATGGATGTAGACAAGAAATCACAAAAATAATTAATTGAAATGTAAAAAGCTCATTTTTATGAACTTGTAGCTAATGACAGTCTATCAAATAGCTATCCTTAGCTTAAAAATTTGATAATTAAAATGATGTATCCTTTTGATATTGATTTAAATGACATAGATTAAAATTTAAGTTAATCAGAAGACAAGGAAGATTCAATTAAATTCAAAGAGCCATTAAAGGTTAAAAAGTTAAAAAAAGATGAATCAATTATTGAGAGGAAAGAAAGCAACAAAAGATTTTAAAAGGTTTAAGGTTAAATGAGTGTAGAAGAAGAAGGAGAAGATTAAGAAGAATAAAAAATAGAATTTAATTAAAAAACTATAGAAATTTAAACTCATGAAAATAATAACTAAACAGTAGAGCTAGGTACAGTGTAATTAAAAACATAAGGAGATAAAATGGAATACGAAGAAGATTAGGATTTAAATGATAAATTCTGTGAAGATTACGATGATGATGAAGAAGAGGATGAAGATTTTGAAATTGATGAATATTAAATCAAAAATGGGAAAAAAAGATAAGCAGTTCAAAAAAAGAAGCCCTCTAATAATATTGATAGCGTATTAGATGAAATAATATAGCACCTAGAGCAGATACTCTCAAAGAAATATTAAAATAAAGCAAATTTCTCAAAGGTTATTGAAGAGAATGAATAAATAAGAGTAGCTCTATTTAAAATTAGGTAAAAAAGAATAGATGAACTTTTAGAAAAGCATGATGATCCTTAGCGTGAATTGGTTTATCTTTCCACTATGAGTGCAGAAGACTGGAGAAAGGAAGTGGCCTAAAGCATGATTTAAGATATCCTTAATTCTTAGAGGAATCAGTCTGTCAGAAAAGAAAGCATTTAAAAAATGATTCATGAAAAAATATTAAGAATTTAGATGAGAATTCTAGACAAGAAAGTAGAAATTGAAGATAGTTTTATAGATGCCATAAAACACCTTTATGCAATTTGCAAAAACAATAAAGAATATCATTCACTGATAGAATGTAATTACACACTATTCTTAATCTATTCATTCTTAAAGCTCTCAGATGATGCTTAAAAGTAGCTTTCACTTGCAGAAGAAAAGAGTAATTTTGCAGACAAGTATATAAACACATTAACCAGAAACAAGATAAAAGATTCCTCTGATGAAAATATGAATACAATACGTTTTTATGTAGAAGAATAGCTTAATGAGTTAAGAAACAATAATTATGATATTATTTATTGATTTAATCACATAATAATATTTACGCTTTTATAAATTAATAAAAAAGTGTTAATTAAATAAATATGTTTATTATTTGAAAACTTAAATAGTATTATTTGTAAATAAATTAGAGTTAATAGTATAATTATTACCTCATTAGTTCAATTTTAATCAAATAAATTTAAGTATATATTAATTTTTATTTTGAAAAATTTTCCTAGACTTAGTAAACAATCTTATTTTTTTATTAAAATACTTTGAAAATAATTGAGGTTAACTTTATTAAATGCTTTTCGGATAATTTTTAATTTTAGAAATTTTAAATTAATTGAAGCATTTTAAAATGTTTTTTTATATATATATATCATAGGGTCTCATTAATAAATATCCCATATTATAAGTTATTTTTTAAAAATAAGAGTGAGTACATAGTTCACAAGTTTAATGACAGATTTTGCAAACATTATTTTCAGAGTATTACCTTTCTTGGCAGGTATGAAAGCAAGCACTACCATTAAGAAACCTAACTATATATATTTAGTTTATTTATGATAAAAGTATTTTACTTTCCCTAAGGACAGCTTAAAAATTGACTATTTGACGGACTAGTGCAAGTTTAACACTATGAAATGCATTATGCACACTCATTTTTGGTTATGTTTATATATTGATCTCCTTATGGTTCTGTATATTATATTGTTCATTCTATTTGATTGAAATTAATGAACCAATTTTTTAATAGATTTTTCTATGCTAAACTTGAAAGAAAATTAATAAATTAATTTTATTATATTAAAATAAAAAATTAAAATTGTGATAAGAAATTTTATTATTTAATGTTGGACTGAATACATATTTTACTATTTTTATGAGAAACCATCCATATCAAAATTTCATATTAGTAAATAAAGAAAATAAATTAAGGTTTATTTAATGTAATTTTTTCTAGCCACCTTAATTTAAAAATTAATATATCTAATAGTAAAAAAAAGATATTATTAAAAATTTAGAAAATGAGTAAGAGGCCAGGAGAAGAAATTTAAGGGAATGATCCTTAAAAAAAAATAAAAACTGCAGATCTTCCTACAGCTCCAAGTACAGCAAATAAAATATCTTATGGCAGTCTTAAACCTCCAACATCTAGCAGTTCTTCTATATCTTATGCTGCTTTTAAAAAATAATAATTATCTACTATGAAATAGCCTGCTAAACCAATTAGCCAATAATAGGTTCCTTAATCTACAGGATCTAGTTTGACATCTGCTGCAGCAGCTGTATAAAATAATTAAAATGCTTCAAAATAATTAACATAATAGGGTAGTTCATAAGCTTAAGATAGTAAAATAATTGATGCCGCATCTTCAAATTAAAAAAATCAAGATTCTAATGCATCAAATAAAAATGAAAATAAAAACACTTCTGAACAATCTTAAAATAAATTTAGTGAAGCTTAACCTAACCCATAATAAGTAGCACCTAAAACAATTGATTTAAAAAGCTAGTAATAATAAATCATAGAAAGAGCTAAGAAGTTAAGAGAAGAAGAAAAAAGACTTGCTGAATTAAAAAAGAATACAGCTGTCATTTAAAAAGTCTAAAATGCTTAATAAGGAATAAAACCTGGCTAACCAAGTTCTATAAGTCAAACAAAAATTCAAAAAGAATTAAAGAAGAAAGAGGAAAAGAAACCTCTTACAAAATAAGAATTAGAAATGAAATAACTTTAGGAATTTGCTAAGAAAAAGGAAAAAGAATAAAAATTAATTGAAAAATTGCTGAAAGAAGGCAAAATAAAGCCAGAAGATTTAGATAAATCAAGCAAGAAGGAAGAGATAAAAATTGACAGCAAAGAAAAAGAAGTACGTTTAGATGAAAAAGGTAATTTAATCGATATTAAGGGTAACATAATTGTAATTGACTCAAATAAAAGCACCTTAAAAATCAATTAACAAAAGAAGCAACTAGATAAATTAACTAAAATGGCTAGAAATGCTCGTTTTTAAAAGTAAATTTTATTAAATTTTATAAACCTTTATTAAATATTTTATAATTTTAAAAAGCTCACAAGTATTTTAAGATTCTAGCATATTTACTACAACAAGTTTAAAGAGAGAAAGGAAGAAAATGCATGCACTTAACTTTATAGAAGATACAAATTAAATTGAAGACGAAAAAGAAGAATATGAAGATAAAATGGATATTGAGAGTAAGAGTGAAGAAGATTAATCTGGTTCTAGTTCAAGTGAAAGTGAGACTGAACAAAAAATGGAATAAGAAAACCAATAAAATGAAGAAAATATAGAAAAAAATGAAGATTTCAGATAATTGATTCAAAAAACTGAAACTGATTACAGAAGAGAAGATTTTTAGAAAACAAATAGCAAATATTTACAAAGTTTACACAAAAAAAAGTAGAGTTTGAAGCAAAAGCATCACGATCCTATTCCAGATATTGAATGGTGGGATTTGGCATTATTCGATAATACTAGAAGATACTACTTACCATTAGACCAAGCTAACTAAACAATTGCTAATTAAGCAATTCAAGCAGGAAACGAATCTAATGCTACAACTAATAACAATCCTGAAAATTAAACAGCCAACGAAAATAATTTGTCAATTAACATTTTGGATAATTTAGAGATTATTAAGCAATTATTGTCTAAATTATAAGTTGAAAATTTCGAATACTCTAAGGATTATTATCGTTAAGAAAAAATTACTAACTTGATAGAGCATCCTAAGCCTTTTAAAAATGATGGATTGCCTAATTCTAATCAACTCGTAGTCATTCCTAACTACTTAACTAAGAAAGAGTAAAAAAAGCTGAGCAGACGTCATCGTTTAGAAAAAGAAAAAGAAAAGCAAGATAAAATAAAATTAGGATTAATCAAGCCTCCTCCTCCTAAAGTTAGACTAAAAAATATGATGCGTGTTTTAGGTAATGAAGCAGTTGCTGATCCTACAAAAATGGAAGCTTTGGTTAGATAAGGCATAGCTGAGCGTTTGTAGGAGCATCTTCGTAGAAATTAAGAACGTTAATTGACTAAAGAGCAAAAAGCTGAGAAATTCTTACGTAAGCTTAAAAGAGATAGTGCTATTGAATGTAGAGTAGCCCTATTCAGAATTGAAAATCTATAAGACAGAGTTCATAAGTTTAAGGTTGACATCAATGCATAATAAATGTAATTGCATGGTGCTCTTATTAACCCAGTAGAAAATCCTGAAAGTAGATCTACTATAAATATGCCTGCAATAGTCCTCGTTGAAGGTGGTCCCAAGGCAATTAAGTTTTATAAAAAGCTTATGCTTCGTCGTATTAAATGGAACAAAAACAGCTACTTACCTAAAGATGAAAATGGTGAAATTATTACTCCAGTTGACTTGACAGATAATAAATGTGCTTTAGTTTGGGAAGGAGTAGTTAAAGATCACAATTTCAATAAATGGAAAGTTCATGATGTGGACAGTGAAGTAGAAGCTAGAAGAGTTTTTACAGAAAAAAATGTAGAGTTTTACTTTGACATGGCAATTAACTATTAATATCCTAATTGAAAAGAAAATTTAAATTGAATTAGCCTTTTATTTTTCTATTTATGAAAATCTATTTGAAGGAAATTAATTTATGAAAAAATATTTATTTGATAATCAATTTAAATTGATTTTATTGAGATAAAAATATAGAAAAAAAACTATTATTTTTTATTTATGTACTTAAAAAAGTTAGTTAAAAAACATTTGTTTCATTTTAACAAATTAATTTATTAAACACAAACAATTTAGTATATTTTTTTTAAATAATATAATTTTCATCATTATTTCTACAGCTATATTTATGGAAATATTTGTTAGTTGAGATCAAATTTTTTGGTATTTTATCATATTAAGATTTAGTGTAGTATGGTGGAGGGAATATAGGATCAATTTTCCTCATTATTTCAACTGCTATATATATGAGAATATTTATTAGTTTAGATCAAGTTTTTTGGTATTTTATCATATTAAGATTTAGTGTAGTATGGTGGAGGGAATAATGGATCAACAGCAAATCTAAAAGTTTGATCAATAAGCTCATTATAAAATTTATATAAAAATTAGTTTTAACTATTTCCTTACTTCAACTTTGTGTTAACTGAAAGTAACCATACTTTTAAGTATTTATCAACAATAAAATTTAAAGAAATAACCTTTTTAAAATGAAATATATTTAATTCAAAATATATTATTTATTTATTTAGTTAATATTTATTTTGTTTGAACAAAAATATTATTTAATGAATATTTGAAATATTTAATTGCAAAGAATGAATTATTGAAATAAGTTAGTGATATTTATTTACCTAAAAGCAAAATTGTAATCTATCATTGAGGATATCTTAAGCTTTATATTTAATAAATTCACTAGAGAGTTTCTATTTATTTTGAAATATAATTAATTGTATCAATAAATAAAAATTATTTATAATTATATATTTTTAAAATTATAAAAAATATAGAATTTATTTATACTTTAATTTGCTATAAGATTGTGTTATCAAATGAGCAATTTTGGAATTAAAAGTGGGCATCTTTGTATTCAGATAGACTCATCTTGTTAAACTTTTCAAAAATACCATAGTTCTAAGCTTTAAATTACTTTTAATCATTGGTATTATGTGAAGCATCATCATCTAAATCTAAAATTTAATAGCTTTTAGAACATGTAGAAATAAACCCATCTTCGTACCAGTAAGCTTTATTAAAATATAAAAATTATTGATAAAGTATCATTAAACTTTATAATTACCATTTAGGTGATCATTATAAGATGTTACTAATACAAAACCTTTTATTGTAAACTTTCTTTTTTCAAGAAGTAGAGGTTATTCAATATATTTTTGAACAATTATTTTTTATATTTTTTATTTTGGCTACAAAAGTTAGTTTTTAAACTATTAAATATCTTCCTTTTTGTAAATTACTATTCAATTTAAAATCATATTTATTTCTCATTTAATTGTATTAAATAAATTAATAGTTACTTTTGTAGTCATAATTGTCGTTTTTATTATCGATGATCTTAACAATCCATGTGTTTGTCAAAAAATTTTAAGATATATCCTTTTAATGGCTTTAATCTAAATAAATCTGATTTATACTTCCATCTAATTTATCAAATTCTTATTAAAATTTTTGAGCCTGCTGCTTAAAATTTTCTTTTGTAAAAAGAAAAGAAGTTGGAATACAAAGTATATCCTAGTTTTAAGCTTAAAAGTCTACCTATATTTTACATGATTATTTCAAAACAATGAAAATATTAAATTATATGAATGAATACATATTATTTTTCTATTTCTTAAAATGGCTATAAATGATTGTATAGTGTAATTGATTTCTTGTTGTTTATATGGTACCATTTTTAAGGATTAGCTACATGTTTTTCTTCTTACAGGGCGGTGATTTGATTTTATTGGCTCTTCTTAAAAATATTCTAGTTTTTATAAATTATAATTTTAACAAAGAAAATATGCATTAAAACTATTTTACTTAAATTTTTAATTCTTCTTATTTAAAATAATCTTAATCATTAGTTTTAAATTGATTTGTTTTGTAACTAACTAAGCTTGAAACATTACTTATTAAATAGCTGTCATCGAAATCTTCTTTTTGTAAATTTTGCTTTTGAAACAATTTTAAAGGAGTTAAATAAGAAAAGTAATCTAAACTCAATTCCTAGCTGCAGAATAAATTTGCATTTTAATTTTATAATTTATTTGATTTATTTTAAATTATCCACCACCATCTATTTTATTTATCAAAAAGCATAATAAATATATATATATATATAATAAGAATAATAATTAAATACCTCATTGATAGTGCTTAATCATAAAGACTATCATTGATTTACATTTAGAGATTAATTACAGGGTTATAATCTAAAAATCTTAACATATCAAAATTTTGCACTAAGTTATTTTAGTTGTTCAACTTTCTTAAAAAAGAATAGTATTATCTTAGATATTCACAGTCAAATATAAAATCACTTTATTCTATTTATTGTTTAATTTAACTTTGATTTTAAACCTTTTATTGTTTTACAGACAGCAATGTTTACTTTTTTTAAGGAGTTAAATTCTTTTAAAATTATGAATTATTGAAATATTAAGTTTTTTGTTAGTAATCATATCTTTTTTAATCAGTTAGAGCCGATTTTTGAACATAAGGTTATTTGACTTAGCTCTTATTGTTGTAATATCCAGTTTTTGAAGAGTAACTAGGGGTTAGAGATCTTTATTATTGTTGGATTTCTTAATCCATCTATTGGTCTTCTATTTGTATTTGATTCCTTTTTGTAGGAGTTTTAAAATATTCAACAAACTTTTTATGTTTAAGTAATATTGGGGAAAACTCAAATTTTTATATTTTATTTTATTTATATGACTACGGTGTTTAAGACTTTGTGCTTATCTATGCTTTTGAGCTTTACTAATGAGTTTAACTCACAGAACTTTGCAATTCCAGTTATTTTTAAAACTAAAAAGTTTATTCATTTACCTAATTCATATTATTTTCAATGCTAGTCTCTAAATTTTATTACTACAAAATTTATCCATTATTTTATAAACTTTAGTTTATGAGAGGATTTAAACCGAAATTGCTTGTTTTACCAAACTCAAATTGACTCAACTGAATTTAATTTGATTAGAAATTCTCTAAAAATATATTAAAAAGTTATACTTTTTAGTATCCATCAGCAGTTATTTTATCTTAAAGTAAACTCTGATTCAATAATAGATGGTTTACTACTTTTTATATGTCCTAAAAAATAATTAAAATCTAAAATCTAAATAAATAAATAAATTATTATATTACATTTTAATTATTGCTTATTTTAGTTTATGGTAGCACATCTTTTGATATGATGATTTGTAGTAGTTAGAAAATATTTTCTTACATCATTTAAGAAGTAAGTTATATAAAAGAGTCGATTTGATATTTATCAGAGACATTCAAATGAATTAAGTTATTCCATTGTTTTATTTAATCAATATTGCATAAAATATCTTTGACAAATATTCTACTCTTATTTTAAAGCTTAATCTAATTTTCATTGTGTTATCGATTTATGTATAAAAGGAAATCAGTCAAATCTTTTTATTTCTACTGCAAAGCTGCTTGGTGAAAGTTATATTGTTGGTTTAAAACTTATTATTGAAATTAACATTTTTCTAATTATTCTGTATATTTTTTTTCATCTTCCTAAATCTCAGTAACAATATTTTACAAAGTCTGCCATTTATCTCTTGCACTATTCTAAACTGATGATTCTATACTTATAACTTCTTCAACTTTCTTAGTAGCAACTAATTGTGGCTTCACAGTCTATAAAGTTTAGGATTTTCCCATATCACACATATTTAATATATTTTGTTAAAAAATATCTCTGGCATCAAGTATAACACTTTTCTTTTAGTTCATTTTGGTTAATAAAGATTAAATTATTAGTAAATTACTTTTTAATTTTAAGTAGAAGTTTGTTGTTGTGGATTACTTTTTACCTCTTTTTAGATTATAACTTTTTACTAAAGCAATTTTAAGAACTCGTTTATCTTCATAGGTACAGTACATGATATTTCAAGATAAATCATATTATTTTTTTAAGCAAACGCATTTGCCTTTTAAAGTTTATAGGAGAATTAACTTTTACAAAAAAACAAAAAAACATACATCTGAGGAATGGATTTATCTGCTACAAGACATATCAAGTTTATTTCCAAGTAGAAATATAATGCATTTATTTTAGTTAATAATTGTTTTTATAGACTAATAGCTAAATATTTAATACAATTTTTTAATTTAAATGATCGTATAAAGACTAATTTTACATTCTTTTAGCATTATCAAAAGACATCTTGGATGTTAGGTCAAAAAGAAATACTATCACTGAAGATTTAGATGCTTATCTTTTATATAAATTTAGTAGAAATAAATATTTTGTAATTAAGCAAATTTATAAATTACACATTGCTGTTGAATTATATATCTAATTTTATCGATTATTCATTTTTATCTATCATTAAATAACTTTTTTCATCTCCTTGACCTATTTTTTAAAAAAAAAGTTAAAATAATCTCTCGCTAATTTTCTCTATAATGATAATGTCTTTTGTAATGTGTGAAAGATATTGGTTAAAAAATACCTATTCTATTTACAAAAGAAGTTAATCCGTCTTTTTATCCACTAAAAATGGTCATATAATAATTATTTTGCTATGAGCTATTCATTTACTATTATAATAAAATACTTTTAATCTTCTTAAATTCTAATCTATCTAGTTCTTTCAGCTCAGCAATTATTCTGGATTTTAATTAAATTTTTAAAGTAATAAACAAATATTATGTGGCTTTATTTTGTTTACTTAATTAAATAGGACTGTTGATCATAATAAAATATTTGTTAATACTAATAGGTGATAAAATTTATTACAATATCCCCTTTTATTAACAGCATTCTATTAGATTTTTATAAATACAGTAAATTGAAAGATATTTTGTTACAAATAACTCATTTTTTTCTTATTTCTTATATCTAATTTACACAAAAATAAATATTTAGCTTGAATTGATGGATATTAATTTATTCTTAACTTCTTAAAAACTCATTTATCTCTAAAAATTAATTCTTCTACATCTTGGAGGTCAAATTAAGAATTTTAGTATTTAAATTTACATATTTGTTAAATGAACATTAAATTAAAAGCTTATTTACTTACAAAAAAAATTATATTCTTCTTACTTTAAGTTAAATTTAAAAAATAAAAATATTTTAATTATAACCAAAAATTAATAATTTAAAAATTTTTATGTCTCATGATAAATAATATAAAAAATTATTTAAGCAAAAATAGATAGAAAAATTTGATGGATAGATAGGTGGGAATGGAGAAAAGAAAATAACTAAAATTTAAAGACTTAGCTATTTTTTAAAAAAAAAAATTAAGGTATTTAGGATAATTTATTTAATAATTCACCCTAGTTTAAAAATAAATTATTAATAGAATTAATAATTATATTTAGAATTAACAATTAAGAATTAGTTAAATAGAATACGCAAATTTTAAATACTATGAATTTCATTCATAAAATTAATTTTTATATGTGTTACATCTATATGGAAAGTATACAATTTATAAAATTGTAAAAGATATAAAATAATTTAAAATATAAATTAGTTAAGAATTATTATTGTTTGATTTTTAAAAGATAAATTGTTCATTAGTTGTTAAATAATTTATTTCTGATTTCTCTTAATTTGCTTTAGCTATCTTAATCTCTTTTGATTTTTTTTGATTTTTCATTCATTTATATTCTGAAGAATATAAAGTAGATTTCATGGATGGTGGCAAAGAAAATTCTGAATAAAAGCTGTCCAGTTAGGAAAATAGAAATTATGAATAAAATGTAAGGTTTTATTCTAGAGAATTACTCATCTTCTTCAATAACTTTACTTGTTAATAGGATAGAGAAAACTATACCAATAGTGACGTTAGTTATGAACCACTCAGCTACGAATTTAAACTTAATTTGCTTGCTCAATTCTTGTTAGGCACCACTGTCATCAGAGTTTTTAGTTCCCCAAGAGAGATCATCAATTCTACAAATAGCGTATATAAGCAATAAATGAATATATTATGCTTAATAAGCCATATAGTGAATGAAAGACTTAAGAATCTCAATAATTTTAGTGGGGTACCAAAGGATAGGAATAACATTAATTGCAAAACCTAAAACGACTATCCAGGAGAAGACAGTACGTAATTTTTCATCTTTCCATGAGCTTAACAAACCTCTATTTTCTTCTTCTATTGAAATATTTCCAATTATGTTCTTTTTAATTACATAGATGAACATTTCGACAACGTATGCCATCATAAGACCAAAGGCTGCTAACATAATTATACCTAAATAAGTAGAAATAGCGTAAAATGAAGATATAACTTTAGGATTTCTATTATTGAAAGCTATTGAGTAATAAATGATCATTAAAATGCACATAAAGTAAGAGACTAAGAAAAGAGTGGTCAATACAACTGAAACTATTGAGTTTGTATCCTAAGCTTAATTAAGAGTAATTGTTTCAACGTTAGTTAAAATCATGATGAACACTATAGTAAAGAATACTGATAAAGAGACATATCCCAAAAACTAGAAAATATTCAATAAGAGATTAGTAAATTAATTTTTTATTTAAATTCTAAACTTACATTATTTAATTGAGCGAATTTCATACAAATCTTAAACTTTAAAAGCTCCCAAGTTGTATGGTCTGATTCGTATACAATACTCTTCTTCTTAAGCGCTTCTATAAGTGCAAAATATGATCCATTAATCCATCTTCCTGAAAATTATTTTAAGAAATTTATCAATTAATAAAATTAAAATCGAAGAAAATAATTTAGTTAATTACTTCTTTGACCAACTAAGGTGACCAAATCTGTGACAGGATCGACTCTAGCAGTAGCATTTCTAATATATCTTAAGGTATACTTTTTTCCTTTTTTAGAGAATATTTTTAAGCAAAGAATTCTATCTTCAGCTAGATTCATATTTTATTATTCTAAAGTTAGTTCCTACTCTTTATCTAAGACACTTGCTAAGTAATCATCTAAAATAGAATTTCCATCATTATCTCTTTTCAAAGCTTCCCAGCGGTAACCACTAAAAGCACCAGGAAGAACTTAAATAAACCCAAATAAAGATTCAAAAGGTTTATCAATTAAATGACCTAATTAAATTAATTAAAATAGTTAGCAAAAATAAATGAAGAGGAAAATTATTTATTAATTAATTATTTACCCATGTTATACTCAAACATCTAAGCCTTTTGAATGCTAAATGTTTCTTCATACAATTATGAAATCCAGTCTACTTGTTTTTCATCAAAGTTATCAGCTGTTATTTATTTATTTATTAATGTATTTATTTAAATTAACCATTGTAAATTATTTAAATGAATTTAATTAATTACTTCTCTCTCCTGATTCATTATAGACATTCTATAATTTAATACCCATAAAACCACAGACTCCTCCAATATCTTTGTCTGTTTCTAAGGCTAAATACATATTGACTAGTGCAGTTTCATCTGGAATGAGACCACAATCTAACAAAATAGTATGCTCAGGCTAGAATAACTCACAAAAACCACAAAAGAACCACAAATGACTTGAAAGTTTACCACCATTTTTATACTTGATGCAATGGAAAATATGGAGATAATCCTCAGTTTCATCATTAGCGCTTGATGATTTTTCTTGTTCCTAGTTCTAATCAACAACTTTTGAAATACGTTCTCTCATTTGATAAAGTCTATAAATTTAAAAAAATTAATTTCGTTTGGTTATATTATTTAATTATTTAAATGATGTCAAATTTTATAAAATCTAATCATAAAGTCTATAAATTACATAGCGTTATTGCTCTTTGAGTCAATATATTTTTAAGCTTTTTATTTCACAGAATACAAGAAATCAGCCTTTTTAGCATCTTCTTGTCTGACATCATCAGTTATAGTTGATTTATATTTTATATATTCTTCGTTAAGCTTCTCATTTTGCTTGAAGATCTTAAAGTCATCATTTCTGAGTTATTCTACTTGATACTTAGAACGCTCCAACTACTCTTTGAATTTTTCATATTTTCTAGGAATAGTAAAGTTAGAGTTGTGGTATTTAGAACCTTCAACACGATCCCATAATCTATTTTTAAATATTTTTGTTTAATTTGTGTTATGTTATTTTTAAATTACTTGAAGTATTCAATCATATTGTCATCTGGATCTTTTTCATTATTTATTTTGTCAATACCGTCATAAATTACAACGACAACTATTTCTTCGTTTTAAATTCCTAAATTTTTTTTGAAATGCTTCATGTTTCTCAAAATACCATCCAAACTTGATTCTTTAATAATGATTTTATTAATTTATAAGTAAATTAGTAGATAAAAATATACCTAATTCTTTTCTTGCTTCGTTATACATTGTAATACAAATGGCTAACTTGGGCTTAATCTTGAGAGATTCATCATTGGTAGATTTTTAATTATAAAGAGAGATTAAACCATGGTTAGGAACTTTTTGATCATCTACTATATCCTTTATTTATTCAAATTTTTATGACAGATATGGGTCTTTTGAAGTCCTACTGCATCCTTTGAGGATAAATTTATTAATATGGCTTCCAGGTTAAGGTATTTCTATTTATATTTAATTGTATGTTGCTTTCTAAAAGTTAATTTTCTTAATTAATGCATACCTTTTTCCATTTTTAACTCAACAGGAGCCAAAATTTAGTGCTTATACTCTACCTTAGGTTAAGCGAGATTTGTTTTTAAACTGAAAAGTCTTGAACTCATATCTTTTACAAAGTTTATTTACCTTTTTTAATTAATTATTTTTTTTTTAATTTTACTCAAAAATCTAAGCAAATACACTTTTTAAACACTAAAAATATTAGCTATTTAGTGAATGAGTGAATTTATAGGTAATTGGTTGATAGATGAAATTAATTTTTTGAGTTAAGTAAAAAGATTTTTTTAGAATTAACTAGGAAATATGACTCGTAGATAAGGAAAATACATCTAGCATTTATATCCACAAGATAATAATTCTCTATTTTTTTTTCAAACGTAATGTTTAGTCAAACGAGTGAATCATAACTAGCTCGTTTGGTTGCTAGTGTAAATTTAAATTAAAGTATCTTTCATAATTTTATTAGATCAGTAATATTATATTAATTGAGTAAAACAAAAGATCCAGTAACAATTATTTAAGTTAACAAAGTTATAATGGTTTAAAATTTTATTCATAAATTAATACTCATAACGCAAAACTTAATCTAAAATAATAATTTTCCCTAATAAACATAATAAATTGCTACATTATTTGAATAAAATTTAAGCTTAATTATGATTAGGTTTTTAAGATATTAAAAATGTTTGCTTTTAAAATATGATTTGCTTAAACTGTAAATGAAGTTATCTATTATTAGATTTGATTTTCTATTTTATGCAAAGCTAATAAAAAGAATAGATAAAACCAAAATATTCATTATACCTTCAATTTGTTTGCGGTATTCTCATTATTTTATGAGTTTATTTTAAAAAGCCATTTAAATTAATAAATTCTTTTCTATTATAAACATAAAATGTATAAATATCCATCCTAAAAAACTTAATAAAAGATAAAAATAATTTTTTAATTAATTGTGATTTTTAATTTAGTTAGCATGTTTTTATAGCTGAAAGCCTTTAAAAAGTAAATAATTTAATAAATTTATTAAAATAGAAGACATTATATTTTAGATACTGACAAATAGAATTAAATAAGATTTATTTGTTTATGTATTTACAAGTTTAATTGTTTAAAATTATTTTTTGCATAGAATGATAAACTCGCTAATCACTAAAAATAAGGGATTAGAATCTCTTTTATAAAAAAGGGAGAGGTGTAGGTAGAGTAAGATATAACTATTTTATTTTATTACAAGCTCAATTTAATTAATTTATTTATTTATTATTTTACATTTATTTTAGATTCTCAATCCCTACTAAAATACTTATTTGTTATTAATTAATTTATATAAATATATTCAGTAAAAATTAAAATTTTTTTTTTATTTAGGTTTTTTATTTAATACAAAAGGTTCGCTCATCTAGTTTTAATATTTTAGAGTTTTAGGAACATTTATTTATTTATTCTTTTTTAATAGATTTTTTCAAAGTAGAAGCTCACTTTAGCTTGAAAAGTTAACATTTTATATTTAAAGGTTATTTTAATTCAATTACATGAAAATTTTATTTATTTCCTTTTTAATATGCTACAATTTTACTGGTTTAGAAAGAAACCCATCTGCCCCGCTTTATTGAGCATTTTAAATTTCATCCAGACGAGAATCACCTGATATCATTACTATAATAATTTCTTAATTAATACCTTTTATTATTTGTATTGCTTCTGTTCCTTTCATCACTGGCATATTTGAATCTATAAATATTAGCTGGTATCCGTTAGGGCTATTTTAAACTAAATCAGCAGCCTCTTTACCGTTGTACGCCTTTTCAAGAAGGAATTCATTTTTTTGTAAAAAATCTAAAGTTTAGAGCATCACATAAATGTTAAAAGGTTCATCGTCAACAATAAGAACACTTTTTACTCCTAGCTATCTCAGTTATCCTATGAATTGCTCGTTAGAATTTTACTCCATTTAAGGACTATGCAATGCGCTTTGGTCTTGGGGAATATTATTGATGTAGTATGAGCTACTTAATTTTCTAACAGCTTTTTTGTGGTTTTGTTTTGGATTTTAGAGAGTTGTTGTAAAATTAGAGCTTATGTTTCCATTTGAATTTAATCTCTTTTGAGTCGGAGTTCTGCTTTTTTATAGATTTTATGTCGAAAGTTACTAATTTTACTAAGATACTTGATGATTATTTTGAATATTGTTTTCAAAATCAATTTTATCAGCTAGCTTCAGATTTTCATTAACAATTATTGCATTATAAAGTGTTTTTGATGAGGAAGGAACCAACTCTGATTAATTAATTTCTGATTGAAAAGCTTAAATTTGATTTTATTATGAATTAGTCAATTAATTTTTAATAAAAGATTTAGAATTTCCTGTATATTATGAACCACTCTTTAAATTTTGGTTATTAGATAAAATACCTTATATTTTATAGCCTTATTCTAGAGGAGGAGGAGGAGGAGATAATTCGTTTGGGTTACTTATGTTACGAAAAGGTGACTTGTTATATTTAAATTTGTACTCAAAGTTGGTTTTGATATTTCTTTCACTTTCGTAAATTGATTTAGGAGTTAAACTGATTTACTGACTGCTATGGCTAATCTAATGGTCATTTTAGTTATTATTTGTAAGGATCCCATCATAATTTTAAGATATATTTGTAAAACTAGAATTGAAACGGTTTTTTTGGTTGGATAAAATACCACTAGGAGTTTAGATAAGGCTATTTAATTATTTGATCTTATTGCCTAGACTCTTCAAATCGTTCATATTATAAAATCTATCAGAAACTAAAGGGATATTTGCATGAGATATGTACTATTTAGTGTCAAATTATATATTTTCTAAAATATTCTTAGAAAGGTAGTTCTCTTGCTCACTTTCTTCCGAAAATTAATTTGTTTGTTTCTTTTGATTTTCTTAGTTTTTGTAATCATGCTATAGTTCTTAGTCTTCAATACTACATCCTTCAGTCTTTATGCTCATCACTGAATTTGCATCACAATAATTGTAAATGTGTTTATCTTACAAATTTAAAAATATAACAAATGAAAAAGTAGTGCCTTTATCTTTTTCCGAAATCAACTATATTTATTGTTTGCTAGGTCCCATTTCTTATACAAGTTTTTGACTAATAACAAGACCTAAGCCAACTCCTATATTGATAAAAATAAAATATAAAAATAAATGTCATGTATTATTATTTAGTATTTTGGAAAGTATTTTTTAAAAAAAAGTATATTCTTGTAAGTAAATTCTATGCAATTAGAATGTGAGTTTGCATCAATTAAAATTTTAAATTAAGATAATTAATTAATAAGTTGTAAATATAACCCAGTATTTTCAAGTAAGCTAAAATATTAATATTTTTTACAAGTATTTAATATCAAAATATTAAAGTAATTACCTCTCGGGTTTTCACCTTTTTTATTGTCAAATGTTTGATAAAGCTTAAAAAGCTCATTCTTAATGTTATCTGGAATACCTGAGCCAGTGTCTGAAATGGATATTTTAAAAAGCTCTTACTTGTTTGTATTAGAAAAAGAGACAGTCACTCCACCTCTTGAGGTATATTTGATTGCATTGCTAATAAGATTGATCATAATTTATTTTAATCTAAATCCATCTGTATAAATGTAATCATTGCATAGTTTTGAAATGAAAATGAGCTCAATACCTTTCAATTTTACTTATGGAAGAAATAAACTATTGAGTTCATTAATTAAATCATCTATTTTAACTTGCTCGCTGACTAATCTAAGTTTTCTCTTCGAGTGCTGATAAAAATCTTAAATATCATGCACTAAAAATAAAAGAAGCTGGGTATTTTTTTAGGCTATACTCAAAAACTCCTTGATTTTTTCTAAATTTAATTGATTCTATTAGGTAATATCTTTTTAATTAATTATTTCTTTTTCACATAAATCAAGCATTTAAACCATACCATTTAGAGGGTTTTTCAAATCGTGAGTAACAGTAGCTAAGAGATCATCTTTGTAGCCTTCTTTGTCTACTGTATTATTTTCATTTAGGTTTTCTTAAATCTCCTTGTAAACATCAGTTACTTCTATAAAATAAAAAACTGCTATATTCTGCGATAAAAATTTTAGATTTTAGATATTTTAATTTTAATTCATAGAATAGACAATCGAGTTCATTTTTGATAAGCTCAGATTACTAGATCTTTTTTAAATTGCAGGCTATTGAGGAAATAATTAGATCAGGTGATGTTGTTGTTGCTACTACTGCAATTATTACAATTGACTTTACAGATTCAAATTTTCACTTAAGTTGTTTTCAGCAGTTTATAAATGATGAGCTTTACTTTTAGGGGAAGGAAGAAATCCATTATCAAATTGGATATGATCTTGGATAATCATTTTGTATATCGTTGATGTTCTTTAATTTTGACAAATGTGATAGTTTTTACTTAAAATATCTTTATATTTAGGATCAAAGAACATTTTAATAAACTTTTCTAGCGAGACGGTTAGTTCGTCTATGTGCATTTCGCTTATAAATTTTTTTGTGTCTTCATTGTTTGTTTCAACTATTTCTATCTTTTTTTCTTAAGAGCTGATTATAAGATATTGAAATGGAATATTTATTTGCTTTTAAATTTAGTTTAAAGTTTTTTCATAGTTAGGAATTTAAATAGGGAGACCCTATTAGCTGTTAGAAATCTACTCTTCGAAGATTGTTTGCTATTTAATTTCTGGGAAGTAAAAACTTTCATCATTGATCATAGAGAGTTATGTTTTTGACAAAGTTGATTGCTTCTTAACTGTATTCGATTTCATCATTTGGGGAGATTAGTTGAAATTTTGTTACTATATTATGCTATCTTCTATAGTCTAAACCTGTAAATTACCACAATTAGGACATTAAATATTAATCCCAAACCCAACCTGAGAACTAAATTTATTTTTTTAACCAAGTCTGACTTTAGCATTTTAATTGCTGAGCATGCGAGTGTTTTTCCTTATGCTTTACTAAAAACTGTTCTTACTAGAAGTCGCTTAAATAATCTTAGGATTATTTGTAGTCCCGTTTTTGTTAATCTAATTCTATTGCTAATTCAAATTTTAATAAATGCTACTGTGTAAGTTTTTATTGAAAAAAAAATTATTTGAGCTATGGTTATTAATGTTCATAGAATCTTACTAAATATTGTTATTTAAATTATTACTAACTCTGTGTGAATTACAGTAAATAGAATTCTCGTTCATAATATTGAGGTTTTATATATTTTATCTTTGTGTTTAAAAATTTAAGTTGCTGCTTGTTTGATGAATCCTATTGTTTTACTAGACAATACCGCCACTACCTATCATATTATTTATGTTAGCGCTATGAATGTAGTGAGATTATGTCTAAGAAGCTAGTTTTCTTATTGAGGGATTTAATTAGTATGAGCTAGGTTACATCGCTGCTTAAGTAGTACAATTAAATTAAAAAGACATAAAGTAACTTAGATTTTTGTGATTAGAAGTTAAAGTTGCATCTTAGCTCTAACCTCCATAAGATTTACTATATATCAATCTGTTAATATTTTAATCAATCTTGTTGAGGAAGATAGTAATGGCGATAATAAATAAACATGAAAGAGCAAAATAAACTGCCATTCCAGTGCAAAAGTCTTATATTATAAAAAAGATAATCTATAGGTATATTATATAAGGAAAAGAAATTAGTTGTATTCTTCTTGATACTTCAATACCAACAAATGAAAACAAAAATAGCATTTCTTATATTCTGGTTGCTCTGCTCTAATTGTGCTCCTAGTCATGGTAAATAAGAATCGATGCGATTATCACTGCCTACTTTGTAACTATCAATAACTATTGCAAAATGTTATGTAAAAAGGTCTCTTTTATAATAAGCAGTATATCTATCATACATATTAATAAAGTGATAGTACCTAAAATCAAGAACATATTTTTAAGATTATCTTTATTCAAAATAAATGTCACCAGTACAATGCAAATAAACGCTATATTAATAGTTATATAAAGACATTTCACAAAAATTTTTATCTATTCATTTATTGATTCTTAAGGACTTAAACCTCCTTTATCGTTTATATTAAGAGCAGGATTTGCGTCTTCATTTTAATTAAAGTTTTCTTTTACTAAAGATGGATTCATAGTCTACCTAATAGTCTGCGAAATTTATATATTAGAATTTAACTAAATGTAAATTTAATTGATGCGGATTTTATACTAAAATTCGCAGATGATTTATTGTAAAATCTATGGCTAAGGTGAACTTTTTATTCTATTTGACTGCTAAATTGATATGTTTTTACTTATATTAATATAGCAGATGCTAAATGATATTATTATTAATAGAGTGATATATTATAAAATTGCTAGCTTAAGATTTGTAAGGAATACTCAATAAAAACTTATTATATTCAATATTACAAAGATTTTTATGTATTAAACAATAACTAAATGAATCTCTTTATAATGATCATTAATTTATTAATATCTTCATTATTTCTTTCTTCAACTAAACTAATTAATTCATTCATCCATTCACCCTTTTAACATGAAATTCATATTTTTTTGTTTGTTTGTTTTTGGTTTTTTACCTACCTTCAAATGTTAATAAAAACTTGTTCTTTTTTCTTCTAAATACTTTCAACTATTTTAAAAAAATGAATGGGTATTTTTATTTCAACTTTTTAGCTTTACATCAACTTTTTTCTAGCAATTTTTTAGTTTTTTCTTTTATAAATTTAATGCAAAAATGTTTCGCCCATTTATTGATAATACTTTAGAATTTTATAAACTGAACCTAACTAATTACATATTTGCTGCGTATAAAATATAAATATTTAAACAAAAGTAAAAAATTGATAGTATTTTTATATTTTCCCTTGAAAACATTTTAGAACCTGAATTAAATACATTTTAAAATACTAATAAACTCTTTGATATTTTATTAAATTAACTAATTATTTTTATAAATTCTATTATAAGCAGAAATATTTACTATTCTTAATATTAAATTATAAAAAATTATACAAATAGAATTTTATCTCTCACTAATTATTAATATTAGATAGCTGGCTTTATTGATAAGTTGAAAAATTGATAAATATTTGCTTCTAAATCTTGAATAAAATAAAATTTGTATACAAATCTAAAATTTAATTTTGTATTTTCTCAAAAATATCTCATTTATATACAAAAGTTCTAAAATTAAGCTATCCAATCTGTAAATATTTAGAAATTATTTATTTTTATAAATCTAAATTTTATTAAATAATTCCCTTAATTTGTTTGAAAATAAAAATTGAAATTATAAATTTATTCAAAACATCTTTTTTGCCATAAAAAGCATTAATATATAGAATCAATTACAATTTTAAATAAATAAATAATAATTAATTATTTCATTTATCACTACAAAAACAATACAAATTAATCAAGAATTGCCTGTATTTTTTTGTACTTTAAAATTCTACAAACAATTTCTAGTAGTGTGCCTAAATATTTAAATAAATATATTTTACTAAAATGACTTAAAATTCTACAAAAATTTAAAGGGAAAACTTCAATTTTTTGTAATTGTTAAATTTTTAATGTTTTTATGATTAAGATTTGGTATTTTCAATATAAAATATATTTAAAGTAAAAAAATAAAAAATTTTTTAGTTATAAATTTATAAAAAAGTCATCTTAGGATTTCTAAAAGAGGCTGATTAAAATTTTCAAATTATAAAATTGTTAAATACAACTAAATTACAGATTTTAATAATATACATATAAAGTTAACTTTAAAGCTCTTCAAGATAAATTAATATCTTAAATATTTTTTTGTAAATATAACATCATTTATAGTTTTAGAACATTTTTTTATATTTTAACATGACTATCTTAAATTTATTATTAAAATATTTTAAATTCATGTATTTATCCTTGTAAATTAAAATAGTATAAATATTAAGTTTATATGAAATTATGATGAATCAACTTAATTTTAAATACAAATTTTTAAATTTATAAAAATTATTGATATTATAAACATAGCTGAAGCATTCTAACTTAAACAAATGATCTAAACCAAAAATTAAATTAAATCAATAGGTAGCAAGATAAACAACCAAATTATTATATTATTGTTATAATTTTACTCATTTCCTAAAAAAAATATATATTATAATTGATAATTAAGAGGTTATAAAACCTATAAGAAAATCATACCAAAAATATTTTCCAATTTATATGGTATAGATAAATCTGATCTAAGGAATGAACAGTATAAGTATTAAAGAATTTAAAAAGCTTATTAAAACTATTTCATCAGAATTATTACAAACCTAATATACTTGAATGAGTAAAGAAATCTTAAAATAAACCAATTTATTATTTTATATCAAAATTTTTAAGAACAAAAGTTATTCTCATTAAAGACAATATTAACATTAATTCATGTAAGAATAATAATTTTAACATTCAAAATATCCTGATTTACAAAAAGAGCTAATTTAATTACAAGAAAAGTCTTTCTTTTAAAGATAGCAAATCTAAGTATAGATGTTTATATCTAAATAATAATTAGCTTCGCAAGCTAAACTAGAATTATAAAGAACCATTATTATATTTAAAAAATTTACTAAGTAATATGTATTAACATAAAAAATAAATATAGCTAAATTAATGAATGATTGGAAACCATAAATATAAGTGTATCAAATTTTATTTAATCTAAACAAAAACCTAATAAAACTTAGAGCAAATTTGTTGCTATTAAAGCATTAAATATATAGAAGTGGACAAAATATACAATTTATCTTTTAAGTAATATCCTAAATATAAAAAGAACATGCCTCTGATTTAGTACACCACGAATATTGAGTTACATGTATAATTTAAAATCAATTTAATTTTTAAAAATATCCTTCTTTTCACACATATTAATCAAATTCGTTAAATCGAAGTTTTATAGCCTCATATTTTGATATTATATTTAAGTAAAATCGACTTCTTTTTAATTTAAATATTTATTAGGCTATTTAATAATATAATATGATTACTGAATTATCTGGAAATATTGTTTATATATAAATAATAAAATTAATAGTGAAAATTTCAAATAACTCAATAATAAAAAACATCTTATGTTAAGTAAAATTAGAAAAAAATAATATTTGACTTTTTTAATTCTTAAAATAATATTTTTATAAAAATATGTTTTAATTAATTTTATTGTAGTAGAGTTAACAAAATTTAAGTTTAATTTTTATTTTTGTTTAAATCAATGAAGAAAACTTCAAATAATTCTTTCAATAAAACTCTGTATATTCTTTTATTTATATAAATTAATAAAAAATTATATTTTACTTTTTAAAATTTTAAATTATAAAAAAATTTTTTTAAATAAAATATATTTTAATTAATATTTTTTAGTTGAGTTTTAATTTATATTTAATAACCATTTTTATTCTTAGTTTAAGTGATGAAAGATTTAATCAGATTAATATTAAATTAAATTGTTTGTATAAAAATTATACTCAAATAAATACTTGAATGAATTTTATATCAAAATCTAAGTTTTTACTTTTTTTAGTTAAAAATAAAATACTAAAATCTATCAAGTATGAAAATTAAACAAAGTAAATCTCCTATTTCTATTTTTTTAATATCATTTTTTTAATACTAATATAAAATTAGTAAAAGAGCAAAAAAGTTGTTATCCTAAAAAGCGTTCAGAAATATTTTTAACCATTTATTTAAATATAAATATTTCATTTTTAAATAATATTAAGAGTAGTAAGTAAGTGCTTGTATTGTAAGTGTAAAAATTTGTAGCCTTACTTATTATAATAAATTGTCAAAAATATTAATTAAAAAAGTCAGAAAGTACCACAAATTTAAACCTAAGCTAAAAAATTTATTTTTTTAAATTTGTGGTAATCTAAAATAAGTATCACTATTTTATTGTAATTGATTTGTATTAAAAATTCAATAATTATCACATAATTTTTATTTAAACTATTTAAGCTGCTATTTCAATGATTAATAAAAGAAAAATTATAAATGCGAATATGATGTAATTTAGCTTACCAAACTATAATTTGCTTATAAACTTTAATTTTCTTCTGATTAATGATTGTAATTAATTTAATAATACTTCTGAAATTATGAAATTAGAAATCGAATGTAAGGTTGCTTGAATAGATCAATTACTCAAGTATCGAAGATCTGAAATAGATAAATAGTGATATTGAAAGGTAAATTTTTAATAATTTGATTATTGACTGATTGTGTGAACATAAGATGATTGAAGATTAATTTAAAAATCTTAATTATTTCTGACATCTAACTATTTTTTAAAAACTCAAAACATATCTAAAATATAACTAACTTGATATATGTCTCATTTTGTTGGATAAATAATAATTTATTTTTGAGAAATATACTTTAATATTTTAAATAAACTAACAAAAAGGTAAAATCAAAAATTTGAAATGAAAGCATAATTCTTTCTTTTAAAAATTGCCTTCTCATTATTTGTAAGCTAAAATCTTTTAGTCTTCTTAAGGGCTGGTAACTTTACAATAGATTAATTAAAAACATTTTAACATTTTTTATGACAAATAGACGATCTATTGTTTGCTTAAGAATATGATAATACTAGTCCCATAAATGATTATAAGTAAATGAAATGTAATTCGGGATTTTGGTTTGAGTATAAAACAAAATATATTATAGGCTAGTATAGCTCTAATTCAAACTCTAGTCCGATAATAAGAACATACTCTTCTCTGCCCCCTCATTGGAGCATCGCATTTAGTTTTGATTTAATTTTATTTAATATAAAAAATTGGTCAAGCTCTGATAAATTAGAAATATCAGTTGATAATAATGTCTAAACTTCATATCAGAAAGAAAGTATTAGTCCTTCCAAATCATTTTGTACCAGTTCATATTACGACACGCTAAAATTATATCATATAAATGTAACTCATTCCACTCCTAATGTTTAGCTTCAAATAAAATCTAATTTTGCGTCTTCTACCTCTAGTTATGGGATTAGAAACATTATTTTGCATGTGGAAACATGCCATTAAAGTTGTCTTACATGCAATGGTCCAACATCTGTAAACTACTTTATATTAGATATATATTTCTTTTTAATTATTTGATTACTACAAGTTCAATTTTTTAATATCTGATAAAATATAAAAAAAGAATAATTGTTTATCTTGCCCCAATAATTTTTCTTTAGTGGGAAGCATATGCAAATGTGCTGCTGGATATTTTGAATATCAAAATACATGCCTATAATAATGTCCTTCAGATTATAGCTAAAACTTAATTAATTCAAAATGCGAATATGATAAATGTAATACCTTAAATTGCTAAGCTTGCAGCTCCTCACCTAAGCGACAATGTCTAACATGTAAATCAGGTTTTTATCTTCATATTGATTAGTGTGTTTCTTCTTGCCCGCCATATGCACCATTAACTAATAATATTTGTAAAGATCCTATCTCATCACTAAAAAGTAAATATTTTTTTTAATTAATTTGTCTACATTTTAACTTTATTTGATAAATTAGTTGGGAAATACGCATTAAGGGGATTATTTAGCTAGACTTTTGGAGAAAGTGAAATCAAAGGAATGAATTTACTAACTTAAAATTTTTATGGTAATGGATTAGAAAATAATAATCCAAGTAATTAAGTTTTTACTAATTGTGGAGGAGTTCAATTATTTGGGGGTGCGAATTTAGCTTCATCAAAATCAAAAATAACCTGGAAAAGCTCAAATTTGTATACAAAAAATTATAAATTAAAATGTATTTTAAAAAAAATAATAAATTAATAAATAAAAAAATAGAGATCCTCATTATTAGTTGACTATTTCTTTTAAGGCTTACATCATTGATTCTTGGGATAAAGAAAATTTCTATATTTTAATAGATAATAATAAGATTTTTGAAATTAATGAAGATTATAATAACTTTAACGATTAAATATGCGGTTTAAGTGAGTACGAAGATAAAATAGAAACAATATCTAAAACGATTGCCCACTCTAATCCAGCTATAGAAGTAATAATCTCCTCAAACTTAGATGAGAGTCCTTACAACGAATCTTTTGGTATAAGGGAACTTTATATTTTATTAGAAGCAGTAATAAATTATTTTTAGTTTAACATATAAAAATATTTCATTTAAAATGTTTAAGTGTATAGATAACTGCTAGTAATGTAACGACAGTACTAAGTGCTAAAAGTGTATGCCTGGGTATGGCTTATACAATTCTTAATGTTATCAACCTTGTCCAGATTCATTTTGGAATAACTAAGGTATTTGCACAGCTTGTGATTCTAGCTGCTTAAACTGCAGTGGATCAAGTAAAATAATAAAAATTCATAATTTGTTGAGAATATAATTCCAATTTTTTAATGTATTAGGCTCGTCTTAGTGCACAGCATGTAAACCAGGGACATTTTTATACAATAATTCATGTGTTAAATCTTGTCCCGACATTCAATACTATCCAGATACTTAAAATAATATCTGCAAGTAATGTGATGCAAGCTGTTACAAATGTTAGAGTCCTGGTAAATTTATTAATTGATCAATCTTTGTTTATTTGCTTGAGAACTAGTCATTAAAATATAATTTAATTTTTATTTTGAATTAGGTGATAAAAAATCTTGCACTTAGTGCTAACCTACATTCTTACTAAACGGAGAATGCTTAAGTAACTGCCCTGATTAATATTATAAAAGCGGAAATGTTTGCAAGCCATGCGATTCAACTTGTCTCACATGCTCTGGGCCAAATCCAGATTAATGCATAACTTGTCTTCCTCCAAAAAAATTGCAAACAAAAAATAATACTTGTAGTTTAACTTGCCCTGATACTGACTAATATCAAGATTCTAACAAATGTATTAATTGTGACTCTACATGTGCATCCTGCTCAGCTGCTGGCCCTAATTCTTGCACTAAATGCAAAAGTCCACTGTAAACATTTTATAAAAAATATCATTTTAAGTTACAACTTATTATAAATAGTTTTTTAGACACTAACAAATGTGTTCCATCATGCCCGAATGGTTAATTTGCTGATTTAAGTGATCTTACATGTAAACCTTGTGACTCTAATTGTCTAACTTGCTCTAATTCTTCTATTCAGTGTTTAACATGTTAAAAACCATTAATATTCCAACCAAAGACTAAATAGTGTGTAAATAGCTGTGATGATAACTAGTACTTTGACAGTGTAAGTAACTCATGTTTATCTTGTGATTCAAATTGTAAGGGATGTATCAATTCATCTACATAGTGTACTTCTTGCAATCCTCCTAAGTAAACATTTTATGAATTATTTAATAAACTTAAATCAAAATAAAAACAGTTATCTTAAACTTTCTACATGTACAAGTGACTGTGGGAAAAATTAATATGGAGACTCTGCTGATTAGAAGTGCAAGCCATGTGATACTACTTGTTTAACCTGTTCAGGGCCTAATGATAACTAATGCATAACTTGTGTTCCTCCCTTAATACTCTATTAAGCAGAAAAGTAATGCAAACAAGCATGCAGGAATGATTAGTACTTCAATAAAGCTTCTAATTCATGTATTTAATGTAACAAAGATTGCTAGTAATGTTCTGGTCCAAACAATAATCAGTGCTTAAGTTGTAACCCTCCAAAGTAAATATTAATTTTAGTTAAAATTTATTTTAAAAATAAAATAATAAATTAGAATTTTGCAAGGAACACAATGTTAAGGGAGCTGCGATAATGGCTTCTATGCTAGTAGTAATAATAAATGTCTACCTTGCGATCCAAATTGTTAAACTTGTGTGAATTCGTCCACTGAATGTATTACCTGCCCACCTGGGAAACTTCTAGATACTGTTTCTAAAAAGTGTGTTTCATAATGTCAAGATGGGTAATATTAAGATCTATAAAACAAAGCATGCAAACCTTGTAATATTAAATGTAAAACTTGTCAAGGACCTCTTGATTCAGATTGCTTAAGTTGTAATCCTCCATTGTAAAATTTTTTAAACAAAATTATTTTTTAATTCTAATAATTTAATTTTTAGAGTATTACAAGGTACTAATTGCTAATAAAATTGTGATAAAGGATATTATTTTAGTTCATAAAGCTAAAAATGTGTTATCTGTGATCCAAATTGTGAAACTTGTTAAAATGTATCAACTGAATGTTTAACATGTTAGAATGGCTAATTTTTAGATTAAGTAAAAAAGAAATGCATTTCGTAATGTTAAAATGACTAATATTTTGATCAAATAAATTAAACTTGTATAAATTGTGATAAAAACTGCTAAACTTGCAAAGGGCCTCTATCTAATGATTGTAAAAGTTGCTTCTCTCCAAAGTAAATTTAATATAAAAATTTTTTTTATTTTAAACGTATTTTTCATTTCAAAATATTATTTTTAATTAATAAATTTTTTATTTCATTTTTAAATGGAATAAAAATATAAAATTTACTTAAAAAATATTTTTTTTGATTTTAATTTTTTTAAAAAAACAAAAATTTTTTTTCTAATTTTAATACAAATACTCTATGCTATCTATTTATTAGATTTTTTGTTTTTTTTAAGTAAATTTAATGAGATAATTTTTGGTAAAATAGTGTTTTATAAGGAACTAATTGCTAATAGAAATGTAATGATGGATTTTTTTATAGCTAAATTGATTAAAAATGTATACTTTGTGATTAAAATTGTTAAACTTGCTCTGTTTCATCAAAACAATGCACAACCTGCCCTACAAATTAACATTTAGATACAGTTTCTCAAACATGTGTATCTAAATGTAGTGATAATTCTTATTTTGATAATTCAAATAATTCATGCTTCCCTTGTAATGCTAGTTGCAAAACCTGCTCTGGTTCTTCATCTATTGAATGTTTATCTTGCGATCCTCCAAAGTAAAAAATTTTTAATTTCATTTAAAAGTAATCTATTTAAACCAATTATTTATAAATAGTGTGTTATAAATAAACAAATGTTAATCTGAATGTGATAAAGGTTATTTCTATAGCTCCATTGATAAAAAATGCATGAAGTGTGATTAAAATTGTAAAACATGTGAAAATAAATCAACTGAGTGCTTAACCTGCCCGCCTACAAAAATTTTAGACTCTGTTACTAAAACTTGTGTAAGCAACTGTGCATCAAACCAATATTAAGACATACCAAGCATGTCTTGCTAAGTTTGTGATAAAACATGTAAAACTTGTTCTGGACCAACTCCTTAAAACTGCTTAACATGTGAATAATCATTGTAAAATATTAATTTGTTTAAATTTTTTAACAATAATTTTTAATAATTTTAAAATTTAGTTATCTTGTAAACGGAAAATGTGTACCAGTTTGCATAGTTGGCTTTTTTTAGGATAAAGATTTTACATGCAAACCATGCGATCCAAATTGTACTTCTTGCAATTTATCATCTAGTAATTGTTAAACTTGTAAAAGTCCTTTTATTCTTAATAAACAATAATGTGTTGCAAATTGCAATTCAGACCAATATATAGATACAACAAAAAATGAGTGTGCATAATGCAATTCATAGTGTTAAACTTGCACTGGACCTTCAAATAATCAATGCTTAAGCTGCCCTTAGGGAAAGTAAAATACTTTTATTATAAAAAAACTAAATATTTTATTAAATGTTAGGTTTCTTAATGGAAGTGCTTGCTTAGATACCTGCCAAGAAAAATAATACTCTGAAAATAATGTTTGCAAAAACTGTAATTAAACTTGCGAATCATGTACAGGAGAAAAAAATAATTAATGTACTAAATGCTCTAAAGGTTCTTACTTATATAAGAATATGTGTATATCTTAATGTCCTGAAGATTTATTTTAGGATCAAAATAAAAATGAATGTGCTAAATGCCATGAAAGTTGTAAGAACAATGGATGTTATGGTCCAAGTATGGATGAGTGTAAAAAAGAAAATTTTGATTATAAGAGATCTTTAATTGTGATGATTGTCACAGGAAAAACAATTTTTTGGTTGGTTAGCTGTATTATTGGGTTCATTTTAGACAGAAAGGATAAAAAATTTTACTCAAATAAGGTTTAATCTATTAAAGAAGAACAGATAAATCAATCTCCTAGAGATTTAGAAAATAAGTAGGAACTTAAGCAAGAAGAAGAATGCTTAGAGAGTCCTTAAAATGAATTTACAAAAAGGAGAAAAAGACAGAAATTTTTATAATCTTAAATAAATAGTTTAAATGTAAACTCTGTAAACATAACAAAAGAATAAACACAAGCTCAAAATTCATAAATAAATAGCTATAATTTTAGTCCCCATCGTACTCGCAGAGCTAGGTCTAAAATTGCTATACTTTTGTCTTAAATAAACACTTTCTAAGATTTAAGCTAAAATAATTTAGATTAAAATAGCTAAGCTGTCACTGATTTGAGCCCAACAATAAAAAAATAAGGATCGAAATTAAACATGGCAAGTAATTAATTTCTATCAGCTTTTTTTATAACTAATTAATTATTATATTTTTCACGTTAGATGAATAAGATTCTCCATTTTGCACTCAAGTTTATCCTGAAGAGAGTAAATAAAAAGATTAATTCTATCAATCTAATGAAAAGCTTAAATATACATTTGTAAATAGATCTTTAAAAATAATTTATCATTTTGTTTAATTTGTTTTTATAAAACTTAAAAGATTGGAAGCGAGTTAATATCTTTGTTTAAATTCTATGATCCATAAATAAGTAGAATATTTAGATCTACACTGATATACATAAAATATTTATCTTTCCTTTTTGCAACAGAGTTTGTATTCTATAGGGTAATTAATCAATTATCTTAATTTTCTATTATTTATAAAATATTTTTTTTTAATTAGGGAAATATTATATTATTAATACCTTCAATATTCTTTGGAATAGCTGTTAAATTCCTATTATACTAAATTTTAACTTCTTTAAATATTTTCTTGAGATATGGTGCAGTAGTCGCTTCATTACTTTTAATTGGAGCATCTGCTTCTGATATTTATCTTTGGTTCTTACCCATAATTAAAAACCTCTATTGGAATAAAGATTTTACTTGGTCAATATTTTATGCAGCTGTTTTTAGTGTTGATCTAATTGTTATTTAATAGATAATATCTTTGTTTAAATACTTGAGCTCTGTAAGATCTTTAAATGTCAAAAGTGAATTATGGTAAAATATTTTAAATAAACTTCTTACTAGTAGAGCACTTATATTACATATTAAGAAAAATTGAGTAAAAAATGTATTTTAATAATATGAAAAGTGTTTGTTTAATCAGAATTTATAAAATTAATTAATTTTTGTGAAAACAGACATAAATAAATATTATTTTGCATTATTAAAAAATTTAAGTAACTCTAACTCCAAATTAAATTCATACTATTTTTATATCAACTATATAAATCATACAATATTTCTTTAGGATTGCATGTCATAAAATCAATAATTTAATGATTAAATGCTATAATTTAAATTTTAATTTTATTTATTTCGTCAACAATTTCTTTGTTTATGATAAATCGAGAATTTTTTAAGTAAATAAAAACGTCATTTTGGATCATTAAACTTAAAGCTAAGCATTAGTTATTTTCATCAATGTATGGTAGAAGAATTTGATTGATACATTAATTAATTGTCACTTTATTAATTGATTCAAATAAGATATATAAATCGAGAGGCTTAGTAATTTCAACTGAAAACATATTTTAATTCCATATTTTGTATTTTTTAAGTGATTAAAATGATATTTCACTTGATTAAAATTTAGAAAAAGTAAATTATATATAAAGCTATATTTATTATTAATTTTCGTTATGAAATAACTAAACTTATTATACGTTTGTATATCTAGATTTATTATTTGAATAATCACTATAATAAAATTCTAGATCTTGAAATGAATTAATTTCTACACTTTCAGGTTTTATAAAGTCTAGTATAACATAATTTATTAACCTCACTGATTAAATTGCAATCGCTAGTATACTCACTCTAACTGCAATATATTCTGTATAGTATAATTCTAAATCTGAAACCCGAAATTTCAGATAATAATAATAAAGAAATATTTTCAAACAAACAGAAGATAAGCTTGCTCTATTAAAGAAACTATAGCCATAAATATCAATTTGAGATTTAATAGATTAACTTTAAAGTTATCTAAAATCTACTATTAAATCTAAAAAATATGCCACATACTCAAGGTAAACAAAAGAAACTTAATTTTATCTTTGTCTGCTAATAAAATTAAATTTCTTATTTAAACTATAATAGTTTATTGAAGCTAATATTATTATGAAAGATAAGAATAATTCAACAAAGTATTTTGATCTCATATTTAGTATAAATAACGAAACATTTGTTAGTACTTTTAACGAAACTATAAATGCTTCTTTTATTACCTTCAACATAATCTTATGATTATTTAATCTATGTTAAAATTATAAGTATCCATTCTAAAATATCAAAACTAACATAGCTATTAAAAAATTTAGTGATAAAATTCCATAAATTCCAAAAGCATCAGTATGAAAATTATATGAGTAGCATAAACAAATGATTTGATTAGGTATAGATGCAAAATAAACAACTAGCGACTATCCTTAAATTCCAGATTCTAAATAAATTGAATATTCATTGGATCTGTAGAATAAATAAAACTCATCACAACTAAATATTCCAAATATAATTATCAAAAATTTATCTCTTAACTTTAAATTAAGGATAGAATGGATTATTGATATAGAGATGCACCTTTCGATTATGTAAAATATTATGAATGCATAAGTTATTTTTTCACTCTCTAACTAATATAAAAATAATTATTTATCCATTCCAAATCAATAATTAAAAATATTTACTAAAAAGAGGGAAAAAAAGTAAAATTAAAATGCTAATAAGATCTTAGCATATGAGAAGAGTAATGTCTTGTAGAAAATATGAGTCCTGTTTTGTTTCATCTAGTTAAATTTGTACTATAATTATCTACAATGTTAAAACAGATTTTATTCTCTTTGAAATATGTTTCAATAAGCTTTAAAATTTAAATTATTAAGAATATCTGATAAAATTAAAATAATAAGCAATTATGATAAAAACCCTTTTTATTCATTATAAACAAAAAGTAATATCGAAATGTAGAACAAAAAAATTGATTGGTCTTATATAATAAAACAAAAATAAACATAATATTTTAAATTATTAAAAGTGTTAAAGTTTGCTAATTAATATACAGTAATTATGTTAATTGTTTTATTTATCAATATTTTTAAATTTCATTAATAATTAAAAATCCTTTTTATAATAAATATTTTTATTTTTGCTAATTTTTATTTTCAGAAATGTGCAAAGATTTTTTAAGATGATATCAACAAAATAAGTTGAAAATCGTGGGAGATAATAAATTATTAGAAAATAAATCTAAAATTGTTGTTTGATTATTTAATTACTCTTAAAGATTTTTAAATCAACAAAATTGATAATAATTAAAGAAAATAATAAAAATCTTGAAAAAAGAATATTCAATAAATAATATGAGTCAAATAAATTAAAACAATTAAAAGCAATTGCCTTCTTAATGCGAGGTTCTCATTGTAGGAGCAGGAGTATCAGGAGCTACAGCATTTTATTCTCTTTAAAAAGCTGGAGTAAAAAATGTAGTAATAGTAGACACTGGAAAAAGCGGATAAGGAAATGACTAAGGTTAAACTACATCATAACATGCATATTTAAGAGAAGATGACGTTAATTAAAGCAGAGTGTTTGAGTATGCAAGCAAAAGTGGATCTGCTGTAATGGATTACCCTACTTCTACAATCAAGATGATGGTTAATTTATATCCAAGCACTTCTAAAGATTATATATAGCATCATGGTTTTAATGGAGCAGTTCGTTATTTAAAGTTAGCACATACTGGCTTGCAAATTCAATCTGAATTAGCATAAATAGCTTTTGAAAAAGAGCAGCTAAATGAAAATTTAGTATAAAAAGGCTCCTTGTATGTTTGTGAGGAAAAAGATGTTGAAGACTTCAAGGAAGAATTTGAACTACTTAAGAAGTTAGGATGCAAGGGAGTTGAATTGTGGGACTAAGAAAAAGTTTGGAAACATGCTGGAGGACCTCAAACAAAATTCGTGTTAGGAATTTACTTTCCAAATGATTCAGTTATAAACTCATAGCTGTTTTCCTCAAAACTGATATAAAATGTTCTTAAAATAGAACCATCTTACAGTCTGTTTGAAAATACTCCATAAGTAGTAAATGTGAAAACTAGCAAAGAGGGTTTTGCATTAACAAAATTAGAAAATGGGGTTGTAATAAAAAGTAATTATGTTGTTGTTTGTACAGGTGGATTATTTAATGACCCTAATTTGGCAGGAATACTGATTCCTTGCTATTCATATTTAGTCTCTTTGAAGGAACCAGAGTCAACAAAAAATGATAAAAATCGTTTACCTTACCCTAACTCTCTGAATTTCTTCACATGGGGATTTACTCATGATTGGTGTTTAACTAAAGGACATCTAAGATGTAGTGGTGAAGATCACTTTTCAGCTCTAAAGCCTCCTAGAGATGCCGAAAGATGTGCTTCTCTCGCAAGATGGACAGTAGAAAAATTACCATATTTAAAAGACTCAGAGCTGAACTGTGATAAAAAATATGGTGTCTACTCTGAAACACCAGATTCTACTCCTCTTGTTGGTACTATGTCTCCTCAAAGTAAAGTATGCTACGTTTTAGGATGCAATGCTTGGGGATAAGCTTCTTTAAGCTATAGTGCTAGTCTTGTACCTGGTCTCCTTGGGTACACAAATTTAAATGACGATCAAAAAGACTCTCTTAAATTACTAACAATTAGAAGATTTGCTTTGCTAAAAGGAGTTAAGAAATAATAAACTCCTAAATTATGATATTTTCTCAATTTTATTTGCTTTAATTTCATAAATATTATGTAAATTAATCAAAAGAAGTTTTTGATCAAAATTTATAGCTAGTCATTTTAATGCTCTTTTCTTTAAATACTTAGTCAATAATTATCTTCTTTAAATTACATATTTCATAATTAAAAAATGTAAGTTAATTTTTTTTCATAAACCAAATTTATTTCCAAATAATTTCAAATATTAACTACAAAAACCACACATTTTTTTTATTGATTTGCTTATTTATTTATAAATTAATTTATTAATGCAATAAAATATTAATTTATAGTTTTAAAAAAATAAAACAAAATATGAATTTTAAAATAAATACAAAAGATATTTTTTATTTATTTCAATGATTTTTTAATAAAAAATTGGTTAAGTCATTTGTAGATACGAGTAACCACATATGAATGTCAAAGTTATTATGGAACTATTTTTTACGATAAAGACTTGTGAATATGCTTACTTTTAGGAGAATGATAGCATATTCAACTAAGATAAAATCTATTCCTAATGAATAGAGATAAGCATACCACCATTTATTTGCAGGTGACTTTACATTTAAGAATTGTAAAACAAGAAGCGATACTACAACAATCAAAGAAAGAGAGAGTAAAATTAAGCCAACACATTTCTTGAAACCTTAAGATCTAATTAATACTTTGAAAAAGAATATCCCAATATTAGAAATAATTGATACAACAAATACCAAAGGAATGCTGAATATAAGATCTAAACTATATTAACTGCTATTTTGAACTAAGCCTAATAATTCTGCCATTAAAATGTATTTCAAAAATATCAAACTGAATCGGATAGGTCTTGATATTTGATTTTCAAAAGTGATTAAGGCAGAGAAGAATTCATGTATATATACGAATGCTTTCAAAATCACTTTAAGTGTGATAACAATATTGTAATTTAAGCTTAAGGGAATAGCATCTTATTTATTTTCTTGATTTAAGTCTTTCTATATCTAACTTAGTACAATATTTTACTATGGAATTTTAATTTAATTTGATTGAATTGGTACAGGAGGTTACTGTTCTTTTTATTCAAATAGATTTCTTTACTCTATATCTTCTATCTGTATTAAAGATATAATATCCTTGTTTGAATATTTTCTTTCTTCAGGTTTATTTTCTATCAATTTCATTTTTTCAACTTCAAAGATAGAAATAGCTGGTTTTTCATTTCCGTTTTTATTGGCTTAAACGTTAAGAGGGGATATGTCTTCTATAAAATTATCATTAGTGATTTAAGGTGTAGTTTATTTTTCACTTTTCGGATTATCAATTACTACATCTTACTTCGATTTTTGTTTTTACATTAGCCAAACTACTCTTTAAATAGGATTTTTTGGTATATTTTTCTCCTCTTCTGGGTTAAGTTACGCAATGATGGCTTACATTTCCTTTTCTTATTTTTCTATTTTGAGTTTTAAATCTTTTTCTTCTTCTTCGATCTATTTAATTTCCTCTTTTTATTTACTAATTAATTACTGCTTCTACTAACTGAATTGTTCATGTTGTTCTTTAAGTTATTTTTAGAAGCTCTTCTGCAATTAATCAATATTTTCCTAATTTCCACTTTTATCTAAACTGTAATTGTTTTAGTAATTTTGTTGAAGCTCTTTTATCCTTGCTTCATAAGCACGTTATTAGTTTTCTAGTTTTAAATTCTATTCTTATTGAAGAGCAATAATTTATTATTACTATTCTTAAACTTTCTTGTCATGCACTTGCTTCATATAATCAATATTTTATTTAAGCTAGTTTAAATCCTTAGCTATCTATTCCTTTTGAGCAGCAATATCTTTTTCCTTTTCTTAAAGCTCTTTTTCATATTTTTACATTTATTCAAGTTTTTTTTGGTTTGCTCCATTTGGAACAACTAATGAATAAGGGACGACAGTTTAATTAACTTTTACAAGATCTACTTCATCATTCATTACACCATAAATAGATAGAATAATGAAAACTATAAGCTATGAAATTAAAAGTATTAGAATAGGATAGCTAAATATATCTCTGAATGAATGCAAATCAGTATTAGAAGGGTTTATAAAAATATTGTGAGTATCTTCTAGCAGAACTACGGGATCCAAAGTCTTGCAATAACAAATAACATCAATTGTATTAGGTTGCATAACAGTTGTGCAGTCTTAGGAAGTCCATTAACCTTATTGAGGATAAGCCATATTATTATTTTAGCTACCTGTCCTGTAACTAATGCAAACGAATAAATCTGAGTTGAAATATTTACCAAGAGATGCTTTTAAATAGACAGGATAAACACCATTCAAAATTATATTACTATTAGATTGTCTAATAAAATTGGTTATAATAGGCGATCTTTATATTCCTTCAGGGAAACTATTTAAGTTTGTAAACATGGTTGATGAATATTATGATATTTAAATAACTTTGTAAGGCTAAGCTATACTCTAAGATGGATTATAAGGTATTATTTAAAGTTAAGTAGTTAGCTTTTAACTAGTATACTGTGCTAAATTTATAGCTAAGGTAGTTCCCTAATAAACCAAAGGCTGATTATTTATTTAAGTTAGAACTAAAGCTTATTGACATAAAGAAATTAAGGTATTATATAACATTTAAGTAACATCTCCTTAGCTTGATGTAAGTATCAGCGATTCTATTAATCTGAAAGTTGAAAAAAGCAGTCTTTCTTGGGTGTGATAGATCCTAAACTTCTTATAACTCGACCAAATTACTTCATATTTGAAAATTTAAGGAATTGTATATGTGGTAATATTACCAATTATATTTTGGATAATTTATTAATCAATAGTTGATTAAACTAAAAACCTTTCTTTCTCAGATAATAATACCCTTCTTGAGCTTTACTGCTTATATTAATATTCTAAATTTTTGGATTAGTACAAATTGAAGTGAATCATAGCTTCATCATTGAACAGCCTTAATTATGACATCAAGTATTTTTAATTAGTTGCTATTTTTAGAAAAATAAATAGTTTAATAAATAATTCAGAAGTTAAATAAGTTTAAATTACTAAGTTGTTAAATATAAAGATATGATTAAATTGTGGCAATTGAAATTTATGCTTCAACTGGAATCTATTGATTCTATGATACATTATCATTATACTGGAAGACTAAATTACTAATCTTATACACCTAACTCGAAACCGACCCATTGCTATCTTAGACCATGACTTGAATAACATAACCAAGCTATGTACTTCCGCTTGGTAATATGTTGAAAGATATACTAAGTTAAGGAAATGAGAAAGTATTAGAAATAGAGAATGGAACACCATGTAGAGTAATATACTCATGATTTTAAATTTATTCCATATCAGTAATGGTTTAAACCATCTAAGCTAAATATAAAGATATTCTATATTGCAAAGGCTAATATTATGAAATACAATTTTAAACAGATATAGCATTAGTTGCAATATTTAGCACACAGCTTTTAGGTGAATCAACAACAAAAACTTCATAACTTGTTTAGAATTATGTTTAAGCCTGTGGAGAATCTATTTCAAATAAGACATTTACCGTATCTTTTTGATCTAACTAAATCAATTAAAATAGATTTTTTAAACTAATGTATTAATAGAAACTAGAAAGCAGTGCCTAAGTGAAATAAAAATTATTCTAATATTAAATAGAAGTTTTAAATGCTAGTGAATCTATTTAATTTTAAAATTAAGATATTAAATTTGTGTCTGTAACTTAAAATAAAATCTTATCTGTAAAACTGATATAACCTTAGCTCAATTAAGGCGGGACTGATAACTAAAATGATTAAAGTTAATAATCTAAAAATACTATTTAAGATTTGCAAGATCCCTACTAAATTGTTCCATCCAAATTTGCCTTTCTAACTACTACATTTAAATAGATTCTCTAGAAATATTAGAAAGTTCTCTCTGGTACTTAAACTGTTAATTAATTATTAGCCTAGTCTTTAAATAATGTACCATCTTACCATAAGCAATTAGCTCCTGTTTATTAATCTGTACAGGTCCAAGATATACTTACTTAATTATTATTACTAAATGCTTGGTTCGAATCAGGATCGAAGACATAAGCAGCTAAAGTAAATTACTAATTCCACTACTTGACTGTATCTCCTCCTATAATTTAGACTATAAATGGACTTTGATTAATTTAAATGTACACTGTTTATTATATGAGATAGTTTTTTCCATTGTATATGACATTTGCCTCAACCTTTTTTTTTAAGAAAAGTTTTTAATTAAAAAATAATATTACAAATGAAATTACATTAAATTGGTATTTATCTTTAGGGACAGGTATATAGGGATTAACAACAAAATTGAAAGTAGCTTAATTAAAAAATAAGCTGGAGTTTTCTATCTTGTTAGATTTCAAATCAATTCCATTGAAGCTACCAAATTATTGTTACCATTAAATATACTGTACTGTAAACGTATCAAATGAAGAAACACAAGAATTGAACTAAATAGTTGCCTTCAAGTAAATACCTTGATATGTGTAGAATTAATAAGTGCTTGATCCATCTATTCCATTCAATATTTGAAGATAGAACATATCAGAATTATCCTAAGTACTGATTTGTATAGTTGATTAGCCAGCTACTCCATAACTAGATGTGTACGTTAGGATGAATTAATAATTGGTATTTGCAGTTAAAGTATTTGGTTAAAATACTAATATAGGCTAATTAGCGTAAGCACTTGGAATTTAAACCTTATTAGACACCTCGTTCCATACAAAATTTTAGAGTGATCTTCCTCCTGAATTTTGAACTGATGAAACATAAATTTAAATTTATTGACAAACATTATAGTTCTAAGTATTTGTTGATAATAATGCTATAGGTATTTAGGAAGTATTTGGTTTTATTACTTAATTATTTGCAAATGAAGTAATGTAAGTACTTGTGCAACTAGGCTGATTTGATTTAAGCTAGAAGTTGTTGAAAGAAATAATTACATTATTAGAAACTGTAGAGGCATATCCCAATTTTATAACAAACGTTTTACTATCTGCAGACAAAGCACAAGTGTAACCCTAGCCTAGATTATTTACAACAGATTAACCTAACACCTAGTTTTATTTAATATTATCTTTTAGATTAATTTTTTAATATTTAATTAGTTTACACTTTGGCAATTTTGAGCAGAAAAAGTAGTAATAGTAGAAGCTATTGTGTTACTTGGTAATACAGAGTAAGTAAATGTAATATAAATTTATGAGTAATCCTATGAATACTATATTGTTGCTCCACTTATGCTACATGCTATTTATAAAAAGATATTTAATTTTAATTTTTTTAAAAAAATTATTACTTTCACAGAATGCAGAACCATTAATAGGGTTAAGAGAGTTAGGAGGACAGTTGCACTAGCTTACACCATCAAATATTCTATTCCCGTTGCAAGATTAGCAGTTGGTTGCCGAATTTACACAAGTTGAGCAATATATGTTACACTCTATTATAAAAAATTATAAATAATATATTAAAGGTTTTATTCAAAAATTTTTAAAATTAAAAAATAAAAAATGCTCACATTAACACACAGGATTGCTTGTGTTTGTATCAAAGTATCCACTTTAGCAATTGCATCCTGGTGCATTGATACGTAAGCTATTAGAACAAGCTGAACAATTATTAACATCAGCATTTTAGCAAGTACTGCATTTATAACTGCATTATTAGCATTGGTTTCCTATCAACACATAACCACTTTTACACTCTGAGCAGCTACTATTACTAGTGCATTTAGTACATTAAGGAGGACAATCTATATATTTATTTATACCAATTATTTAATTATTGTTCAAATTTAAATAAATTATTACTTTAGCAGGCTTTACTTACACCATCATCATATTAGCTGTCTGGACAAGTGCATGAAGGGAAGTTTATTCTTCCTGGATTACATTTTGTACAAGTGGATTATGTTCCTGAACATGTTTAACACATATTTGAGCAGGGGAGGCATTAAGTATAGTCTGTCCCAACATATGTAAATCCGTCCATGCAAGCACAATTTGGGGGAGATAATGTATTACTTGCAAAGCATTAAGTACCTTGATTTAATAAATAAATAAAATCCTAATTAGATCTTTAAAAAAATATAAATTACAATTTGTTGCAGATAAAGTACAAGTTTTGCATATTTATGAACATTGAGAACATGTTCCATCAATTTTTGTAAAATAAGATTAAGCACAACTACATAAAGGTGGTACTCGGTTAGCATCTGAGCATGTTGTACAAGTATTTGAAGATACAGAACATTCTGTACAAGATGTAAAACACTCTGTGGTTGTATTATCTACAGTAGCTATTGGCTAAAAACGAAGCAAAGTAAATTTAAGACTTTTAATTTATGTGTTAGATGAAACCTCTAAATAGTAATTATATGTTGTTTATGTACTTTTAGAAATTGTCAGCGCAAAATTCATATCTTAAGTAGCAGTGTAAGAAATAGAATTCAGTCCATATATAAAAGGTACATAATATTGCTGCTATTATGAAACAGTAAAATCTGATTGCACTGATCTTGCTCCTTAAAAATCAGTTGGATAAGTTGAAATATAACTAGGAATTTAGACTTATTACTCAGTTGTCATAAATCTCGAGAAAACAATACAAAGATTAACTTAATAGATAGGAGAGTCTCCTTATGATTAAATAGTAATAATCATATCTTCTCTTGTAACAGTCGAGTACTAAATTTGAATATCCACTAAATTCCCTTTCACTAAACCGTATCCTGTTAAGAATATTGAAACATAAGGAGTATAATCTCTTATTTAATGCGCATAAGATTATACATAGGAACCACTGCCACTTATCCTTAAAGAATTAGTTTATGGAATGCTGATTACTATGTTTTTTACTGTTATTCCTTACTGTCCTACTTAGTTAATGATGTAAGAATATACTAAGTTATTTATCATAATATTAGCATTTTTAAAATGTATGAAGGGTGAAGAACTTACAGATGAACTATCACTTTAAGGTGAGACATAGAATTAGATATCGTTTTATGAGTTAGAATTTTTGTTAATACTTAACTAGGTTAGTGCTATGATATTCAAAATATTATACTAATTTTTTAAAAGAGTAACTATCTTTGTAACTTATCCTGCATTAGCAAAAGTTGTTTCAGAATTCACTCTTATTTGCGAGTGTTCATCAGCACGAGTGGTAGAACAAAATCCTCTTACATCATCTTTATAAATATTATTTGCAGGGCACGAGCAGGTAGGAGGATTAATATTAGTATTAAAGCATGTAGAACATACTCTTGTAGATTAATCACAATCTTTGCATGTTTTATCACATTTTTCTTAGCAGATATTAAGAACCGGATCCTTAATATAAATTTTATTTAATTAAGAAGATTTACAGTTTGTTGGAGGAGAGCAATCAGAATCAGAAGTTAAACTATATCCTGCTGCACAAAGAACGCACCTATAACCCACTATTTTAAAAAAGTAATTTAATTTCAAGTCAATTTTTTTTCAATTTAAATATACTTACTCAAAGAAAATAAACATTATGTAGAAGCTATGCAGGATGAACCTGTAAGTTCTACCATTACTCCTCTCTAAATGATGAAGTACTTTAAATAAACAGAATTCTATGTTGAACTAGAGAAATTTATTACATTTGTTTAATAAGGATTCTCAGTATATTTTGTATTAAATTGAATTTTTTTCTGGAATAATCCATTAGTATAATATTCAATAATTGCACCATCACTTAAACTATTTATTTACTGATTTCTTAAGCTAAAGGTCTAATTAAATATTTAATAAAATTTTTTTAGTTATCAAATAATATTTATAACCAAATTACAAATTGAATCCAAGTGTTAGCAGGGTTAGTAGAACCTGATTAATAGCATTCGTTATAAACACAAAATTTAAAGTATCCATTAGCAGCATCATTCAATGAGCTTACAGATAATAAATTATTAGAAGCATTTTCATTTTAAAACACAAAAATATTTGACTAACTAGCAATAGAAGTGACGTAACACCAAAAGCCTAATATTTTATTAATAAACATTAAGATTAATTAATTAATAAATTAAATTCATATAAGTTCATTTTTACTAACAGTAAATCCAGGATAGGGAAAATTATCTCCATCTTAAGGATATATAGGATTTAGCATTAGAGGAACTGTAGGGCGATTAACCTTCAAGTCAAACATATTTTAATTATTAGTTTATAGCTAATACTAACTTTAGTAAATATTATGTCCTGTTGAAGTACCATCTATCTCATAATTTGTGGTCTTAAAACTAGTTAAATCATATTTAACAACTACTAAAGGTAATCCTCCCGAATACATTAACCTCAATTTATCATCACTGCTCAAATTTTTAAAATTAAAAGTAAGTAAACTAAAATATGCCATGTAACCACAAAAAGAGTAATATGTCTGATATTAATGAGTACAAGCCTTGAGAGTAAATCCAGCAGTCACCTGCTAAAAATCAGGATTACTTACTGGGTTAGCTAGAGATACTAAATCAGTTGGATTATAAGGACGCATTATGAATAGGTCGAAACTGTTTTAGTAGATAGTTACTGCTGTGTAAACCCATTAAGAAGCAGCGTAAGGAAATGTATTTTAATAAATTGAATTTGTGGACTATCCAAATAATAGAACTTGAATATTTGATAATTAATTTTACAAATGTAAGGCATATATTCTCTATCCACTAGTTGTATATACAGCATAAACTATATTTCCATTCACTGAAGGAGTGTTAGTTTTTATCCACCCTGCAATGCTGTATCCATATGTCAAAGCACTAGAATATGAATAGTTGTTTATAGAATAATTTGACTAAGAACAAGCGCATGAAATTTTATTACTAATTAATGAATTAATATTGCAAGACTATGCAAAAATTTAGGTAAATAATAGTGATGCTAAAAATGCAAAGCACTTTAAATTGCCTAAAAACATATTCTTAATAGAGCTACCAATTGACTCTTTTATTCAAGTTTTTATCTTAATAAGTCTCTTTTTTTGATTTTATGTGTTAATTAAATTTTTTTAATACTTATTTTTAACTATGAGCTGCAATTAGAATTTGACTGTATTTTTATAATTTTAGAAATTAATTCCCATAAATGATTTTGTTTAAATATTTGTAAACTAAATGATTCAATCTATTAAAAAATTGCATCAAAATTAGATCTTTATTTTAGAGAAATTGTAAATAGTTGGATGTGTTTTTTACAGATGAGATAAATTCATTTCAAAATTTCACTAACACATTTTTGTTTCCTTTATATTTAATAAATACTCTTATTTAATGTGATTGAGTATTTTACATAAATTTAAATTTATGGATATGAAAGATAATTTTTTAAATGACTTATATTGCTAATAAATATTAAATAAATTATATAAATTGCTCCTTAATTAGTAAAATGACAAAAAGAATTTATATTAACTCAACCTAAATAAGTTTCACTGAAGGATATGTTAATAACAAAGTCAACAAACAATAATATTCAAAATTATTTAATCAATCATTATTTTTAATAAAAAAATAATTTAAATAAATTTCAATAAAAGTTTATAATAGTTTATTTTTATAATTATGAGTTGAGTGGAAATTACTGAATTACAAACATTTTCAATACTTAATTATTTATTCACAAACAAATTTGATTTGAAAATTAATTGAATAATTGTATTTGCAACGATTCTTAATTTTTTTAAAATTTTACAAGATTTTGAGGATTAATAAATTATATTAAAGATTATAAAATAGGGTTATTATAAAAGGTTTTTAAAATTTAATAAAATATTAATAATCTCTTCTATAAAATGAATACTGATGAAAAAATTACTATTGAAAGCATATAATTCGTAGTTAAAAAGTTTTAAAAAGTTGGGTTTGAAGGTTTGAAGCTCGAAGATTTGGCTATTGCAGTAGCAGTACCAGAATTCAAAGATTAATTTTTAAAATAAACTGGTTTAGATTGGATGCATAAATATGAATAAAAAGCACTTGAAAGGCTCCGTAAAGCTCACTTTGATATGTAATGGATGAGCAATTAAATTAGGGAAGAATTTAACCAGTTATTTGTCTTTGTATAAAAGGGTGATTTAGAAAAAACTAAATAATTTCTTAAAAATTATAATGATATGGAATTAGCAAAATAAGCTGTTGATTAATTCAATAGATCTCCTCTTCATGTAGCATGCAAAGAAGGTCATACATCAATAGTAGAGTACTTGCTTCTTTAAGGATTTAGCGTATTTGCAAGAGATAAATCCCTTAAAACGCCTCTCCATTATGCAGCTTATCATGGATAAGAATATATTTGTGAGTAGCTGGTCAAAAAAGGTGCCTTTATAGATTCAACAGACACTAAAGTATATTTTTTGATTATAATTCCAATTATTGTTTACAAAGCTTCATGCAAAATTATTTGCTTTGTTTTTAATTGGCTAAAAATAATATTATATTAATATAAAATTTTGTATATAAGGGAAGAACTGCTTTTCACTATGCTTGTTGTGGTAACAGTGCAAAAATAATTGTTTTGTTTATAGGTATTTGTCCTGAAATTATAGAATCATAGGATATAAATCAGTTAACTGGGCTTCACTATTCAATTTTGAATTCTTCCTTGAAGTAAATTGATATAGTAAGAACTTTGATAGAATTTGGTGCAAAGGTCAATTCAAGAGATAAAGAAGGAAAGACTCCTCTTTATTATGCAGCTGAACAAGGAAGGACCAGAGTAATTCCTATATTAATGTAAAAAGGAGCTGATATTACTTTAGCAAACTATGAAAATCATAAAACGCCTTTGGATGTTGCAGTTAATGAACATACAAGAGAACTTTTAATAGTTTATAGTTCAGCTGCTTCAGGAGTAGGAACAAAAAAAGAAGATATCTAATGGATGAATGAAGCTATTAAGGGACAAGGTCTTGGAGTTGTAGAAGTTCCATTTAGAGAAAAAGGTGATACTAATGCATCTTCATAAGCTAAAAAATCAAGGAAAGGCTAAAAGCTTAATGAAGAAAAAGGTACGATATAAGGATGGGCAAGAGAGAGGTATTCATTTATTTGTTTTGTTATATTTCTACGTTTGATAAATAAACTTTTGCAAAAATTCAAGATTTTTTGACATGATGAAAAAAGTTTAAGAGGAAGGAGTGAAAGTAAATTAGCACTTAAAAAAGCCCTTTATTTATACAGGAAGTTGGATGGAAAACATAACAAATGTAGAAGATTTATACAATCTGCTGTAAGGATTAACTTCTACTGAAGCCTGCTTATGTGTTTTTAATATATTATGTCCCTATGATAAGCCACTTCCACAAGAAGAAGAAAAAGAAGTAATTGATAATTTTTATGGTGATGCATGGCAAATTTCAATAAAAAAGCCTATGGAAGATAGACTAAGAAAAGAATTAGAGATCTAAGAGAAACTGTAAAAGTTTGAAGATTTTGAAATGAAATTAGATTACAAAGACAAACTTTTAAAAGATAAAATTGAAGAGCTAAAAAAGCTAAGAGAGGAAAACATGGACTTAAAAGTAGTTTAGTTTGTTTATCATTTAATAGTAGATTAATTTTAAAATTAATAGGTTAAAGTTTAAGAATTAGATGGTGTTTCTAATAAAGATGGTATGAATTCAGAGTAGGTTGAAGAACTCCAACAAGAGGTAAATAGATTGAAGTAGGAATTAAAGGAGAAATCTCGTCTATTAGTTGAAAAAGATATGGAATTAGAGTTAATTAAAATGGAAGGAGGTGGAGGAGGAGCCTCTGGAGGAATTGGAAAATCTACCTTAGATTAAGAAGGATAAGAAGCCATGAAAGAATTGATTAAGTTAAAGGAGGAATTGAGATTGATTAAGATAGAGCAAAAGATGCAAAGGTTCAAAACAGGTTAAATATTTGTCAAGGCTTTAAGCGAAGCTAAGAGAGCTAAAGGAAAGAAAGAAGTTGATAATATGAATGTAGAAATTCTGTAGGATGATGAAGCCATCATAAGAATGTACATGTCTTTAAAAAATAATCCTCCTAATTTCATTTAAAGATTGAAAGAGGTTGATAAAGATGGTGACAATAAAATCACTTAATCTGAATTCGTTAAATATTGCTCTAACTTGTCCCTTTCTAGCTCTGATATTGGTTGCCTTTAAAGAGTAGCTGGTTTCTATCAAGGAAAAAAACTGTTAGGTATTGCTGAATTTAAGACAATTTTAGAAAATAGACCAAAGTAAAGACAGATTTGGGAAGAATAGCTATTCAAAAAAGTGATTGATTCTATTAATAGCAAAAAAATTCCATTAGAAAAATTCTTCGAGTTTTTAGATACAGATGGTAGTGGTGAAATTTCACCTTCAGAAATGAGAGAAAGGTTTGAAGCTCTAAAAATAACTTTAAATTAGAAAGATTTCAACAGTTTTTATTGTATTTTTGATAAAGAAAAAGTGGGATCTATTTCTATTTAAGAATTGAAATCTACTTTAGAAAATTATTTAGACAAATCTTAGATTCATGAAGAAGATGAAGAAGAAGAACATTAATAAGAAGAAGAAGAGGAATAATAAGATGGCAGCTAAAAAAGATAACCTAATGGACCTGATAATAATCCTCTTTGCAAAGTAGAAAATAAATTATTCTTGTAAGAAGAAGTTGATATAAATGACGAATATGACTAAATAGATGGATCCCTAAAATTGTAGCTTCCTACTTTAAGAAATATAGACCCAAAATATAAAAATATCTTCCTTAAAATTTCCCTCTAAGGAAGCATAGAAAATTAGATAGTCCACCAAACATAAATTTATAGCTCTTTCATTAAAGTAGCTTAGAAATTCAGATTTAGATAAGCAAACACAGTAAATATCAATTTTTTAGATATAAAAATGAATATTTTAAAAAATGTTTCAAATAAAAAAAATAGTAACAACTTTCTAGATATATATCAATAAAGATTTTCTTTAGTTAGCAAATGGATGAGGAGAGTTATCTTGGTGAGGTGCATTTTGCATGGAAAGGTTGTTTAAGAGACCCTAACTAATGGCACTGCAACCAAGAATTTACTTTACTTAACTTAAGTTACCCTAAAAAAACTGTGTAAGGGTTTTTGGCTGTTTAAGCTAGATTTATTCCTTAAATGCTACAAGGTAAATTAAATATTATTTAAAAATTATTTAGAAATAGTTTTTTAAATGTTATAAAGATAATCAAAATGAAAGACCTGACACAGCAGTTTAAGAGATAGATGAAAATATAGGAAATAATAATAATGCAAATAAATAATCTTCAGATTTGTAGAAAGATTATATAGAATAGTAAAAGAAGTACATGGAACTACAAGAAAAGTTTATCAAATAGTAAGAAGAGATGCTAAAACTTTAAAAGTCATAGTAAAATTAAAAACCACCATTAATAAGCAAAAATTCTTAGAGTAAATCATAATCAGCTAACATATAGAATTCAAATAAGATTACAAGTAAACCATCTTCTAATAAGATAGATGCTGATATTGATTTGGATGGTATTTCATCAAATATCGATGATCTTTTAGGAGATTCATATTTGGATTAACTTGAAATCTAAAAAATAGACTCAAATATAGATAATATAATTAAAACAAAATAAAATAAAACATCAAATAAATCCTAAAATAAAATTGGGTAAACTCAAAATAAAAGCAATGCAACCAAGCAATCAATTAGCTCTTAAAAAAAGATTAAAACTTAAATAAATGATGTTTCATCTAATATAGATGATATTCTTGCTGATTCTGATTTAGCTAATCAATCTAATCTTCAAAAAATAGATTCCAACATTGATAATCTCATAAAGAGCAAACCCAAATTAAATACTAGTTAACAGAGTGGTATCATGGGCTAAGATGCTAGTATTCACAATATCAATAGATCAATTTTAAATTAAATAGATGATAATTATGATTAAGATCTCTCTCCAGTAAAATAAGTATCCAAGAGATAATACAGCAAAAACTTTAATAAAAACCTTGATTAATTAATACATTCAATGAATTCTGACATAGATCAGCTCATAAATAATTCTGAAATAGGATATAATCAGGATGATTTGGAATAAATTGATTCAAATGTTGATTTATCACAAATCGACGTGAAGAAATGAAAATTAAAATATTATTAAATTTTACTATTTTAACAAATAAAATATATCACCTAAGTTATTTGAGATGGAAGTAAATGAGTATTTAAGTTAATAAATTGATTAATTTATTGTTAATATATTGTATTTTTAAATAAATAGTCAAAACTAATTTTGCTTTATTTGTTATTATAAAAAAATTATATTTAACGATTTTTCATTCAAAAAACTATTCAATAAAAACTTGGATAATAAATAATAAAAAAAGGAGTGTTTCAACTATGAGTCTACTATTTTATAAGTCAGCAAAATTTTACATAGAACTAACTAACTTTCTTTATTTATGAGAAATTTTATTTTTGTTTTTAATTGAATTATGAAGAGTGTGTTTTTAATATATAATACTCTCTAATTAATTTTTACTATCAAAAATATTGATTAACTTTTGGCAACATTTATAATTATTCTATTTGTTTACAAACTCTTGACTATAATAAAATATATAGAAGTAAGTAAGTAAGAAATGATTGCAGCAGACTTTGAAAAGAAAAAATAATCTGATTTTGCTAATGATTTGTAGAATTTCTCTGATGTATTTTTCGATATAAACCCTTTTCAAAGGATATCATTGACTTCTCTTCTTCCAAACTCTGCAAAACCAGCTAAAAAGTAGCCATAAAAAGTGCCTAATTAAAGCTAACTATCTTTAAAGGCATTAAAAAATATTTGTTGGCAGAGCCAAAGTTCGAAAAATACTTAGCCATTAACGTCGCTTTTAAATATAAAAAAACAAACTAAATAAAATAAGAAAACCTCTGCTACCTCTTTTAATGCTAAAAACTAAAAAGGAAATTTTAAGATTCATGAAATGTTTAAGCTCGATGATTTTCTTAATAGTAAAAAATCTCATTAAATAACAAAATCAGATGTAAGTGGTTTACTAAATAACCACTTAATAGAAAATGAATACGAAACGCTAACTATCCCAAATACAGATTTTATAAAATATACGCTAACTGATAAATGTGGATCTCTTAGTTCCAGGACTCATGCAAGCTACAGCAATAAGGCTCATGCTTCTCCTAAATTGAATTTCACATCATGTTGCAATAATGATATTTTACATAATGTTTCACCAAAATCTACTTAAAATAAAGTAAACGAATAAAACAAATAAAATGCTACTGAATAATTTGTACAAACTCAAAGAAAGCTTACATCTAAGCACAAGCCTTAGGTATCATCAACAGTGAATCCAACCTAAAATCTTTTTGAATAAAGTGAGAATAACACTTTAAAGTAAAGTCAATTTAAAGCTAATCATAAAGGCAATATTACAAATAATGCTCAACAAAATAAAAATATTACAAAATTTTAAGACCATTTAAAGACCAAGTAAGGTTCTAATCCTTCATTATTAATAAAAGATTTGTTAGATTAAGAAAAAAATAAAGACTTTTAATTAACTAAAAACTATAACTAGTCTATCAAGGTTCAAAATGAGATTGAAAACAGAAAATAATCTACTCACAACATAGGAATAGAATTAGAAAAGAAAGAAGAAGAGCTAAAATAAAAATATATGAAAAAGATATTTGAACCAGATGGAGTTTTAAATGGTAGAAGACCAAGTAAAGAGAAACAGTAAAAACTCTCTATAACTAATCCTCTTTTTACCGAAGTAGATAAGTCTTCTCTTGTAGATAGATCTTAAGCTTTTATTTTAAATTAATTTTAAAAGAAATAACAATAAAATACTCTTAACAAAAAACCCAGAATATGGAGCGCTTAGCCTCAGTTAAATGATGGAAATAATAAGCAAGAGAGTAAAATAACGTCTGCTTCATTTTTTGGTAATGTTAAGAATTAATCATTAAATATAAATCAGAGTAAAACATAACTTAGAGAAGATGAAGACATCTAAGTCTAGCAGAATTAACACCTCACAGCCCAAAAAATTGAAGAAAGTAAGGAAGGAAAAGTAAAAAATATTTATAGCAACTCTAATCCTTATTATAATTAGACATATATTAAACAACACTTAAAATAATCATAATAAACATCTACAAGCTATTTTAAATAAATGATACATCCTGAATTATAATCATTTACTTCATTATAAAGAAAACCAACAAAGGAGGCTATTAACTAAATAATTAATACACCAAACAATTAAAGTAACACAAAAACCCCAAATAAAAAAGTATCCTTAAACTCAAATACCAAGATTCATCAATAAGTAAACAATAAAAAAGTTATATCTACTAATAAAAGCGAAGAAATATTACTTTAGAGATCTAGAACATTTGATGAAGAAAAATACTAAAAAGAGATTGAAAGTAATCTTACAATATATAAATATTCTAGCAACTATTATAGACCGCAAACAGCAAGATTGCAGTCATAAAATAAATCTTAAAGGAAGAAAGATGACAATTAATTAAGAAAAAGCTATGACTCACTCAAATCATGGGAAAACTTAGACATTGATGATAATTCAGGCATTTTATGATATTCTTAATTTAATAACCTTATTTACAAAAACAAAATTTAGAATAATGAAAGTTTATTGTATTAATTTAATATCTAAATATAATATTTTATTTGCTTTCTTTTAGAGTAAGATTTTAATCATAAAATATTTATTATTTATTTACTCCTCTTAATTTCATTATAAGTTAATCATTTTTATTTTATGAATATTTATATTTTACTTATAAGAAAAATTATTTTGAAGAGAAATTCAAATTTACTTTTATTTAAAGATCTATTAAATAAGATATTAAATCTAATTTTAATGACTAATTTTAATAAATCAATATATTTTTTTATTGATTCTAAGTGAAAAAAATATTCTTTCCCCACCTTTTAGAATTTGATGAAATTCTTTATCTAAAACGAGAGAATTATTATTCATATTTTCGTTTCATAATTATTAATTCTAAATTATCATTCAGAGGAACTATTAGAATTAAGAGTGCTTCTATAAAATTTATTTCTCTGATCTCTATTTATTTCTATCGTTAGAAGAATTAATCAAATAAAAACAATACAACTTTAATGTATTAATATAATAGGAGGTGGGGGAGATATTGGGTGAGAAGTCTTCACTTTTAAATGGAAATTGTTTTTTAATATTATGTATTTTCCACTTATTTTTGAATACCACACCAACTTTTCACTCCATCCTATTATATGGCTTTTATAGAATTGAAAAAAAAAAAAAAATGAGAAATTAGTTAAAAATCTATTTCATCAGAAATTATAATTACTGACAACATTACGTAATTTTCTAATTATGACGCATAAAATTTAATAAAATAAATACATAAGAAAAGGTTTCTTTCTCTTAATTTTATTATAATTAGATAATTAAACACAGTTCTTTCAAACATATTAACAAATATAATTTATTTCTCTAACTCTCTGTAATAAATTCTCTTTTTTAAAAATCGGAGGAAAATCAAATTTAAAATCATCTGGCTAGCTAAAAGAGTATTATAATCAATCATTAAGAAAAAAAAAGTATTTGAAAAGAAAATAACTCAGATGAAATATAAAAAAATAAAAGAGAAAGGTATTTTTTAAAATGTCTTAAACCAATTTTAAAATATATCAATGTTAAATTTATTAAGTTTAAAAGTCATCAGAATCTTCTCCAATAATTGACAAGAACATTGCTAAAAGAAAGGGTGACTAGGGAAGACCTAAAAAACCCAGCAAAGAATTAAGAGAAGAAGAGAATAAAATAAAATAAATCTCCATGAATTTGTCTTATTTAGAGGAAGCTTTAATTTAAAATTATGGAGGTTTTGAATTTTAAAATAAAATAGAAACTAAAAACAAGGCACTTAATTTAATCGAAAAACATTTCGGTTTATTTTATAAATAAAAGTTTGACGAAATGCTAACTGAAAGAGATTAATTACTAAAAATGCGTATAGATCCCATAGAATATAATGTGGTTCCTTTAAGTAGTGAATATTTTTTAATTAAGTATACAAATAACGCAAATAAAACAATAGACCTTAAGCTATTTCTGACCATTTTCCTTTTCTTTATATTTTTCAAAACAGATGATAATGGATATGAAGAAATATTCAGTTATTTAAAAGAGATATATAAATCAATTAATATCGACTGCAAACATATAATCGAAAATATGAATTCTAATTATATTTTTCAAGTAATTAAACCTCAATAAAGAATTGAAATCTTTAAAGACTTTTATAAATACATGTACTAAGAAATGGATAGATTATTGAGTTAATATCAAATTAAATTAGTGATCTAGTGAATCATATAACAATATATACTATATGTATTTTGTGTTTAATTTATTTCACAATATTTTAATACAAATATTCATTTATTTAGTTAATTATTTTCGATTATTAACACGATTATTTCAATAGATATTTGCTTTTTTGTTGATTTTGTATTTTTAATTCATTAATCTTATTTAATATTTAAAATAGAGTTCAGTTTTACTTCTTAGTTTTGAATATTAAAAATGAAATTTTTATTTTATTAGAAATATATTTCAAATCATTTTTCTTCAATTATCCTAATTTTATCATCAAAAAATTATTTTAAAGAGAAAGTAGAGTTTTGTTTTCTTTTTCTTTTAGTACGAGGCAAAGGAGATATAACTTCGCAGGTAACTTGCTATGAATTATTATGAGATTGGATATCATATGAGCTATCGTAAATTGAAGACTATTATTATTCTTTTGATTTAGGAATATTTAATAACTGGCCTTCTTTTTTGTCTTCTCTTTAAGAAGTAAAGTCACTTGAAAGCTTTTAGCTAGAAAAAATTCTTTGAGTGTCAATTTAATTTTATGAGTTTATTTAAACTTAATTTTAATGATTTTATGAGTCTAAATCTTATCTACTTGTAGCTGTAACATCTTAGTACTAATTTTTTAAATTTCTTTTGTCATTATACGTTAAGAAAGAAATAATAGAAGGAGGAGCTAAGAAACTATTTCTCATTTTTCCAGATTATTTTTAAATATCATATTTATCTTCAAAATTAGCTTGGTCATTATCTACTATTATTTAGTTCTACTTTGACTTAGTTTCACTTTCATCTTTTTCGTATTGCATAGGTTGACTTTTAGCTTTATCTGAACAAGGAGATAGAGCCTACACTTTCAATTTCTTTCTAGATTTAATTAGTATGATTATCTTTTTTGTTAATTCGAAAATCATGAATATCATATCTTTAATAAAGAAACCTAGTTCAAAAACAATTATTATTCCAAAGATAATTATAGTTATCCATCCAAATAATTAGCTCTTATCTTCTTCTAAATCATATGTTTCAAATACTAGAAGTATACTTGTTCCACTTAAAAAAAGAACTGATTAAAAAAATTCACGCAAATTTTTAATCCTTTTTTCATATGGATTCTTATACAATATAATCAGAGCCATCACAAAATGCCAAACAATAAGCAGAATGATCTGTAATAAAGGCTAAAACTAGAAAACTACAATAACAAAACTCATTATAAATTTTCTGGCATATAATACAGCTTAATAATACCTAAAAGCTAGATCTTCAACAACAACTTTTACTATTTTAGGAAATTTTTCTTTTCTGATTATGTAAATTAGTGCTAATGGGAATAATAATGGAAAGAGAGTTATTCCACAAATAATATAATTAACTATTTCCTCTTTATATTCTATTTCTTCAATTGCTGTTATTTGCAAAAAAAATCCTAAGCTTAAATCCATATACAAGCCCCATAGCAAATCTAGATAGAAGGCGTGGTTTAAAATAGTATCAACTCCCTTTTTAATGAAATTTGAAATTTTCTAAAACTTTTATGTCATCTTGATTATGATATATAAAAATATATGTATAGCCATCAATGAACAACTAAGAGAGATACTATCTCCTTTTTATGAATAAATAAATTTAAGTTTTTATTTTTTAGTTTTATGTATAAAATTAGCAATAAAATAGATTAATTCTAAAAATAATTTTTCAAAAAGTAATAATTAATTAAAATTTACCTGCATTTTCTAAAAAGAATCCTTGTATGTCTTTGTCTTTAAATTTTTCTGGTGATTTATAATCAATTTTGCTATAGTCATTCATGCTTTCAAAATAATTTTTAAATGGTATCTTGAAGTCTTTCAGTGAATCGAAAAACACTTTAAGGTTATTAGGAATGCTAAATTAAAAAAAAATTAAAATAAAAATTTAAATGCATAAGTTTTACTTAACATTTGCAAATCCCATAACATAAATAAGTTAAGAAACATCTATAACTGAAGCTATAAACTAAAACTGTCCTGTGATCTATAGTGGTATAATTGAAGCAAGAGCAACTTGAGAAGCAGTCTTTGTCGCCATTGACAATCCCTGTGATGTTTAGCTGACATCCTCAGTTTCATTGTTTTTAGGCTACTATTTTTAGGAAACTAAATTTACATTAGCAGTTGCATATGAAGTTTTAAGTGATAAATCTTAATAATTTTAAAAATTAGCTTGAAGTGTATAAATTCTTTCTTCAATATTTTAATCTATTATTAATTATATTTTAATTGTGTTATCACTATTTTGCTTCAAACTATATTAAAAATTCAAAGGCTTCCCATTCAAATATAATGTGATGCTGCTTAAATACTAATCCATTAAAGTTATTTTTTGATCAAATATAATTAGAGCACTATTCTCCCCATTATCTTAAATTTAATACCCAATTTTTAAACAAGGAAATTAATCTAATTTTGAGCAATCTTTGCAAATATTTAAATTATCTGGCTTAAATCCATTTGGACACTTATCTTAGCACTAATCTTGATACAAATATTTTGTACTTTTACATTTTCTACAAATTTTGTAATTATTTTGACAATCTTCACAATTCTTATCATCACAAGGGATACATATTTAATTTAATTCATCTTAATAAAAAGAGAGAGGACATTATCCAATACAGGTTTAATAAAATAGAAAGTATTTGCTATTACATTTTTAACAAATTATACCAGTATCATCAATTGTATTTTTTAATATGCACTTAGAGCAATTTTTAGGACAATTTTTACAAGAATTATCTATATTACTTCTATATTAAGTATCTAAGCAAGGAGTTAAACACTAGCCTTTCACTAAGACAGTTGAATTTTCATTACATTTTTAGCAAATTATACCAGTGTCATCGATTGAATTTTATAATAGACATTTAACACAATTTATAGGACAATCTTTGCATGTGCTATCTATATTACTTCTAAATTAAGTATCTAAGCAGGGAGTTAAGCACTAGCCTTTCACTAAAACAGTTGAATTTTCATTACATTTTAGGCAAAAACCTTATTCCTTACTTGAACACTACAAACAGTTTTTATTATCATAGCAATCAACACATTATTTCTAATTTTCATCATAAAAAGTATAATCGGGGCAAGTTTTATAGCACAACTCTTTGTACCTTTTATAATCAGCTGCACACTATATGCATTAAGATGAGTTAGGACCTGAACAAGTTGAGCAACTTTCGTCACAATTAAAACATTTAGACTAAGAATCTGAAGTACAAATGCCAACACACTAATTTAACTCTAATATAGAGTTTTTATTGCATTGTTAGCAAGAGGTTTAAGATTTATCAATACACTTATCACAATTTTATTAGCTACATTTTAAGCATTTAAGTCCAATTTTATCAAGAAAGTAACCTAAGGGGCATTTTTAAGTACATACTTTAGAATCTTCAACTAAATAATATCCATCTGAGCAAGTATCGCATTCGTTCCCATTACTGCAAACACTGCAGTCTATAAAATAAAAATAAAAAATGTTTTTAAAATAACTTTATTATATAATATACTCTAAATGCAGCTTTAGCATGCTCCATCTTATAAATAATTTCCTACATTGCACTTAGAGCAGGAATTTTTTGAACAAATTAAGCAATTCGGATCATCGCATGTTTTGCAAACTCCACCATTAGTATATGTTTCTTTTTAAATTAAATTAAAATAATTAAATTTATTATATTTAATACTTTTAAGTTTTACATTTAGGACATTAAAGAATACACTAATTATTATCTATAACATAGCCAGCACATAAACTACAAGTTATGCAAAGTGTTGAAATCATCGTACAACTTTAATTACTATCATAATATCCCTTTTCACAGTTTCCACAGTTATATTGGCTAATAAATATACTAGATAAATTTTTGGAATATGTGCACAAACTTATATCAACACACTCTGTTTAATTAATAGTTTTTATAGTATTAGGTGGACAGTTTTAGTAGCATTGACCATTATATAAAAAATAACCAGTTCGGCACTACACACAAATGTTAAAATTATTGTCCTTTTCATATTAAGCGCAATTATCTGGTATGGGATAGAAATAAACAGTTAAAGCTTATAGACCAACATTACCCTAAGCTATTCCTTAAATTTTCTAAATTAAAAAAATATATATGATAAAAGCTTACTACTATTTTGAGTAACAATTAAATTATATTTGATACAAAATAAAAATTTTGATTCATTAAATAATAAATATAATTACAATCTAAGAAGTAGAAGAGGAAGCTCCTATAGGATTAAAATATAATTAGTCTACCACAAGATTGTATTAGCTGTTACCATCACAGGAAGTTCTTTATCCAATCTTTTTATGAGGTATTGATGAATCACTCATAGTTTTTCCATCATAGTTGTATTAAAAGGGGCCACTAATACCAGATTCTTCCTCTAGCTAATAGGTGAAAATTTTCATTATTAGTATGGTGTAGGGTTTAGGAATCAAAATGTTAAAGTTAAACTTTTATCCTTTCTAAAAGCTAATTATTTAATAAGGTAGTTCTTTTTGGTTACCTTTGCATTTTTAAATTGTTACAGGCGACTAAACAAATAGGTTATTTAAAGCTTTATAATCTTTAGATAATGAACTTTGAACATCATTGAAGGGGTTATCATAAATTTGATCGTAAAGAATTTAAAAGTTTTACTAAGCTTTTTTAATAAGAACAGAATTAAAAATATTTTCTTAAAGGTAAATTTACAATAGACTGGTGAGATGAAAAATATTAAAGAAGCAAAAATCATTTTTTAGACAACCGCTTTTATCATTTTAACTCTATTTATTTTCAATTTTTTGGGAATTATTTATAGCAAGATGAGTGACTTGTATTAAACTCGAATGTTTGTTTAATAATATTAATTAATTTTAATAAATCAATAATTACCTTTAATTAAATTATAACAAAATTAATTACACCAAAAATCATATTTAATACTTAATTACACTTAAATCATATTTAAATCTTAATTACTTCATAATCATAAGATTAATTTACTTATTTTTCAAAAATCACAAAATATTTACTTAATTACTTTGAGATTCATGAATTGTTTGATTACATTAATCAAAAATTTATATTTTGTATTAATACCTCTAAAATAATTTTTGTATCAAAATTAAACAAAAAAAATTTACATTTTTAATTTTTGTTTTAAAAGCGAATTAAATTTACAATTTTTAAACAAGAAAATATCTTTTAGCTAATTTAAATTATTGATAAAAAAAACGACAACAGCAGGATTCGAACCTGCGCGGGTAAACCCAAAAGATTTCTAGTCTTCCTCCTTAACCACTCGGACATATTGTCTTAATTGATATCATACAAATTAACTTTATGGACTCTAGAAACGTAAAATAAATTTTTAAAATAAAGAAATGAAAATGTAAAATTTAAATTAAAAATAATGAATTTGCTTATTTATTTTGTAAAAATTTCGAATAATTTATTTAAATTAAGAATATTTACACATTTTATTTGTTAAATTTTAGTATAAAATTTAATATTTATTAATTATTTCGAAAGTTCAATTTATTGAAGTACTCTAACCCTATTACTCTCTATATCTCTTGTTTTATAAAAAAAGTGATGTTGTAGAATTTTTTTCATTTTTTATAGGTCTAATGTGATCTCTGTCAGTTAAAGGTTGTTGGTTTTAAAAATTCTAGGATGCTTGCTATTAAGTCTATATTTTTTAACTCATTTAGCTTTATTTTTGTTTCAAATGTTAAAATTAATATGAATTAGCTGTATACTATTAATTTAAGTTGCTTTGATTTATTGTTTCGTTTTAGATTATATTTATATTGTTGTTGTTATTACTATTATTATTGTTATTAGGTGATGATAATTGTTGTATTTGGTTTGAAGATTAGTTCAATATTGAATTTTTATACGAAAGTGCATTTATGCTATTTAAAATTGCTTAATTGTTATTGCTACTGTTATTATTATAGTTATTAATATTACTATTATTTATATGACTATTATTTATGTTGCTTTAGTTGATTTATGAGTTATGGATATTAGAATTGCTATTTTAATTTATATTGCTATACTATAAACCTGCTGCTTTTGCATTCAACGGATGACTTCGAGGAGTTATTTCATTTGCAGAAGAAATTTGGCTTTGTTTATTTGAAACCATGTTAGCAGCTGTGTTTTAAATTTTTTTATTTAAATTTCCTCTTCTGTCTTAAATTTCAGTTTTTTAAGAAAAATGAGCTTGTATAGTCCTCTAAACATAATTATATCTCGTTGGGCTTATTGAATTTGTTGTATCTCTAGCAGAGGATTTACTTGAAGGATTTTTTTACTTACTTTAAGGGGAATTCATATTTGAATTAGCTATACTTTAATAAGAAGTTGTGTCCATCTTTTTTATACCAATGTGGTGGTCATGAAGAAATTTAATTGTTCCGAACTCATCTATGCAATTTTTAATATCTTATCTATATCTAAAATTGAAAAAAAACTTTTAGTTTATGCAGATAAATTGAATTTAGAAAATAAAAAATTATTAATTTTTTTTAAAATAAATTAAAACAATTTAACATGAAATATTAAATTAAAAAAGAATTTAAAAAGTGAATTACTTAAGAGTGAGAATTTCTAAATCCTATTTTTTGATGTCAACTATACTTAATTTAACTTACTTTAAAGTTTAATTTAAAGTATCAAATATGAAATGATCTTTAATAAGTAAGTCGATATTATTTGTACTAGAAGGAATAGGGTTGAATTTATTGGATTCTATAACACAAGTTTTAATTTCTCTTAAATCAGCGATGAGGGTATCATACTTAAATAGGGAGCTTTCAAATGACTTTATTATTTTATCTTCAAGTTATTTTTATTTCTAATTAATTTGATTTTTTAAAATTTAAAACTCTTTGTTCAAAGTATCTAAACACTTTTCAAAGCTTCTCTCAATTATTGATCTGTTAGCAACACACTTTTTTAGATCATCTTCAATTGTATTTACTTTCTCTTTCAATTAATTTCTGTATAAGTTTGTATTATTGGATATTGATTAGATGGCTGCTTTGAGAGGAATTACAGTATGCTTCGAATGCTCCTCACTTTCAAAAAGACAACTCACACAAAGTAAGCTTTTATCCTTCTCACAATATAAAGAAACAATGTCGTTGTGAATCTAACATTTAATTTGTTCTCCATTTTTAAAATCACAATAAAATTTTTATATTAATTCAATATTTTGCCAATTAATATTCGATAAAAAGTGTTGATCAACATTTTATTACCTCTAGGTATTTTGCTATGAATCTTTTTCTTGAATTTAATATAGATTTGAAGAAATTCCTGAATTTAAGGTACCCATTCCTCCATCATTAACTTTATTCATATTTGCCTAATTTATTGATATTTTAAGGCTGTTTTTTAAATTTTATATGGATTAAAATTAATATTAATTTTATTGCTAAGCTATTTCATTTTCTTGTAAGGTTGTTTGTGCTGCTGACTAGTTTTACAGCTAAGAAATTTACTATAATTACTATAATATCACTTCTTTATTATTCAACTATTATTCATTTTGAATGCTATCTAAATTAGGATCCTATTCAAGCACAGAAGATATGTACTGTTTATTAATATGTTCAATTTAAATATCTTAATCAGAATTATAATTTTCTGGAGATTAAAGGTTATGTAAGAAGTTATCTTCTGGAGGAAAATAAACAGTTATTTCATCATTACATTAGTTATTGATAGCTTAAGAATTCCCTTACTAGGAAGATTGTCCATTACTTCCTATAATATCATAACTTCCTACCGCATAACCTGTAGACTTTTATGCAATTCTATCTTGGTTAATAGAATTTTTTGAGCTAATATTTGTATTTTTTGCAGAAACTACTTAGTTTTCACCTATTCTTAATGATTTTTAATTGATAGATGCTTAAGGTGATCTTGAAGTTGAAGAATCAATGAATTAATTCAAATTATTACTGTTTTAATCTGCTGCAGATGTAGATTGTGATTAAACCCCTTTAGGGATATTTTAGTGATGATAATTTGAGTGCATAGATTCTGAATTAAAATTAAATTATTAATTGCTATTATATTTAAAAGCTGCTGTACTTGCTTATGATTAATTTCCACTTGCTTCTTTGGTTTTATAAATATTTAAATTTGAATTATAAGCTCCTTTCTTTAAGTTTTTAACTGAAGGAGACTAGTAAAGTTTTAGGTGTTATTATAATTATTACTATTTTACAGTAGGGTCATTCTTTTTTTGTTGTGTAGATATCAACACATCTAATTATTTTTTTTGGTTTCTTTGCTAATCTTCTATCTGTTTTTCTTTCATATTTATCATTTTGCTTGATGGCTTTCTTTAGATTTTATCATTTTTTTCAAGAGAATTATCTTTATTTTCACTTTAATAGTAAATCTCTTACTGATTAGAATTGAATTCATCTGCATTAACTGATTAATTGACAAAAGACTATGCTACCGCTTACTATTAGTTTAATTAGACTTAATTTTGAATTTTCTCTTTTTATACTTGTGGCTAGTTCTTTGCTGAAGTTAAAGACTATTTTCTTACATTTTAAATAGTCTTTGAAATAGTAATATTAGAATTTAAGCTGGAATTTTATCCTCCATACAGACTCCCTCCTACTAAGCTATTATTTACATGTGATAAATGTGATTGTTATTAAGTACTGAAATTGTTCATGCTGCACGAGTTAGTCATATTGGAACTATTTTGAATTTTATTAGGTTTTTGTTTGCCTATACTAGGACTGTTTATACTATTTTAGGCTAATGCACTAGTTATACTATTAACTGGATTTGGTGAATGGTTAGTTTAACCAATAATACTTAGTGGATTTTGAATTGAATTCACATTATTATAGGGTAAGCTAGAGTGATGTCCAAGGACGTAGTTATTATTTTACAAGATTTAGTTCATCTTACTTTCTGGGCTTAATTTTTTCCCTCCCTCTGCAGCTGAATTTATTACAGAATTTTGCATATGTAATTGTTATAGCTGACTAGGCTATTAGGTATTCATTTAATTTTTTAAACTTAAAACGCTGGATGGCGAAACAAGGTTTTTTTTGATTGAACCTTCTATATAATTATTATATTTTGAAGATTGTTTTTTGTTATACATTTCCCTATCGGTCAAAAAGCCAGATACAACCTGAGATATCTATGAAGGAGAACCGCAATTATTGTTTAATTTCATTTGTGTTGGACTTGTATTTTTTAAATTAATTGTATTACCTTTTAAAGAATTAGTTCTCTACATTTTGTTAGTTACGCCTTATTAAACAGCCATATGTTAGCCTTGTGTATTAGCAACCTAATTGGTTTATTAAGACTATCTTTTACTATTTAAACTAGGGCTTTTCAGATAGCATTTAGGACAAACAATATCTTTTAAATCATAAGATCCCATTTCAAGACTATTATTTCTTTAAAAAGATTAATAACGTTATTGCCCTGCATGCAATTGATTTTATTAATTCTATTAATTTGGATTAGCTTGATCTAAATTCTTAGATTGGATTTCTCTTTCTTTATTATGTCTGTTCTGCAAGCACTTAATGCATATATGATGATTACAAGGAAGTTACAACCCAGCAAAAGATGCTATTTATTCTAAATTTAACTAGCAATCAATACATTCCATTTATTAAAGCTATATTAAACTAAAACACTTTTATAATACTTAGTAAGGATTCAATAAGATTCAAAAAATATAATACCTATTAATTTAACCTAATTTAATTTATAAACTAAAATCTATTATTACTTTATCTAATAAATTAGTTATTTTGCTTAAACAGTTAATAAATTCAAATAAATTAATACAAACTCAAATCAGTATAAAAAAATTGTAAAAAGTACTGTATTTATTTATTTTTTTTCATTCACTCAATAAATTAAAATCATTCAACATTCTTAATTAAAATGAAAAGATATTTCTTGACAATCAAACATATATATTTAGAAATGGATCTATCTGATTGTTTAAACACACTTTATTAGTTATTTAAAAAAATAAAGATAGCTTTCAATTAACTAAATAAAAAATTTTATTTATAAATAATTTCTCTAAAAAGTTTCAAAAAAAAAAATATTTATTGACTTAATAAATAAATATCTTTGATCCAAATATTTTAAAATTTTTGATTTTTATTTTTATTTTAAAAATAGTAATTTATTTCATTTTATAAATTTTTCATTTATTTAAATAAAAGTTATTTTATTTTTAGAATAAAAGGATATATTTAAAATTTTATTTTAGGTGGAAATAAACGAAATATAAAATTGATATTAAAATATTATTTTCATCATTTTTCAACAAAATTTATGCAAAACAATATATTTTTATCCAAAAATTATATTTATTAGGTGATAGTAAAAAGATATATGCTTTAAAGGTATTTAAGCTAATAGAATTTTGATTGAATGCTAGCTTTTGATTATAATATCATCAAATATTTTTTTTCTGCCCAATAAGAGTAATATATATATTAGCCTTTTTTCTAATCATATCAAACAATTAATCAATATTGGCTGAATTTAATTTGCTTAACATATAATTATATAATAAGTAAAAATTAAGCATAATTATTTATTAAAGAATTTTATAAATGAGGCATACTCGATTACTCATATTTCTAATCTGTTTTATTGAATATATCCTTGCATTTAAGGATCTAAGAGATCTGGAGCTAGATAACTAAATTTTTCATTCTTTAGAGAATTCTTAATAACAAAATGATGGTATTACTAATAAAAAAAAGTTTGATTTTATATATTTTAATGATCAATTTAAAAACCACACTTATAATTAAGAAGACATTCTACTGTAAAAACCTAAAGAGATGCTTACTGAATCAATAACTTGCAATGTATAAACAACTCCTATTAAGGAAATTGTTTGTGACTAAAATAGCTGCACTTCGAAAAATGATAAATTAATTTAAGTAGATATTAGCTAATTGAAGATTTTTTCTGTGTGCCTTACATCATAGCAATCAGTTATTGATTTGAGCAATATTCAATTCATAATTTCGTTAACCTAAGAGACTACAATAATTTTACAAGCTAATACAGTTAAGTTATTCAATTTTAACATAAATACTAATTCCATTTAGCAAATTAATTTAAATATAGTCTCATATGATTAAATGATACTTAATAACTTCTAAGTTGCCTCATTAACAAAAATAAACCTTGTCTCTAATAATGAAATAAAATTAGATAATATAACAATTTACAGTTAAAAGGTCAGCATAGCAAGTGGATCCGACTTTATCTAGAGTTCCTCAGCTTTGATTGGTATATTAAACTCTTTTGATCTGGTTTCTGGAAATGATATAATACTTAATAAATTTTGGTTAGGCTCTTTAGTACTTCCAATTAAAAGATAAAGTGACCAGCAATAAAATGAAAACTCATTTATAAATATAATAAGCACAAATATTATAAAATTTACTAATAAGTCTGAAATTGGTGTAAAAAACACAATCATAAATTTATAAGCAAATCAAATAATAATTTCTGAGTCCGAAATTGAAACACAGAGCGAACTGACAATCAAAGCTTTAGATTTAGTAGATATTAATTAGTCAGTAATAAACAGCAAATTTGCATATATTTATAATTCAATGCTAACTTAAACATCATCTAATAATAGCATATTAATAAATAGCACAGAAATTAACACTTCAGGTAGGATGTGTAAAACCTCCTGTGGCAATTAATAAAATTTCAAACTAAACTAATTAAATAATTAATGCAAACTTTAAGAATATTTTCCTTACATAAGTTTGCTCAGAGACTCTGCTAATGGCTAGTTCCAGGTAAGTTATACACTTCATACCTACGGTTTGATTTAATATTAAGATTTGATATAAATTATGAAAAAAAATTATACTGCTATTATTTTTTCTTTGGGCACTCTTGAAATTAAGGACAAATCTACTATAATAGCAAGTAATTTAGGCATTTATGCAACATAAATTACCTTAGAAAAAAAATCTGTTTTATCAAGTCAATAAATGGGATGCTAAGGCACTAAAGGCTTGGGTGGAGGTATAATAGATATTGTAATGAGGATAAATTTAAAATGTGGAGGACCTGGAGGCTCACATGGTTCACCAGGTGGCTCTCCCATATCAGAATAAGATGAGTATAGTGTTACTTTTGTTTTATCATTTTTCAAAATTTAGCTTTAAATATGAAAAAAAAATTTTTATTATTTTACAGATACAATTAGTTGTGTAGTTAAATTGGAAGCTAATCTATATATGGCAATAAAAATGATCCTATATTTGAAGGAAGTGGAGGTGGAGGTTATGTTGTGCCACCAATCAGTAATGATTTCAAAAGTAATGATGGTGAACATCTTTCTTATACAGAATAGTATGCAGGATCAGGAGGAGGAGTTATTTATATAGAGGCATTTAATATTACACTTGATGGAGTAGTTGATGCATCAGGAGGATAACCAAAAGAAGAATATTCATACTTAGGATCAGGTAAATATTGGATTGTATTAAATTTTTTTAAAATTTTTAAAAATAAAGGTTCTGGAGGATCTATTTAGATTCACACATAGTGGATGGTTGGAAGTGGATCTGTCAAAGCCAATGGTGGTGATAGAAATTAATAAGGTAAATTTAATGAAATATATCTTATGACTATTTAGATTGTTATATATTTATAGGAGGTGAAGGAGGAGGTGGAAGAATAAAAATAAATATGACTAACTGGTACTAAATGAGCAACACTTAAATAAAAGATATGAGCAATTAAAATAATGTTTAAATACATGTAAGATAAGGCTTACCAAAATAAGACTAGAAAGCAGTGTTGGATAAAAATTATTTTTATTAGAATGGTTCTTTTATTGCCACACCATGCTAACCTGGCTATCAGCCTAAATATGGATACTTTGTATGTGAATAGTGCCCTTATGGATTTTATAAAAATTCATTCAATTTAGAGCAGTGTCGCCCTTGTTTAAACAGTGAAAATAGCAGATTCGACTTTTAAGTAAAATATAAAATTAGTAATTATCTTAGCTTAATAAAATTTTATTAAAAAAAAATAGGTTGATGCTATATAGACTAGTTCCTCGTGTCAATATACTTGCTAAAAAGGGTATTAAAATAAAATGGTCAATCACATCAAAGCTTGTATTACAAATGGAGAGCTTTTTGTAGATTCTCTAGGAGGAAGTAGTATAATCTTCTTTGTAGTTCTCTTAATTCTGTCTATTTTACTCAATTTAGTAGTAATCTGCGTTACCAAAAGATTGAATATGCAAAAAAAGATGCAAAAATCCATCATTTCTTCAAATTAAGTTGATAAAAGTAAGGTGAGACTGACGATTGAAGATCTCCCTTTTCATTTTTAAAGATTTTATATTGAAGGTGAAAATACTCACAACAAGCCTTGGGTTGTTAATGATTAAGTGAAGTCTGACATAATTTAAATTATCCTTTCTGGATATAGGTCTATTGAATAGTCTGATTTAGATCAATTAGGGCTTTTAAGACAAAATCACTAAGAAGGAAAGAATAGTAATGATAGTGGATTTGTAACATACTATGATTATTCTAATAATTATAGCTATGATATTGAGCTGTCTCATGATTATTAACAAAACAGTGCTCACAATACATGTTAAAAAACTTAAAAATTTACATCTATTTGGGATTAAATCAAAAAAGCTTTTTCATATTCTAAATGGGAAAAGTTTATTTTAACAGTTTTAAAATATTTATACCCTTATGGCTACTACATTCAAGGTGATGTTTACAAGAAACAAAAGTGGAAAAAAATGAAAAAAATTATGAAAAAATTCTAATCAGATTTAAAGTTGAAAAATAGCTCAATAAGGGTCAAATTTTCATGTACATCATGTTATTGTTAGGCCTACTTTGATATAGTAGATTATACCAAAACAGAGCTTTAGTGGGATATTGAGTCTAAGATGCCGTTGTGCTTGCTACTATAGGGGAAAGGATCATTCATGAGTCCATTTTACTTGAATAACCGTGATCCTTTATTTGTTTTGCTAATCACTTATTTGAAATCAAAAATAGACCTAAATTATTTAAAATGTGGAGAAATGAATTCTCATAATAATACCGATAAAAATAATATTTTTAAGGAGTGGGAATTTAATACTGAGTAACAAGATATCTAGAATAAAATTTAAAGTTAAGATTAACTTAATGATTAAGTAGAAGAGACAGATTAGCTTGATAATGAATAAATAATCAGAAGAAAGAGAAAGATTTCATAAATTGCCAGTTCTCTTTTATCGAGAACTTCTACTTTAATAAAAAATAGATAAATGTCAAAATTTGGGTCTTTTGAAATGGTTGATGTAGATAAAGATCATGCAGAATGCGACTTGAGCAAATCAGAAGAGTCAGAATAAACATTTTGCTAATATAATTTAGAGGAAGAGGAAGATCTTTCTTATCAATTAATTCTTCTAGTTGAGTGCTTCTTCAATAAATTAAATACTTACTCTAGAACAATATGTTACTCTTTAGAATTCAGTGAGTAAGTTTATATCTTCAAAATTTTAAATACACTTTTTATTGATTTCATATTTTAAAATTATTAGATTTAGAAGAAGATTCATGAGATTCATGAAATTTATATCAGATCATCAAGACATCTTTGAAATATTCGACATGTATATATAAGTCAACATTCATAAAATTCAAAAAGAAGAACCAAAATAAGAAAATGATAAGCTTGAAGAAAAGAAAATATTTTTTAATAATTTTTAAGTATTCGAAGAAGAATACTCTAGTGTAATTATCCTTCCTTAAAAAATTATACCTGGCTCAGTAGGTGAAAAGCAACTAGAAACCCTTCTTTAAAAAACTTATGAGCGTAAAAGATAGTATAATGATTTTGAATATAAGATTTCACTGATATTTTCTAAAGAAAAAATTTATGAATTCAATAAGCAGTATGTTTAAAAGATGCCAACAATTAATAAATAGCTTTAGTGGATTTGCTAATCCAAAAAAAATTAAGTTAAAATTCTGATACAGCATGCCGAATAAGAGAACCAGTTTTAAGAGCTAAATTAAAACTAAGACAAAACAAAAAAGAATATTGATTCTTCACAATCAAAGATGGAAGAAACATTCGATTCTAATTATGAAGTGTACGAGCTTAAAGGTTTACCTGATGAAGTCGTTGTAGTTGATTATAGAAAAACTCCTTAATTTGAAAGAGCAAGCTCTTCATCAAAAAATAATTCTTATTGCTCAAAGTATAACAGGGGATCAACATTTGGTAAATCGTTTAACGGCTCTGATTCATAGGCTTAAAATGCAAAGCACAATGAGTAGCGCTTTTTTTTGAATTAAAGTGTTAAAGAAGAAATAGAAGAAGAAAATAAAGATGAAAAAGAAAATATGGAGTAATATAATGGGGAATTAAACTTAGAATCTGGTGTTGAATAAAATAATGGCTTTAAATAAAACATAAAAAAAATAATTAATAAAATAATACTTTTGTTCAGTTTATTTAAAGCCAGTGTGTTGACCTACAGAATTGTAGAATATAAAATATTGAACAACAACTTTTTTTTAAGAACAATACTCTGCCTATTTATTTTATCAAAGCTGGTAAAAATTAATAAATCAAATTAAATTTAAATAAAAATTTTAATTAATTAAAAGACATTTTTCTGGTTTGTGCACATCAGACCTTTTGGCTCTATTATATCTGGTGATACTACAGTTTATGATAATATCGTGATAACAATACAAGCTTCTGTTTATCCATTATCTTCAATTTTATCAGCATTCTACCAAATCGTCTGGGTAATTACTTTTTTATTTAATTATTTCAATTTCAAATTTTAAGTTTAGGATTATTTTAAAAGAATGAAAACAATTTTTAAAATTAATAATAATAAATATTTTGTTAATTAGATTCTTAAGCAAGATTAAAATAGTGGAAAGCTGTGTATGATCCTTAATACCATGGAAATATTTGCTTTGATAATAGTTATACCATTATAAATACCTCAAGTTCTCCTACACTATGCTATTTATTAGAATTTTATTTTAAACTTAGCATATCTGTTTTCTAATTTGATTTAAGGATATTTAGGTAGTATTTATCTTTTACAAAATTAAGAAAAATAAATATAACTTTGTGATGGATATTGAATAAATAATTATTGTTAAATAAATATTTAAAATATTTTTTATGATAGCTTTTGTATTTAATTTGGTATTTAGTAAAATTTTAAATACAAAGTATTTTTATTTGCTTTTTATCTTAGAATAACCTTCTTATTCTGATTTTTCTCAATAATTTTCATCATTTATTTTATTGTTGTAACTGCAATTTATTGCAGGTAAATTAATAGATAGATAGATAAAAATATTTATATTTAAATATTTTTATCATCATTCATTCTTTCAATCTATTTATTAATTCATTTATATTTTTTATTAAGTAAAAAAATACTGGAAAATTTATAATTTATCTTCTTATTATTGTGATAAAGTATTCGTTATTTAGAAAAATTTATATCAAAGCATCTTAGATCTATAATAAATTCGAATGCTTAATTTATTGCTTGCTTGATTAATTGATTTATTTATTTACAGATAGAAAGAAGATAAATACACTAATTTGGCAGAAAATAAAATTTATTGAATTATAAATAAAAATTTAAATTAAGTGATATATATCTCTCTCTATCTATCTATTTATTTATTTGAAAGAATGAATTGTATTAATTGTTTGAAAAATACTAATAAAGCTTTTAGATTTATAACTTTCAAGCAAGAAAGTTAAATCTTTTAATCAAAACTTAAATATTTTTATCAGTCATTTAATTAAAAATCAATAGAAAAATATTTATTATCAGCTAGGTTAATAAATAGGTAAAGGAATAAGCAGTAAAAATGGGAAATTAATTAGGCTAAACAGTTTAGAGTAGATAGTTTATCGACTAAAATCTAAAGGATTTCGAATACTAAACCATATTCGTAGAAGAAATAGATGACAAATGTTTTGGGTAGGTGAGAATACATAAGAGAAGAAATACTTTTTAGGGAAATGGAAATATCTTTATTATGGAAAAAGCAAACCATCTTGATTAGAAAGTGGAATATGCATAACTTTATGCTGAGTCATAAGCGCGTCTTGAGTTATAGCACAAGAATTTATTGTAGTTTTTGGGATATGATTTCGTTAATTAAAAAGATTTTTGTACAACATCACTTAGAAGTAGACTCTTTTTTGAATATTACTACCATGATCTAGGCTTAGAAGTTTAAAGAAGAAGTGATTGTTAGGTATGATTATTATCTAAATTTATTTTATTTGATTTTATTTTTTTCAATTTAGATTTTACACGAAGTACATTTTTATTAGAAATGGCTTTATTGGAATTTATTTTATTTATTTTTTAAAATGTTTATAGGAATATTTTAATGAAGACGAGTTATGGTATATCCTTGATTCATTGGTTTAAGTATGTAGCTTTTTGCAAGAAAATTAATTGTTTCATGGAGATTTAAGACCTTAAAGTGTTAAGCTTACTTAAGAAGGCTTTGTAAAAATAGGAGACCACGGTTTAATAAATCCTTTGAAAAATGGGTTTTATAAAACTCTAATTAGAGCTGAAAATGGTTATTTGAGTCCTGAATAACTTTCCTTTTTGATGCTAGGTTTAACTGAAGCAAAATATAATGTTTTTAAGCAAGAAGTATTTACATTAGGCTTAACCATTTTGTAGAGTGCTACACTCAGAGATGTTTCATAAGTGTATGATTGGGATAAGATGCTTGTGAAAGTAGATGTTTTGAAGTAGCTCATTGAATTCGCTGCTAGTTTTTATAGCTAAGAATTTATAGCTGTAATTAACTTAATGTTATAATTTGAAGACGCTTATCGTCCTGATTTCATTTAGTTAAGGTAATATGTTAAAAACGAAAATAACAATCGTCCTGGCTAGTTAATAACTCATGCTCCACTCTAGCAATCAAATATTACACCTCAAGTGCTTAGTCCACCAACTAATTTAATAAATACTAATCCCTTAGTGATACAAAGCCCTCCAATCAACAGTCAATTGGTTTAAACTTCTGCTCTTTATCCAGCAGGTCTATAATCAACAGTCAACGTAACAGGACCTTTGGTATAATAGTATCCTTCTTAAATTCAATAAACCGTAATACCATAAGTTAATCCTCACTTGCAAAGTACTGTTGTTGTACCTGGCCTTTAGCATTCGTTAATGCCTCAAAGCCAGGTAATAATGCATCCTCCTACATAGAATGTAGTACAATCTTAAGTTATAGTGCAAAGGCCACTAATGTAATCTAATAGTTAAGGATTACCTATCTAGACAGTATTTTAAAATTAACCAAAAATATAAGGTTAATAATAAATAAACTAACTCCCTCGAGTGATGTCAAATAATACTTTGGTCACTAATTAAGTTTAGTAGCCTTAACAAGTTTTATATAAATAAGATACCTTTGGAAACTATTAAGAGGGAGGAATAGAAAATTATAAGAAATCAGTAAAATTTAATGAAAACACAGATATATTGACTGAAACATATAAAGTTAGATAAAGTCATCATAACGAGTATTCAAATTTAAAGCGTTCATAAATTCAATTTAATACTGACCTTGATAGACGTGTTTAGGAAGCACTCGAAATGACTAGATAAACTATAAAGAAAAACTAGTAAGTCCCTAATATTTTTAATGAAGACTCTCCAATAAAAAAATATGACCATAAAGAATGAAGAAAAATTATATTAAATAATAAAAAAATTTGTTTAAATAGGATTTATGTCTGTCTATATTTATTTATAAATGATTATTAGGTTCTTTGAATGTAAATGGAAAGATAAATGTATATAATACAATCTTTACAATTTCAAAATTATACTTTCATTTTTTTTACTTTTTATAAAAATTTTTTAAGGGACGGACATTTGTTCTTCATCATTAATAAATTATTTATTATTTTCAAAGATTGCTTTAATTCCTATGTTATTTTGATTCAATTTTCAAAAAGATTAAAAATGAAATTCTTAATTTATATTTTGTTTGTTTTAACTTGTCAAATAAAAAATATATTTTAGAAAAATAGAATTAATTAATTATACACCCTTTATCATTATTGTTTGGTTGATAGATAGTGAGTGTTATGTAGATAGATATAGATAGACAAATAAATAATTATAACACATGATATGGACAACTTTATCCTAAGTAAATACAAAAAGTACTTTAATTAGTAATTTAGGAAAAAATTAAAAAATTTTTGGTTGGTATTTTGGTTATTATATTTCTGATATAAGATTATTTTTTTATCTTAAATATGATCAATCTAACTAGGAAAGAGGACCAAACTACTCTTAATGGAACTCCTCTAATCCACCAGGAATAAATTTGGATTATATGTATACTTATCCCGCTAAGGAATCTAAATTATTTTTGAAATGAAGATCATAATAATTATTTATTAACCACTTTCCTGGCTAATCTATTAAAATGCCTAGATCTAAATTTATTTCACCCATATATATTTTTTTAGATTTATCACATTCTTGTAAGTCATATAATTTTAACTAAAGTATAAGTTTATGTCCTAAATTTACATCTACTTTATGGTCTTAATCATGGAACCAAATAGGCTCTTCAGCAACTTTTGAATTAGGATCAAAAATTTCTGTTATATTTCCTTCATCACCAACAATGCAGTATTCAATTAGAGGGGATTAAACTTTTAAGCTACTATCTTATGAGTGCTACAATTTACGAGCTTTTATAATTACTATTCTAAAGGTTCCTTATATCTTGAATAGTTAGTTGCTTATGCTTAAAATTAATTTTTATATTATGCCTTAGTGTTTTTCATTTTCTTTATTTAAATCTACTGATGCCATTATGTCCTTTTGACTCGATTTGGTTAACTTTTTATCAAATTCAGGGTTAAGTGTTGCTTCTACACTCTCTACTTATTGCTATAAAAGACTGCTATTTTGTATCTATATCAAAGAATATTTCACCTAAATGTATAACTTAGCTTGCTAAAACTCTTCTTAACAATCAAAATAATTATTAATAGACCATTATCCCTCTTTTTCGAAAATAGGTGAAAGAGGAACTCTAAACGTGGCTAGATCGATTCTTTACTGTTAACTTTTAGAGTAGCGCAGTTCAAAAATATTAGCACATAAAAATAGAGGCTTTTAGTTGATATCTTCTTGCAGTTTTTCTATGCTCTTTGGAACTAAAAGTATTAATTTTTTTCTGAGATAATACCAATCAGGCTCGTTGTTATTATAAACAGGTTGAGAAACTATTTTTTAATCAGTCATCCCTTCTAAATAAACTTCACATGTAGCATTCATACAGAGAGGCAAATTTCTAGCACTCATTATATTTACATAAATAAAACTCTTTTAATAAGCTCCCATATTCATAGATTCTACCATTGAAATTTTCATTTAATCTTGATTGCTGAAAACTAAATCTTGTAAATTCTTCTTCTCCTTAGGCTTCTCTTATGGTGGTGCTAATAAATTCAAGAGTTATTCTTTTAGATGAGACTAAACATTATAATTTGATTGTATTATGGTTAAATTTGATTTTTCCATATCATCCCCTTCCATAAAGTTAAAACCATAAATAATTTCTTCGTTCTTTACTTCATTCTCTGCAATATCAATTTACTTAAAGTCTTCATTTAAATCTTAGAAAAGTAACTTATCTTGTAATATAATATTTTGCAACATTTATTCTTCTGAAATATGGTTTTACTGAAAAGTCTATAGTATTGTCAAGTCTGTGTTTCTGTTGTTAAGAGTTAAGTCATTTTAATTGTTTGTAAAGTATGTTTAGTTGTGAGTTTGGAGTGAAACTTAGTTTTTAATATGACTGAGTTAAGATTCATTTTTCTTTTTTTTTTCTAGGGTGCTGTTATCGTCATCGCTTGTTTTCTATTTACTAAGGTTTTTTTCTTATTTTTAAATATAATTCGTTTCAACATTTTTTTCTTTAATTGCATTTCCTAGCATTTCCTTATCTTTTTACTATATGCAATTCAAATCCTGAATTTGTAAATTTATTGATTAAACCATTTATACCTCAGTATTCTATTATTCATTTTTAATAGATTTAGGTGGTATGCTAGATTATTAACTAAATTTAAATTGATCAGATTTTTAACTTTGCTTTGAACTAATATTTTCAAGTATCCTAATGTTTTGGATATCCTCGGAAGGAAGATCATTTGATTTTTAATGCTTAACAAATATATTTTCTAATTAACTATGCTATTTTTGAACATCGATTTGAGCACTCCTATTTTAAGTATTCGATTTCACTGAATTATCTCGTACTATAGTTAAATTTTATGATGTTTAATCCTTTTTAAACTAGTAAGTTTCAAACAGGCTATTATACATATCTAATTCTTGTTAATTTTTACTAATTTGTAATCGCTTAGGTCCTTCATATGTAAAATTATTTCCCTTTTTTATGTAAATGTTTTATCAAATGTACGCTGAATGAATTATTATATTAAAGGATGGAATAAGTTACTTTTATCTTTGATTCAAAATATGTCATACCATAAAAGAGAATATCTTCTGGTTAATCTTTAAGTATACTTAAAGTGAGTTCTCTAAGAATATCATGAAATCCACTAGGCACTGGAAATAAGTTCTACCTACTTTGATTCATTAAATCTCAAAAAACAAATAAAAACCAAAAAAAAAAACTTAAATTTCTTATAGAATATTAGCTAATAATCTTTCAATATTTTCAATCGTATTTTTTCGGATTTGAAATAAAATGCATTTACTTAATAAAACAAAAGAATAAATAAATTACTTAGTATCTTTTTTAAACTGTTTAAAGAAACAAATAAAATGTAAATTACTCAGATAAATGTTAAAATTTAAAATATAAATCCAAATAAAGTAATACACAGAAATATCTTAAAGCAATTGATATAAATCTATAAAATATAAAAATTATTTATATAAACATAATATAAATAACTAAATAAATAAATAAAACTTAAACTCAAAACACTCTCAAATATTTCAATTAAAGTTTTTCAAAGAAATTTCAATTAATTATATTAAATGTTCATTTGGTAAAGCAAATTGCTAGTAAAATTCATTGAACTACATTGTGTCGAATTTATTTATAGCCATCACTTAAGAGTGGATTATACATAGTGACAACATAATCTATAAAACTGTTTTGTTTTACCTAAGATTATTTTGAGGGTTTTTCAAAATAAGTTCAAAAGAACTAATAAAATGTTTTTTCATGTGCCTCTTATATGCAATAATTACATTGCTTAAAGTTTGGTTTTCTTGAAGAAAGTTGCTTAGCTCCTAGACCTAAGATTTGAGCTCATTATTTTGATAAATGACATTATAATTATTTATTTTTTACATTATTTTGTTTTTTAAAAATTTAGTTTATTATTCAGCTTCCTTATATTCTTATTCAATAATACTTTTAGTATATTAATACTGGCTGCTTAGCTTATAATTAGAATTGTAAGGTATTTTTTAATTAGCTCCTCCGTCTATTGTTTCAATGCAATACAATATAGCTAGCTGATAATGGAACTATAAAGCCATTAAAATATAATCTAAATTAATTTCTAAGATTCCTGCACTTTTAAATTCTTCGTAAATATGATATAGATTGCTAAGTGTTATTTTTGAGAAAACTGCTACATTTCTGATAAACAAATAATACTTATCCACTGCTTCAATAGATTACTCTGTAGTGTCTTAACTTTGAATGGGCTATTCAAATAAAAATATTTTTGAATATTACAAAAATTAAGTCGAATTAAAGTGTTACATTCGAAGTTTTAACGGATTAAATTTTAGTGACTTGTATACCTCTTCTTTTCAAACCGATGTAGCTTTTTTATAAACTTTAACTGATTTCATCATTTTCATAATATTAATTATTATCTTCCATTTCTATTAAATTAAACATCTTATGATTTAGCAACTCTTCAATCGAAATTCTGTTTTCTTCTTTATATTCCATCATACTCTTGATCGCTTATTTCGTTTCAAAAGAAACTTAAAACTTATGGTCAGAAGGGAAATCTATAATTTTAGTTCCTTATTCTTTGATTTTCTTCATAAATTTTTATACATCTATTCTGGATTAAGGCTTTCCAGGTACATAACCGTAGATCATTTAGTAAAGCATAACTCCAAAACTGTATATATCAGCTTTATAGCTATATGTGCATTTTTCTTCTAATATATAAATTTGTGGAGATGCATACATAGGAGTACCTTTTTAATTAGAAAAAAAGATATTAACTAAGTTTTTATTAGCTAAAGCCAATAAATAAATAAAGAGAAATGAAATTCATCAATAAAAGCAAACCCTCCTTAATTATAAATTATGTAAAATTACATTTGTAAGTCTGTTCAATTTAAACTTCATTGTCATCTAAATGTTTTGCAAAGCCAAAATCCGCTATCAAAGGTATGCCATCATGAATTAATATGTTTTCAGGCTTAATGTCTCTGTGAATTAAATTTTTACTAAATATTTATTCATAATATCCTACACAAATCATTTTAAAGATATTCAGAAGAAACCCTTCATTAATTATTTTTTAGTTTTTGTTTATGAATTCTTGCAAATTTCCTTGGTTGCAAAATTATGTTATGTAATAAAAGTTGTTAGGACTCTTGATAAAAGTAATCATAGGGACAATATTCTTCCCCTAAGCAAGCATTAGTAATCTCCCTTCCTCTAATGATTGCTTTAGCTTATCTTACTCTAAATTTGAAATAGGTATAATTTTGCATGCAAATTTTATTGAAGGTTCCTTCTCTCTCCAACATATATAAACTTCTCCAAAAGTACCTTTACCTAAAAGATGTTTCATATCTATAATAAATTCACCAACTTTTTTAATATCTCCAAATGTGGATGTTCCATATCTAGGAAATTGTTAATTCTAAAAAAACAAAAACACCTCAAAAATCGCAATAAATGAAAAATATAAAAACTACCTACTACATGTTAACAGTATTCTAAATTTTTCTACTTTTCTATTCTACTGTTTTATACTAACAAGTTCTATTCTTTAAGTTCTTTCTGATGATAATTTACTTATTTTAATATAGATAATACTTATTTTTAAATTTGATATGTATTAGATATTAAATAATATATTATATTCAATAATTAAATTGATCTATTAGAATTTTATTTAAATTGATGGTACTATTAAAATATATCTTTCCAAATAACAAAGATAATTTCTCTTATTAACTATCTATTTTTAAAAGCATGAAAATGTCTACCAATGTGTGAATTTGTATTTTGTAGTTAGGCTTATTTGCCTGTTTAAAAGAAAGAAATAAGCAAGTCTTATGACATACTAGTTATTATTAGTATTTAATTCATATACTTTATATTGGTGATATATTATTTTCAAAAAAAGTGTTTGTAAGAAAACTAATAATAAATTATAACCTAAGATTATTTGTTTATCTCTTTGTTTGTTAGTATATTTATTTATTTTTAGTAAGATATTTTTTTTTTCTGTCAAACAGTTTTTTAATAAAATATTCAATATTTACTAAAATTTTTTTAATAAGTGGATTTTAATTTCGTATCATAATCTTTCTAAGAAGTATGTATATTTTTAAGATTAAGAAACATGCAAATAAAAATAGAAAATAAATTATTTAATGATAATCTTATATTTTTAGAAATCTTTAAAACAACTTATTGATCTTTATTTTCACTATCTTAATTACTATCTTAATAGTAAAAATAAAAATTTTTATGCTTTTATAAAAAAGTTCTTCTTTATTAGAATAATCTAAACTATTTAAAATATTCTAATAAAATTAATTATCAAAAATAAATTTCTATGTAAATTGATATATTTTTTAAATAAATAAATAATCATTCATTAAAAATTTTACATTTTTGGAGATTTTAAAAATAATTTATTAATTTTTATTCTCACTATCTTAATGGTAGGAATCATTTTTTAACATTTCCATAATAAAATTCTTTAATCTAAAATATTTTTAATGAAATTAACTAATAAATTTCTAAAAATAAAGAACGTTATTTTTTATTAAAATTTTTTGTGCTATTCAAAATAGTTTATTTACTTTTATTTTTGCTATTTTAATGAAAGAAATAAATTTTTGATGTTTCCATAATAAAACTCTTCTTGTTAATGATAATAATCTAAACTATTAAAAATAAATCTCATAAAATTTATTACTCCCAAGAGTATTTTAAACACTCATTCATATATATATTTAATACAAAATTTTTTAATTACTTTGTTAAATTTTAATATTTAAATTTAAATTAGAAAATTGTTAATTAATTTTTTTAATTAAATAAATTGATTTCTTTAAAGAAAATTTCCAGAAAATTTCATAGACAATTTTGTTATTAGTTTAAGAAAGATACTCAACTAGAATAAGGAATATTAATATTTGATTTTTGACTTAAGCATTTAATAATAGAAAGATTTTATATCACATTTTCCCTAAATTATTCATTAACAGAGCAGTTTTTCTCTTTAAAATATTTACCTATTGAAATCCTTTCATATTTAGAAATATTGATTGTACCATCAAAGAGACATACGAAAAAATTTAAAAAAATCCAAAGATCTTCTTAATTAGAAAAATCATTTTCTTCAATTAATTTTATTAGAGAGCTAGTAATTATCTTTTCTACAAAAACTTTTTTTAATTCATCAAACAGGAATCCTGTGTTATTTTTTGAATAATTCAGAAGTTACTCTAAATATATATTTTAATTGTTCATTTGTTATTAATTAATTTTTTAAAATGATTTATTAATTTTATCTGGTTCTTATTGGCTCGGAAGGTATTTAGTAAATTCCTATTTAAGATCATTTAAAAGAGTTGAAGAGGATTTATAGTTTTCCTCCAGCTACTTTTCTAATTCAATTTTTTATTTACTTTAGTAAAAGTCCTAATGAAAAGGAACATTTGCCAATTATTTATTACTATTTTCAAGGAGCCTTTACCCACAAAAAATGGAAGCATCCAAAAATTATACAGTTAAAAGTGTAAAAATATCTAAATCGTACTCTTAAATGCCTAGTACCTATGTTATTAACTCATGCAAGTGCCCTACATAAATTAAGTGGTTTAATATTTCCTATGTTAATTCTTTAATAAATAAATAGTAGAGTACAGTTTTCTCAAACTACATGCTTGATTTACCAAATTTGCTTCCCTTTTAATTTTTATTTATTTATAAATTTAATTTAATTGAATAGAATAAGAAAAGTTAAAATTACTTAAATGCTGCTATTAATTGTTGTATTTAGCTGCTTTAAATTTGATTATTGTTGTAATGTAATATGACTAAATTAGTTTAAGTTTTCTTTTATATCAAGAAATACTTTATGGTTAAGCAGCTCTGTTATTTCTATCCTATCTTCTTCCTTATATGTTATCATTTATAAAATTAAATTTTTAGTTTCTAAGCTAATAGTAGAATTTTCTTTTGTTTTGGGGAATTTTATTGCATGTAAATTTCCTTCATTCTTCAGTTTTTACATGAATTTTTCATAATCCCTCAATTATTTTGAGTTTTCAGGATATTGACTATATAGCATATAGTAAAGTAAAATACCAAGACTATAAATATCAGTTTTATAACTATAAATACTTCCTTCTAACCCTTATATTTATGGTGATGAATAGAAAAGTGTACCTTTATAATTAGAATAATTTCAATTTTCCTTAAAAGAAATAAATAATAATTAAATACCTTTGAAATATGGATTTACCTCTTTTTATAAGTCCTAAAATTTGATGCTCAACCCAAAGTCTGTTATGTAGGGATCTAATTCATCCATAAGAATATTACTTGCTTTTATATCTCTATGAATAATTTAACGATTATAGATATTTTGGAAATAGCCATAAATAATCTTATAAAATATAGTCAGAATATCCTTCTCAGATAATTTTAATCTATTCTCCTACAAATAATGATCTAAATCTCCTTTTTAATAATGCCTCATAAATATATAGATATATGAAGAAGTTTTATACACATCTAAAACTTCTGCAATATAAATGCCATTCACTTCTTTAATTATAGATATTTCTTCTTTTATTTAGTTCCTATTTGATTGCTATATCTTGCAAGCTAATTTTTTTACTCCAAAATCTTTTCTATGAGCCATGTAAACAGACCCATGCTGGCCAGAGCCTATTTAATTATTCATTTCTATAACATAAGGACCTATAACTTTTTAAATATTTGAAGCTTTTTAATCCATTTAAATGTATTCTTATCAAAAAAAGCAAAATAAATTAAATGAGATAAATATATATATTTTTGTGCTCTCTATAAAATGCAATTCAATTAAATAATTAATTAATCAATCAATCTTTTCCTTATTTGTCAGAAAAAAACTGATAAGTATGTGGAACTTTTAAAAACAAAATGATATTATGGTATATGTTCTTTAAAAAAATTAATCATACTATAAATATTTAAATCCCGCCCATTTTTTACAAGTCCAGAATTTAATGCTTAAAGAATTTTAAGGGAGAAAAAGGAACGAATAACTTTAATATTTTTTTTTGGAGTTATCGAAATTCAATGGTAATTAAAAATGAAAAGATAATAAATTAATTAATACTAATTATATATCATCTAATTTAGATTTCTAAGTGTATTATGCCGAATTAATTTTCTCATTCAATTTTTTAATTTTTAAAATGTTATGAGATTATATTATTTTTCTTTAGAAATTAAAATAATAATTTATTAGTAAAGCAAGCATTATATAGGCAATCAGATTAGTTTAGATATTGAATATTCTAATAAAAAATTTTAATTTATTTAGAAATTAATTAAGGGAAAGTAAAAATAGCAACAGACAAAGCAAGCAGTATTCAAAAGTACATTTTTAAAAGAAGATTGTAAGAAATTCTCTTTTTAAATTTCTTAAATGATTATTATTTTATCATTGAATGTGCTCATTGCATATATTTCTAATTTTATTATTATAAAGGAGTGCACTATAAAAAAAAGTATAATATATCAATTAAATTTATTTTATTGTAATTTATTAATAGAGCCAAAAAGTAGATAAAAAATATAAAGTTTATCAATAAAATGCTCAAAGATTCTCATTAAATTTTAGATAAAATCACGAAGGAGTTTAACGAGAAAAACAATAAGAGCTGGAATAATGACTTATTGTATATATGCATTAAAAATTATGAAAACTATTTTTATAACTAATACTACAAAAACAAGAATTAATAAGATGTTGCTCTATATGAAAGTAACCTTAAGCAATAGCTGCTCAGTGAAACTAAAGATCATATTAATTATCTATTTTATACATTCATTTCTAGTGAATTAGATGAGCTTTTCAACAAAATCTTTGCTAAATCTAAATCGCATTCTGATGAGGAATAAAAGTTTTTTTAAAACTTATATTGCAATTTAAATCAAACAAAAATGTTGTTTTAAATAAAGTAATAAGAAATAGCTGATCTTATTAACAATTAAGGTGATATAAATAAGATATCAAATTAAGTTTAATAATTAATGTTTGCCTATCAAACAATCCAAGAACCATCTTTCTAGCAAGTTTAATTTAATGCCTTGTAATAGTCTTACAAAGAAGTAGAAATTGATAGCTCGTAACATAAGATTATAAGTTCTGCATTCGAAAAGGGTAACTTTAAAGTTAACTATCAAGAATAGATTACGAATGATATAAAATCTTTTAAGTAAAATAATAAAAATATCATTTTAGAAATACACTAAAACTTTTAAGATGATAAAACTTTTTATTTATTTGTAAATGATCAATAAAGGCCATAATTTGGAAGCCTAACAATTTTAGTTAGTTCGGAATAGCTCAAGGCAGTTGATTTCCTCTATATTAATGAAGAAAATCATAATTTAAACTTAACAAATCCAAGACCAAATCTAATTAATTTATTTAAGTCGTGGTGGATATTTGAGTTTGAAATGCATAAAAATGAAGATAAAAAATAAATTTCTGCTGCACCTTCAGCATCTGATTAAGCTTAAAATGCTTAGTATTAAACTTAGCTTGATTTTACTACTCATAAAGTAGTAAATTTATAGCTAAATTAACCAACCGCTAATTTTTATTAAAATGTTAATCAAATATTAAACTCTGCATTCGAAAAGGGAAATTTCTTACCTGTGTTTCAAGATTAAATTAAAAATGATATTAAATAATTCATGTAAGTAAAACAAAATATCATTTTAGAAATAATTGAAAATACTTTAGATGATAAAACTTTTTATATACTCGTAAATGATTAAAAAAGACCAAATTTTGGCTAGCTAAGAATATTAGTCACTTCTGAAAAATACAAATTAGTTGATTTCCTCTTTATTAATAAATTTCAAACTTAAAATTAAGTAAACACTAACAACAAATTAATAGATTTAATTAAGGTATGGTGGAAGTTAGAGCAAGACATGCAAAACTTTTATTCAGGATTTGGTTAAGCTTAAAATGTTTTTTTACAAACTTAGCTTGATTTTGCTTCTCCAGTATAAGCAAATAATGTTTTATAACAAGCTTAGCTTGATTTAGCTACTTACGTATAACCAAATATGTAAATTAATTAATCAAACTCTAATTTGAACTAATAAATAACAATTAACTATGATTTTGTACTTAGTGATTAAGTTAATAAAATAATAAACTCTGCATTCGAAAAGGGAAATTTCTTACCTGTGTTTCAAGAGTAAATTAAAAAGGATATTAAATTCATGCAAGCATAAAAAAATTTCATTTTAGAAATAATTGAAAATACTTTAGATGATAAAACTTTTTTTATACTCATAAATGATTAAAAAAAACCAGATTTTGGCTAGCTAAGAATATTAGTCACTTCTGAAAAATACAAATTAGTTGATTTCCTCTATATTGAAAAAGGAAACCATATCCTATAATAAGTAAATGTTAACTAAAAATTAATAGATTTAATTAAGTTATGGTGGAAATTCGAGTATGTGCAAACTATAGAAGATGAAAAATGTCATACTGCTCCTTCAGTATCTAATGAATCAATCTCTAATTTGAACTAAATCAAACAAGATGTCTAAGATGTTGAAATGCTTAGTGATTAAGCAAATAAAATAATAAACTCTGCATTCGAAAAGGGAAATTTCTTACCTATGTTACAAGAGTAAATTAAAAAGGAAATTAAATAATTCATGTAAACAAATAAATATATCATTTTAAAAATAATTGAAAATACTTATGATGACAAAACTTTTTTTATAATTGCAAAATATTTAAAAAGACCAGATTATGGTTGCCTTGAAATTTTAGTAACGACTGAGAAATATAAATTATTTAATTTCCTCAACATTTAATAAGGAAAACATATCCTAAAATAAGTAAATGTTAACTTAGAATTAATAGATTTAATTAATCTATGGTGGAAGTTCGAGTTTGGAATATATGAATACCAAAATTTAAAATGATTTATCTTTTAAAAATGAACTTATATAAAAATTTATTAAATAAAATTATATCTAAATCAAAAAATAGACACCTTAAAATAAATTTATTGTTAAACATTTAAGTAAGTTTCATTGCATATATATTTTATAAAGTATTAATTTTTGTCACTTAATTTGAATAAATATTTTAAAATCATATTATTTATATTAAATTTTCAAAATGAATCATCACACCTATATTTAGGTTATCTAGAATAAAAGCATTTTTAAGGATTAGCCTATTTTAAAGGTCCCTAATGTTTATGTATAATTTTAAAATTAAAATTGAAATTTGGTACTTTTTTTTTGGGCAAAAATGATACTTAGGGATTGCCTTAATTAATGAGCATTTACAGTATATGTTATTTTTAAAAATATATTCCAATTTAGTTTTTAATGGAATCTAAACCACTAAATTTTTAATTGGCATATTGTTATATCTAGATAGAGTAAGATTTGGTTTGTTAAAAAAGTAAAATTTGTTTTTAATTATTTTATTCTTTGTAAAAAAAAGAATTAATTTTTTATTGGTTAAAATGAAATTTTAATTTAATTAATAGTTGTAAATGTTCAGCAAAATTTTAAGTTTGCTTGATTATGTGGCAAGTTGTAAAAAATAAAATTTATTTTAATTACTGATTTTTGAAAATACATAAAACTAATTTTAAAATCAATAAAAATTTTTAAAAATAAACTTATCTTTATAAAAAATTATCTAAATCATTGCTTATATGCTAATATAATTCTTATTTCTTATCATCCAAAAGAATTTAGTGAAATTTTTGATGTAAAAAACTAAATGAAAACTCTCTAAGTATTTTATTTTGAATATAATTTTTTGTAACTAAACCTAAATTTATGTCAAAAGAGATCCTGAACTATCTTGATCTGATTTACTATTTTAACTTTTGAGTTTTATAAATTTTTTATTTTGTAAATATTTATTAAATGTGACAAATACTTATGAGAAAGTAACTAACTTATTTTTTTTTTTTCAGTTTAAGATTGAATTTATTATTAAATTGAAATTTGCCAAATTCAAAAGTATTATCTCTTTCTAACTAAAAGTTTAAAGGTAGTAATTAAGCCATCATTTACTAATTGAATAGTATCGATTTGTAAGTTTATTTGTTTATTTTTGATTGGATGAAATAAGTTAACATTTATTTAAGTTTTGCTTTATTTCAAATTAATAATAATTTGAAAAAAAATTATTTAATTTAGTTTATTTTAGTTAATATACCTCAAAATAATAAGCATAGTTCATTTAAATTTAGCAAAATATTTTATTGAATTCTAAAATAAATTATCAATTTCTGTTAGCTACTTACTGAATATAGCATTTAGGAATGAATTTTAGAGGAAGCATTTTGGTTAATGATAATAACTCAATAAAATCACATTAAACAGAACATAATACGCAAGGCGTAATTAGTCCTAGAAATCAAACTTCGAACAATTAGTTTTATTAGCATGGTTTCAGCTAATTACAAATAGCTAGAGAAGGCAGTTTGATGGCAACCCTATAAAATTAAGAAATGAGAAATAATAACAACAATAATAGCGGAAATTCTTATAAATTTTAGGATTTGGAGCCGAATTAGGTTGATAACTTCAAATAATATATCAGTAAACTTATTACTATGAAAGGAGAGATGAAAATAAACGGAGTATATAAAAAGAATGTATAAATAACAGAGAAGAATGAACTGAAATGCAATATTTAAATTATAAAGCCATATAATCCAAAATTAGTCCCTCCAGACTGGAATACAGCGCAAAGGCATGCTGATGCGACAAGAGTAGGAATGGATTAAAAACCTTTGCCAAACAATATTGAGACATATGAAATCTGTCCTTGCTGCGATAACTAAATAGAAAAGCAATCTCTTAATTTATTTGATGATCCTATTAAACTCCTCTTCCTTGGCAGTGGATATCCTTTATACTTTGACTTTATAAAATAATGCATCTATATTATGATAATTATTTTACTCATTTCTGGTGGTTTTAACTTGTACACAAATTAACTTGGAAAAGAATGCATTTTAAATAATTAGCATACAATTACAGGTGAAAAATTGCCATATGAGCTATAGAAATGCCACTATAATATTATATCTAAATATTCTTATATCAACAAAAACGTTGATATGAATTATATATATTTTTAAGATATTTTAGATTACTTTACAGTAATAACACTAATCATAACTTTTATATTCTTTAGGAGATATCAAATTTATAAGGATATTGAATGTGATGTTTTAGATTTAACTCCTTCAGATTATACAGTTATGATCAAAAATATTCCAAAAAATATTAGGCCGAATGTCCTGTAGTAATTTTTACAGGATCTCTCACCTAATTAAAAATCCAATCTAACCATTTAGAATTAAGATTAGGATGTATCTGCGACTCAAGATGAGAGTGAAAAATTTGAAAAAATTTAGGTCACAGATATAAATTATGTTTATGTAAAGAATCACAGTCATGTAAAGTAATTAGATCAAGCGGTTAAAAGATTTTAAATGAAATCAAAGAGGTACGACATGGATTTCGAAGAAATATTGAATACAGTTTTTAGCTCTTCTTAGAAGGGTAATTCATTGCTGCAGAATAATATTACAAGTTCTCAAAACTAAAATAATTCTAATTTAATCAAAGAAAATACTGATTTAGATTTATTGGAACTAGAAAGAATTATGCATGAAATAGAAAAAGTTCCTAACAACTTTAATGGATATGCTTTTGTATCATTTATGAGTGACAAATAAAGAGACTAAGTGCTGAATATTGCAGAAGAAACCTTTGAAGAGAGAAGCATTTTTTCTTATTTATGCAGTTCTTTTTAGAGTTCTTCTCTAGAGGAGTTTAAAGAATTAGATTTTGAAGGTTAGAAACTCTAAATATGCAAAGCCCCAGAACCTTTAGAGATTATATGGGATAACATTATGACAGACGATTAGCACAAATCTCGTAAAAGGCTTCACAGTTTTATTTATACAGTTACAACTCTTCTTCTTTACACAGTAATAATATATTTTTTGAACTATAATACTGGAGAACAATAAACAGATAAAAAAAAAACATCCAATAACGCTACTGCAATTATGTAGAATTTTAATTTAACATCTAGTGAAAACTATATTCTACATAATTAATATGTTGAAGATGAGAAATATTTATATTCAAATTAATCTCAATTTATTAGTAAAAATATTTCAAACGAAGGCTATTCATAATACTCTTTTGTAGGCAAGTAACTTAAATAGTAAAAGTTGATTGCATTCAATAACTTTTAAAATAAATCTAAAACAATAATCCAACACAAACATTTATTAAATGGTTAAGAGCATTAAAAACAAAATGAAAATGATGTTAATAAATACAAAACTCAAGAAAACTACATGGAGGAGAATACTGAAATACTAAATCCAATAATATAGCTGATAAAGGATTAATTTTCTAATTTAACTGTCTCTATTTTTATGATCTTGCTTAACTCATTAGTTGTGAGATATGCCTTCGAATTCATAGTCAACAATGAATGTTATAATACCTTTTCTTTGTATAAAATAAATATGGCTTAAAAACTCTCAATTGCCTTATTTATTAGCAATGCTCTAGTTACTTCTTTTATTGCAATTTACTATTCTCATAATATATATGGTAATGGTGGACTTATTTATATCATGATTTTCTATCTAGCACTAGATACTCCATTCAATTGCTTTATCGAATTAATAGATTTATGGGGTAATGTCAAAAAAATTGCTAAGTATTGGCAATAACGTAAAGGCAAAGATTGCACTCTTAATTAAGAAGAAGCAAATATTTTATGTGAAAGACCAGTTCATGAAATAGAAATTTGTTACGCAGAGATAATAAACACAATTTATATTTCTGTATTCTTTTCTCCAATAATTCCTGTTGGATTGATTCTTTCCCTTTTTGGATTCATTCTATTGTATTGGACATAGAAATACATTGTTATTTATAAGCGATCTGTCAAGCAATAAGTTAGCATAAAGCTTTCTCAGGAGATGACCAATTCACTCGAAATTGTAGTTGGAATTTATCCAATATCTTGCACTGTTTTTTATTTTATTAGCAGTGGAACTATAACTGTGCTTTAAATAATTAGCATTTTCTGTGGAGTTCTTTACATATTAATTCCAAGTGATTTGCTTATTAAGAGCTTATTTAAATTCCCTAATCCTAACTAAGAACAACAAATATATCCTATAGCATATTCTAGGTTCAAGACAACTTATTCAAGGTTGAATCCAATAACTTCTGAACTGGCTAATGAGAAACATTATTAAATGTTTTCACATAGTAAAAGTAATTAAAATCATAACATATACTAAAATAATAACAATTTTAATGGAAGTTTAGTGTCAGTTTGAATAAAGCGATATCAATCGTAAATAAATATAGATTAAGTTCCAAAAAATTTAATCCATATTTAATAGATCGACTGATACTGAGTTTGCTTTAAAAACTGTAGTAAAATATTTCCTCAAATGCATAAACAAAGAAAGAATAATTTTTCTCAATATCTAAAAAACAATAACTAACAAATACCTAAACAATTCATTCTCATCTAATCAAAAAAACATATAGCTTAAAACATTTTTCCACTAAAAATATATATTATCTATCTATCTGACTTAAATTTTTGTAAGTGTTATATTTTTATATGAAAATTTTAGAAAAATACTTTCTCATTTTTATCTCAAAACTTTTCAAAGCTATATTTAACATTCACATACTGTAGGTACAAATTGTACCATTTAAAAATTTTATAAAGGAATGAGCTATTTATAACTTTGAAGTATTTCTTTGATTCATTTTTTTTCTAAAAAATTGTTAAAATTTAGTTTTCTTTTGTAGACTTTTTGTTAAATTTTAACTTATTATCAAAATTGATCAGAAAAGCTTCATTTGAATTTTGAAAACAATAAAAAAAATAGATTGATTCATTCACTCAACTGCTTTTGTTCATCAAAGTCTACAAATTAAATTAATATTTATTAGATGTAATTGTTTCTATTATTTTAAAATAAATCTACATACTCTAAATTTTTAAAACAAGACATTTAAATTTCATTTATTTGATTGAAATCTTTTGCTTTTAAGTGATAGAGTTTATTTGAATCTTCCTATATATCATCCTAGAGAACTATTTTTAGTTTACTATTTATATCAGACTTAATTATATAGTACTACTCAAATGAGGCAATTTATAGTTTATTTATTTTCAAATAGTCTACATATCTTCTAAATAAAAATTGATTGTCTATAACTAATTTATAGTCTCTACATGAAATTTAAATATAAATTAAATAATAATGATAGTTTGATAAATCATGAAATAATGTAAAATTGCTTTTAAAATTGAGTAACATGTTAAAACAAATGCATGTATATATATATGTTTTATTTATTTAGATAGCATATATTAGAATCATATTAAATTGTTTATTTTTATATATTATATTAGTATTAATTAGAATTATTTCTTGTTTAAAAAATGTTTTTGTTAATTTATTAACTTTCTTTTGATTTTGTTACAGATTTTAAGTAATCAAAGAAAATAAATTAATGAATTAATTAATTAAGTAATCATGTAAGAAATAATATTTTCAGGAGCTATTTGATATTATCAAATGTAATCTCTGTCAATTAAAATATTGCTATCTTACATAAGATTGTAGCAAATTTCTTATGGAATTTTAGATTATATTAAAATTTCTTGTACTTTATTTGCTATTTTATAGTTTATTTTGAATTGATCCCACTTGTTATTTTTAGGGTTGGGGATTTAACCATATTCATCTGTGTATATCCATCCGTAAAAGATGTTTTTAGGATAGTTAACCAAAATTATTTATCCATTTTTTAAATGTAAATATGCAGTTTTTCCTCCATGATAGTGATTTGCATGTTTATTAAGATTTCCCATCTTTCTACTTTTCTTTTTTAGTGTTTTATATGCGTTTTGGTCATCATCATCATCTCTTTCATACGAATAATAGGTCTCTTCATACTCTCTCTATATGTTTGTTTTACAATCTTAAGTAGTATCGCACTTAATACTGCATGTGACTTTTTCACATATGAGACAAAGATAAGGATCACCAAATTTAGGATAGTCATTGCAATAGCTACATTTAATCAGGCTGAAAACACGGTTAAATTCAAGAAAATCTTTAGGAAGAATAACCATTTTGAAAGGATTAATCTAGGTCTAGAATGATGGTTACTGTATTTTTAATGATTAAATCTGTAGAGCATCAGTATTTTAAATGCTCTATCCTTAATTAATATTCAAACAAACAACTGTTTTGTATTCAAAAATATCTTAGCAATCTATTTTTGCTAATATTTTTTGGAATGTATTGTACTAGTCTACATCAGACTCGAATTTTTCATCATCTAGTTCCTTTATTTCACTGGTTTTGATATGAAAAACTACAAACAGAATTGAAAGAGAAGCTTTCATGAAAGGTAGAATATGAGTCAGTATCTCATACTCAAAAGTATCCATTTTAATTAAATCGAGATAGCTCGAATTCTTCATGTTATACGCTGATATAAATTTATAGTAAAATGCTCGAATTTTAATTTCGAATACACGACGAGTTATGAATCTATAAGCAGCCAAAAAGCTTAAAGCGTGATCACGTCTTTCCAAAATAGCGCATCTCCAAACTATTTTGAAATAATTTATTTCTATTTCTTAAATTGTAATTAATTTATTTTCATTTATTTGTTATTCTTCTCTTGCAAGAGCTTCTAAAACCTTCGTATCATTTATGATTTATTACTTAATTTCCTGCACAGTTTCTTCTTTGTGCTTAGATTCAAACAAATGAAGAAATTCCCTAAAGCTGGCAAAAAAATTGGAAGCTACCTTAAAGCATTTATTAAAGAAGTGATTCCATCCTGCTAAAATGAGGATATCAGATAAATGGGTGATAATCCTTTCTCCAACGTAAAGAATATAATCTTCGTGAATGTCTTCGTCAGTAAAGCTCTATCTGCCTTTACTTTAGTTATTTTTATTATCATGATTATTATTAAGCTTTAGCTGGTTGGTACTAATTTTTAATTGAAGTATCTATGTAAATTAGTCAGATATTATTTCGATTATTTTTTACTGTTCTTGTAATGATGATTGCTACTATTACTAAACTTATTCTGGGCTTTTTGATTTATCTATATGAATATTAACCTTTTTAATATGAGTTTGGAACTTGTTTACAAGTTATTCAAATTATTCTTAATTAAGATTCCAAAGTTAAGAAACTTTGTTATTTATCAATTTTTACTTATCTAAAATTTTTTGTAATTTAAAAAATGAAAACAATTTTATTTATTTAGAAAGGACAATTGGTAAAAATAAATTGCTAAGACCCTTGCACTGTCCGCATAAATTTTCATAAGGAGTTGAAAAAAGCACACGTTTTTGTAAAATCTGATTGATATTTGTTTTTTATAGCTTTTCTTTACATTTTCTATGAATATAGTGTCCACAAGTTTCTATTCTATACCCTTTGAACTAATTTAGTAAAGTTTCTTTCTAATGTAAACTGTAATTGCTATTTAAATTAAGACAATAATATATAAGATTATCTTCAGAAATATAGCAATAAAGTCCATATTCACTTTATTCTACTGGGTAATGGCAATAACTACACACTGCATCACAGTCATTTATGTATTCCTTTTATATCAGCTATTCATCTTCTCCAAATTCTTCATCTTTTTCTAAAGCAAATCCATCACTATCTTCTTCATCGTCATCTTCACAGCTTACTACGCTATCGCCGCAATCACCTTAACTTAACCCAGCGCTTAAACGAGGTTATTAACTTGATTATTTAATTGTATTAGTATTTTTTTATTCTTGCTATATATTAGATATTTATTATTGGCTACTAGTTTCCTATTCTATCATATTTTAATTTTTTTACTAAAATTGTTGTTATTTACGCATAAATTCTTGTTTTATCATTTCTTATTATTTTTTCATCTTTTCTTCCTTTGTTTGCTACTTTTTTTGCTCATCTTTCTTTTGAATATTCTCTTCTGTTTGGTTAATATTTTAAAACCTTTTTTGATTTGATTATTGACCTGTAATTTCATTAATCTCTTCCTTAAGAAGTGATATCATGCGCTGAATATTTTCGCTTTTAATAAAAAAAAATATTATCAGTAATTTTATCAAACTAAAAGTAAACAATTTTAGAAAAAAATATATGTCATTTTAAATTATTTTAAACATTTTTTTATCAATTCTAAAATATCTTACTTAATTTAAATAAAAAAAATGAGTTATATTCATACATAGTAAAAATAGTCATAGAAAAAATATTTTTGCAGAAAAATTAATATTTGTTATTATTAATTTTAAATTACTTTTTTATTAAAATTAAAAAAATTTTTGTTTAGGAGGTTTAAAGTTCTATCAAGGTTATATGAAAAATAAATTAAGTAAATTAAAAACACTGGGTAATATTTTTATATTTAATTGATTTAATATTTATTTTAATTAAGAGATGATAAAACTTAAATTATAAAAGATTGAATAACAAACAGGATTTGAGGAAGAAATATTTTGATTTTGTTGAAAGTGAAAGTGTAATTTAATAAATAAAAAAATAATCATGAAATTCTTACATTGTCTATTTTATGTCAGAAAGTTTTCTATTTTTTTTCATTTCTGATAACTTTTTCTCAAGCTCTGGCTTCAAAAAATATTTTAAAAGATGATCAAAAACCTATCTTGTTTCTTCAAAGGCTTTGAGTTCAATTATTTCCCTGATACAAAATGTGAGATATAATCCTACTAGTTTAATAGAGAATTTTAACACATCATTCAAAGACTCATTGAAAGAATCTATTCTGAAGCACAGCATTAGATATCTTGGGACTTCATCGCTAAATAAATTATTCAGTAAAGTTCTTAAAAAACTATGCTCTGTGTATAGTGAGATATTTCCAATTATAGGATCACAATCATCAAATTTAGAACTTAGCTCTTTAACTTTTTCGAATATATTGCTTGAGAGTCTAGTATATTTATGAAATAGAAAAGGTTCGTATTATCTTTGAAATTCAGGTTTTAATCTAAGAGTTCTAGATGATGGCGCGATTTATTCAGTTACATCAAAAATGAAAGGCTCTATTTTAATTTCATAATTTAAGATTTTATCGTATAGAACATCCTTAACACTTTTTAAATCATGAACTTTTTAGAGATGGAAAGCATTAATTAGAACGCAGTGAAGATGGTGCTCTAGCCACTAAGGTCTTCTGTGGTCCTTCTTTTTCTGAAGTATTTAGCTGCACGCGACTGTATTTAAAATGCAAGCATTATTTACTGCAAGTACTGCAAATAACTCCAATACACTACCTAACCTTTTCTTGTAGTTTTCATCTTGGGTGGAGAAATATATTTACTTTATATCTATTTCTGAATATATCGTGCAAACTATATTCATCAGAGGCATTTTACTATTTTTTTCTTTTATTATAGCAAGAAGGACTTAAATCAAAGAAATATCTAAATCCATTTAACCATAAAAACTTTTCTTGTAAAAAGAGTTAATAATTTCAATTTTCATAGACTTTAAAGGGTCTGACATCATTTAGTAATAATTTCCAACTTTTTACTCAGTTGTCCTTGCAAAATTCATTGCTTTTAACGGGTATTAAATTACCTATGCAATATAATTTTCTAGTTTTTCATGTTTTCCTTCAAAATGTTAAGAAAGTAGCATATCTTTCAAAAAGCTCACATTTGTCTCTACGACTAACAAATTTAAAACAATACTGAGCATTCTGAAGCCTGTAAAATGTATTGGCCACTCTCCATTTTGACTATTTTTAGATTTATTGGAAATATCTTCATTGGCTAAACTTTCATTTCCATTGATAAGCTAAGGAGTTGATAAAAATAATTTCTTGTTTTCTGTTAAAATTCTTTCAACAGCAAATTCTAGTAGCTATATCCTTTGATTTTTTTCATTTTCAAATAGTTCATAAACTCTTGACCAAACTTTTTTAAAGAGCATAAGAATTCCGCATTCAATAACTAATCTCATCTTCTCAATTTCATCGCTTAATTCAGGTGATTTATGAGTATGAGTAATAAAAATGCAAGTAATTGTTTGAGCCAAAAGAACTTTTAAGTCTATCATTTGCACAAGTATTTTCTTAGAAAGAATGAATGAAAATAAATTTTTAACTTGATTAAAAGCATTAAAAGCTAATCTGCTTTCTCCTAAAAAATAGTTTCGTATTATGTCTTACCATTACTCATAAATTTAAATAAAATATTTGCTTTTCATGAATTATGATGCAGTGTTGATTGTAAAAAATTAGCAATATATTTAAAGTGTTTTGCTAAAGTGCATGTTTGTTTTAAGGTTTTGTGAGGGAGAAGATGAATTGGGAGGAGATTAAGAAGAGGAAGAAGAACTTGAAGAAGAAGCTGTAGACGATGCTGAGCTTCCAGCTATCTATCTACCAATGCTTATTAAATTATTCATATTTGTCTCATAAAAAAAGAATCTAAAAAGTTTGACAAAGCTAGAGGCTAAGGTATTAGCAAATTATTCATCAAACTTCATAATTTGTTGATACAATTTTAAAAATGCTTCGTTGACTTCATCTTTGAATTTAGATTAAGATCTAAGTAGCAATTCTAAATATGTGCAATCGCAGTTTTTACTTGATGTTGTTAGATTTTTTTTCTCTAATTTTTAAGTCAGTTTTTGACAATTATGAGATAATTTAACTGAGGGCTCTGCTTGCTTAATTCCTTATAGCAATATCTCAGCAACTGAGCTCATTAAAACCTCGCTTTTAATACAATTTTCATTAAGAAACCTAACTATATTGGCTGCTAGACTACAGAGACTTTCTTTTTATATATGCATACCTTTGGAAACATTTTCTTCATAAAAAGGGGATTGCTATGCGCGCTCTATAAGTAGATTTAGAAGCTACTTAAGAACTAATTTAAAATTATTTACAATATGTATAATTTTTTCTTTCTCTACATCATTTTAAGAATAAGAAAGAAGATTTTCTCCCTTAGTGCTATGATTACTGCAAACAAATTTAAGAGCTTTGATATCTCCACAATCGCATATGCCTTCATATTATGTAGAATAATGCACTTTATGTCCTAGGTGATCTTCTGCTATAAAACAACTTTTACAAATTAAAGAGCTTTCTATATCATAACTACATTCTTCACAAACAAAACTGACCTCACCCTTTTAAACTAATTTCATACATTTTTTTATCATCCCCCCTTCCTTTAATTTATCAAGCAGTTCGGGTACTACTTTATGAAACTGGCTATCATTAATCAAATTTTTAAACAAAGTTAGGCTGAACTCCTAATAATTCTGCTATCTTTTTTATTCAAAGTAGCTTTCAATTAAAACAGATAAAGAGTTCTAAATCTCCTCTTTCCTCCTCATGAAGCTTTATTTAATGCTATAAATAATGTTCAGTCCTATTTAAGCTTTACAACTTGTAAATGACGAATATAAAAAATTGATGATTATATCACTAATATTGATTGATTGTGTTGTCTTCTCCTAATAAGTCTTTTTTAATTTAATAAATAAATCAAATAGCTTAATATAACTAAAAGAACATGAAAACATCAATTAGGAAGCATAATGAATAAATTAATTGATTTTGATTATTAAATTATTTATAGATTTTTTATATATAAATTTGAATTGTAAAAATTATCTAATATCAGACAAATCATACAAAGAAACGATAAATAATTGTGTGCATTTAGTTTTTGGTGATTACAAAAACTAAAAATTTATAACTAAATATGTGAAAGGTATATTTATAATCTAACAATTTTAGCATGCTCGCATTTAGATATTTGAGAATTTGGGTTATAGTTTTAATTTATATTGATTGAATCTTTTTTTCAAAATAACAATGATTTCTTCTTTAATTAAAAAAATATTATTTGTATAATTTGATTTTTGATGAAAATATACATTATTTTTAATATTTCTCTAAATTTTCCCTAATTTAGATCATTACTGCTCTCAAAACTTTAAAAAATTGTCTAATTATAGCTTTTTTATTTATTTATTTATGGTGGATTATGAGAATTTTGTGTTTCTTTTTGATTATGAAGAACAAATAAGAAGGATTTTTAAAGTCATTTATTTTGTTAAATTTACTACAATATCAATAAATAAATAAGTATACTTCTTATTAAATATCTGTAAACTGTTTTCAACCTAAAATAAATATAAATACAAGATTTAATATCTTTTGAAAAAAAAATGTAGACTTTTTGAATTCTAAAAAAGTGTAATTTTAGAAATTTTAATAAATATATTCAAAGTATGAGCTTTAAAAGAATTAGAGAAAGGTATTTATTTATTTACACTGCCACACTATAAATTCAGAATTTATAACTCTTTCTAAATGTGAGCTAATTTTGATATGTTTCGAATCACATACGAACATAAAATCACCTGAATTTTTTATCAGCGAGGATAATAAAGAGGCAAAAACTTTTTTCTGTAACAAAAGATAACATTAAATTTTTAAAAATTAAAGAAAATTTTAATTTTATTTTCAGGATATACCTTTCTTTAAGTTAAAAAAAATAATAATTACTTGAATTTAATTTTTCTATTCTTATTTTTATGTGTTTTTAAAAAGTTATTTTTTGTTTTTATTCGAATTAGTTAATTGCATATTAATAGAAGTCAATTTAATTGTCAAAATATATTTCTTTCTATCAATCTTTATCTAACTAACCTTTTCTATTGATTAAAACAAACCCAGCTCAAACATAAACAGTATAAACGCATTTTTCTCCAAAGATCATATACTTATCAAACTCATCAATTAAATTTGATAGAGGACTTAATATCGAAATAATTAAAAATAATTAAAAAAAAATAATAAACATAAATTGAATTTTATAACAAAAACTAATCAATTGTTATTCCTGTAGAAGTTACTTTAGTTTAATAGATAAAACAAAAGTTAAGAAATATTTAAAAGAGCAATCATTCATAAACAAACATTATGGGTAAAGGACTTTACGTCTTATATGGATGCTTATTACTAAGCGTCTATTTTCTAAGATAATTGGAACTTGACACAAATAAAAGTCTTCAAAACTTTTTAGAGTCTAAATTCTTAGGAGGAGAAGAAGAAGAAGTTAATAGTAATCATAATAGTACTTCAAGTTTTTAACGTAATTTGCAAAGTTCAGCCACATCTAATACTGTAACCGACGTTCAAAGCTCACCCACATCAAATTAAGATGTCATTTCTATATGTAACGCAAGTTCTGATGGCGGTAAAGTGAGCTAATCACAAATTGATGCAGCAAGTCACTCACGCTCAACTTATAGAACTTCTTTTGGCCCTTCTTTAGGTGATGATCTTTTAAATTAAAGGGTTCCTTCCGTTGGTTCATAGGCTTAAAAAATCATAATTATTGCTTTAATCGCAATATTTTTGATAATAACTCCTTGGTTAACACTATGTTATTGCTGCTATTGCTGTTGTGATAAGAGTAGATTTCTTTTATTTTTATTATATTATTAATTTATTCATTTATTTATTTATTTTTCTACCTACAATTAATCAAAGAGTGCCCTTTGTGCTGTAAAGATGATCCCAAGAAGAAACCTTTTACAAGAGGATAGCTTTTATGCAATCTTATATCTGTTGTTGTTCTTGCATCCCTAACCTTAGCTACAAGCATAGCCGGATATGTTTATTCTAACAAAATTAATTCATCATATAAGGTAAATAATTAAACAGTTTTGAGATAATATTTTAATTATGTATTTGAATATATAGTCTATGAAATGCACAATTGTTTCAGCTCTTGATAACCTTAATTAGTAATAAACATTCACTCTTAATACAGGTTCTACAGGTACTTTCTTAGGTTTGAATGGATTGGAATCAACTATCCAAACCGTGTAAGGATAGCTTGACACCTGGTATACAGGTATTAGCAACTTCCAAACCACAAATTAACCAAAAATTGCAACTCTATAAAGTACATCACAGACCATTTAAAATATGTTAACCTCTATGAAATAAACTCCATTAGCTACTGGTTATTAATATGCTGCTAATAAAGGATGGTAAGATTAAATACCAAATGATGGGACAACTAGAAGTTCTATTTTCTTTGTAATTATGACAAAATTTAAATTATTTTAGATTTTAATTAGTGTTTAATATAAATTTCAGAATAGTTTATTTTGTTAATACATTTTTTATTAGTTACAAAGATAAAAACAAACTAATAAATCCTTAATTAAATCATCTTTTAAGAATCTAAATTAAATAATTATTTTTGTATTATTAATAGGATTCAACAAACTATCCAAAAGTAATAGATGGTATTGTTTCAGCTTAATAAAAAGTAACTTCAGCAGCTATTACAGCCATAAATGAAGCTTCTACTTAATGTACAAATCAAGCTAGTCAAGGTAAAACTAGTGTTAATAGTGCTCTTAGTTCGGCATTAACTTAAATCTAGAAGGGCTAAAATATGATATCTGATACAGTCAACAGCATTAAGAAAAATACTTCAATCGTAATAAATATTGAAAAATGGTATTTTAGCTTTATTAAATTTAAAATTTTTATAAAATTAGACTGATACAGTATTTTAGTTGGTTACTATCTTTTTAATGATATTCTATGGAATATTTATGTTTATAGCTGTAGCAGGAGCAGCCTTAGCTTTCATTGGTCATATCAAAAACATGTATAAGGTCAGAGTTTGTCTCCACTTCTTTTGGTGTATTCTAGGACTCTTAACATTCCTTGGTTTCATTTTAACATTAATACTAGGTATATTAACTATTGTAATGATGGATGGATGTGATGCAGGCAATAAATTTTTAAATGTAATTACTAAACTAATCATTTATTTTAGTTATTTAAATTTTAATTCATTGATTAATTAATTAATTATTAGGATCCAACATATTTCCAAACAGTGAATTTGGGAAGTAGTGATTTAAAATCTTATTTGAGTACATGCAAAGCTGAATTAGGAGGAGATGGTAATATACTAAAGAAGTTCAATATTGAGGATTAAGTAAATTAAATTACTAAGACATAGCAATCTCTATAGGATGCTTTGAATTCTTTTGATATGTCTGCTTATTAGCAATTTGAAAATAATTTACAGTATTTCTAGTTTACCCATACAATGATTTAACAATTTGGAGTAATATTTGCCAGAAATGACCAAAATTGGGCTACATATCCCCCTAATTAAATGGGTAATTACCCAATGTCTCTTGACTATTAGGAAGCAGTTGCTGGCTTCTCAACATAAACAAAATATCTTAGTTACCAAACATCATAATCAAATCCTTATTCCTCAATTTCATCAACTAACAATGACTTCTTTGTCTTCTAAGATAACTAATGCTCTGCTTATAACTATGCTAGTGTACTTTCATCTTTTGGTACTTCTTTATCAGGTAAAAACTGTGTTTCATATTAGACATCGACTAGTTAGTTTACCTCACCAAATGCAAGCACAAGATATGGTTCTGCTCAACCTTTTACAGATTTTTATAATAGAATTAACACTTATGTTTCTCAAGCTTAGAATATGTACAATAAACCTGAAACATTCTAATATTAAAATGCTGCTACCAATACTTAAACCACATCACCATCTGAAAAGAGAGATACATTTATTGGTGATATTATGACTGCATCATCTTCTACAGTTAGCCCAGGATTTGGCTATTAACTTAACAGTATAGTTCAAAATATTAAGAGTTAAGTTTTAGATGGTAGTAAGGCAATCACTGATTCATTGATAGGTCCTTCTGGTCTTATATACTAAGTTAACTGCTTATTCTTAGGGTTTACAATATGTAAATACATTTTTTATTATCATTTTATTAATTTTTAAAATTACTTTTTAAAATTAAAGAAAATTTCTATGAGCAATTATGCGATAACAGTGCCATTTCAATCTACATTACTTTCTAAATTATGTGTGTACTTTGTTTTAGCAATTTTGTTCTTTTGATTTTCTTATACAAAATCGCTATGAAATTTTTGGGCAAGTTAAAGGAAGAGCAAGATAAGCCTAATGTAGGTACAGTCATGCCCTAAGGTGGAATCGAAATGAAATAATTTATCAATTGATAAAAATTAATATTAAAAATTAAACATAAATATGAAAAACCTTATCTATTTGTTTCTAATATTATTAATCTATATAGATTGTTTTTTATTATTAATTTATATTTGACTTACTATTTTTCTAAAATCACTCTATTTAGAGATGTTTTTATTTGATAATTTCTCTTATTTTCGTATATTTTTTCAAACTAAAATTTTTTTTTTGTAAGCCTCTCTTTATCTCCTGAAAATGTACTTAAATTTAATTGTTTGTGTGATCAAGTTAATTTCAAAATTTGATTGTCCATTCATTCATTATATCTTTTATTAACTATTTTTACTAATTAATTTCTTTTTTCTACATCAATCGCTCTAATCAATCAAAAAAGACTAAAAAGTCTACAAATATATAAAATTGTAAGGAAATCCAGCTGTTTGAATATGAAATTCAACTTAAATAATTAAGTAGCATTTTTATTTATTAATAATTTCTGCTTCATTTTATTTACTGTAAATATTTGTAATTTGAAATAAATTATCCTTATTCTCCACATTTTATTACATATATTTAATAATCATCCATAATAGGAAGAAGATCAAAAAAAAAATGCTTCAAAAATAAAAAAAAGCAGTATATAATATTCTCATTGATATTTGTTCTCTGTAATATAAAACGCTGTAAGAAAAATATATTATGACTTAAATTTAAGGAAGTTATGAAGTATAGGAAATGTGAGGAAAAAAGTATTTTTCTAATAGTTTTAACTTTTAAAGTTACATCCAAAACTTTTTAATTCATCAGAAGAATAGTTAAAATTTTTTAATTTCAAATGTTTATAAGGGGCTATGAAGCTTTTTATAGACTCAATTCATTTTCTAAAGATATTTTTTTTAAAAATTTAGAATTAGTTAAGTTTAAATTCATTGGATATAGCTGCTAATTTATAATTGATTAATTAATTATCAAAACAAAATTCAATCAAAAAAGAAGAAAAAGTCTAATCAATTAGATCTAACCATCGAGGATGAAGAATTCTCTTATCGCATTGTATGGATGCCTACTGCTATCCATTTACCTAATAAGATCCCTTGACTTAAGCAATAAAAAGATAGATATAAGCTAATACAGCTCATACTTTACTCAAGACAGTACAGTAAACGAAGCAGAAACTTATGATTATCGTATATTATAAGATTAATCAAGTTTTCAAAATCCAAAAGTAATAAAGATATGCAAAGAAGCTTCTAACTCAACCATTAGTCAATCTAAAGTAAGTAAATTTAATACAGCTTATGATGAATACAGAGGCGCATTTGGACCTGCTATTGGCGATGAATTAATTAGAGATTAAAAAGTACCTGAGACAAATAAATTAATTTAGAAAGCAATTATTTTAGGTATCTTACTAATATTCTTTTTAATAACTCCTATAATAACTTTCTGCTATTGTTGTTACTGCTGCTGCGATTAAAGTAAATAATTAAAAATTTAAAAGATTAAATTTTTAAATCCTTTTTTTTCTCCATTCCTTAATAAAAGAATGTCCATGCTGTTGCAAGGATGATATCTAAAAGAATCCCTTCACAAAGAGATAAATGGTTTACACTTTGATATGCGTTATTTTATTCTCTGCTCTCACCCTATCTACCAGTGTCGCTGGATATATATATTCTAGTGATATTAACTCTTCTTACAAAGTAAAATCTTCAATTATAATTTTTTTTTTCATTAATTTGTTAGCTAATCATCTAACTAACAACTAAATAATTTATTCTAACAGTCTATGAAATGTGTGGTTGTATCTAGCTTAGATAATTTAAATTTATAATAAAATTACAATACCTCAGATGGAACTCAAGCTAATTTTATTGGGCTAAATGGTCTTAAAACTTAGGTAAATACAATAACTTCTAAAATAGATAACTATGTAGCTCAAATCAATAGTTTTGCTACTTATAGCTCAACCTAAAGTAGTAATATTTAGAAAGTTTCAGATTCTATTACTAGCATGTTTACTGCTTTGTAAACTGTAGATTCTAGCTTTAAGACTCACTAGAAAGGTGAAAGTTCTGGATTTAGTGATTTTTCTGATTCCACTTAACCATCTCGTTTCTATGTAAAAAATATTTTCACTTAATTCATTTTATCAATAATTAATATTAATTAAAGGGAGATACTTACTCAAACCTCGTTAATTAAATGGTTACAGCTTAGAATTAAGCTTCTTCTGCGGCAGTTTCAGCTATGAAAGAAGCCTCAGACCAAGCTAAATCTTTTGCTTAAGATAATCAAAATTCGAACTCAATAAAACAACCATTATAAGATGCTTTAAGTCAAATCAGTAATGGCCAGAGTCAAATTAATAGCTATATTAATTAAATTGACGATAATAGCTAATTGGTATTTAACTTAAATTAAAAAATATAAAATTAAATAAATATTTTAATTTTTATAGACTGATCAAGTATTTAACTTAATCACAATCTTTTTGATGGCATTCTATGGTGTATTCATATTTATTGCTGTTGTTGGGTCAATTCTCTCTTTTGTTGGTTATATTAAGCATATGCTCAAGGTCAGATACTGCTTAAATATCTTCTGGTGCCTTCTTGGTTTGCTTACATTTATAGGATTTTTATTATGTGTAATACTTGGTATTCTCACAATTGTACTTATGGAAGGTTGTAATACAACAGATAAAATATTTAATGTAAAGCTTGCGTTTTATCTGATTTCATTTCATTTATTTTTACATTTATAAAATAGGACAAAACCTATCTTAGTTCATTTTCTCAATTAACCGCAGATGATATTAGTTACTTAACAACCTGTAAGGCTAGTTTAGGTGGTAAAGGTGATATTCTAACCAAGTTTAAAATTTAAGATAAGGTAGATACTATGACAGAGACTTAAAGTGATCTTTAAAAATCATATGATTCATTTGACATTACTTAATATTAAAAATTTGAATAATATATGCAATTTTTCTTAAATTAACACCTAACAATGCAAAATTATGGAATATTTACAGATAGATCTGATTAAGATTGGGTCACTACTGGTCCTGATTAGCTTGCAAAATATAATATTATTTTAGACTATGATAATGCTGTTAAAATATATCAAGCTTAAATCAGTTAATTGAATAACAGTGTAACAAGTTCAAATGCATATAATTGTGTTTCAAGTAGTGCTTATGATTAATTTGTTATAAAAGATGATTAATGCGCAAATAATTACAACAATCTTCATCCCGTGTCGTAAACTGATTTTTAAACTGGATTAACTGGAACTAATTGCGTGAGTTGGTAAACTATTTCATAATTACCTAATCTTCAAACAGATACTTAAAGTAGATATACTTCATGCACAACAAAACCTTGGGATTTATTTTACTCAAAGTTTAAAACATATGTTGCATTTTCTACAACAAGATATGCTAAATCAGAAACTTTTAATTATAAAGATTCAAGCAATACTGGCCAAACAATAACTTTAATTAGAAGTGAGTTTATAAATAACGTTATTATTCCTCAATAATCATCAAGTAATGCAGATGGTTTTGGTTATATGTTGTTAGATTTCAAAAACAAAGTCAATAGTCAAGTACTTGATGGAAGTAAAGAAATTAGCGATGCGTTAACAGGAAAATAAGGATTGCTAAATAATGTAAATTGCCTCTTCTTTGGTTATACTTTAGGTAATAATTGTCAATTTTTTTTTAATTTTAATAATTTTTTTTTTTAAAAAGATAATTTACAAAATACTATGTGTGCTGATAGTGGACTATCTATTTACAACACATTCAAAATTATGTGTGTTTTAACTTTCAGTAATTTCATTTTGCTTGTATACCTCTACAAGATGTCTATGAAATTTTTAGGAAAGAAAAAAGAATAAGAATTGCAGATGGCTAAACCCTAACATTAAGGTGAAAATATTGAGATTGTTGGTTTAAAATAGGCTTGATTATTAAAATTTAATTAATTTAATTATTTTTATAAGATAAAGTAATTATTTTTTGAAAATTATTATCTTTGTTTGTAATTATGATTTTATTAACTCATTAATACCTTATTGATATATTGATAATACTAATTATTTCTTTTTTATTCATATTTGATAATATATTAGTTAATAACCATAATATTCAATAAGATTTATTAATTAATTACCTAAAATTAATTACATCTTTGATCTTTTGTATAAAAATTCATTCCATATTACTGTTATTGAGCTTTTTAAATAATTTTTTTTACAAATTTGTTTGTTAAAAGCATTATTATTATTTTAAATTTTATAAAATATAATTTTAAATTGAATTTGAAAAATTAAAATTTAAAAAAATTATAAAAATAAGTTTAAAAATTTAAAAAAAACTATTTTATTAAATAAAAAAAATATATTTATAATAAAATGAATGTATGAATCATTATATATGAAAATTTTACAGAAAAAATAAAACTTTTTATTAAAATTTAAGACAATTAATTATTTTTATTTTATCCAAATAAATAAAATATATAAAAAATTCAAATTGATTGATTAATTTTTAAATTAGTTTAGACGGATACAAACATTTCTTGACTATTAAAAAAAGACATTAAACATTTAAAATCACATTCCAAATAAAGTAAAGATTATTTATATACTTAAATAAATCTTTTAATGTCTTTCATTAGCTTTTTGCGTTTTCACCAGAAGGAGTTTCTTATTCAGGTTATCCTTCAGTCTTCTTTTTATGGCTCTTTTGTCCCCATCCAGTAACATTAAATGCCAAAATTACAAGTACTACAAGAATCAAATAAACATAGCTGTGAGTTTTAAAGAAAGTATGGTTATTCTCAAGGGAAAGTAGTTAGAATCCTATACCAAAACAGTTAAGAGGAACTTAAGCTAATAAGAATCTGCCTACATTAAAGACTGGACTTGAGACAGATTTTCTGATTTTATTAAAAACATGAGCTTTATTTATAGAAGCATTATAGAAAAGCTTAGCGCATGTCATACATAAGGACCATTAAAAGAAGGCGGTGTAATAACCAGGATAGAATCCATGCCAGAAAGCAGAAATGATATTTGTTGCATATTGAGCTATGTTTGCTCTCTAAACACTCTTTTTACCATTTTCAGGATATATTCTAAGGTAGACATACTTTTTTAACCAAAATTGAACTGAGCTATTCCAGCATTCAACTTTGTATTTGATATCGTAAGATAATTCATTAGATGGAATACAAGATAAAACTCTATCCCATTTATTTTTACCATCTTTACACTTTCCGTTGTAAGATAATCCTAAGTTTAATTTGCAAAAAATATTTTTTCAAAATATTTTTATATTAATTAGTAATTTAAAACATACCTGATGAGGCAACACCAGCTTATGAAAAACACCATCCAGCATAATACTTTATACGGATTAAAGTAATGCATATGTTGAAGAAGAGAGATTTTTCTAAGAAAGTTAAATCTGCATATTCTTAAGACAACACGTAGCTTAAAGGAAAGCGAGGAAGTAAACAAATATAAATTCCAGAAAATGCAGCAGCTTTTAAAAGCCATTCTAAACTATTGAAAAGAGTAAAAGGAATCTTTGAATAGTGCTCTTTTTTGTGAATAAAAAGATTAAATTCATAGTAATCAAAATTAGGACCACAGATAGCACTACCGAAAAAGTGGATGTAAGAAAAGTACTCCAAGAAGCTAGGTAGTTTCTTTAATTATCTCATTTTCTAATCTACTGAAAGCTTGCTTTCATCTTTACCTCCATCTTGATAGCACCAAGCAAATCCTGTCCATTTGCAAATAGTCATCATTAAAATGGTTGTAATATCCATATCCCAGCTGCCATAAGATGCCTATTTATTGATAGATATACATATCGATTAATTATTTTATATTTGAAAAGAAAACTTTTAAGAATTAAACCTTAAAAATAAATATTTTTAACATTTTTTAAACATGATTAATTAATTAACTCCTTAAACTTAAATTAAATATGGTTTAAAAAAGAATTTATATTTTTAAAAAAGTTTACCCATTATCTGTAAATATGATGAGCGCTCATATAAATAAGAGACTATACAAATACAACTATTGCAACACTCTTTCTATTGAAGATCTTCAACATTAAATATACAGCTAATGTCTAGAGCAAGACAAATACAATTTGATCTTTGTAGACTAAGTATTAGAGGAAAAGTCCTAATACTATGCTTAAAAAATGACGAATGAAAGAACCCCTTAAAAATGAAAAAACAATCCCAAAAGGAATAGCCATAATTAATGCTGATACTAGTCTAATCTAGTCAGCAGGAATGTTTAAGACTTTAGAAAATTACTCAAAAACTAAATCTAGAGCTGCAAAAACCATATCTATCTAATATATGTTTTTATGTACCTTTTTGAATTTTATTTAAAAGATATTAATTTGTTTAATTATTTATTTTTACTTCTTAAAAGGAGTTTAGTTCTCTTTTTATAAATTATGTTTTTGTATGTAAATAAGCAAAACATAATATCAAAATCATATATCATTTAATCATGCCAAAAACTGTAAAGACAAAATATTTAAAATCTGTTTATTAAGTGAGTATGAATAAATTTTCCTTTAAGATTAAATAATCAACTTTGAAAAGTAGATTATCTATTCATCTAAGTTCAATAGATAAATAGGCTTATTTTTTAAATTCATCAAGTTTTTAAAAATAGCAAAAGCCTAAAAGTAAAAAAAGTAATAAAAAGCTTAAATATAAATAAAATTAATTTTATCAATAAAAAAATAAATATTTAATTAGATTAATTAGTCAAATGTAAGCTTTTGAAAATGAGGAATTATAATTATATTATTTTTAGCTTTGGAGTATATTATAAAAGGTATTAATAAAAAAAATATAAAGCTAATGAGATAATTTAAAATTATTATTGAGTTAATTTTAAAAATAATTTGAAAAATAACTAAAAAATTAGGATGAGAATCTATCAATATATTTAAAAATTATTTTGTCTTTTAAATCGACTTGCTGTAGATTTTAGCAAAATTTAAAAATAAATAACAAATATTTATCTTAGTTAACAATAACGCATTTCATGTATGCACTCGATGATAAAGTAATCTATTTCAATAAATAATCAATTGTCTTTATCTGTTATAAAGTATTGAAATAATTAATCAGATCAAAAAATATCTTTTTTATAAATTTTTATATTCTTAGATTTCAAAACGTATTTGATTTATATTTTAAATTGAAAAATAGTAAATAAGTATATAAAAATGAGCTAATAACAGAATAAAAAGGAAACAATTTAGGATAATTTTTATGAAGACCCTACAAAGGAAAAATTAAGCATAGAATTTATAAGATAAAGAAGAAAGGAGTTGAAAGATGACTGCAAAAAACAACTTATTTCAATATTTATTATTCTTTTTGTACTTATTATGGCAATAATCTAGCCGCTAATTTGGCCTTCTTCTAATAAAAAAGAAGAAACCCGTATTGATAATAGCAAATGGTTAGTCTATTCTGATCATTAATCAATTAGATCACTTTTTGAAGCTAACGGATATAATATTACTGATGATAGCATATCAAGCAATATATTATGGATTAGTAATTAAGAATAATTAGCAATATTACAAGAGGATAAAAAATCTTAGTAGGTATTTAATAGCTATGGTAACTCTTTACTTTCTAAATATTCTCTTTTCAATACTTTATAGAAATTTGATTTAAAAGATGCTTATCGTTTTATTTAGCCACGAAAATTTATGCCTAGAACTTTTATAATTCCTTTTGCAAACGAAACTGAGTGTGAAGACTATTTAGAATTAGCTAACCACAGAAAATATAATAACTCGCATACATTCATAGCTGGTGTAGAAAATAATTCAACAGGGAAAATTATACTATAGCAAGTAGTTAAAGGTTCAGCTAATTTTCTCTAAATTTATAATAACTATAAATCGAAATTTGCACCTTATAGCTCAAATCATATTTTTTTCTTTTAAAAGTTTGTCCAAAATCCTATAGAACTTGATAAAAGGCCTTTAGAAATATTCTTTCCTATCTCAGTTGTAGGCAAAACTATATTATATAATGAAACAAATATTTTCGCAAAATCCTATTCAAACTAATAAGAAATGGAAGATATTCTTAATATAAATACATTAAGTAGCAATTAGAATGATGAAAACAATAGAATATACTGGAAAGCTATTTCATATAAATATATTGAGAGTACACTGTATTAAAATGAATAAACAATTAATATTATGAAATATATTATTTCTTACTGCATGGAGGCTATGTTTGATCAAGATTTTCCTGATCATGAAGGAAGAAATAGATACTCTCTTTATGTATTTATATTCTAAATTGACAAAAATGATTCAAGAGTTTATCTGACTAATATAGAATAAAATAGTAGGATAAAAAGTTCTCCCAAAAGCTCGTTTAATAAATTGATATTAAGTGGCTATAAACATTTAATTGATAACTTGGCTCCTGCATTGAAATAAAAAATATAATTCAACAGAAATAACACTCTTAGAGTATATAAAAATGCTATTCAATCATAGCTTTATTTGCATGATAACGAGAAGAAAACTCCAGATATGTTTAAAACAGTTGCGCCTCTGGATTATAATTTCAGAGTAAAAAAGGTTGTTGTTTATAGCCTCTTAAATTTCTTAAACTTTTTCTAGTATTTTCACCAAAAGCAAGAAGACTATATAAGCTTGCTGAAATCAAAACAATAGTATAATTAATATGAAAAAACTGCTGATATTTATTTTGCAAAGCATATTTCCAAATTCAGACCATATAAAAATGCTGAATGGGGAAGCGAATCTGGATGGTAAAGTAGGACAAAGTATAGATTTTAGATGGATTTAAATTAATTAACCAAAACAAAAAAGTAAATTATCAAATTTTTAAATTGAATCAAATTTACAATTTAATATTTATGAAAAGGCATAAAAATTTTGAAGTGGATAGATATATTCCTAAAACATACTTTTTTAACATGACTTCGTAAGGATATAGTAATTAATTCGAAAAAGAATTTCTTAAAAGTTATAAAAACCTAAAGGGTTTATGGATTTACAAACCTTCTTCTAGTTACGGAGGAATAGGAATTAAACTTTCTTACAACTTGACAGAGATTCTTTCTACAATTGACTAGCAAAAAAGAGATTTAGATAAATCCCATGTTGATTAAAATGAAGATGGGTTTAGCTTAGTTCAAAAATACATAGAAAGGCCATATCTTATAAACAAAAAGAAGTTTGATTTCAGAATGTATCCAATAATGATAAGTGCCAGTCCTTTGGTTGTAGTATATTTGAACGGATATGTGAGATCTTCTCTTTTTGATTATACTTTAAACAACCTAGATGAAGGAATTCATTTAACTAATCTTCATGTTTAGAAAAGTCATCCTTAATTTAATTAATTGCAAGATCAAGCCCACATATCAATACAAGATTTCGAAAATTAATTCTTTCTAAAAGTAAAAATTTATTAAATTTTTATTTTAATATTAAGCTTTTTTTTAAACTAGGATTTTAGCTAAGAATAGCTTGAAATTATGTATAATCATATAAAAGCAGTTTGTGCTTTTTCTTTGTAGGCAATATATCAAAGCAAAAAGGATACTATAGGTAGATTCTAAGCTTATGGAGTCGATATTATGATCGATGATTAAGCTAACGTATAGCTGATAGAAATGAATAGCAATCCTTACTTTATAAATGGAACAAGTTTGCATGTCAATCTTCTGCCAAAGTTAATTAAAAACTTTTTAGATTTAAGCACTGAAATTTTGAGATAAAATGAAATATATGGTAAGGTGATTAGTACTGATTTTATAGCCGAAATGTGTCCTCATTGTGACATTTTAATTGACGAAACTAAGAATTTCTATTATCTAAATTATTTCAATTAAACAACAGGTTAATTTAATTATGATAACCCAGTATATTAAAATAAAAAAAGAGAAAAATTTATTTATTGAATGTAATTTTTAATTTTAAGTAATTGCTTTGTAGTCTTTGTATAAAAATTCATTTAAAAAAATGTATTTATTTTTATCATTTTAAAAAGAAAACAAATTAATTTTAAATTAAATTAACAAAAAAAATTATTAATAATTAACCAAATATTAAAATTTCAAAAACCTATAACTTTTTTTATATAATATTAAAGCTATTCATTACTTTTATTATTCTAATTATAAAAATAAATTATAAATTTAACTATTTAAAAGAAAGAATTAATTTAGTTTATTAAAATTTTATTTTTAAATTTAATTGATCAATCAATATATTTTGATCAAAATTGCATATTTTTTTCGATTTATCAGCTTAATTCTTTAATTAAATGTATTGAAATAAAAATGAATATTATATTTTTATTTTATCAAATATTTATTTATTATGAAAAAACTATTCAAATTTCATCTTATTTTTTGTTTTTTTTATTTCAAACAAAGCTAAATTAAATATTTGCATGTTGGTATTGGTTATTAAAATTTATTTCAAAGCAAATATGTTGGTTGTATGGTGTAGCGGTTAGCACCGAGGACTTTGAATCCTCTGACCTGGGTTCGAATCCCAGTACGACCTTCTTTTTGGTTTTTTTAAACTTAATACATTCGTTAATTTTATATGTTTTTAATTCTTAAAACGTATTTTTAATTTAATTGCCTATAAGCTTGTTTTATTTTAATTATTGTTTTTATTATAATTTGAAGTATTTAAAACTTTTTAAAAATTTAATCTTTCTTATGTGAAATATTACGACGGTTGTATGGTGTAGCGGTTAGCACCGAGGACTTTGAATCCTCTGACCTGGGTTCGAATCCCAGTACGACCTTTTTATAAAATAATTTAGAATTTATTTTTAATAATTGATATAAAACATTTTCCATATCTTTAAGTAAAAAAGCTGATATAAATTCATTTTAATATTAAATTGTTGTTGCAGAGCTAATTTTATCAAATACTTTCTTAGATAATAATATCAATTTAACCAAAAAAAAAAAAATTTATATCTTTTGAAAATAAAATATTACAACGGTTGTATGGTGTAGCGGTTAGCACCGAGGACTTTGAATCCTCTGACCTGGGTTCGAATCCCAGTACGACCTTTTTTATATGTTTTATCAAATTTTTAAACATATTTTCTATTTTTTTAATTTTTAAAACATATTTTCAACTCTTTTATAGATAAATTAATTTTGATTTTAGATAATTTTGATAATAATTTTTAAACACTCAAAATATAAAAAAATTAAATTTTTTAAAGTAAAATATTACAACGGTTGTATGGTGTAGCGGTTAGCACCGAGGACTTTGAATCCTCTGACCTGGGTTCGAATCCCAGTACGACCTTTTTGATATATTTTATCAAGTTTTTAAGCACATTTTCAATTTTTTCAACTTTTAATACATATTTTTAACTCATTTATGTTGATAAATGTTTGATTTTAGTAATTTTATGATAATAATTTCAAGTATTTAAAGTATTAAAAATTTTAATCTTTTTACCATAAAATACTACAAATTTTGGATGATGTAATTATAAAAACATAGGACTTTGAATCTTTTGATCTAGGTTTGAATTTAATTAAGACCTTATTTAGAATGCCTTAATGTATTACCAAAAATTTTTTATGTTTGTCATCTCGTAAAAATAAATAAAAAGGTCGTACTGGGATTCGAACCCAGGTCAGAGGATTCAAAGTCCTCGGTGCTAACCGCTACACCATACAACCGTTGTGATATATTATATTAAAAATATTAAAAATTTTTTTTAAATGTAGCATAAAATGATAATTTAAAATCTAACAAATAAATAAATCTATGCAAGCTAAAATTTATATTTTTAAGAATTGCAAAAGCTCAATTTGCACTTAACTGATGAAAAAATTCTAATATTATTCTATTAAATAAATAAATGATTGCAATATTATTAACCTAATCTATTTAAATATTATATATTTAAGTTTAAAGTGTGTTTTAATCAATTAAATATATTTTTATTTTTAGGTAGTATATTTAAACAAATAATTATAATTTAGAAAATTATTTATTCTTATATTTGATTAATTTTTTATAGATTAAAAAAGAGATTGTATTTATATTTTGTTTTGAAAACTGATAGTTAACCAATTTAAGAAAGAAAAGAATTTTTCAAATAAAGTTAATAGCGGTTGTATAGTGTAGTGGTTATCACAGAGGATTCTGATTCCTTTGACCTGGGTTCGAATCCCGGTACGACCTAAATTTTTACTTTAAAAGTAGATAAATAAATTAATTTTATTTCTGTAAACAACCAAAATGAGGTTTTACTATCTCTTTATTATAGTATTTAATTTTAATTTTTTTGTTATTGTAAAATTAATTTAATAGAAAAGAGTTTAAAATTAGTTCAAGACCTAAAACTATTCAATTTAATTAATAAAAATTCAATTTCATTATTATCAATAGCGGTTGTATAGTGTAGTGGTTATCACAGAGGATTCTGATTCCTTTGACCTGGGTTCGAATCCCAGTACGACCTTCTTTTTTAATTGGTTATTAATCTATCATAATATATATTATTTTGATTTTGTTAAATTCGCAAGGAATAATTATTTATTATTACATTAATTATTTTTTAATTTCTAGCAAGATAATTTATGTTTTATATAACTAAAATGATTTTATATCATCTAATACACAAAATAATTCAAGTTTGTTATAATTTATAATTACCATCTCTTTGTATTCAATAATATTTTTTAATGGCTTATTTAAAAATTGTTAAAATTTTATTTTTTGAAACTTATATTTTTATATTCGAAACAACTCTATTAATAAATAAAATATATTTTAATTATGTAAAAATTAATTATTATTTTTCTTTTATTTTATACTTCATAAAAAATTGCTTTTCGCCTTTATTTTAACATTAATTTTTAATATAAAAATATATAAATTAATTTATTCATTTACAGTTATCAAAATTCTGAAAAAGAAAAAAACAAATTTTTATATTTCAAAAAAATTGGGGTTGGGGTTGGGGTTGGGGTTGGGG